AATCAAATATTAGACATATATCGCGATCTAGTGAATTATCAAAACTATATATATGTATCAAGTTCTTGTTGCATCGATTAAAATTTTTATATAATAAAATACCACAAGCTTAATAATACAAAATAGTAGGTAATTTACTCTTTGGTAGATTTGGAGAACAACAGAATGAAATTTGACATAGATTTAACTCTTCTTTTTACCGCTACAACAGTTTCATTCATATATAATACGCGCGATAAAATGCATACTTATATTTATAATATGGTTTAATGAAATAGAAAGGGTGGCCAAATTGGGGAATACGAAGGAGATATTTCATTTCGAATAGCTCGTGTCATTGTTTTCTCCCAGTTTTCTCACTGGCATCTCCATCTAATGGGCCAAAATGTTGTCTCTTTACGTTTAGATTGTGTAAAACTAAAGATTTAACAGTTTATCATTTCTTTTATCTTAAAACAATATATTTTATTTTGATATTATTTTTATGTTCCTTAAATAATTTATAACTATGTGAATAGAGTTTACAAAGGATAATTATATAAATATAGAATAGATGTAATAATTCTGAATATCTTAATATATATTGTACTTATTAAGTAGTTTGTAACACACATTACCCGTGCACTGCGCGAAACCAAACCCTAATACTACAGATGCATAGACAAACTTATGTCAACTTAAAATAAAATATTATGACATAAATATTCAATGAAAATATTATGAAATGCATATCTGCGTGATATCGAAATCAATGTGGGATAGTAATTAACAAAGACTTGGAAGAGAATGACATACATATTTTTGAGTCGCGTACGTAAACATTCAAATAAGGGTTTCGTAAATTTACAACAAATGGCGTTTAAACTCATACCAAGTGTTTCTGGTGGGTCTAGACGAATATACTACTGAATAGTGAATACTACTGTTACATAGATATGGACAGCTAATACCTAGTAGAGCCGGTCCACGTCGGTTACAGAGTAACAAAACCGGATTTAAACTTAAAAGATTCGAAAATGATTCAACCAGGTTACGAAGCTGAGCCACATTGCCATTGGTACAGCTTTCGTTTTCGCTGACTTCACAAAACTAATCATTATAATTATAGGAGCCAACCTAACTCATCCCTGTTATTTAAAAACCAAAAAAACAAAAAGCAAAATTAACAATGGACCAATGGGTTTCGGTTGGGATATTTGCTTTAACCGGGAACCTGAAATTCCGGTGACTTCACCATCCCACAGTAACCAAGAAAAACAATTGTCTTCCCGATGCACCTGCCACGTGGAGAGGCAGTTCAGAAGTGTCACCACGTTTCGACTTTCTTCTCGGTAAATGACTTTAACACCCTCCGTAATGACAATAATTTACTGTTGAAGGAAACGCTTTGTGAATAAAAACGCCGTTTCTAAGGGGTTGGCAGCGTTTGGTTGAACCACCTAACAACCACCACTTTCCCTCACTCTTATAGTTCCCCTTTATTTTATTTGTTGGGAATCTATTTCCTTTATAAGTAGGATTTGGATTTTTAAATAACTAAAACGCTGTTGCGTCGATGAGATTACTACTGTGGTTAATAACAGTGAAAGTAAATTAAACGTGACTGTATAAAACAAGAAAATAAATGGGATTCTTTGAAAAATACTTTACTTGTGTTTTAATCTTGTTTTAACAAAACATTAATAAATAATTACAAATTACAAACAAAATTCAAATATAATATAATTAATAAGATTTTTTTTTTAGATAAATATATTAATGTTATCCTCTTTTTAATATTTTTCTTTAAACAATTTTTAATATTTTTAAAACTTTATAGAAACAATCTAATCTCTCCCTCATTCCAATCAAAAGAAACTTTATATAAATATTAAATTTACATATATTTAAACTTCATAAACTCTTAAAAAAATAAAAGTGGATAAATCTATCTTCCACTTTTTAATGTTTATCTTTAAACAAATTCAAATATTCTTAGAACTTTATATAAATAATCTTAATCTTACCTCATTTAAATTGTTATATAAACAACTTTATATTTTTAATAAAATTTAAACAGATAATTAGAATTGTAATATATTTGAAATTGAAATAAAAATCTTAATCAAATCTTAATATTTAATATTTTTTATTTGAATTTCGTTTTTATTAAATTAGCTGATTTTTTTTGATAATTAATTCATTCCACATATTAATGATGTTGTATTTGAAATGAACTGAAATAGGTTTTATAATCCATTAGATTTAAAAATTTTGTGTAATTTTAAGAATCCATTTCAGCTGATTCTAAAATCTCTGTAATATCTCATGTATTCTGTTTTTAATAATTTACTCATAGAAATCCATTGTGATTCATTTCAAATGACTCAATAAACAAATGATTTTAAAATTCATTTAGTTTTGAATAACAATGGATTTTAAATCTGGATTTGAAATCTTAATTGAATAACACTGGATTTGAAACTCTATTAATGAAAGATTATAAATTATATATCGAATAACACTGAATTTTAAAGCCAGATTTGAAATCTTGATTGAATAACACTGAATTGTAACTCTATTTCAGTTCATTTCAAATACAACATCCAATAACACCCCCTAAAACTGTATTTTTCAAAATAAAAAAAATAAGGGTAGTTTTCAAATTAAAATATTATCTAAGAATATATTTCCAAAATCTCACAAAATAAATTCTCCCTCAATTTCATATTATATATCTTTAAAGGTTTTTCACACATATTAGATTTTTTTTGTTTTTTTGTTTTATTCCTAATTTTCTAAGTATATAACATTATTTGATTTGATCAATTACTTCCTCATTTTCAAATTAAGAGGTGTATTAAATTAGAGATTTGCAATGATTTAAGGTGATTTTATTTTTATTGAGTTTTTAGATGATTTTGTGTGAATCATAGAAATTCAAATGATTTTAGTTAAATCATTCTAAAATCTAAAAGTCTCTTATTTTTAATAAGAAAATCTCACAAAATCACTCTAAAATCAAATATACTTTTTAAAATTCACTTTAAAAACATTTCCAAGAAAAATAGTGGATTTCAATAACATTGGATTTTAAAAGGACTTTTAGAATTCAAGTTTGAATAACAGTGGATTTGTCATTTTAAACCAAATCAACCTAAATTACTCTAAATCCCAATTTTAGTACACCCTCCTAAGTGTCATTTAAGGTTTTTGCATACATGTTAAAAAATATTAAACTTTTATGTTTAACCTTTGTTTAAGGAATATATAACATTATTTGATTTTATCAATTATACAACCGACGGATTAAAGATAAGTCTGGAAATTAATTAAAATTCTGCATTGGTAATGTAAAATGACATTTATATTGAAACAAAAACCAAACTCTAAAACGATACTTATTATGAAAGAGAGGGAATATTAAATTGAGAGAATGTGGTTAAATCTGGAAATTAGATAAAAAAATTACATTGAAAATGTAAAACAACACTTATAATGAAACAAAAATTAAACTCTAAACTAACATTTGATATGAAACGGAGAGAACATAACTAAAATAATAATCGAATTTAATGAATAAATTCTATGTCTCTAACGATGTTGCATAGAAACAAAAATGCAAAAGCGGGAAAAACATAAGTATTTTCATAAAAATAATTTCAGAAACATTTTAAAAATATGTATATATATAAATAAATAAACTATTATCTATTATTATTGTCATAAGCTCCATCAATCGAAACTATCTTTAGAGAAAAATCTTAAAATTCAATATATAATCATCTAATGAATCAAATTAATTAATTATTTATCTAAGATAATTAAACTAATCAATTAATATTATTATTTGTTATAAATTTACTTAATTATTATGTTTTCAAAAGTAACAAATAAGTTTCCGATAATTTTAAAAACACAAGTTTTCAACCGAAAACTCGCGCGCAATTTCAACTGAAATCTCGCGCGCATTTTCAACTAATTTTCAAATTACAAATTTTAAGATACGTGGAAAAATGAGTTTCAAGTTTTCGAAAGTTTCCGTTACAGAAACTTTTCTGAAATGGGAAACGTGACTTAGATGGAGTTTACATGCAATACAGGTATTTTAATAATTAAATTAAAAAGAATAATAAAAAATGATAGAAAGAAATATAGATGGATGAAATGGAAAATATAGAAATAAATTTACCCCACTTATTCTTCTGCATAATTGTAAGTCGATATTTGCCTATTTGTAAAAGAATAAGTGGGATAAATGCTTTATTTTACCATATTTTATTATATCTATAAGAACTAGAGAACCCATTGCAGTCTATGTTTTAATTTTTGAACACTGTCTGACTGTTTGTGATGAATCTTTTTTTTTCAAATGGAGATTTAATGCGATTTCAACAGCAACAGTAGCAGCAAACGCTATTATGAGCGTTCATTAATTACCTAATATATATTGGTTGCGAAGAATTTGGGAACCTTCCCGATCCACCTATTTTTATTTATTTATTTTTTAATTAAGAACGGCTTTTGTTTTAAAAATTACGGTGGCCACTAAAGTATACACGTTTGGAGTATAAAACTATAAATTATACTTTCCTAACAAATTTTCCGGTTTTCCAAGTTTCTTCCTCTCTCGGTCCTCTTTTAGCATCTACAGTTTCTCTCTCCTCTACGCCGGAAAACCGATTTCCTCGGCCGTAACCGTTTTCCCGTCCGGCTATTCGATTCCGTTTCTCCTCGAGAATAGCCTCTAGTCTTCCTCTGGTGGATAGTGTATGGTTGATTTTTGATGTTTGTTTGACTCGGTTACGCGGCGATTCGGATCTCCGCGTTTGACTCGGTCCTGGCTCGTTTCGCGGCGTTTTCGTAGAATGTGGTTTGCCGTGTTTGCATGCCAGGCTTTGTATTGAATTCGCTGGCCAAGATCGTGATCTAGGGTTTCGTCTCTGTTCTTTGCTTGGGGCGGTTGGTTTGTAATCCGGCGAGGGAAAACGGAGTCTTACGGAGACAGATTGCGGAATGCTATGGTGAGATGATTTTCCCCTCTCCAATTTCTTAGTTTCTAAATCAGCTTTCTCCGTCTTAAAATTGTTCTAGCCAGCTGATTGCTTGAACTTCTCGTGAATTTTGTCGTTAACGATTCTACTAGATCAGATCTCTTACATTGCTCGAATTTCACCGAGACCCAGCTAATATTTATTTTTATTGAATTGGTTCTTCTTTCTCATCTCTGCTTCGTGATTTCATCGTCAATGGATAATCTCCCACACGTTTTTTTGTTTATTTTTCTATTTATATCCACGTGTGAACTTGAGATTCGAGCTCTGTTGAAATGGCGACGAATCTCTCTATAGGTCAAACAATTTTGTGTTGTAGAGGAATTTGTCGATGGTTTCTGACTCGCGTTCTTCGAGGGTGTTGAAATTAGAAATGGTCACATTCTTTGACTTTGTAGGGTAGTGGTCAAAGAGATAAGGCGGTATGTGGAAGTGAGAATGCTTATGCCTTTTAAAAAACTTATTGGTGTTGACTGTTTCCATTTTCTGCGTTCACTTTCATGTTTCGTAGCTTTTGCGGAGTTAAATATTTTGTATCTATAACGGGTTTAAGTGTGAATGGTGGACATATTTTGCATCCATGACTCTCGGTATATGTTTGTTTAGTATGCTGACACTTGGTTTTGCCAGGCGGAAAGGAGGGTCTGCTTGTCGAAAGAGGCTAAGGATGGTTTAGAATATCTGAAACGTAAAAGGTTTCAGAAAATGAGATCAGAAGCTGTCAATGAAACAGTATGCTTCAGCACAGTGGCTAGAAGTGGAGGTGATGCTTTGAGACCATCTTCAGCCTCTTGTGGAATGAGGTTACGGGTAACTACTAGTGACAGAGTCTCTAATGTGAATGGTGCATCTGCTGGTAAGGGAGGCTTATTGAAGGAAAAAGTGGAGAAGGAAAAAGTGGAGACAGATGATCTAAAATGGACCGAAAGGCTTCCAGAATGTCCTGTCTACAGACCAACAAAAGATGAATTCGAGGATCCTTTGACTTATTTGCAGAAAATCTTTCCAGAAGCTTCAAAATATGGTAAACTTTGGCATATTTTAGAAAGCTAAAAGCTCAATATGCAAGGATGAGTGCTGTAGGAGTAGACCCGTGCTCATTAATTTATTTGCTGCATATTTTAGTGGAAGACGTTGATTGGTGTTGTGTTCAATATTAACTATCAAATGGAAAGAACATGTGCTGCAGCTTCATTAACTGTAATTATTTCGTCCCATCTCTTATTCTGCCTCTGTCTTTTACAGGTATTTGCAAGATCATATCTCCTTTGACAGCAACAGTTCCCGCAGGCGCTGTGTTGATGAAAGAGAAATCAAACTTTAAGTTCACTACGAGAGTACAACCCCTTCGACTTGCCGAGTGGGATTCTGATGATAAAGTCACATTCTTCATGAGCGGGAGGTTTGTATTGAACCCTGAATTTACTTAGCTCTACATCATCACCTTATAGTTTGTATTTGATTATTTGTTAACTACTCAGGACCTATACGTTTCGCGATTATGAGAAAATGGCAAACAAGGTATTTGCACGTAGATATTGGAGTGGTGGCTCTCTGCCCGACTCATTCTTGGAGAAAGAATTCTGGAAGGAAATTGCGTGTGGCAAGACTGAAACAGTTGAGTATGCATGTGATGTAGATGGCAGCGCATTTTCATCTGCACCAGGTGACCCGCTAGGAAGCAGCAAATGGAACTTGAATGTATTGATTTTTCTGCAACTTCAACTTCTCTATTTTGCTTGGTTAAGCATTAAAAGAAATCATATTCTTGGTTATTTAATTTGTCTTTTCTATCTCTACTTGCAGAAAGTCTCAAGGCTGCAGAAGTCTACCCTGCGCCTTCTTGAAACATCCATTCCGGTATGTGACAGTTACATGAAGGCCACACAAGAAGTTTCTGTTTATCCCTTTTTTTAACTTGGGATTTGCTTGTTTCAGGGAGTCACTGAACCGATGCTTTACATCGGAATGCTGTTTAGTATGTTTGCCTGGCATGTTGAGGACCATTATTTGTACAGGTAAAAAGATTTAAAACGAATTTGGATCAAGTATATTGGTTATCAAGGATGGTTCTCTAATATGACATTTTTTTTTTTTTCTTACCTTACTTCTTTAAACAGCATTAACTATCAACATTGTGGAGCATCAAAAACTTGGTACGGGATTCCAGGTTCTGCAGCTCTAAAATTTGAAAAGGTGGTTCGGGAGTGTGTGTACAATGATGATATTCTGTCAACTAATGGAGAGGATGGAGCCTTTGATGTGCTTCTAGGGAAGACAACTATATTCTCACCAAAGATTCTGTTGGATCATGATGTTCCTGTGTACAAGGCTGTACAGAAACCTGGAGAGTTCGTCGTCACATTCCCCAGAGCATATCATGCTGGATTTAGCCATGGTAAAACATTTGATTCTGAATCTACAATTCTTTATCGGTCTGAGAGTTGTTATCGCATTTCATCTGAAATTGTGTTTGTAAAAACTTTGTAGGCTTTAACTGTGGTGAGGCGGTGAACTTTGCGATGGGAGACTGGTTTCCTTTTGGAGCTATTGCTAGTTGCCGGTATGCTCATCTTAATAGAGTGCCATTGCTTCCTCATGAAGAATTGATTTGTAAAGAAGCAATGCTTTTAAACTCGAGTTCCAAATCAAAGAATCTGGATTTCACGCGTACGGAACTGGCAGGACAACGAAGCATCAAGATTGCGTTTGTACACTTGATTCGTTTTCTTCATCTGGCTCAATGGTCTCTAATGAAGTCAAGATCTTGCACAGGCCTTGTTTCGAACACGTACGGAACCATCGTATGCAGTTTGTGCAAACGGGACTGCTATCTGGCGTTTATAAACTGCGATTGTTACTCGCATCCCGTCTGTCTCCGCCACGGTAAATCTATTTTCTCTGTTATCTCCATACATACATACATACATAATCCTTCATTATTGTTTAACTAACTGTTTGTGTTATAAAATCGGTGTCTAGATATGAAAAAGCTTGACCTTCCTTGCGGGACAAGTCGGACCCTTTTCTTGAGGGATAACATTGAAGACCTGGAAGCTGCTGCAATGGAGTTTGAGAAAGAAGATGGCATTTTGGATATGATTACAAGTGATGAAGATTTATACATGTATCCATCGCCAATCACACTTGCAGCTGCTAAAGAAGACGGATATTCACCATATTCTTCTATATACTTCGACTTCAGTACCGAGTTAGAGACTACATCTAATGACCACCAGTTGCAGCAATCTGGAAACCCTCTCATGAGCCATGATGCGAATGCTTCATGTATCTCCTCAGTTGCGGATGATTACGAATGCTCTGATTACGTAAGTTTTTCTTCCCAAGAACTAAATCACGCAAATCTTTCTTTTCTTAGTCTTTTTATTTATGTATCTGTTTTTTTTTTTTCTGAAAAAGCAGGTAAGTAGACGAGCTAACTGTAGCAGCAGTAGTGATTATAACAAGCTCTCAGAAGAAGTAGCAAGCAGCAGCAACAAAAAAAGTCGTTTCTTCGATGAACTAGTCACGGATCAGGAAAGTGACGGTTCTGATTCCGAGAGTTTCAGAGTCAAGCGCCGTTCTTCAATGAAATCCGAGAACCGAACAGTTGTACACGACACAAGAGACTCCGACCATCATCAGGTAACTGAAAAAATTCAAAATCTTTACAGTATGTAGTAGTATCATAAAAACCCTCTGAGATTATTTGTGTGAATAATATGTGAATAGGAACTTAAAAGATTGAAGAGATCGCAGAACTACAACGAAGGAAGATATAGTAATAGCAGTAGTTTCATTAGTAAGCAAGAGGAAGAAGAAGTGTTAGTAGTTTCAAACAGAAGAGAAACTCATCAGCATCAGCATCAGCATCAGCAGCAATGTGACGTAAAGAAGATAAAGAACGAGAATCATTTTGGTGGGTTTAAACGTCTGAAAGTGAAAGGCCTAATAAAGCCGTAACGTGACCGCTTCAGTTTCCTCCTAACTACAATTCTTTTTTAAAAAAATGGCTCTGATCATTTCTAACAATACAGGGAAAAAAAAAGGATATCAAAAGCAAAATATTCAGTATCTGATTTTATTATCATTTTTTTGTTTTTCATTATTATGGGAGAAGAAGGAGAAGCAACAGACAAAAGAAGGAAAAAGCATTAACCAGCCGACCGACCAACCAACCAACAACACTATTGGTTTCTTTTTAGGATTTACCAAATCTTTGATTCTTTGTGCACTTCTGTACACTCGCCTTTATATCTCTTCTTGTTCCTTCTCTTTTCGTCTTATCATGTAAATCTCTGGTTTAAACAAAAAAAAAAATTACTGTCGACAAAAGAAAAATTCTATCGTCTTCTTTTAAAAGTGGCTTTTGTTGATGACGATGCACAGAACCTCATTACATTGGGAAAGTGCAAAAGAGAACAATCACTTCTCAGGAAAGGCAATTCTTGGTTTCAAATTCTAACTATATGATGTTGAAATTTTCTCTCTATTAAGTTTTAATAAACAACAATTTGGTGAAGATTAAGGATATCTTGGATTATACAGTCGCAATTTATTTGCCAAATCTTGTTGTTGCGGAGGTGGACTGAGTTGCGATTCTGAATAGTCAAAAACATAACGATGATTTTTGGAGTTCCATCATAAAAAAATGTAACAACGCGAAAATTCAGATTGAAACAATACCAATAAAAAAAAAATGAAATATAGTATAGAACGAGTAAACGTTTGAAAACCTTTAAGGAAAAAAGATGAATACGTAGATGCGAGATTTGATATATTTTCTTGACTCAATAGAATAAATCTCTTACAGTGTGACAGTTTATAGAATATATAAACTTAAGATCTATGTTATAATCTCGAGGCATTTACGTTAAAGAAAAGGAGAGAAGTGGAAGATTTGTTGAAGGTTTTTTTTTTCTTTTTGAAATGATGATGAATGAGCGAGGCAAGGCTTTATTTATAGTCGAAAGGAGACTTGGTCACCAAGGAATAAGATTAACACGCATATTGAAATCGAAAAGGATATAAATATCTATTCATATATATATTCGAGTTAATCTAAGGAAAGACTCAGTCTATTTCTATAAAGATTTATCTGCCGATATTATGCAATTTCGTCTTTGAGAATTATCAACAAGAAATGTTGATAGTTGTCCCAAAAATCTTAACATTTTTACCAAAAAAAAAACTTGTCCCAAAAATAATTTTTGTGTGAGTATGACCATATTAATAGTAGTGAGAAAGTCTCTTGCTTCACGTGTGTGATAATTTAAGTGCTCATTACACTATTTACTCATTCATTTTATGAGAAATGTTTTGAAAACCAGATCAGTAACTGAATCGTAAATGTTTTGGTTGTGATTAATATGGTTCGATCGGGTTCAACAACAAGGGTTATTGATATTTTAAAAATAATACATATAGATTTATATTTTTTTCTATGAATATATTAACGATATTTAAATAGTATTTAATTTTTTGAATAGCTTTTAAATATCTAATACATTATTTCAAAATAATAATATTTGAACAATATTGAAACAACAAACTGAAAAAGTGACAATTATTGAAGAAAAAAAATGTTTAATTCGAAAATCTGGTTCAATGGATCACCGGTTTTTTTTGTTTTTTTTTGTTGGTCGAACTCAGATTTTTAACCAATATAACTATCTATGAGTTTTAGACTTTTAGTGTTAATCCAATTTGGAAATTCTTTTGGTTTATGGTTGAACCCGGTCTGACCACCGGTACAGCTTGGTTTTTAAAACACTAGGTCTAAACCCCTTTTTTCCTATTTGTTAAACTATTTATTCAGCCTAAACGGCTTATAAAAATTGGTGGCAACAAAGATGAAAACCGAAAAGAATGAAGATCATATCAATATCATATTTTGATTAGCTAAAAAGTAAAACTCAGCATTGTATAATTTCGTTTTTTCGTATTTGTTTAAGCGTTCATCATCTTGATTATGTAGGTTGTTAACTGAACATGCGAACTCTATCACGAAATCAGTTTGCAATTGCTGCTATTCAAAAATCCTTTTTCACAAGTGAGTCACCATATGAACTATTGGGCCTATGAGTAAAGGCCCAACACATCTAAGCTTAAATCCTTGTCAGGTTTCTCCATTTTCCTCTAAGCTCTGGGGTTTAACGAGGGTTACCAGTTTCCATCATTTCCCTGAAGAAGACGAAGGAGCCAAAGCTTCCATCAATCTTCGTTTAAAAATTCGTCTCTGTAAGAAACTCCTCCTCTCGATTTCCAATCACTGATTCCGTTATTTCTCTTTTAAGTTTTAGATTTTCTCAAACACTATCCTTAATTTCAATCGCACAGACTCATTTCCCATCACCAAAATGCGTCGAAGCTTCTCAATTTTAGGTCCTCGCAAATGGCGCAACCCTCACACTACCACCGTTTACTTCTCCGTCGTCACAAACCCTCTCGCTTGTAGCCCTAACGCCTCCGCAACTTTCCGATATCTATCTTACTTGGCACCTCAGCGACGACAACAATCATCCCCAGATCCAGATGATCCATCGAATCTATTGAAAGAAGATGGAGTATCGCTCTGCTCTCAGATGTGGCTTGAGAATTTCAAAGAGCCAGACAAAACCGCGACCAATCTCGCCTCATACCTCCGAAGATTCGAGCTGTGGGTATTAGCTTATCAGAAAGTCTGCTGTGACGAATTGGGTGCTTACGTGCCTCGTAGCTCGATTCAGAGATCAGCTTTAGAGAATCTGCTAGCTCTGAGAAACTCTGTTCTCGACGATCGGTTTAAATGGGGATCTCGTTTGGATTTCTACATCAAATCCCCCCGGGATAAAACGGATTACGAGTCTCTCTCTAAGAGGAAGATCAAAGCTATTCTGACCACCACGCAACCAACTCCGTTTCAGGATAGGATCGTTCAAGAAGTTCTGCTGATGATCTTGGAACCGGTTTACGAATCCCGGTTTTCGCAGAAGTCGTTCGCGTTTCGGCCCGGGAGGACCGCGCACACGGTTCTGAGAGTGATCCGGAGGAATTTCGCTGGCTACTTGTGGTATGTGAGAGGTGATTTGAGCGTGGTTTTGGATGGGATGAAAGTAGGGTTTGTGGTTAGTTCTTTGATGAGAGATGTTAGAGACAAGAAAGTGATTGACTTGATTAAATCAGCGTTGGTTACGCCGGTTGTAACGACGAGTAAAGGTGAGGATGGGGAGGAGAAGAAGAAGACGAAGAAGAGAAAGTATCAGAAGAAACGTGTTTTGGCTGAGGACGAGCCAAAGCCTGATCCTTACTGGTTAGAGACTTTCTTTGGCTTTGCTCCTGAAGAAGCTGGCAAGTCTCCACAGTGGGGGCATTGTGGGATTCTGAGTCCTCTTTTGGTTAATGTGTGTCTCGACGAGCTCGACCGTTGGATGGAGAAGAAAGTGAAAGACTTTTACCGTCCTTCGAAAACCGACGTGATATGGAACAACCCTGAAGGAGAAGCTGAGCAAGGGAACACGTCGTGGCCGGAGTTTGTTCCGACGAGCGGTCCTGACAAGACGAGGAAAATGGATTACGTTAGGTACGGTGGTCATATCTTGATCGGAGTACGTGGGCCTCGAGCTGATGCCGCGACGTTGAGGAAAGAGCTGATTGAGTTTGTTGATGAGAAGTATATGCTTAGGCTCGACAACGAGAGGCTACCGATTGAGCATATAACGAAAGGTATAATGTTTCTTGATCATGTTCTTTGCCGGAGAGTTGTGTATCCGACTTTGAGGTATACAGCGACCGGAGGGAAGATTATAAGCGAGAAGGGCGTGGGGACGCTTTTGTCGGTCACAGCGAGCTTGAAGCAATGCATCAAACAGTTCCGGAAGCTTAATTTCATCAAAGGAGATCGCGATCCGGATCCTCAGCCTTGCTTTAGGATGTTCCACGCCACTCAAGCTCATACGAACGCGCAGATGAACAAGTTCTTGACTACGGTTGCTGAGTGGTATCGGTTTGCGGATAACCGGAAAAAGATTGTGAATTTCTGCTCTTACATCGTCCGTGGCTCGCTCGCTAAGCTTTACGCTGCCAAGTATAAGCTTAGGTCGAGAGCCAAAGTGTATAAAGGCTCTGGACGTGACCTGAGGCGTCCGTTGAAGGAGAAGAAAGGTCTGTCACCGGAATACAACAATCTCTTGAGGATGGGACTTGCTGAGTCTATCGATGGGCTTGTTTACACAAGAATGTCTCTTGTCCCGGAAACCGACTACTCGCCTTTTCCGGGTAACTGGAGGCCCGAGCACGAGAAGTTCTTGATGGAGTACTTGAGGCTCGATGAGCCTAAAACGTTGGAAGAGCAAAAGAGGTTTATCAGAGAGAATGGACTCGTTTCTCCTCAGGACTACACCTCGATGTTGGTTTGGAACTATAAACGAAATGCTATTCCGATGGACCAGGTTTCGATTCTAAAGGATCAACCTTTCTTGCTGGGATCATCAAGCAACCGCGAAGATGATGATGGTCAGAGGAATAAAGAAGAAGATGAAGATAGCGACGATGGACTTAACATTGCACGCATGTAAGGTTACATAAACTTTGTCTTTTGACTATTATTATTACTCTTCTATCAAAGCTTGTATGACTTTGATATGAAAGCTTTTGAGTTAGTCTAAAGCTTATGTGATCTGTAAAATATGCAGATAACTCTTTTTTTCAAGACTTTTTAAAAGCTAAGAGACTACGAACATTGCTTCTACAGTGAGCAAGCCGATTACTCTCTTGAGGTATATTATCAATATTACACATTTTTAGTGTTTTCTCATTTCAACATGTTTGTAAAAGCTAGAGGAATTCGAATCGTCTGAATCAAAACGTCGTTTTCTGTTGCGAAAGGAGATTTCTGAAGCGTTTTTCTTTCTTTGAATCCAGTTTCGCAAGTGCTCGGTGCGTCCATCGCAGCACTCATGGCCACGGTAGCGGTTCTGTAATCACGCGATTTGACGCTCGTTGAAGCTTCGTTTAAGGAAGCGGTAGCGTCTGTATAAAGCTCGAGGCAATCGCGGAAAGGCATCTCAGCGTCTTTCGCATGTTTCTTGTCCTTGAGAATCTTGTCAACCATTCCTTTCAAGCTCGTCGCTTTCGCGGCAGCGTTCTTCGTCGATGCCATGACCAAGTCGGCGAGAGTTTTTGCGGTTTTGCTCTGCGGATTCCCTTGGAGAGACTTGACGCAGAAATCGAGTTTGAATGTCGGGTTATTCGCTGCAGCTTTCTTGCAAGAATCTTGAATGAGAGATTGTGCGGTTGCGAAAACGTTTAAGAGGAGAAAGAACATAACAAGGTAAAGCAAGAATTTCATTTTTTTCTTCTTCTTTGATTTCTTTAGGTGATGCAGAGGATTAACGAGAATAATCGAATGTCAAAGAAATTTTATTTTTAACTAACTTTGTGATCCATTTTATCTTTATTCTTAAAACGAAGAATCTCAACGATTGTTGTGTTTTATGACATGAGATTGTTAACTAACATAACGGCTTTTTTTAGAAGGCTCATGTCACGCTTTACCACTATATCTTTAATGGTTGAGTCATATGCTAATGCTTTTTTTTTTTCTTTTTCTTCTTCTTCAATTAGCCGTATACGTATGAGTATTATTAATTAGCAAAACGTTTCTTTGTCATCTCTTTGCCAATAGCGGTTTCTTTGAGATGTAGTATTCCTAAAAAAAAACAATCTAAAAATTTTCATTTCAACTCAACAAAGTTGTAAAAGCTAAAGGAATCAAAATCATTTGAAACAAAACATGGTTCTCTTTCGTAAACGGAGACACTTGAGGCGTTTTTCTTTCTTTGAATCCAGTTTCACAAGTACTCGGAGCACCCATCGCAGCACTTAAAACCACGTTAACGGTTTTGTAATCCCGTGATCTAATGATCATTAAAGCTTCGTTTAAAGAGTCTTTACTCTTTAGGCATCCGAATAAAGCTCGAGGCAATCGCGGAGCGGTTTCAAACTGTCCTTATCATATTTCTTCTCCTTCAGAATTTTGGCAGCATTATCTTTCAAGTTCGATGTTTTCAACATAGCGCTCTTCGTTGATGCCATAACCAATCCATCGAGCCTAGTCGCGGTTTTGCTCTGCGGATTCCCTTCGAGAGATTTGACGCAGAAATCGTATTTGAAATTTTGGTTTTTAACTGCAGCTTTCTTGCAAGAATCTCGAATCAAAGATTGTGCGGATTCGAAACCTTTAAGTGTAGAAAGAACATAACGAGGTGAAGCAAGAGATTCATTTTTCTCTTTCTTTTAGGAGAAGCAGTAGAATTGGTGAAAGTTTTAATCCATTTATAGCTAATATTAAACAAAGAATGTTACGGTTATTTTATGACACGAGACTGTTATCTAACATTACGGTGCTCATGTCACGCTTTACCACACCACTTACGTCGTGTGGCCTAATTATTCGTTTAAAAACTTTTTTAGAAGTAGTCGTTTCTGGTTTTCATTATTATTATTGTTGATAGATTTCAGTGTAAAAATAAGAAAATTATGCTACATGTTATGGATAGTATCCTCAATAGAATTCAATCTTTCATAGTAAAGAAAACAACTCTACAAGGATGTATTGGACAAGGGATTTTAGATGATTTAGCTCTCAACAAAAGGGACAAGAAGGAAATGAATGAATATAAATAAAATATAGTGAACTTTTATTCCTTTTATTTTATGAAGAATATTTTTATACTAAAATTTCTTAATCAATAAGAAATGAAAAATAATAAGATAGAATAAACATTACTTATAAATCATGTAATCCTTCCGGAATAAGAAGAATCTACCACTTAAAATATTTTCAATAATACTGAATTTAAAAATCACAAATTCAATAATAGTGGATTTTTAAACCACTATTTCTAAAAAATCATATTTAAATAACAGAGCATTTGCCAATTTAATACAAATCACTTCAAATAATCTAAAACCTCAATTTTGTTTTTGGATATATTACAAAATTAATGTTTATTAGTCTAGCTACGAGCTTTTATCAAGAGGACCAACGTCGTCTTACCGGTCCTGAGTTTTGAACTATGTTGCATGGAAATGGAAACGGAAACCCGGAAGCGAAACGTTTCCGAAATGGGAAACGTGTATTTTCAAATATATAAGTTTGGAAACATTTTGGAAACGTGTATAAATATAAATAAATAATATATATATATATATATTAGATATTAAATAGTTAAACTAAAGATAAATATTATAATGTCTCATGTCAAAATTAAAAATATTTTCTATTATTTTTATTATTATGCATTTCATGAATCAAACTATCTTCAACTATTTTCATCAAGAGGAAGATTTTAAATAATCAAACTCAATATTTAATGATAAGACTAGTTTTCATCTAATGTATCAAATTAATTAATTAATTATCTTAGACAATTAAAACAATCCATTAATAATACTAGGGAATGAAGCCCCACGCAAGCGCGGGGTTACTGCAAAAACAATTGTGTTTTTTTTTTTTTTTTTTTTTTTTTTTTTTTTTTTTATTTGTTGATTTAAATTATGATGATTTTATATTAACTTTTGGTGCCTATATTTTGAATGTTCAATATGACTTTCTCAGTTAAAATGTTAATTCTTTACTTCATCTCTAGTTTTTTTTCTAAAAATTTAACATTTTAAATATTTCACCTATTCAATTTCGTTCGATTATAAATTAGTATTGAACTCGAAGAAAGAAGTTTAAAACACAGTGTAGAATAACAGTTTGACTCGAAATATAGTAAAATACATTATTGCTTTTTTTGTGGATTAGCGTTTGAGTACGATGATAATTTATTCTTATATACAATTTTAAAATTGTAGATTTAATTTATATTTTTAAAACAAACATGTCATAATCCTTAAAATTTACAGTCTTGCTTCTAATTTCTCATTAGCTTTCTACTATGTTATCTAAATGATATTCTATATTTTACAACTCTTAAACACATTATAATGTTTTTTAAACACATTATAATGTCTTACAAAAAGATAAATCCTTTATATAAATTTTGATTAATAAGGTAATTATATACTATTTAGAGTAAAATATATCATTTTTCTTACTCTAATTTATACTATAATTCCATTAAATTTTGATACTAACTTATCACATACTTTATATTTCTCAAATAATTTGTGTGTATTTTTATTAATTTATTTAATATATTTCTTTGTAATATATGTAGAGAAATATGAATAGCCATGTAGTAAATACCTTAAATACAATTTAATGAATTTTTTTGCTGATGTGGATAGACTAGATGGAGAGAACACTCTCCTATTATATATAAGATTATTTTTATGTAATTATATAATTATTGTATTTTCAAAAAACAAGGAGTTAATTTTCCTCAATTAGGGAAACACAAGTTTCCAAAATGGAAACGCGAATTTCCAAATTGCAAATTTTAGGAAACATGGAAAAACGAGTTTCCGACAAGTTTCCGAGAGTTTCTGTTTTGAAAACGTTTCCGAAACGGGAAACACGATTTGGACGGAATTTCCATGCAACGTAGGTTTTGAATGGCCACAAGGAAAAATATGGTTAATTTTATCTATTTTTAAATACTAAAAGAAAAATATCATTTTGTATATTAGTATATTGGAATCCGGGATATTCATGTACTTGTTTTGCTTGGACTCATGGCCATAACATAATTTATAAATACATGGACTTACTTTGTTTAGACTCAGGGTACATTCATAAACAAACATCGAAGATCATAAAAACCATGAGCAACATGGCGGAGCTTACACAACTCCTTCCAGGTCCAACTATCTTTGTCGTTGGGGCTAAGGTCCTGTATAACACACTTTACTCACTATTCAGTAATGTTCATTATACATTAGAGTATCAGCGCTACGCACAAAATTATGTTCTATAAATTTTATACATTTTAACTATTGCAAAGTTGGTTATGCTTGCATTGAACAATTCTTCAGTTATTAGGGTGTAACTTTTCTTTTTTTAGGTTCGCTATTAAAACTCACCTCATGGTCTTTATTATTTTTCATAATTAATTTTGTAGTTCCCCAATTTTTTTTGTAATAAATATTTCAAATCTATTTACTAAAACTACTTTAATTTTTTACTAAAACGACTTTAAGTTTAACCAAAATTGAAAAACTTTTTTTATTACTTTGGACTTGTGAAATGTCTAATTTAAAAGCGGTTATATTTTAATATTTATCATATATATTAGAGATTAAAAACTTTACTAATATTAATATTAAGTTAGTTTTTTGTTGATATTAGAAAATAAATTTTTATTTATTTTATAAACTCTTTAATACGAAAAATATATAAGTCTTTGAATTAGGAAACATTCTTGAAATACTAGGTATTTTCCCGATCTGTATTAATAATTTGATTTAAACTTTTTTTATTCATAATCTTTTGTCTAGTATGGTCATGGTTATCGTAGTGAATCGATGTGCACATTTTGTTTTTGTTGGAATTAGAAAAATATAATTTCTTTAACTTTTAAAGTATTTAATTAATATTTGTTTCTGAAATAAAAAAAATAATTAATTAATTTTAATGATGATGTACAGTTATACTATTTGTTGTTTTAAATCCTATATACTTAATTTCATATCTCTTATATATTTTAAAATTGGAAATTCTTCTTACATATTTAAAAATTGGAAACTTTCTTATACTATAACACAGTTTTCTTTTTTTTCTTTTAATTAGAAAATATAATTTCTTAATTATTTAAAGTATTTAATTATAATTGTTTTCTGAAATATAAAAACTTAAACAGTTAATTAATTTTAGTGATGACGTGGAATGATACTATTTGTTACTTAATTTTCTTATCTCTTACATATTTGAAATTTGAAATTTCTCTTACATATTTAAAAAATAGAAATTTTCTTAATCATGTAAATGTAAATGCTTACATGGACCAACTAAATTTTTTTTAATCCCTATGTATATACAACATTGGCAAAATACACAAGAATGAGGAAAACTTTGTCCCAATATACATTTTTGTGAGATTTTGACAGATTTTTGTCCGAGTACACATTTTCTAAACTTATAATCCTAATTTACCCTTAAAATTGATTAAAGGTATTAACTATTTAATTGGGATATTTTTAATTAAACATAAAAGAAAACAAATTTCTTTCTTCCCCGACATTTCTTTTCTTCTGCGATATTCTTCTTCTCCGCCGTTGCCGTCTCTTCCGTCACATAATCCTTCGGCGCCTCTTCCGTCACATAATCCTCCGTCGTTGCCGTCTTGCACAACGATCAAACTACCTGGTAGATAACTAAGCTCTATCTTAACCCCGGTTTCGATTGAAAAGTCCTCTAAAACCATCATCCTCAACTCTTCAAACGTGGTGCTAGATTCCAGAATTACTAATCTACCTCCTTTTGCCTTATCAGTAACAAAATTCCCACAAGAATTTCATACACCACAAGTAGCATAGTATGCAACATAGTAAGTAAGAAGAAAAAGAGAAGAAGAAGAAGATGGAGATGACGAGTAAGAAGATGAAGAAGATGGAGATGATGAGTAAGAAGATGGGAATCGAGACTCACGTTGTGTGAGAAGTTGGGAGGAGAAGAAAAAGGAAACAAATATTCAAAAAAATACTCTAAGATTTCCGGTAGAAGATGATTTCTTCATGTGGTAGAAGACGGTTTTGTAGCAGAACACAAGCTCTACACATGTGGTAGAAAAGTGATTTTTAGTAGAAATCGAACTCCACAAATGGTAAGATATAATGTATGTCGTAGAACACAAAACCTACATTGGAGTAGAACACTGCGTTTCTCGTAGACAACAAATTCTAGAACATGTAGAGGATTGTGTCTTCAGTAGAACATAATTCACAAAATCGCATAACATAGAGTAATGGGTAGAAGTAATATTCTACTAATAGTAGATGTATATATAAATTATAGAAGTCGTGTTCTACTGTAAGAAGATGTGTGTATAAATGGCAGACATCGAATTCTAGCGGTAGTAGATGTAATAAAAATGAGTAGAGTATGTAATCTACTTTGAATTTCAGAGCTGGTAGAAGAAAACTTCAATATATTTTTAAAATATCAGATTTTTAAAAACAAATTGTGAAAATATTCTAAAAAGTCTTAAGATCATTTATATGAATTTTAGAAATATTTTTGGTTTCTGAAAGATACTATTTCATATTTTAAAATATATTAAGGGTATTAAAGGCAAAGTAGGTAAAAGTATGAAAATGTGTATATGGACAAACCCTCATTTTTTTCTGTGTATAATCACAATTCCCCATGTATAGGAGAGGGTCAATCGTTATTAGTAAAAGATAGATAGATAGATTACTGTTTGATTGAATTTCTACCAAATCAATTTGATTTCGATTGAGATATAATATAGAATTGTACTTTTGTTCGTTAGATATCATGACTGTTTCTTTTGTAATGAGGCATCGAAAGTGTGACTAAATGATTTCTAAATTATTTTATAATAAACTATATATACATATATTTTTATATCTATCTATGTAACATAATGTGTTAATTCAATCGGATGTGAATTTATCTATATAAACTGTAAATGTCATTTGATCGCCAGATGGTCCACATTCGAACTACACATCCTTGACACACAAAAGAAGCTTCTTAATGAAAAAATATATTTTCTAACTTTTAATATAACTCACGCAACACCCTATTGTTTAGCCTTTAGGCGCTATTGTCTATGGGTTATGGTATTTATCATGTGAGGAATGTCGATCATGTCCTCTAGAACATAGTTCTCCTTCTTCACCGGAGATATCTGTTGATTGTCGCCGTTGAATTCCAACTCGCAAAGTGTCGGTCCAGTTCTCTTATCAAGAAAACCTTCTCTAGCCTTTTGGAATTTCCTCGCTTTGAGGTACTTCAAAGAAGTGGTTAACGATTGAAAGCCCTCGGAGTAAAGCTTAAGGCAATCTTCCAACAATTTTTTACTCAAACTACTCTTATATTTCCTCTCCTTTAGAATCTTCTCCACCATTCCTTTCACGTTCGTTAGGTTTTTAATGCGTTATTCGTTCCTACCAAGATCAGATCATCGACATTTCTCACTTTCTGGCTCTCCGGATTCTCCTTGAGAGATGCGACACAGAAGCTATAGTAGTTTGGATTGCCTGTCGCACCTGGATAATCTGAAATTTCCTTGCAAGATTTTTGAATCAGAGAATCTGCCACATTGTTGGCCGTGGAACCATTGAAGAGAAGAACGAGCATAAATAGGTAGATCCACAACTTCATTATATTTTCTTTCTTTGTTTGAAGAACTATGGTAACTTGTGATCCAATTTATAAGCAAGCAAGAATCTTCTCACATGAGAGTATGATTCAAACACATGCTTTTTTTAGATGGCTCATGTCACGCGTTGCCACTCCGCTTGCTTCGTTGCCTTTTTTGATGGGTCGATCTTCGTTTACCTTTAGCAAAACACTCTTTATTTTTTTTGGAGGTGCTATACGTCTTTTTTTCTATCTTCTTCTCCTGTGAAGTTTTCATGAACAGTTGACCTATACGTCTAAATAAAAAATATAAATATAATCTTATTAGTTTGTGTAAATTGTGTATGTGTTGATGCTTATTTTCTCACAGCCAAACTGTTCAAAATTAGATTCAATGTGTAGAGTATTTTATGAGAATGTGTCGGATGTGATGTGGCTAGCATGCAAGAGCAAGTGTGACATTTTTCATCCAGATGATTAGGTTCAAAACAAGCTATATGACTTGTTTTTATTCTTAATCTCAGCTAAAAGGTGGATGAAGATAGATACAATCTTTCTCTTTCTCAGCTTCTCAACACCATTTTTCTGCATATCAAACAAATGGGGAATTCAAATTAGCTTTTACTCTAAGATTAATCAAAGATCCTCGGAATCTGATCACTTTCTTCTCATTGTCAGGCTCAGCGACGAAGAACATGATGGAAGTGTGCTATACGTTTCGATGGTATCTCTAATTTTTTTAAATAAATGCAAACTGAATAAATGTCTTTTTATGGTTGTATCTTTTTTTATTTGCAGTTGCAGTCTCTTAGGTTTTTTTTTATTAAGTTTCGTTTTCATGAAAGCTCGAAGAGAATTTTTTTGTATGAACACCGCGAAGTTCATCTTTTGGATGAACAATCTAAGAGTAGAGTTTGAAGTTGACTTTGTTTGTAACATTTATGCTTTATTTATTTGTTTGCTCTCTTATATTTCAAGTTGAATTTTGTGTTTTTTTCATCGTTCCATGTTAATTATATGGATTAACCATTTAATATCATTCTATAATTTTTTTTCATTGGGAGTGAGTATGCTGATAACCTTTTTTCTAGAATTAAGCTGGATTCTTTGGTTGAAAATTTTCACAACTATTTCATCTAAAACCAAACATGCATCAAATAAGTTTTAAGGTTTAACTAATTTTGTTTGAATATTTCATATCGAAATTGAGATGAGATTTAATACCCAAACTGAACTGAATTTGGTTTAATTGATCTCACTCGATCTAAAATAATATAATTATTGTCAATTGGTGTTGAATTAAAAATCTATAAATCTTAACTGTTGTTGTTTCACTAGGACTTTCACCCGCGCACGCGCGGGTCTGTATCTTAAATCAGTTTAAAATATATTTAATTTTTTTTTTAAACTGCAAAAATCAACAATTAAAATTTATCAATATTTCAATACCAAAACTCTCTGGAAAACAAAAGTTTTTAGATATATCAATATCGTATTGAGATCAAATCTTGACATACAAAAATATTGTTTAGATCATATCCCGGTAACAAAAATGTTTGTGTATGTCTAATGACCAAAACTTACTTGAAGATATTCAAATCATTATAATAGGACAAACTTACTTTATCACTAAACTTATTTGTAAAATGTAATGTTAATTTATGAACTATTGTGACGTGTTAGTCATTTTCTAAACAGAAATATATTTTTAAATATATTTAGTGAAATTCTTAAAATTAGATGTCAATAATATTTGTATATAACATGATGTTTATTTAAAATAACTTCAGTTGGTTATGTTAGAACTTAAAATGCTATAAATAACAATATTTGTATGTAATAAATTTAAGCTAGATGATAAACTAATATTTTGGTAAGTTTTCAATGGTTATAAAACCTAAAACCTAAATGAAGAGAAGCTAGTCGACACACATAATTGTTCTTCATTTTCTTCTTCGTTGTTGTTTTAAAGTTTTTTTTTAATTTTCTTTGATTCATTCTTTTTCAGTATCTTATGTTTTGTTTTCTTCTTTGTCTTTGGTCTTATTTGATTTCTTCTTCATTTTCACTCATCTTCGCGTTTGCTCTTCTTCGTCTTTGCTCTCTTTTTTTTTCTTTTTTTTTGTTTTGTTTTGATTTGGTTTCTTCTCCTTTGTTCTTATTTTATTTCCTCTTTAGATTGGTCTTCGCAAGTTTTTTTGTTGTTGTTAGGTTTCTTCTCCTTCGTTCTTGTTCGAATTCCTCTTCAAATTGTTCTTCACAAGTTTTTAATATGGTTTTTCCTTATTCATCTTTGTCTTCTTTTGTCTCTATTTTGTATTCGCAATTCAATATCTTTGTTTTCGCTATTCTTCGGTTTTATCTTGGTACTCTTCTTTTTTGTGTCTACTTTTTTCTTCATTTTGTTTTCTCTTATTTCTGTAGGTTATTCTCGACCCTTAAAATTCTGCATGGTTCCATTCCTCTTGTAAAATTCTGCATGGCTCTATTCCTCTTAAATTTAGAATAAATTATAATTAAATAAAACACAATTTCGTTACCTGAAAAACTGAAAATAAAATCAAGCTAGAATGACTTATTGAACAAAATATATTCAAAACAGGCCCTTTGAATGTCATATGTAAATACTAAAATGAGAAGGAATTTATCTTATTCTGTTTTTAATAAATTTACTTTTGTTTATATTCCTTCTCTTTCAAGTGACATCTTTTAAAAGTACTACTTATAAACACATGAATATGTAAATATTACAAAACATTGAAAAACGAAGAAAAGAAAAATAGAAAAGGAACAAAATACAGCCTTCTATTGTGTTTGCCTTTTCCTTTCAATTTGTGTCATGTAATCACTATTCTGATTTTTTTTGTTTCTTCATAATCAATATTATTTTCCCCATCGAAAGCTTACTAATTTAGGAGCAACAATTCACTTTTGATTTAATCTACACTTTGGTAATTTCGATTCCTTGTTCTCTTCATAGTCCTTTGATTATTTTGTGGTAATGTAACTTATTTATTAATTAATTGGATGTGCTTCCATTATCAAAATACAAAGAAAATCAATTGAACACCATAGACCAGATAATATTCGAAATAAAGCAAGCGAATTTATTTATTTCACAGAAGGACATGTATACCTTCAGTGTGATGCCCATTGTCTTCGTTTCAATCATTCCTTTGCTTCATGATTTTTCATTAATTCACTACATATCCTTTAGAAGAATTGATCGATCTATGTGAACTTTCAATATGTGATGTCAAAGTATCTTGTCTTCAATATATATCCCTCCATCTTGCTTCCAGGTGGTTTCTCGATGTTGGATTTGTTTGATCTTATATCAAGCTCTGACGTGAACATATGTTTATTCATGTAAGCTACATTTGATCAAAATCGAGTTAATACAATTGTAGCTTTAGATGTTGATATATAATGATATTGTTGGTATAATTTTCTTATTTATTACATATCTCTACTAATATTACACTTATAAATTCTGGAAACTTTCCTATTGCTTAACTTTGAATTATGAAACTTTCTTAAAATATAAAAATATAAAAAGGAATTTAACTAATTGAACAAATAGCTAATTTTATGTGATGATGTGGATTGATACTATTGGTTGTTTAAAATTCGGAAACTTTCTTAATCTAGGAAATACTTATGTGGACCAATCAAATCGCGTTTTATAATCCTATGTGGACGCTCTCAGAGGCTTATAGCCTCAACTTTTATATAGTATAGATTATAGTATAGACTATAGTATAACTTTTTCCAGCTATTCTATTATTTAAGCCACTTTAAAAATCCACAAAAAATGCATCAATCTATTTTAGGATATGATATTTAAGCCACTATGTTAATAAAGCGATATCCAGTTTAAATCCAACCAAAGCAATCATAAACTAAAGAAAGATCGGTAGTAGACCGGACCGGGACAAGTAGTGACTAAACCGGTCTTTTGGACTTTTAATAAGCGGAAATTGGAACTTTCAACTGAGACAGTGGAAGAGTCATTCATTTCCTTCTCAAAACTCATCAAAAATGGCGGAAAATGTTGGAGACAACGAGAGCGAAATCGGCAGTGTCACTTCATCTCAGAAATCATTCCTAAACAAGTGCCCCTTCGCCGACCCTGAGTCTGTTCGTCAAGCTCTTCCGACGAAATCTTCCGATGGAGTGGTAGATACGGAGTCGGACAGAACTGAGATTCTCGAGAATCCGATTTCGCCGCCGATTAACCGTACCCCGATTCTCTCGTTTTCTTCTCCGACGAGCCTCGATTCCATCAACGATGATGACGTCTTCCGTACTCCTCCCGAGAACGCATCTCTCGATTCGGAGTCCATACTTAGGTTTCCGGAGATGAAACCTGATTCGAACTCGAAATCTCCGTCGACGAAGACGATGTCTCTTTCTTCTTCTTCTTCACCTTCTCTTCCGGCGGAAATTGTTAGGGTTTTGGAGACGAATCGTCTTTCTGGTAATGTCAGGGATATCGATTCTCCTTCTCCCTCTTCTGTCGCGGCCGGTGATGTTAGGGTTCCGGGAAAGCATTCCGATGTCGATTCTCAGTCTCTTACCGCAATCGGAGAAACTAGGGTTTTGGGAAAACGGCCAATTTCTGATTTTGAGGGTAATACCGGAGTTGCTAAATCTCCTTCTCCGGCTTCATCTTCTGGAATCAAGCTCACCGAAACGGATATTCCTGAAACTCCGATTCCGTTCAAAGAAATCTTCGAAGCTCTTCTTCGTAACAGCGGAGAGAAACTCACTGAAAGAGATGAAAAAGTCAGCTGCGTTGACATTCTCAAACAGTGTGGCCTCAAATTCCCTAAATGATCTTCAAAACCAGTCAATGGAGTACTGATTCTACTAAGTGTTATTGCTTTTGTTTCTTGTTGTTGTTTTTAGATACGCATTCAGATTTTGTTGCTGTGAATGCGTCGGAGAAAGTTGGAAGCTTTCCGGTTGGATTTGCTTCCAACTAAAAGTAATGTTATGTTTTTGGAAGGACAAAAAAAAAATGAAATCTTGTTTCGCCATTGTCTTGTTTGTGATTGCTTTCACATTGCCAAAATGACTCCTTTTGTTTTGTTGTGTGTTGCAAACTTTTCCCTGAATCTCAAGCACCGATTGTGCTTCGTTTAGTTAATTCTTGGCTCATCGTCGTCTTGTTGTTTCTCCAGATCTGGATATGTCTCCAAGTTGCAATGCCCTCCTCCTTTGACCCATAATGGATCATACTTGTCTTTTGCAAGCTCATACAATCTCATCTTCTGCTCCCTGCATTTTTCATTAACCAAGTTTCATGGTCTGATTCTCAATTCCACACACTCTCTACACTGTGATAAAACGTTGATGTTCTGCAAAAAACCCACCAAGAAAGAGTTTATGAAACAGAGAACCAAAAGTAAACCAGAGAAAGAGAGATCGAGATCATACTTTGTATTATATATCAAACTAGAATGTAATTTTCACAGGATACAAGAAGAGAATTGTACTCTAAAGAACAGTACCTCTTAGAGCATGTTTATTGGTCCTTCTCAGCAGGCCTCTTAGAGCAACAAAGACATTTAAAAAAAAAAAAAAAAACTAGATTATAAGGGACTAGATTAGGCTCCCACGGGTTTATTTTAAAAATGTTTTAAAAAACTATGAAAAAATATTAAGCAAAATTTGATCACTTTTAAAAATAAGTAAAATAATATTAAAAACCCGATAACAAATCTCTAAATAAAATAAGATATGTAATCTTTTTACATTTTTATTTTGAATTCATAATATAAAATAGAAAGACTTATATGTGTCTAAGTCTAATCGACTCATTAATTTATGAAAGTTTGATTATTCCACTCGTGAAATATTTATATTAAATATTGATGAATATTTATTTTAATATTTTTTTATCTAACAAAAAATGAAAAATTAAATTATTTAATATTACAAGATCGATTTATTATAATTTTTTTTTAATATTATTTAGTTCCTTGATAATTATTTTGTTAGTTTCTATTTATATTGTTTTTTTTTCAAATTGTTTTTGCCTTTAATCATTATAAATTTTCATTTTTCATTATTAGTTAGTTATTTTACAATTACTTTATTAGTTTATTTATTTATGTTATTCTATTTTTCTAATTTTCTTTTGTTGATATATGTCATTACCTGATCAAATATTAAACACATATAGCGATTTAGAGTTAAATATTCTTTATGGATATTTTGAACTTTTGAAGACATGATTTTTAAGCGACGTATATACATGTCATGTGACTGGGCCAAATTGATGAGAAGAAAAAATGTTTTTTCTTTTCTCTCTCTCTCTCCGTGGATTGCCATTGAATCGATTTTAGATGAGAACGAAATCTCAGTTCTCACATCTCGTTGTTCACCTCAGAGTATTATTAGACATGTGATAATACGGCGCTTTAGGGTTTTGCGAGTCGCTTTGATTGTTCTGTGATTTTTTTTGGCTTTGATTTGTTTCTTATAATTCGTCTATGCAAAAACTATTCTGATTAAGACGACCCAGATTAAGGATAGAGAAAACGGATGCTCAATCAAGCCAACAAAAACGTGAACTTGAAACCTCACTTCACAGGATTTCTGAATTAGAAGAAAAAGTAGAGATGGTAGAGGTAGAGAAATTGCAGTTGGAAATGGCTTTGAATGGATCCAGAGAGACAGACAATTGAGGCATTGCAGAGTCGATTTATGGAGACAGAGGAGAAGTTATCTGAGTTATAGAAACGGTAACCAAAAGCTAAAGATATAGAGTTGTCATTGGGTGGATTAGGAAATCAAATTCTGTCACGATCTTCAAAGACAACTAAACAAAGCACAATTGAATCTGTCAGAGCTATAGACTATAAGAGGAGAGAAGCTGGAACTTGATATACCTCTAATTTACCCACTTTTTATACTGTTTTAGCATTGTTTTCTAATGGTTTTTGGCAGGTTTTCTATCTAAAAAGGTAGTTTTACTGTGTTTATAGTGTCTAGAGTCTAAACAGGTGAAATGATGCATTTTGGAGCAAAACCATAGGATTTGCACTTCAAGCAGCTCCATGCACAAGCACCAACTTTAAGAGGGCCCAGAAAAAGATCTACTCAATGGATTTCATCAAGACCAGTTCCCTGCGTGCTCTGATTGAGTTAACTTTCCAACGCAATTGGAATGGCCTCATTTGGATGAGTAGAAAAGGAGTTATAACCAAAAGAGTGAAGACTGTCCAGACGGCTCTATCGAGAACAGCGCCCAACCGCGCAGTCCGGCTGGCCGAGGAACGAATGTTCCGCGCTCGGCCAAATCACATCCGTCCGACTGAAGTCTCGGCCAAAGTCCAAACCGACCGGCCGATCACGCACACGACCCGGGAAACATTGTCCCGCGGTCGGCCAAGCCAACGCTCACGCCACCCGCGCACGACCAAAGCGCGCGAGCCGGGAAACAAGCCTCGCGGCCGCGCAACCCGTTCCGCGTACCACGGCCGATGCATCCGTCCGAGCCGGGAAAGAACGTCCCACGTCCGGCCGAGAATTTCATCGGCCAAATCTCAATCCGCTCGACCACGCCGGCCGACCGCGAATCCGTCCGACCCCGACCGTTCCGACTCGGCCACGACCCGATTGTCCGGCCGATCGTCCCGCACGACCGTCCCAACGCCGCGGTCGACCCGAAGCCCTTTTTGAAGCCCAAACTTATGTTTTCAAGCCCGGCTTAACCCTAGCCGCCTCTAGAAAGACCTAGCACTATATATATGGATTTTTAGCCTCTTGAGAAAGAGAGCCGCCCTGTATTTCGATTTCCTACTCTAAGTTTTATTGCAATCATGTTTTCTTCATCTCTATGTGTGTTTGCTTTGATCATGTCTGAGTAATCCACTAGTTAGGTTGCTAGGGTTACTATTCAATGAGTTGCTTGCATGATCTTTGATTTCAATGATTAGCTAGGGATTATATTAGAGTCTTTGTCTCGTCTTGTGCACTTAACTAATGCTGATTGCTTTACCGCGCATCTAGTAATCCGATCTTAGGTTGATTTGAGCCTCGACAGTGCTGTATCATTCGCCGGACATATTCTTTGACAAGCTAGGTTTCTTAGACTGCGAAAGTTGATCTATCTATATCTAGTGAACTGTATCAGAACCTATTCATTCTAATGCTTGATCTAATCACCTAGGGACATACCAAAAGTTTAGCGACTAGGTAGATTAGCAAAGGAGCCGGAGCCTCGAAAGTGGAATGGTTTTATATTCGTGATCTGTGTTCTAGATGGTTCTTAATATCCCAATATCCCTAATCAATTAATCTATCATTGTTTCATTGATCATTGCTTGCTTCTCTGCGATAGCCCCTATGACCTAGCGCTTTTCCTTTATTGCTTACAACCTCGTTATACTTGCTAGTTCGGTTCACCATTACAACCTCAATCATACTTTTGTTTTAGCTTGATCCAAAATCCATAGTTACAAAGTGTACTCAATAGCCAGTCCTTGTGTTCGATACCCATACTTCCGCGATCTGTGCACTTGCAGAGGTCTAGGAGTTTGGTAAAACCTGACTCCGCATCAAGTTTTTGGCGCCGTTGCCGGGGACTGCAGCAGTACCTTTGGAACTCGACTAGGATCTAGTCTAGAACCTTTTCCTGTTTTGCTTTTCTTTTGCTTTTGAATTTTTAGTTTTTGATTTCCTTTTCTTTGATTTTTACTTTTGTTTTTGTTTTTCCCTTTTGATTTAACTTGTTTCCAAGACTCTTTTCAGGTGCATGACTAGGAGGTCCAACAAGGACAACCTAGTTGAACATCCAGAGATAGACAAGCTTGAGAAGCAACTTAGGAAGCAGAAAGCCCAAGAGATGGCCGACGAAGCAGCTCGCGCTCACGCCGCTGAAGTGGCGCGCGCTCAAGAAGAAGGAAGAGATCCACCTCCTCCTCCTCCTAATCCACTGCTGGAGATGTGAATGCACAACCCCAAGCTGGAGCACCTACAATCGGAGACTATGACTCTGCCGATGCTTTCTTCATGGATAGAAACCCTATCCATCCACCACCCTGCAAGGAATGACTATGAGATCAAGCCTCAGATCATTGCATTGGTTAGACAGAACCAATTCAATGGACTTCCAGCTGAGCACCCTCTTGATCACATAGAAAACTTTGAAGAAATTTGCAGCACTACAAGATCCAATGGAGTCTCTGCTGACTACCTTAAGTGCAAGCTCTTTTCATTCTCTCTTGGCGACAAAGCTTCAAGATGGTTGAAGTCTCTGCCAGCTCACTCCATCACCACTTGGGATGAGTACAAGGCTGCATTCATCAACCACTTCTACACCAAACAGAGATCAATTTCTGTGAGAAACAAGATCTCCACTTTCGCCAAGGCAACAATGAGTCTTTCTATGAGGCGCTAGATCGATTCAAGGAGTACATTAGGGACTGCCCTAATCATGGTTTCAATGAGGGAAACCTATGGAACATCTTCTATCGTGGCATAGACCACAAGTACAAGCTTTCATTGGACACTGCAAGCAATGGAAACTTCATGACCAAGACTGTTGATGAAGCTAAGGTTCTTATTGAGAATCTTGCAGCTAGTGATTGTAACAACTGTCCTGATTATGACCGCTCAAGCCGCACCACTACTAGCTCCCCTGATTCTTTTCAAATGACTGAACTCAAGAACATGATGGCTCAAGTTCTTAAGGGACAGCTCAAGCATATCAATGCAATAGAAGGGATGAGTGATGCTAATGAAGATTCATCAAGAGAATGCATGGGAGATTTCTCTAATGAAGCCAATGAAGAAGATGTGAACTACATTGGAAACTATGGGAACAAGGGATACAATCCAAGCTATCGCCCAAACCCCAACATGTCTTATAGAAACCCCAATGTGGAGAATCCTCAAGACCAAGTGTATCCTCCAAGGTATCCACAACAACAAAGACCTCCTTACCAATCTCAAGGAAGTCAATTTCAGCCAAGGCAAGGATATGAGCAGAGATCATCATATCCGCCCAAGGAGCCATATGCTTCTTCACCAAATCAAGCTCCTCCAAACCAACAAGGTGGGAGATTTGAAGGAATCCTCCAACAGATCATGGATGGCCAGAAGAGAAACACTAAAGAGATGTATGAGAAGATGGACACTTTGTTCAGCAATCTCAACACCAAGTATGATGCTGTTGCCACTCATGTGAAGAAACTAGAGACTCAAGTCACTCAAACTATGGAAGCTGTTAAGAGACAGGAAGCTGAATCCAAGAAGTCCTTTTGCAACTCAGCCGCCATAGAAGAAAGATTTGAAGACCAAGTTCCAGAATGGATGCTTTCAAAACCTACTGTTGATTGCATGATTTGGCCTGAAGAGAATTACCCAGAGAGAGAGTCCAATCGAGCTAGAAAGAGAAGACTCTTCCCAAAGATTATCCCCAAGACAGATAACTCAGGAAAGTTTGTGTGCCTTGTATCATCAAAGGTAACATTCTTGAGCAATCTTTGTGTGACACAGGAGCCAATGTGAACATCATGTCTAAGAGGATAGCTGACAAGATAGGCCTCACCAAGATAGAGCCATCATCCATCTCCATCAACTATGCTGATTCATTCTCACAAACACCCTATGGCTTTGTGCCTAATGTGATGGTGCAGATTGGAAATTGCTCTATCCCTACTGATTTCCAGATTGTGGAAATGAGAGAGAGTAGCCATAGACCTCTCATATTTGGAACCCCTTTCCTGTCTACTGTGGGTGCCATATTTGATTTCCCCAATCAAAGAATCTCTTTCAACAAGGTGAACAAGGGTATGTTCTTCCCTATGTGTTCAACAAAGAACTCTTTTGTTGACATGGTCCAAGAGGAGAAAGCTACTTTGAAGCCACCCCAAGAAGGAGAAACTGAAGAAACAATCAAGGAAGATCCCATTCCTAAGCCCAAGCAGCTTGCCAAACAAGCAAGGAGTAAGACTAAGGCCCCTACACCAAAACCGCCCAAGGGATCAACCAAGATTGAAGATGAGGCCAAGCCAAGAAGGAAGGTTAGAAAACCTAGGTCTGGCCGCAACATGAAGCTTCTATTCCCAGAGGAGCTTATTGATGAGAATCTAGAAGGATTCAAGGAGAGAGTGACAAGAACTCTAAAGCTTTTTCCTAAGGCAGTAGTGCCAAGGGACATTCATGGAGAGATTGTCTATCCAGCTGTGAATCACCCACCAGATACTCATTGCAAGGAGAAAAGACTTGGAGGATCAAGATGCCTCTTGTCTCCATCTTCTCCTGAGCGCCAAGCCTTACAGTCAAGCTAAAGACTTAAAACAAGCGCTGCATGGGAGGCAACCCATGAGGTACTTTTACTTTTCTTTCTTTAATTTTCTTAGTTTTTGTTTTGCTTTTGTGTTTTCTTTGTTTTAAGATAGGATAGAAGGAGAAAAAGGTGTGAAAACACAATCCGCGCCAAAACATTGGCCGCGGACGCGCAAAAGAATTTTGGCCGAGCAATTCTCATCTGGCCGACCGTTACGGTCGAGCCGGGAAGGAATAGCTCGTGCTCGGCCGGATTCATCTATTGCGCGACAGAAACCGTTCGCGCGACACGCACGAACCGGGAAAGAAGGCCGCGATCGGCCGAAATTTTGTATCGGAACGGACCGACCGTGCCGGTCGATCCGGGAAACAACGCTCGGCCTCGGCCGAAATTCTCTCGGCCAAAACAATTTGGCCGACCAAATCGCTCGACCGCGACAAAATCCATCGGCCATCGGCCCAAAACTTTTCTAGGCCAAGGTAAGTCCCCTTTTCATTAATTCAAACCGGTTTTAACCAATCTAAACCAACTTAAACCGGTTTTCAATCAAAATTCGAATTTGAAAAGGAAAATTGATAGGATTTAGATCTTATTTACTTCACCTTTCCCTTGAAAACCACAAGAACCTCTCTTTCTTCTCCAAAACCCTAAACTCCATTAGAGGAACTCTAAGAGTTTTGATTTCAAAACTTTTACTGTTCATAACTCTAAATTGGAATTTACTTGCTCTTGCAACCTTATTCACTTTTCAACACACAAGGTATGTCTTCTAACTCTAATCCTATGTTTATGCAAGATCGAAAATCTCAATAAGTTTCATGTTTGGTCTAAACTCTTGTCTAGACTTGAAATTAGCATCCTTATAGTCTTGTAATGAACTTTGCTAGGTGGAACCTAGGTGGTTTAGAGTTAATTTGAAGTTTAATTTCACAATTGAATAGTTTTTCACAAAACTTATTGGGCATTCCAAACCCCTTATTCAAAGGTGAAATTGCTTAGGCATACTTCAATTCATTAGTTTATCTAGTGATTACTTGGATTAGAAACTCAATTTCTCTTGATTTGCTGAAAATTTTGATTTTAAGCACCATAATCTTGGGATGAACAGTAAAATCCGAAAATTAATTTTGAAAAAGTGAAATTTCTATTTTGTCTCTTTGATTCATGATTAAGCCTTGAGTTGTTCCTTTATTCCATATCATTATTGCAACTCAATTAGCTTATTCTTCTTTTGCATTAATCACAAACTCATATTTCTTCCCAAGAATTTGCTCTTGTAGGTACACCAATGGCAAAGACAAAAGGAAATGAGAGTATGAAGAAGAAGAAGAACCCATTCATGCAACCACCAAAGAAGCAAATCAAGCTAGGGAGTAGTAGCTCCAATGCAAGAGCAGAATACCAACTTCACCACATTCCATTGATGCAATCAAGAACATGTGGAGAGTCCAAGAAGAGGAGAAGATGATTGGGCACTTGTAACCTTTGTTGGAGAACAAAATCAAGACCCAAGAAAGTGTAAGAAGGCAATGGAGAAGGTGAACATCGAGCCATGTGTGAAGATGGACACCCAAACCCTTGATCTTCTCAAGATAAGAGATGATGTCACATGGTACATAAGGAAGCTAGGCTTGAGCAAGCTCTTCAAGCTAGAATGTAGTGAGTACTCACAACTCACCAAGGAGTTCCTCTCTACAGTAGCTCTTGCCTTTCCCAACCACAATGGAGACCAACCAGCTGGTGATGGACTCCTACTCTTCAAGATAGGCGATGCCAATGGGCGCATCTCCATCTCAGCTCTATGCCAACTCTTTGGACTTCCCAATGAGACAGCACATGACTTCAAGGAGAACTCAAAGAGGAAACAAGCTGCCTTTGCTGATTGGACACACTTTGCCAATGAACCATTCTTGCCTTCAAGGTCAAAGGTGTCTAGAATCACTCATCCAGCCATTCGCTATGTGCACCGCCTCATCTCCACCACTTTCCAATGCAAACAAGAAGCCAACAAGGTCACAACTGATGAGTTCTACATCCTCACCACACCATTCATCAAGCATGAGTACAAGGCCAACCTTGGACTTTTACTTGCCAAGACATTCATCAATGTGAGGAAGCTAGCTAAAGACTTGGAAGGCAACAAGAAGCTTTGTGTTCGTTTTGGGAGGCTTATCACGGCCATAGTACTGCATGTGGGGATTGACATTCCCAACTATGAGCCACTACCCAAGCCAACCCCTTTGGATCTCCATGCTCTTCAGCACATCCACTTCCTAAACCGTTGGACTAAAGACCCAACTCGGTTTTGCTATGAGTTTCCAATTGGTCCAGCCAACACTTCCCTTGTCTTGCTGCCACATGAGACATCCCAAGCCTACGCTCAGGAGTTGTCACTTTCCAGCCCAATGAGGAAGATTCTATGTTCCATCAAGTGAGAAACCATCATTCCCCATGCTCACCTATCGCACACTTCAGCATGCAGTCAAGACTCAACGCCGCCTCCAAGAACGCCATGTTCTCACTACTGGCATGGCTGCGCACCAAGCTCTAGACCGTGTTAACAAGCTGGAGAAGATAGTGGAATGCCAATCTCGCTTCATCTCGCGCCTAGTCCGCGTAGTTCGCCACATTGCACCGGAGAGACTCTTTCGCCCTTCTTCCACCGCTAGAGAGCCATATGAGCCTGACCTTGGTGAGTTCTCACTAGACTCAGAGCTTGGTTCAGAAGGCGATGACCCCATAGATGAGGAAGAGAGTTCTTCTCACTGCCACACATAGTCATCTCAAGTGGTACTTAGTGCAATGGACACTTACAAATCTCCATTTTCTATCCCTATCTCATTTTAATGAATTTCTCTTTATTTTTCTTTTACTTTGAATATTACCTCTCACCTTAATGTGATTTGCTTTCACCGGGACGGTGCAAGTTAAGTCTGGGGGGAGTTTTATTGTGTTACTAATGCATTTTTCTTTCTTTTCTTATGTTTTATTCACTTTGTTTCATGTTTTTCAAAAAGTTTTATTGAGTCAAAAACCAGTCCGGAAGTTATGAACTTGCTTTGAGAATTGAGAGTGTTATGCTAACAATCCATGACCCTAGAGCAGAAACCAGCTAAAGGCACAAGCCTAACAGAAGCTCTTACAGTGGATCGACATGCTAGCTCAGCAAAATTTCTAAGGTAACCAAGCAATCTAGAGTTAACCTCACACTTAATCAATCTTAATTACTCTTGTCAAGGGGGTTGGCATACATGTCGACAGTTCCTTGCTTGATTTTCAATAAGATTTGTCTAATCTTTAAAGAGTTCTCCTCTCTCTCCCATCCCAAATGGTAAGTAATATTTATGAGAAAAAGCTCAAAGAGCACAAGGAAAACAAGTAAGCATGAGGAATGCATATGTCTGTACCTTCATGTCTTATGGAATACCTTAGTCAAACAAGGAACAAGCTAAAGACTTATCCTGTGGTTGAAAGAAGGGTCAATAGAAAAAATAAAATGATACCCTAGAAAAGTAGGGATAAATTGACCTTTCAAAGTTCTGATGTGAGAAAGAGAGAGGAAAAGAACTCATTGCACTTAAAGAGGCAATCTTGGAGAGATCAAGTGGGTAAGAACAAGTTCAATTGATCGATGTCCCCTTGATAAAGAATTCACGCTTTAAATTTATGCAAGAGGTTAGCAATAGAGAGTTTGGATTGCTGGATGAGACTAGTTGGGTTGGTATTGTTCGCTAAACTTGCAGGGTGTATGTGAAGCTAACCTTATGTTGTCTATGTTCATAGTGGAATACAGGAAAGGAACCTTTCACAGGATATTCAAAAGAGCAAGGGAGCTTCCACGTTTTCAAACCTCTTTCACGGATTTAGATTCTTTTTGCTTGAGGACAAGCAAAGATCTAAGTCTGGGGGAGTTGATATACCTCTAATTTACCCACTTTTTATACTGTTTTAGCATTGTTTTCTAATGGTTTTTGGCAGGTTTTCTATCTAAAAAGGTAGTTTTACTGTGTTTATAGTGTCTAGAGTCTAAACAGGTGAAATGATGCATTTTGGAGCAAAACCATAGGATTTGCACTTCAAGCAGCTCCATGCACAAGCACCAACTTTAAGAGGGCCCAGAAAAAGATCTACTCAATGGATTTCATCAAGACCAGTTCCCTGCGTGCTCTGATTGAGTTAACTTTCGCAACTGGAATGGCCTCATTTGGATGAGTAGAAAAGGAGTTACAACCAAAAGAGTGAAGACTGTCCAGACGGCTCTATCGAGAACAGCGCCCAAACCGCGCAGTCCGGCTGGCCGAGAAACGAATGTTTCCGCGCTCGGCCAAAGTCACATCCGTCCGACTGAAGTCTCGGCCAAAGTTCCAAACCGACCGGCCGATCACGCAACACGACCCGGGAAACATTGTCCCGCGGTCGGCCAAGCTTCAACGCTCACGCCACACCGCGCACGACCAAAGCGCGCGAGCCGGGAAACAAGGCCTCGCGGCCGCGCAACCCGTTCGCGTACCACGGCCGATGCATCCGTCCGAGCCGGGAAAGAACGTCCCACGTCCGGCCGAGAATTCTCATCGGCCAAATCTCATCCGCTCGACCACGCCGGCCGACCGCGAATCCATCCGACCCGACCGTTCCGACTCGCCCACGACCCGACTGTCCGGCCGATCGTCCCGACCGACCGTCCCAACGCCGCGGTCGACCCGAAGCCCTTTTTGAAGCCCAAACTTATGTTTTCAAGCCCGGCTTAACCCTAAGCCGCCTCTAGAAAGACCTAGCACTATATATATGGATTTTTAGCCTCTTGAGAAAGAGAGCCGCCCTTGTATTTCGATTTCCTACTCTAAGTTTTATTGCAATCATGTTTTCTTCATCTCTATGTGTGTTTGCTTTGATCATGTCTGAGTAATCCACTAGTTAGGTTGCTAGGGTTACTATTCAATGAGTTGCTTGCATGATCTTTGATTTCAATGATTAGCTAGGGATTATATTAGAGTCTTTGTCTCGTCTTGTGCACTTAACTAATGCTGATTGCTTTACCGCGCATCTAGTAATCCGATCTTAGGTTGATTTGAGCCTCGACAGTGCTGTATCATTCGCCGGACATATTCTTTGACAAGCTAGGTTTCTTAGACTGCGAAAGTTGATCTATCTATATCTAGTGAACTGTATCAGAACCTATTCATTCTAATGCTTGATCTAATCACCTAGGGACATACCAAAAGTTTAGCGACTAGGTAGATTAGCAAAGGAGCCGGAGCCTCGAAAGTGGAATGGTTTTATATTCGTGATCTGTGTTCTAGATGGTTCTTAATATCCCAATATCCCTAATCAATTAATCTATCATTGTTTCATTGATCATTGCTTGCTTCTCTGCGATAGCCCCTATGACCTAGCGCTTTTCCTTTATTGCTTACAACCTCGTTATACTTGCTAGTTCGGTTCACCATTACAACCTCAATCATACTTTTGTTTTAGCTTGATCCAAAATCCATAGTTTCAAAGTGTACTCAATAGCCAGTCCTTGTGTTCGATACCCATACTTCCGCGATCTGTGCACTTGCAGAGGTCTAGGAGTTTGGTAAAACCTGACTCCGCATCAGTAACATTTTGTCTTGATTAATTTGATTAATTATCTTACCCTGCTTTTAGCTTTTAATGTTTGCTTACTAAATTGAATCAGGCAAGGTTTGAACAAGATAAGATTACCAACGGAAAGCGGTGCTGAAGCAGTTGGGATGTCTGTGGAGGTCATCAAAATCACGCATTGTTACCCAAATTCTTGAAGAGACGAATAATCAACAGAGGATGAATCTAAGACCAAAGAATGTTTTGGCGCAAGTTTGTCAAGCTCAAAACCAGTCAAGAATTCAAGGTATGATTAAGTGGAATCAAAGTTGTGCTTATATCATATATGTAGCGGATTATAATTACCATTCCCTTTTTAGGCTGTTAGTGATAGCTACTAGGAAAGAAGGCGTAAACAGATTCCTCACACTTGTAGTTGCAAGGGAATGGTTAGACTTGCAGAAGAAATGGTTAGTGTACTTTTAGTATGTTGTATTTTAAGTTGAGTCAACTTTAACATTATTAATTGGTTTTCTTTTTGTAAAGAAATATGTTAGTGAAAACCCCGATGAAGTGACTCGCCTGAAGGTGTGGGTGAAGTCGCATACCAGAAAAGATGGAACACCGGTGAATACGAATGCTGCTGATAAGATGGTGAGAATCTTAGTTATTATTAACAATATGTTTGATTTCTGATATGTCACCATTTGAAATCAATACTTTGTAATATACAGAAAAGGCAGTTGAGATGGTCCGTAATGATACTCCAGATTCTGCAACGTATGAAGGAGAAGATACACTTACCCAACTGTTAGGACCTGATAATCCTGGCAGAATGAGGGTCATAGGTAGGAACATGAGTAAGACGAAATTAGCTGCTTTCAAAGTGAAACACAAGTGTATGACTGAGATGCAAGAGAAACAGTTTCATCTCCTGCATAAGGTGAATGAGTTGCACGATGAAATTGCGAACCTGAAAAAAACAGGTTAGTAACTTTTATATTTATACGTCTAGTGATTACAATTTTGGAGTAGTTACTTACTAGTTAACGTTTCCTTATAGCGACAGGAACCAGAAGTTGGTGAAAATTCGGCTGCAAAAGTAAGTCGTGATTCTTACACTGTCAAATTATTTTTCATTCATATACAGCGCGAAGAACCTGACATATAATTTCTGCTTGTACTCTTTTAGAGTGTCAACAAAAGATCACAACCCAAGTGTGTTCTAGTTGACTGGGCTGGAACTGATGAAAACGTTGCCGAGGGAAGAATTATTTCCTCTGAACCTGATGACTTGGTGTCTGACACTCGTTTAGGCCCCACGGATGTGAAAGTACTTGTTGATTCCGCAACTGTACCAGATCCATTTCTTTGGAGACCGGCAAGTAACATGTTCACAATGATTGAAGCTGTTGGACAAATGATTGCATAGCCTGCCTCTAAATGTGTTGATCTAGAACTGGTGACAGGAGCAGAAGACATTACACCACTGGTATAAGTTTACTCTCTCTCAATATTCATCTTAGTGATCTATGAGTTTAGGTTTATGATGGTAAAATAGTATAATAAGACTGTTTAATTGCTCATTGCGTTTGACAGGGCCAAAGAGCGAGTTCAGTAAACAAATGCAAACTACTTGATTTGTCTTTAGATAATGTTGTTGTTGCTGAAGGACGCTGGCAGACAGAAGAACCAAAAGCGTTGGTTAATGGTCTACCTCTTGGACCAAAAGCTGTTAAAGTCTTCATTGATCAAGTGCATCAGCCTGAGACATTTATATGGAGGCCTACGATAGAAACGACAAATATTGAGGACTGTCTACTGTCTTTTGTAGCATGGCCTGCCAGCAAAGTTGTCTTCGAGAACTCAAGAGATGGAACAAGGCATAAATCTCCTTTTCAAAACTCTGTTTTAAGTGATCAAGCTTTAGGAGGTAAATCAGTGAGCAGTGCTTCAGGTTCTATGGAGAAATCGTTTAAATCTGATGCAACTGGTTCAAAGTCAGCAGCCAGAGTTTCAAAATCAGCTAGTCAGAAGTCTCCAAAAACATATCCGGTAAATGCCTTTTGGAGTTGTTTATATATTGCTTGTCTATACGATTTTCTGTGTATAAAATGGTTGATATCGAAAACATGGCAGCTTCAACAGGGAGCAGAGGTTATCAAAGAAAATCAGAAGTGCAAGCTAATGGATATTGGTGGAAGGAAGCTTGTTGTTGCTGAAGGTCGTGTGCATTCGATCAACCCAGATCAAATGGTACACTTTGTTAGATTGGGGTCTGATGCAGCAAGAGTTTGGGTAGACATAGTCAAAGTCGATGATGCAGCGGTTTGGAAGCCATCAGATGAAATAGAAACTCTGAAAGATGCACACGGTTCATCAATCGCATGGCCGATGGATAAATTGGTCATCTTTTGAGATTGAGCAACACCAGGTATGTTATGTGGTTTCTGATTATTGTTTCTGCGTTTTATTTGAAATGAGCTAGTCTTTATGGTAAACTGATATAAGACATTAGTGTTTGTTGCAGGGGTATGAAGCAAGTTTGGTCCAGATTAGCTAGTATTAACTTGTTTAAGACTAGACTAATCTAAAAGTTTGACTTGTGTTATGTATTTGGCATTTAGACTTATGTTTACTTGTGTGAATGAATCTTCACACTTATGTGTGTGTTGGATTGTATTCAGATTGTTGCAATACTTTATTAAATGGAATACATTTATGGAAAACAAAATCATATGATAGCTATTACGAAATGCATATAACAGCAAAAAAAAAATGCAAATCGTATTTCATAGCAAAAAAAGGAGCCACTAATTAGTGTTTTATAGCAGATCTCGAAACTACGCATAGCATTGCTGAAAAGCTATAGTATATGACATGTTTTATAGCAACGAATATGATTGCTGATTTGCAGCTTTAAAATATTGCTATGATGTCTGAATCTATCGTAGCACTCTAAAAACATGCTATCGTATGGCTACCACCTAACATAGCTGCCGATGTCACATAGCATATGTGAAAACGCTATCTAATCCATATGACAGCAAATTTTTCGTGCTAATAATGTAGATATTTCTTGTAGTGTAGTGTCAATAATAATATACCTCGTGAAGAGAGTTTCAGTATAATCCCAAGTGTCCATATGCCACACATCCGTATATGTGATCCCAAAGTCATCAAGGGATTTATCCATGAGAAGAAGATCTCTGCGGCCAAAGAAGGAAACTGGAATAAGGGAATCGGGTGAAATTTCAACAAATGTTCAAGAATGGAGTGTGCAAAAAACTACAGTACTATGGTATATAAGGTTAATCAATAAGCATAAACTACAATATGCTTTACAATCATATTCTGATTTTTACAGAACTGGAAACAAAGTTATAAGTTTTGAAGTATTTGTTGTCCTTCAGAAAGCTCTTCATACTCATAACCATCCACAGTTTCACTCCCCACTTGCATGTAGCCAGGGTAAGGATCCAAATTGGGAAGATGCATAAACAATAGAATACCAAACAAAACCTGAAGCAAGACAAACAAATTCACCCTCTTTCAGCTGTTATTAAAAAAAGGTCTTATCCGAATCTAATTTAGACATAACACACAACAAAGATTTAAGGGCCAATATACTTCTAGGATTTTGGACTCAATAAAAAGGAGTCTAAGTAAGCTAACTTGAGCTGCTAACAGATTTTGATTGGTATTAACATCTTTCACAAATTATGCGGTTTATGCTGTACGGGTCTATCCACTTGTTAAAGAGGAAGACGGGTCTTGGATTTGGCCAACTGCACAAAATAAAGATAAGAAAGAACTGGAAAATACAACCAAATAAATCAAGAAATTTTAGTAATTATATTTTTCTAGAGATATATTTTTTTTTAAATACTCCTTTTCAGATGTTAATTTTTAAAACTACACCACTTTTAAGCCATTTTAAAAATTACATCATTTGAATATTAACATATAAATTTGAGTTTAGTAATCCTTAAATAGAGTTCAGATTTTGATATTCCCCTTATTTCTGTTGGTTGGAACCAGCCACCAATTTCCATAAAATACACTCTTTTCACCATAAAATGTTTTACGTGTTTTTTGTTTTGATAAGGTAAAATGTTTTACGTGTTGCTTGTAGTTTCGGGATTTTAGTGTCTAATTCAGTACAAAATCGTTTGCTTATAAGAAACAGAAGATCAATAAACTGGTTAACCTAATTAGCAGAAAAAACCAAAAAAACAGGTTAACTAATCAAATCTGAACAAGAGGCTCATACTTCATCTTAGCAGATAAAAAGAATAGCCAGTGTAGGTTTTTTCATTTTATCTCCACAAGATAAAGACCAAAGAGAATATTTACACAGTTCCACTACAATATGAGTTCACATATTTTTCATTGTGTTATGATCGTAACAATTTTTTTCATTTTCCATGGCTCATGTTATTCTGATAAAGGTAAAATTTTACTTTTCAATATGGATCATGACCGTCTTAAATATTTTTGTAGGCCATAAACCAATTATTTTTTAACTGATTCTTTTTTTGGGTTTCAAAATTATATTAAATGTGGTAAAAATATACTATAGGCTGTAATTTGTATGAATATTTAAATTTATTGAAGAAAAATCATATTTTTCTTCATCGGGATGCTATATTTGTAGTACTGTTAGGTTATTGTTACTGATAGTACGAGTTTAATCTATTTAACAAACTATTTTCGTAAAAAACAGGGTTTTATGGATTTATCAAAGATGCAACAAAAGCACCAACTTATGCTCGCTTCGACTACATAGTCATCGGAGGAGGAACCTCCGGTTGTGCATTAGCCGCAACACTCTCTGAAAATGCCAGTGTTTTAGTTCTCGAACGTGGCGGCTCTCCGTATGAAAATCCAACGGGGACAGACCTCGGAAACATCACACCGAGCTCGTGGTCACAACCTTTCGCCTCCGAAGACGGCGTTGACAACAGACGGCCACGTGTCCTCGGTGGAGGCACGGTGATAAACGGTGGATTCTACACGCGTGCGGGAGATGGTTACGTAGCAGAGGCTAAGTGGGAGATGGAGGAAGTAGAAGCTGCTTACGAGTGGGTCGAGAAGAAACTTGTGTTTGAGCCACGAGTGCTGGGATGGCAATCTGCGTTTACAAATGGGCTTTTGGAAGCTGGTGTGTTGCCGTACAACGGTTTCACGTACGACCATATCAACGGGACGAAGATCGGCGGTACGATCTTCGACCCAACTGGCCACAGACACTCGGCCGCGGATTTGTTGTATAACGCTAATCCGGACATGATTGTTGTCTACGTGAACGCTACTGTTCATAAGATCCTCTTCACTACCGAAGGTAATTTACTTAGAAAATCTCTCTGTTGAGAAACGTGAGAATATAGTATACATATTATTTTAAAATAATTAACTTTTAAAAAATATATATATAAAAGTTAAGCAACTCATAGAGAAATAAGTGTTTCAAATCCCTCATGAGCTTCTCAATATTTCTAGAAAAATCCATCTTATTTCTAGGGTTTTTTTTTTCTATTCTTTTTTTTTTTTAATGATGAGATACCATGTGAAAAATCTCCAATAGAGGTGTTCTTATTTGTTTTTTTTATATTTGTTATTCATTACTTGTATACACTTTTGAGATGAAAATTTTGTTTTGGACAGGAGACCAAAGACCTAAAGCACATGGAGTGATATATCAAGACGCGGATGGAGTGTTCCACAAGGCAGAGCTTGCAGAAAATGTAATGAATGAGGTGATTTTATCAGCAGGAGCTATCGGGAGCCCCCATCTGTTGATGCTGAGTGGTGTGGGTCCTAAGGCTGAGCTTGAGGCCCATGGGGTAAATCTTGTGGTCCTAGATCATCCCATGGTTGGAAAAGGGATGGGAGATAATCCGATGAACAAGGTTATCATCCCTTCTCCTCTACTCGTAGAAGTGGCTCCACCATCGACTGTTGGGATCACCGAGTTTGGTAGTTTCATTGAAGGTAAAATCTTCCTAACTCTCTCTTATGATTTGACCTATTATGTTCTGTATGATATAATTACAATAAAAGGTTAACATAACTTATTATTTAATGGACCAGGCTCCGCATTAGATGCAGGACCCACCGTCCAATCAATCCCACCATCAAATGACGGTTTGATTCTTCAGAAAGTCGATGGACCGGTCTCAAGAGGTTACTTGGAGCTTAGGAACACAAATGTAGATGATAACCCTTATGTTACATTTAATTACTATCAAGAGCCTGAGGATCTTGAGAAATGTGTTAAAGGACTTGAAATCGTTATTGAAGTGATAAACTCAGAGGCTTTCTCCAAATACAAGTATCCAAATGTGACAGCACTTGACCTGCTCATGACGAGCCTTCCCATCAATCTGAGACCAAGTCATGAGACCGCAATGCTCAACTTGACGCAGTTTTGCTTCGATACCGTGAGGACTGTTTATCATTACCATGGAGGTTGCCAAGTTGGAAGAGTGGTCGACAAGAATTACAAAGTCTTTGGCATTAATGCCTTAAGGGTTATCGATGGATCCACGTTTCTCAAGTCTCCGGGGACTAATCCTCAAGCTACTGTCATGATGCTGGGAAGGTAAAATGAAAAAAAAAAACCATATGATCCGGTTAGACTTACTTGAATAAGGTATGATTGTTGGACTGTTATGTTTAGGTACATGGGGCAGAAGATTCTTCAAGAGAAAGCTGCTTTCGGGGGAAATAATGAAGATTATTCGATCATTGAAGAAGAGACCAATATATGTTTTGCATCGTCAAAATAATAGAGTGCTTATTGTCTTATTGATGTTATCAATTATATCACTTACTAGGGGGAGCCGCGCTTTGCACGGTAATTTATATTGTTGTATTAATTTTATTATTTTTCGCAAATTTAATTTATTTATATGATTTATTATTGTTTCAAAACATTTACACATATTAATTAAATATAGTTAGGGTTAAGAAAAATTCTTGTACCATCTTGTCCCATCTCGTCCCATTTCGTTCATTTTCATCACGTCTATTCTTTCCCGTCCCGTCCGTCCTGTTTGTCCAGTCCCGTCCAATCTCATCATATCCCATTATGATCCTTTCCATTTTGTTATGTCTCATCACGTTCTTTCTGTTTCTTCTCGTCCCGTTCCCTAAATATAATTAGGGGTAGGCGAAATTCCCTTCTAGTCCCATCCCGTCCCATTTCGTTCATTTTCATCTTGTCCCGTTCTATCATGTCATGTTAGCCTCGTCTAGTCCCATCCTATCCTATTATGTTCCTTTCCATTGTGTCCTATCTCTGCCCCGTCCCTAAATATAATTAGGGGTAGACGAAAGTCTTGTCCCGTCCCTTCCTGTCCCATTATGTCCCTTTTCATCTTGTCTCGTCTAGTCCCGCCTCATTCCGTTTCTTTTTTTCCCGTCTTGTCCAACATGTCCATCTCCTCCCGTCCAACTCCATCATATCTCATTCTGTTCCTTTCCATCTTGTCATGTCTCTTCATGTTCCTTTTGTTTCTCCCTGTTCTGTCCCTAAATATAATGATGGGTAAGCGAAATATCTGACTTGTCCTATCGCGTTCCTTTCCGTTCCTTTACATCTCGTCTCGTCACTTAATATAAAAAGAAGTAGGCAAAATTCTCCTCTTTTCACATTGTTTTTTTCGTCTCGTTTTGTCTGGTCTTGTCTCATTTCATCTCAAAATACTTAAAACAATGTTCTTATTGATATCAACATAAACTATATAATCTGACAAAAAGAAAACTATTAAACAATAGTTTTTTGTAGATTTATATATAACCTTTCTACGCTGGTTTAGGATGGTACCTTTTTAACACGGATTCTCCTGGTAAACTTATGGGAACATGTAATTTGAGGCGGGGAATATCACCACTTCAGTCAGAGCTGGAGGATCTCATTTGGGCCATGCAATGCATAATTGTCTGTGCTGATGTGTCACAATTCTAGACACTCTCTTTGCTTACGTGTCAGCCTGATAAGATAATTACATCAATATATATATATATATATAATCAGGTTATTAGTAATGATCTTTTTAGTATGTTGTAAAGTTATATTGTTGGGTAAGTTGGTGTCTTTAATAGAAAACATTAACGACTTTAATCAGTTTCATTTCTTTCCACGTCGGACCTTAATGGGTTTTAAAATCCAAAGAAATATTCTTAGAGAAAGTGTTGAGCTATGTGGAATCTAATACTCCCTCCCTTTCATAAAGACTGTCACTTTAGAGTTTTGTTTTTGTTTTACAAAGAGTGTCACTTTACATTTCCAATGCAGTTTTATTAATAACTAGGGGGGAGCCGCGCTTCGTGCGGAAATTTATATTGTTGCATTAATTTTATTGTTTTTGGAAATATAATTTATTTCCTGGTTTATTATTGTTTAAAAATATACACACAATAATTAAATATAATTAGGGTTAGGCAAAATTCTTGTCACTTTTGTCCCATCTTGCCCTATTTCGTTCATTTTCATTATGTCTATCTTTCCCATCCTGTCCCTTCTGTCTGTCCTGTCCCGTCCAATCCCATCATATCCCATTATGTTCTCTTCCAATTTTTGTTATGTCTTATCCCGTTCCTTCTGTTTCTTCTCGTCCCGTTCCCTAAATATAATTAGGAGTAGGAAAAATTCCTATCTAGTCTCATCCTGTCACATTCCGTTCCTTTTCAGCTTGTCCCGTTCTTTCCCGACCGGTTCGTCATGTCCGTCCCGTCCAGTCTCATCCTTTTCTATTATGTTTCTTTCCGTTTTGTCGTATCTATGTCCTGTCCATAAATATAATTAGGGGTATGCGAAAGTTCCGTCCCGTTATATCTTGTCCCATTATGTCCCTTTTCATCTTGTCTCGTCTAATCTCGTCCCATTCCGTTTCTTTTCATCCCGTCTTATCCAACATGTCCGTCTTGTCCCGTCCAATCCCATCATATCCCACTTCGTTCCTTTCCATCTTGTTTTGTCTCTTCATGTTTCTTTCGTTTCGTCCGGCTATGTCCCTAAATATATTTAGGGGTAGGCGAAACATCCGTCTTGTCCTATCATGTCCCTTTCCGTTTCTTTACATTCCGTCTCGTCATTTAATATAAAAAGAAGTAGACAAGACTCCCCTCTTCTCTGCGTTCTGTTTTCTTCGTCTCGCTCTACCGGTCTTGTCTCATTTTACTTAAAAACAATATTCTTTCTATAATATCTTGAGAACTACTAAATAATAGTTTTTATAGATTTATATAAAATCTTTCTCCTTCTTGTAAATGACATTTCATATTCTTGTTAAGCCCATTTAATGAATGATAACTATTATAAAAATTAAAAAAGAGAAAATATGATATATTAAATGTTTGTGCTGATATGATGAATTTAGAGGCACACTCCTTTGATGAGGTGGCAGCTTGAGAAGAGAATCCCTTCAACGTTATATATATAGAAAATCCAATTTTGACCTTATTGTATTAGTGTATTAATTCGAAAATGAGTATTGTTTAGTGTATTAAAAAATGGGGTAAAACAGAGTTTTTATTAATTTTTTCTTAATATATGTGAAAAAATAGAATAACACTCTTTATGAAACAGAGGGAGTATATGATAGTACTGTAAAAAAAACGCAAAAAGTTTGGTATTTTTAATGGGGCTCTTTTGAAAGTACTGAGCCAAAGACCCCAAAAAGTTTATTTATTATTGGGAAAAGTTCAAAAATATACCTTTTCGGTTGTCAATGTTAGACTTTTGATTTAGAAACAGAGTAAGAGTAAGAAAGAGTCAAAACAGAGTAAGAGATAAACTTTTGTGAAGAAGAACATAAACGATGAAATAGATTTTATAACTCTGAAACTTGTTTTTACATCATCTGTTACAGTGTGTGATATACTAAACAAAAAACACAACGAACAGTTGCAACTACAATGAAGAGTTCCGACTCTCTACTATTTAAGCGTGACACAACCGCTCTTGTGTATCTGATAGTAGAATTTTTGCTACCAATTACTCAAATCCACTACTCATGTCATTATAGCATTTGATGTATCAATCCAAAGGGGTTAAGATTAAAGCACTAGGAATGCATAAAACTTATTAAGCTAAGCCAAATCAAAGAGGGGTTTTTTTATCTATCAACCTAAATGAGAATCAAACATAAATCTTGAAGCAAGAGTTTGAAACAAGAAGTCAAACTTAAGAGATAAATACAAAACCGAAAATGAAAGAAGTAGAACAAGATAAGCAAATGGGTCTTAGGATGGGGTCATCGAACTAGAGAGACTTTATGACTAATCTATGATGCTCAAACAATCAAGTGAATGCTAATCCTTAGGCAAAGAACACATTAAACAAGACTAATCCATTTTCATGACATTAATCACTTTGCTAATAACCCATTTCAAGAACTAATCATCATTAGTGAAATTCGAAATCAACAAGCATTATAAACAAGTTCAATCAAGTCAATAAACATCTTATAAAATCATTATCACGAGCTAAGAATGTAAATCTCTTGATTTAGTTGGTTAAGACATTTCATCAAACACCTTGTGGTGTGAAATGCCCTTTGGTCTAAATCACTTTTTTCAAAGCTAATCTAGCATTAAGATCACTAAACAAGAAAGAACTAAGCAATTATAGTCCTAAGCATCAAAGATTAACCATTAAATCTCTCTAAATCTAACTCATCCCTAAACCCTAAGAGAATTACTCTCTAAATACATTTCATCAAACACCTTGTGAGTGTGAAATGCCCTTTGGTCTAAATCACTTTTTCAAAGCTAATCTAGCATTAAGATCACCAAAAAAGAAAGAATTAAGCAATTAGAGTCATAAGCATCAAAGATTAACCATTAAATCTCTCTAAATCTAACTCATCCCTAAACCCTAAGAGAATTACTCTCTAATCATGATTAAATCAACCAGCACAAGGAGAAGGGAGTTGATAATCATGATTAGGAAGATGAAGGAAGAAAGAATGATCAAGCAAACACTCTCAAATAGATTAAACTCTTAAAAGATCCAAATTTTGATTAAGAACAAAAGGGAAATAGTTTTTCTTTAAGAGAAAGAGATCACAAGATGCCTAATAAATGATGTCTTTAATGTATTTATAGTGGAGACACAAAACCCTTGGTCAACTCATTTAATTTGACCTCTTTGATTATCCTCCCATTGGTTCAGACTCCAGAAAATGCGGTTTTAGGCTTGGTCAACGCGGTCAGACTTGGTCAATGCGCGCAGATTTGGTCAACAGAAGGCAATCAGGTTGTCCTGGAAGAGAAACCTGATTGATATCCTGATTGTCGCTCTCTGAAAAAACAGAGGAAGTCCTTTCTCATCTCAATTCCATCCTTTTCGGCCTTGGCTCGCTCCATCAGACTCCTTCATCATCCAGATGCATCCCAAAGCATCCAAAAGCATCCAAAAGCACCTGTAACACACTCCAAATGCTCCAGCCTCCATGTATGCAATGTCCTATCTAAAACTTAGAAAACTCTAAAGTGAATGAAAACTAGACTAAATGGGATAGGATTATACATAAATGGATGCAAAAAGAAATGAATGCTTAAAACATGTAAATTATGCACTCATCGGTAACCCAACCTAAACAAAGAGCTGCGACTTTACATGATAGTGCTTAATACACACATCCTAACTTAGACATTTTTTAAGACTAAATTCAATTAAATCCAACACTCCCTCTTAATTGAGTTTCGGTCTTAAACCAAGACACCTCCTTAGTTCTTCAGACCTTGCAAGACTTTCCTCATGTCTTTTGCGTGAACCTTCTTCTTCGTTAAAGTTACGTCTTCTTCATCACATGAGCTTTTCTCGTGTTTCTTTGCCAATTAGCCGAGCTCTGTGTCTTCCAACAGTCGGCTTCGATGTGGTTGTTTCTCTTGCAAACACCACACCACTGTTTGCCATCTTCTGATTTGTTATCAGAAATTTCTCTTGGCCGAGCATGAAACGCACCTTCAAACACGTCTTCATTCTGTAAATTTCTCTCGATCATCCCTGTTTCGATTTTCCTTAATCGAACTCAAATGTTCATGTTTCCGCAGATGCTCTGCTCTGGAGTAGAACCTATATGTTCTTTCTCCTTTGTAGCCTTTGCGTTTCCTTTGGCGACTTCCATCGATCACCATAACGTCTCCTCCACGTCTCTTGCGTGAATCTTCTCACGTCTTTCTGCTCCATTTTTCACAGAGGTAAACATCCTCCTTTGGTGTCTTCTTTGGAAAACATCCTCCTTTGATGTCTTCACAGAGATAAACATCCATCAATAACGTCTAGTTAGTAACAATGCGTAAATCTTCTCATGTCTTCTGGTTAACTCTGCAACCAGTAGCATATACTCCCTTTTCTCTTAGGTAAGCAGCCCCCAATCCGTCTTCAATCACAGACCAACTTCCTGGTCTCGAAAGATGATTGTCATCTATACAGAGCCGGCCCTGAAAAATCGGGGGCCAGAAAAATTTAGTAAGGTTTTGATAAATTTTAGGGTTAAAAATCGATTATTTTTAGTTTTGGGGCCAAACTTAATATATTTTAGGGTTAAAAAATCGTTTTTTTTTAGTTTGGGGCCAAACTCAATATATATATATTTTTTCAAAAAAAGTGGGGGCCAAGCCCAAAGCCTCACTCGGCTTGCCTCAGGGCCGGCCCTGCATCTATATGCGCCAGAATCATCCCCATCAGTTATGGAAACCACCATGTGATGTTGTTTCCATCGCCTCCCCAACAAACATGGGAATCACCAAGTTTCAACAGAGACTTGTTGGTAGAACAGAGACTTGTATGTTCAAAGAACACAACCACAAGAAGTTTCAGAATTCGCCTTCCACAATACCAAATGTTTGTGAAGGTTGATGGTACTCCCTCTTGTCACCACCTCTTCTTTTTCTATTTCTGCTTCTTCTTCTTCTTTTCCCTTCGTATCAGTCTTCATCTTTCTCTTCTTTTTGCTGCGGGTTTCTTCTTTTGTGCTTAAACAGGTTCCATGACCAACATAAGCACTTATACCATGTTAGACTTTTGATTTAGAAACAGAGTAAGAGTAGGAAAGAGACAAAACAGAGCAAGAGATTAAAGATTATCTCTTCTCTTGTGAAGAAGAACATAAACAAGGAAAGAGATTTTATAACTCTGAAACTTGTTTTTACATCACGTGTTACAGTGTGTTATATACTAAGACAAAAAACACAACGAACAGTTGCAACTACAATGAAGAGTTGCGACTCTCTACTACTTGATTGTGACACAACCGCTCTTAAGTAACACAACCTAAACAAAGAGTTGCGACTTTACATGACAGTGTTTAATACACACATCCTAACTTAGACATCTTTTAAGACTAAACTCAACTAAATCCAGCAGTCAATTTTCAAAACAACACTTTATGTTAATTTTCAAAATTATACATTTTTCATGTAATAAAAGAACTTTAAACTTTAAATTATAAAATTCAAATCATAACATCTAAAATCTAAAATCTAAACCCTAGTATAGAATTAGTGAACCAAAAAATATATGTTAAATTTAGAAAATATATAATTTTAAAAATTAACACTATAGAAATGTAGTTTTGAAAATGTATTTTTTTAAATTTCTCTTTATTATTTCATGTGATCTCGACCTAATTTTCTTTTTGCATGATCATGTTTCTCCCTTTCTTTTGTGTTGGTCATCGGCTTGGTAGACTTTGGTTCATCTAACCACCACAGAAACATAAATAAAACGTGATGGTACATTTGCAAGATATGGCTACTTGCAACAAAAAACAAAAAAAGAAAAAAAAAATCAACAAGTAGTTAGCAATACATTTATACTTGAGTGGATTTTGGATCTGCAATGTATTCAATTCAAGTATTTCAGATACTTGCTTCAAGCATTTGTAGCAAAATTTGAGTACCCTTTCTCAATTAAAATTTGCCTAGATACTCATACTCAACCTAATAATCGTTACAACTTTAAAATTTGTTTCATTGTTTATTTTTAGAAAATTACATGAAAACGAGTATTTTTAGCAAAAAAAACGCTAACTTGCTATACCATAGCGTTTCCATAAGCATTTTATCATCGCCCGCCATAAGAGACTCATTACATATCATATTGTGGGCATATGCAAAACTAACATCTTTCTTTTTTCTATTAATATTTTGTCCATTTTTTTCTAATTAATCATGAAAATACCATTACTTTTTCAACATGTGATCTACTACTTAAATTTACGATATATACTAAAAGACCAAATCAACCTCCTATTCTACGCTTATTTTACAAAATGTCATATTTTCAATGTGGCCAACTATCTTTTTCACCCAATTTGGAGCTCTTAATACTCCAAATACTCACTTTTGAGAAATCTATCTTATGGAAACGACCATAGTTCGTTGTTGAAGGCTAAACTCAAAGTTCTCAGTCCTCGAAAAAACCTATCTACCATGGCCAGGTAACGGTTCACTCAAACTTCTACGATTTTCAGATATGGACCACGAAAGTACACCTCAAGTGAGGTCTACACTATTGAATAGTTCACAACTGAAGTCTAGTGGTCAACGCAGATGTTAGTTTTACAGTTGATGTGACTGTTTTCTGTTAGTAGACCTCAAGAGTAGACTGCGTCATTTCCTTTGGAAAGTAAAAAAACATGTGTAAGCCTCTTTGAGGTCTACTATCTGAAAGATGTTAGTTTTGCAATTGATTAAGGGAGGGCTTTTTAGCGAAGTCTACGGCTGAGGTCTACTAATCGAAATAGGTTAGTTTCGCAATTGACCAAGGGAAGACTTTTTAGCGAAGTTTTTTAGTTGACCATAGTTTTTATTTTAACAAAAAGGAGGTTTGCGGAGAGTTTTTTTTTATGTTGATGTAACATCCGTGAACGAAATTCTGGACTTTTGGAGGTGGTGTCGACCGACACCGGTTATGTGAAAATCGAATCGGTTCAATATAAGTGTCGGTTTGGGCCAGTTTAGGGTCTGGAAGCCCTTTCGCGAATAAAAGTGGTGCAGCCGTCTTTTCTTCACAGTTTCCGTGCCATGGAAGAGAAGAGGCGGTTTTGGGAGTTCTTGAGCGAAATCTGAGTTTTGGAGGTTGAATCGAAGTGCCTTTTGTCGTTCCTTGTTGTTTCCTTCCTCCTTTCTCTGTTCCAATCCGTTTAGAGGTGAGTTTGTGACCATAGGCTCGTGATTCACTAGGATTTCATTTGTGTGATGTGTTCTTGAGTTGTTCTTGAGTTATTTGAGTATTTGATCATATTTGGGTGTTGAATCCCTTGAATTCTGTGTTTTTTTTGCACTGTTTCGTTGTTTGGGTTTGTTGACTGCGAGTCGATGTCGAGCGACACCATGGGGTGTCCGTCGACACATCGACTCAGTTTCAAGCGACACCACTCTAGTGTCGGTCGACACAAGGGAAGGGTGTCAACTGACACCAAGGGGGTGTCGTCCGACACCAGTGCTCGTGTTCGCTGGTTGTTGCTTGTATTGCTGTTTATTGTTTATTGCTAGTGCTTTGCGTAATTGGCCTTTAGGTGGGATGATCGTCTCACTAAGTATTTATAATAATATTTATGCATCTCTTCATATTGTGATGCAGGTAAAAGAAATATGTGATCGCGGAATCAAAGTCGAAGAAGAGGATGATAGGGTTTTATATATTTTCCATTAAGTTGTTAGAACATAATGTTTAGGTTGCTAGTAATATTTTCTTGATTTGTTTTATTTGCTTCCGCTGAATATTGATAGTTGATTTTAATTGAATTTTTATTTATTTTATTGGTTTAATACTTCTGCTGAGTTTGATAACTTAATAATTTTTTTTTGAAAAAGATTGGCTGTTCAGTTGAGGTTTGGAACTAATAGACCTCACATAATGTCTACTACGATCGAAGTCTACAATAGCAAACTGTGTTCGCGTTAAAATAGTAATCAATACATGCATTTTTTGTTTGGTCATAAGGGAGGGTGGAGTAGTTTACTACCTATAGAGATTACTTTTACAATTCATTCAATATACAGTATAAGATTGCTTGAAGAAATCAATTCATGGGTTATAATTGGCAGTTTGCCCATGTAAATAAGATGAAAAATAGAGTTAAATATAGCCCATAATACATGGTACACAGAGAATCATTCACTCTATTAGTGGGAGAAAAACAAAGTTTCTTCACTTTATTATTGATTGCTAGATCTAAAATATCCTTGGTATTTTTCTGCTTCTTTATATTTGATTCATATAATAGATTCAGAGTGCCAAGTGATGCATACGTTTCATATTTTCTTTATCCTTAAAAATAGTAGTTCGTGACACTGAGCAATGTAAGTGCTGCTCTTCTTTTGTTGGATTAAGTTCATGTGTGATCCATTTGTTCACGTGTCCATTCTTGGAAATTAGCAAGGAAGAGAGGTAGCTTCTTTGTGAGTTACGAACTGATAAAAATATATATTTCCAAAATCAAAAGGCAGCTTTCCTGTATTCTGCAAGTGTCCACAATGGGAAGGTGTTTCTGTACGAAGCGTAGTGTAGCATGCAAGTATTCATGAACGCTCCTCCTATTCCCTGCACACACACATTGAACTTGTAATTAGGGTGAAGAAAAGGATGTGAGTTTGAGGTCTTAGAGATCCACAAAGCACAGAAACTTGAAATTAATATTAAAATTTTCAAGGTCATTTTACCAAGGTCACGTGTGTGTTCAATTTCAAGAACATGTGTCACGTGACCAATTTCAAGGTCTTAGAGATCCAAAAAGAATAGAAAATGGCAAAAATAAAATGGTAAATAAGTGTCATTTGTGAGGTTAAAGTAGTCAATCGATAAACTTTCTTAATTTATGTGCAATACTCTAGAACGACAAATAAACTGAAACGGAGGGAGTAGTATATAATTGTCATTAAAGGTCTAATTGTCATTAGTTAATCCCTAGAGTCTCCCTTGTATTACTATATATATTGTACATCATACCTCTAATAATATTATTCACTTTCCAAACCTATATAGTATCAGAGCAATAACGTTTTCCTGAAAACCTAAAACTTTTTTTTCTCTCTTTTTCAAAACACTTTAGCCGCCAACGATGCCATCGACACCACTGCTGCAACTACTGTGTTGAACATCAAAATGGCCAACGTTACAAAGCTTTCCTCCTCTAACTACCTCATGTGGAGCCTTCAAGTCCATTCCCTTTTCGATGGCTATGGCCTTGCTGGTCATCTCGATGGATCCAAACCAGCGCCTCATGCAACGGTCACTACCGAGGGTATCGTTGCTGAGAACCCACTGCTTCCGATCTGGAAACGTCAAGATCGCTTGATCTACAGCGGTTTTATCAGTGCAATAACAACGCCTCTGCAACCGGTTGTATCACGCGCCACCACTGCTTCCGAGATCTAGGAGACTCTGATGAGGACATCGACCCAACTAAGGTCATAGAGTACATACCGGTGGTCAAGGACTCACCCATGACGCGTTCTAAGACCAGGAGACTTCGAGAAGGATTCAATGAAGCTGTTGAGACCCTCCTCAACACCATGAACCTTGGAGATTTGCTCAATACCCCGCCACCTGACGACAGCTGCTTGAGCAACGACGTTAACCCCTTGAGCAACACTATTGCCCCGGAACTAGCCTTAATGGAGGACTTTGCACGCATGAGCCTAGAGGAGGATCACCCTCATTCAAAGCACTGTAAGTCTATTTACTTGGCAGGTAATGGAGTTCAGAACAAGTCGGAGCTTGAGGACATGATCAAGACCCGCAATGTAGCAGACAAGGAGCTTAAGGAACATGAAGACGTTTTGGGAGCTACTGAAGAGGAAACACTTGAAGATCTTCACCAAGTCAACTCTCAAGGCACTGAAGAGGAAGACTTCATCATTGGACCAGCAAGGAGTGGACCCGGACCAGACAAGCTCTACTCAACACCACCTCAGCTCAACTCGCGCCAAAAGCAGGTATATTCAATTTATACAATTTGTGCAGGTAAGGGCGAGTATCCCAGTGGTTCTTAGGCTCAGAGACAACTCCAGTTCGAGCCCAGAAGAAGCCACACGAGTTTGGTTTAGTTTGGTTTAGTTTAAGTGTTATTTCCTTTTCTTGTATTTTTATTTATTTTTGCTTTTTGTTTCTGTTCAAGAGAGCGTGATGTGCTTTCTTTCCTTATTTGAATTTCGGCCCTAGGGCTAGCTGAAGAGCTGTTTATAAAGCTCCCCTGCAGCTTTGTATTTTTGGTTACCTTTGATTATTAATAAAATACCGTATTTCTTCTTTGCTCAAGCCGCCGCTTGCTTAGAACCCTAGCTTGTTCTCTTGTGTGTGTGATTCACCAAGGACGAGTTGTTGTATCAGAGATCCTTCCATCATCTCTGTGGTGCCATCGATCCACCTTCGACATCCCCTTTTCGTTCATACAAGAGAGAGCGTGATAGCCAGCTTGTTGAACACCATATCGATTCAAGTCTTGTGGATTCAAGCCTTGTCTTACCATCCTCATCCACTGATCTAAAGGAGAGAGCGTTAAAGCCAGCCTCTAGATCCCATCTTCCCATCACGATCCAACAGATCTAAGCCTCACCACCGAGTCTTACATCAGACTCTCTCCTCCACCTACGCCAAGCCAAGTTGCGGACACATCAAGCAACTGAAGACACAACTCAAGCAATGGACAAAGGATAACAAGAGTGTAGATGAGTTTCTCCGTGGAGTCACTACATGACTAGATCAGCTAGCTATCCTTGGAAAACCGATGGACCACGAGGATCAAATCGACTTGATACTCGAAGGTCTCCCTGATGAGTACAAACCGATTGTTGATCAAGTTGAAGGGCGTGACACTCCTCCTTCAATCATAGAGCTTCATGAACGCCTCCTCAACCATGAAGCTAAGCTGCTGTCCAACGGCTTGACTCCGTCGTTTCCAGCGTTTGGGAACGTTGCTCAACAACGCTCCTCCTCAAACAACTACAACTGTAGCGGTCGCAACCAAAACCGCAACAATCATCAACACTCCAATGGTGATGCAGCGTGGCCATCGTCACCGTCTGCTCCTCGTCCCAACTAGGCTTTGGTCGTCCTTACCTAGGCCGTTGCCAAATCTGTAGTGTTCAGGGACATAGTGCTAGAAGATGTCCGCAGCTTTCTGCGATGACTTCACAGTCATCTCCTCAGCCACACCCTCCTCCGACACCCTGGCAGCCACAGCCTCGTGCCAATATCGCGGTTGGATCTCCGTACAATGCAAGCAACTGGCTCCTTAATAGTGGTGCAACTCACCGCATCACGTCTGACATACCGGTTCAACAATCTTTCACTGCATCAACCATACACGGGTAGTGACGACGTTCTTATGGGTGAGGAGTCTCCCTTGCCTATCTCACATACCGGTTCAACTCACTTACCTTCTTTGTCTAGAGACCTTCTATTACATAAAGTTCTTTGTATCCCTGATATTAATAAGAACTTGATCTCTGTTTATCGTTTATGTAACACTAATCAAGTGTCGGTTTCATTCTTTCCTGCTCACTTTCAGGTGAGGGATCTCAGCATGGGGGCACTTCTTCTACAAGGCAGAACTAAAGACGAGCTTTATGAGTGGCCGGTTTCGCCTTCACAAGCCACGACGATGTTTGCTTCCTCAACGGCTAAGAGTAGTGCTGCGTGGCATTCCAGACTTGGTCACCCATCTCCACCTATCTTAAACTCTATCACTTCCAAGTTTTCTTTACCTGTTTCCTCTTCTTCTTCTTCCAAAACTTTATTTTGTTCAAATTGCCATATCAATAAAAACCATAAATTGCCTTTCTCTGATTCGTCCATTGTCTCTTCTCGCCCATTACATTACTTGTTCACTGATGTTTGGACATCTCCCATTACCTCCATTGATAACTACAAATATTATATCATTCTTGTTGATCATTACACTCGATACTCTTGGCTGTATCCACTTAAACACAAATCTCAAGTAAAAGAAACCTCCATTGCCTTCAAAGCCCTTGTTGAGAACCACTTTAAGTCTCGAATTGACACACTTTACTCGGATAATGGTGGAGATTTTATTGCCTTACGGAGCTTTCTTGCTTCTCACGGCATCTCACATCTCACTACTCCGCCACACACGCCTGAACACAACGGTCTCTCCGAACGCAAACATCGTCATGTCGTTGAAACCGGCCTTACACTCATGTCTGAGGCATCATTGCCAAAGCACTATTGGCCATATGCCTTTGCTGCTGATGTGTACTTGATCAACAGATTCCCCACACCAGTCTTGAACAATGTCTCGCCGTACACTCGCTTGTTTGGGACGTCACCAAATTATGGGAAACTTCGTGTATTTGGCTGCCTTTGTTTTCCGTGGCTACGTCCGTACACGGCACACAAGCTTGACACTCGCTCCCAACCGTGTGTGTTTCTTGGGTATTCTCTCACACAGAGTCCATACTTGTGTCTCGATCCTGAAACTGAACGTGTCTATGTCTCACGACATGTTCAGTTTGACGAGATTACGTTTCCATTTCGCACCAACCAGTCGTCAACAGAAACTCTTCTTGTTGTAGATCAATTGACTACCACTTCCCCGAGTGTCCTACGTCTGCCTCTACCAGAAAAAGTGCATCCCTGCTATGTCCCTCACACTACACCACCACCACCACCAAAACCGAGTGTGTCTTTTCCGCCATCATCTCAGGTATTGCCTTCTAACCCTCAAACTCAATCCACTGCTCCTCACGAGCCACAAAATCAAAACTCTATTGCTCCTCACGAGCCACTAAATAACCACTCGCCACCACCACATCTCTCCCCACCACAACCTACCCAAGACATAACCACCTCACAGACGTCCTCCACTGAAATAACTTCCCCATCGTCTTCACGATCCTCCTCTCCGTTACCACAACCATCACCTCCAACCTCACCTCCACCACCACCTCCTGCTCCTCTTCCTGAACTTATACCACAACCTGAACCTGATCACCCCGATGACCCCATGAATACTCACCAGATGAGAACCCGCTCGAAAAACAACATAACCAAACCCTCGAAAAAGTACTCTCTCCTTTCTGCTCTCAAAAACCCTTTACCCTTCGAACCAACCACCATTACACAAGCACTGAAAGATCCTAACTGGGGTCGTGCTGTCTCCGTGTTGTCTCCGATGAACATAACTGATGATAGGATTTGTGTGTGGGTGATATGAGATGATATGAAATGATGTAAGTGATATGAGGTGGAATGCAAACAGTGGTGAATAAAGATGAGATGGTATGGTGCAATCACAATCAATCAATTCCTCTTAACCATCATAGTCGATGTAGTATAAGAGGTTATCAATCCAAAGGGTTTGTTGCTACTCTTTGAATTTATGCAAACACAAGGAAGTCAAGCAGACAGTAAAGATGATAGGAAGTAACTCTAGCAACCTAATGAAATGAAATGCAATGCAGAAAGTAAAAGAAAGCAGTAAAGAAAGCAGCTCGACCAAGGGCTCGATCGAGTGGAAACAGAGTAACTGAGCTCGATCGAGTTGAGGGTCGAGTTAGCGTAAAAACAGAGGAAAAGCGATAAAGATGCGAACTTTAATACGATAATGCGAAGGCTAGGGTCTAAGACAGGGTCTTGCGACTAGGGGAAGACTATACTTAATCAATCTTGCTCATTAACCACTTGTACTCAAGCTATCTCTTGGTATTGAGCTTCTCAAGCCTAGCTAACCCTTTCCCAAGGTGAAAGCTATCATCTAAGGCAAGATCTCAGAAACAGGGGGTTAGCCAGTGAGAATCAAGCCTTAGAGGCAGTAGGATCATTGCTCAAACTAACCCATCCAACACCTATAAACTCCATTTCGAGAGCAAGCATATTGGAGCTCTTAGTGGACCTTTTCAAGCGATTTCCCAACATTCCCATGAGGAAAATCGCCTAGACTCATACATGCCAGGGGTAGTGGTCATGTAGCCTTAAGGCTTGTCCAAAAGAGAGAGATTTTAGATTAAGAACATAAAGCAAAAGAGATTAAGCATAAGATCCTCTAGTCTAGCCCATCTTGAACCCTAAGGATAACTACTCACTACACATGATGAAATACACAATCAAATGCAATGAAAGAGACATATATGAAAGAGGGAATGAAACTAAAGAACTTTTATTGAAATAAGCAAGTGCAAATACAGAAAGATAAGGCCTAGATCTAAGGTTCAAGAGCAAGAGCTCAAGAACACAAAGAGAGGCTTAGGTTTTGCAAAAAGTAAATTACAAGATTAAAGAAAAGCAAAACGAAAATAAGCTAAAGATTGTTGTCTTTTTCGTGGCACAAGCCTTTAAATACAAGAAGGATTAGGTTTAGGGTCAAAGGGGAAGCAACATTTTTCGGGTTTGACCATTGACTCTGCAGCTCGATCGAGTTGGAACTTGGCCGGTCGAGTTGAGGAACTCGACCGGTTGGTCGAGTAGATGGGTCGAGCTGACTTCAAGACGGCTTCCTTCTTCATCCTAAGCGTGTGCGGTTGAGCTGAATCCATGCACCAAGTCTTCCTTGCTCCTCACGTCCCAATTGCTCCAAAGTGCTCCAAAAAGACCTATTCAAGGATCAAACATGCACATGTATGCAAATGCAACCTAAAACTACTATGAATGCATAAGGGAAAAGGAACAAGATATGATGCTAATGGATGCTAAAACTATGCAAAATGTAAGTACATCAATAACGCTCACATCCGTAACCACTCGTGGTATCTTGTTCCACCACATCCCTCTCAAAATGTTGTCAGCTGCCGTTAGGTATTCACACTCAAGTATCTCTCCATGGGTCTTCTTGATCGTCACAAGGCACGCCTTGTTGCTAAAGATTTCCATCAGCACTATGGCGTTGACTACTCCAAAACGTTCAGCCCCGTCATCAAGATCACAACTATCCGCATTGTACTGGATGTTGCAGCAAGCAAATCTTGGTCCATACGGCAACTTGATGTGAACAACGCTTTCTTGCAGGGCACGCTTACGGAAGAGGTGTACATGACTCAGCCTCCAGGACTTATTGATCAGACTCACCCTGATTATGTTTGTCGCCTCAACAAGCCAATCTACGGTCTTAAATAAGCTCCTCGAGCTTGGTACACGGCTCTCAACGACCACTTGATTCAAACCGGCTTCACCAACTCGCTCGCGGACACCTCTCTCTTTGTCTACTGTCAAGCCTCGGTCCTTCTCTATGTTCTTGTCTATGTTGATGACATTATTGTTATATGGAATCGACCAGAACTTGTCACCAATGTGGAGACGTCACTCGCTACACGTTTCTTCATTAAAGATCCTTGTGATCTCCACTACTTCCTCGGCATTGAAGTTACACATACCACCACTGGTCTCCATCTCATGCAGCGGAAGTATATTATTGATCTCCTCACCAAAACGCACATGTTGGAAGCTAAACCTATCTCCACGCCACTACCGACCTCACCTAAGCTCACACTCAACTCCGGCCGCGTACTCGAAAATGCCAAGCAATATCGGATGGTTGTTGGGAGCCTCCAATATCTTCCATCACTCGTCCGGATATTGCCTATGCAGTCAGCAGGCTATCTCTCTACATGCACAAACCGACTGATGATCATTGGCAGGTTGCTAAGAGAGTCCTTCGATATCTGGCAGGCACCCTCACACATGGCGTTTACTTTCGGTCAGATAGTCCTTTGTCTCTACATGGTTTCTCTGATGCAGATTGGGGTGGCGACATAGATGACTACACCTCGACCAATGCATATGTGATATATCTTGGTAAAAATCCCGTCTCATGGTCAGCAAAGAAGCTGGCCCGTTCCTCCACATAAGCTGAGTACCGAGCCGTTGTGAATACGGCTGCAGAGGTCCGTTGGATATGCTCCTTACTCAGTGAACTCGGCCTTACACTTCGTCAGCCACCAGCCGTTTACTGCGATAATGTTGGGGCCAACTATCTCTGCGCCAATCCTGTCTTTCACTCACGAATGAAACATATAGCCCTTGATTATCATTTCGTTCATGAACAGGTCCAATCTGGTATGTTTCGGGTGTCTCATGTATCTACACATGATCAGCTAGCTGACATGCTCACAAAACCGCTACCTCGCTCACATTTTCAGCTTTCTCGAAACAAGCTCGGAGTCATTCCCATGCCTCCTTCTTGAGGGGCGTGTAAAGGATGTAGTATATAATTGTCATTAAGGGTCTAATTGCCATTAGTTAATCCCTAGAGTCTCTCCCTTGTATTACTATATATATTGTACATCACACCTCTAATAATATTATTCACTTTTCAAACCTATATAAGATATCTTTGGGCCTGTTGTATAATATGACAGCATAAGAAATGATAGGTTTCAAGACAACTTCTTTCATTGTAAGATTGAAATATGTTTTAAACCTGTCCCACGTGAATCAGACCCATCATAGCCCATGCGGTTTGCACTAGGTTCGATCCATTCCCTTCTAATAGTATGTATCTCTGCATACAAATTATTTTAGAGAAAATATTAATTAACACTTCTTTTAGGTGAGATTGGTATATACTATTACTAGAATTTCATGTTAACTCATACAAATACCTGTTCATTGCATGACATATAGCTCTCACCCCAACCTCCATCATCATTCTGTATCATAAGCAAGAAATCTACACCTTTACGTATAGATGGAGAGTTGTTGTATGTTTTACCAACCGTTGCTAGGCCGCTAAGAGCAAAGTGCCGTAAATGTAACAAATACCCCAGTTTCCATACCTACCATGACTCAAAAAAACTTAAATTTTTAGAGAGACATTTGAATCCACATTCACCAAAAATTTCTTAAGTATATGAAAGTATCATACCATGAACCGTCTGGCATTTGTTTGCTTTCTATGAATTGCACTGCTTTTACGACGGACCTAATGATCTCTGTGATCCTGTGATCCGGATATAGTTGTTTGATGATAAACAAAGCTTGTATAACCGATGAGGTACATTCCACGTACTCGCTCTCGACCAAGTAAAAAAATCTGTTGGACGGGGCCCGCACAAGCGGTGGAGCATGTGGTTTAATTCGATGCAAAGCGAAGAACCTTAAGAGATTCTCTTCGATCATAACAAAAAAAAATGAACATCCTTATGTGTTTTAGCTCTTACTTCCAACCATTTATGTGTTGGGCGGGTTCCCATGCAGTGAAACCTCCATTTTCACTCTATATAAAATGAAGATATATGCATGAATATTATTTATTTAAAGGAAGTAATTTTCAACAGCATCAAGCTTATATGTATAAATCCACCTGTAGCGTTAGCAAGAGATCAACAGAATTGTAGAGATGTTCATGATTCATTTTCTGGCCAACGACATCAGCTGGCATCATTGAAAGCAACATGCAACACTGCAAACCCAATTACGGTACATGTTAACTTGAGGGACAAATCTTGTGGAGACTCTAGCCATCTGTTTCAACAACTAATTGGATTACCTTAAGAGCTTCAGCTGTACAATCTGAAACTTGCCATCCATGATCTCGATCAGAAAGAGTCCACGCTCCTTTGGGCTTTGGATATGTGGCGATACATGCTCTTGAAATCACCTGAAGGGTTTTCTCTAACCTACAAGACAAAGTTGTATGATTTAGATAATATTCAATTTTTTTATAGAGAAATTCAAGATACAAGACTATCTTAAGAAGGGTATCAAACCTGAGATCTCTTTATGTAATCGTGTCCTCTCCTGAGCACGTCATAGGTCTCATCACAGAGGTCACTAGCAAGTAAAGCCTGCATTGCAAACCCTGTCTCCCAAAGTTGACTTCCAAAGCTCTGCGTAAATTTGGATTTCTTAATAATTTTTCTCTTCAGAATATGTTAGAATCCTACATTTGTTACATGTCAAACAAACAACGTTTATAACCTGTATTTTTAGTCCATCTTCAGCTACCCGTATATAATCTGAAAGTCTAGAGAGATGTTTCTTAAAGTGGTCCCCACCTGGGTTCTCAATCCAACAAGCAAGCATGCACAAAACCTTCAGACAAATATTTGAAATGTAAATTTTGTTGAGAGTGTATATGCATAAATTTTTTGAAGTTTTTTTAATCAATTTTTTACCTTCTCAATACATCCAATAGTTATGTAATGACTATTTTCATCCTCATAATGTATGTGTTTCATTGCCACCCGAAGAGCCTTTTCCCTTACAAGATTGTTTAATGGCCATCTTGTAAGGAAAGGCTCCGTGAAGATGTAGAGAGTGTCCCATATCAAATCTTGAAACAGAGGATGTGGATCAAATGTGTCTTCCTGCAAAAGTAAGATTTAATCTTTACATATTTTTTCTGTGCTAAATATTTTTGAAGATTAAGTACCATACTTTTGCATATAAACGCCGTGCTTTATTCCAATTAATTTCTTCATAAGGTTGTAAGTGAAGTTCTTCACGCAGTTGCATAATAAGAGGGGTAATTGGGCCAACAAATCTTTTCCCATATAGATAAGACATTGGCATAAAAACCATCCTCGTGTAGCACAAAAGTTTTCCTGTATTTGTTCTTGTATGTCAGGACAGAGTATTTTAACACATTAATCTTTTAAAATAAGTAAATATATATTACGCATTTTTAAAGTGTTTCATATAGTAAAATCTCCACAATAGCATAACAAACCTAGGTGTACTGGAAGGAAAGAAGGTAGCAACCAAATCTCGGGAGGCATTGGATTGGTTCCAGACCAGTCAAAGATTCCTAGTATGTACACATATAAGAAGGAATGTTGATGATAATGCCACAATTTTCAAACATCTCTCACCTACATATTAACATACGATCCAAAAGATTTACCGCGAGCCAAACTTTTCCCCAAGAAGGAATATAAGTCACACCACCACGGCTAAGTATCCATTGCCTGGATCGTTTGCACGCGTTTTCTCGTCCTCCATCAGGACCTAAGCCAAGCATACGCAGGCATATGTAATTCAGCACGGTGCTGAACATAACGCTCTTACTCTCAATGTGTAATCCCCATCCACCATCTTCGTTCTGTAGATTAAGGGACAACAATAGAATTGCTATAACGCTCTTACTAGTTGAGTCTGTTCTTTAATATATGGATTTGTAAGCTTTTTAGTACCTGGTGACAAAAGATATATCGAAGCATTTCTTTGCGATGCTTTGCATGGAAGACCTCTTCCAAGTGTCCTGTGAATGTACAAACAAAATACCTGCAGAAAGTTTTCTTCTCTGTTTCATTTTGACTTTATTCTCCGCGATATAAACCTAAATCTTTGATTCTAGCCCTAAGAGTATTCATCGATAGACATAAAGTGGAAACTGATAGCAGAAGAAGAAACATACCAACGGAGGAAGGAAGAAAAGAGGTCCGGAGTTCTCTGTGGGCCAGTGTCCGTCGGAGTCCTGCAAAGCCGAGAAGAGAGCAACTCCTCGCGGTAACGCATTTGTAGCTTTTTCGTATGTTATGCCTTCGCCGTTGCAAATCTTTACCGGTGGAATCACTTGTTCGAATTTCGCCTCTTTCAAAAACTGTGTAAATGTGTACATTGCAAATAAAAATTTATACCGAAAACAGTCTCATTGCAAATCATATACTCTACTTGTTAGAAATAATATCATACTTAAGAAAAAAAAAACCAAATTGTACTCTCACACATCTTTAGGCATTTTTCATAACTAGACAAAGCTCAATGATGAAAAAATATATCTTACTTGCATTCGCCACAAAAGATCACTCGAAGCTTTAACACGAGAACGGTTGTCAAAGAAACTCCGGCGAGCTTCTTCAACAGCGGCTCGTTCCACCGCTGTGCCGGCTTTGGGATCAAACTCCCATGTCTGACGTCCAACGAAGTTATTGCTGCTGAACAAATATGGATCTTTTTCATTTCCCTCACCTATCTTCAACCTCCACATAACGATGATCCTATGCATAATATATATATCAATGAACAGTGCCGGCCCAACCCATTGACAATGAACTTATAATTTATATGCTAACAATCGCATGATGATATATATAATATTTGTATTTCTACATGCGCCAAGGTATATATATATGTACTCAAGCTTACATATGTTATGATTTTATATCACTTTATATATTGAAAGAGCTAGCCTCAAGGTGAAACAGAGAGAGTTATATAGAGAGGGAAAGTACTTGTGTTGGGTCGATAATTCTATACTTTGGAAGAGTTTCATGCACATGTTTATGTTTCTTTAAACACACCATGTTGAGAATATTAACACTTTTAAGAAATCACTTTAAAAAAAAAATTAGATATTTATATACTAACTAACAGTATACATACTCAAGCTTACATATATTAAGATTTTGTATTTTTTCTATGGAGAGGCTTAAGACGTAAGTGTGTTTGGACTCGAGTGGTTGAAGGATGGGTGATCTTCCGGGAAGTGGTTTCCGAAACCGTGTGAGTGAGGCCAAAACACGGAGAAAGGTCAGTGTTGATTGTAGAGATAGTAAACAAATCATTAGATCCTCTCAAAAATAACGGACCGGCCGTCGGATAGAGGTGAGGCCCACAAGCCGAAATGGGCCTGCGGGTCCAGAGAAGGTGTGGGTGACTCACCAAGAGAGGCGGTCGGACGTTATAATCTCTTTTATGAAGAATCATCTCTTTCATGAATTATTTATATAATACACGCCTTCACGGGATTATTTTATTAAAATGTAGAAACATAATAGCATGAAGACATTTGGATTTTAGGTTATAATAGTAATGACTAACGAGGGACATAAAATCTCTTAACTCATACCTTCTTTATCAAAATATATACCTTAACACATTTAGAGATCTATGTATATTTAAAAATCTTATTATATAAAGCTGGATGCGCACGACGTGGTTGCGACACGTAGGATTTTTATAAAATTCAGGATCGCGACATGTGTCACTTTTAAGTTTATGTCCGTTAAGATCGTGACACGTGTCTTAGGAAAAAAAGAGAACTTAAAAAAAAATTCCAGAAAAATGTTAAAAAAAAAACGAAATTTAATTTAATCTATTATATCAAAAAGGAAAAAATAATATTTGCCAAATCCAAACAGAAAAAGGTTTCCCATTCATCAATTTTTTATTATATAAAGTTGGATGCACGACGTGGTTGCGACACATAGGATTTTTATAATTTATAAGATCGCGACATGTGTCACTTTTAATGTTACGTCCGTTAAGATCGTGACACATGTCTTAGAAAAAAAAAAATAATAATAAAAAATTTAGATAAAGGAATTTTTTTAAAAAATAATCCATTACAGTTAAAAGAAATAAAAATATATTTGTCATATCCTAATAGAGAAAGGTTTCCATTCATCAAATTAATATTATCCAAACAAATAATAAAATCAAAATAATGTAATAAATAAAATCCTATTTGTACATGGAATATGTTATGTAAACTAAATTTCCTATAACTGCATGTAATAGGTTACTTGAACCCCTATAAAAGAGAGTCAAGTTTCTCAATCATAAATTCATCAAAGCAAATTCATCAAATCCCTTTGATTCTATTTCTCCAATTTAAAAATCATGTTTTTGAAAGTTTTGCGATACATAGGATTTTTATAACTGACAAAATTGCGACATGTGTTTTAGAAAAAAAAAATTCTGGAAGTATGAAGATCGTAACATGTGTCATGGAATAAAAAAAAAAATTAATATGTATAAGACTAACTAAAAATTAGAAAAACAGATAACAAATAATTAAAATGAAAAAAATAATACATCCATTAAAAGTAATAAAAAAACAGGAAACAAATAATTTAAATTCTTTTGTTACATCTATTAAGAAAAGGAAAAAAAATCCATTTCGAAAAGGAAAAATACCAATATATAGTATTTATAATGGTCTGAGGCAAAAACAAAATTGAGAAAGAAAAAATATAAATAGAAAACTAACAAAATAATTATCAAGCAATTAACTAATATTAAAAAATTATAATTGATATTCTAATTTTAAATAGTTTGATTTTCAATTTTTGTTAGGTAAAAAAATTGAAATAAAGATTTCATCAATTAAAATCTCTTGAATGGAATAATAAAAGTTTGATTAATTAATCAGTTGATCAGATTTAGACATGTGTAAGTCTTTCTGTATTGGATAAAAATAATAGTAAAACAAATTAATTCATTTTGTCATATCATAAATTCAAAAGAAAAATCAATTACAATAAAAATGTAAAAGTATTACCAATCTTATTTTATTTAAATATTTTTATCGGGTTTTCAATATTATTTTGTTTACGTTTAAAAATGATCAAATTTTGTTTAATATTTTCCATGCTTTTATTATAAAATCTTAAAATATACCCGCGTATACGCGGGCCTTAATCTAGAATATATATATACCTACACGAATATTGTATATATCATCACACGATTCCAATGCGGTAACAAAAAAAAAATTCCAAAACTCAATCAATGTTAGAAATTTAGAATAGGGAAAAAAAGAATAACTGAAACTGTAAAATGTTTTTTTTTCTACTTAAGAATCCTATAATCGTCTTTGACCTCTATATAGACACATGCACGCACATGAAACCTTCCAATCTAATTATCGACCGTGACGGAAAATATCGAACAAACACAAGTACTTCCCTTCTCTCCCTCTCTTACTCTCTCCCATAACACAAATATCGCTTTGGATGCATGCATTGGGACTCATATATAATTGTCCCTCGTTACTATTATAACCTAAAATCCAAATGTCTTCATGCTATAATATTTCTACATTTCAGTAAAATAATCCCGTGAATCGAATAAATAATTCATGCAAGAGATGATTCTTCATATTACCAATTAAACAAGCAATAACAAATTTGTTTCTTTCTTTTCAAAATTTTGAAATTATTGTAAATGGCTGGAAGAGATAATCCCTCAAACATCAATCAATCAACAACAAATTTAGTGCAAGATTAATCATATTTAGTACAATTTTTTTTTTCCTGATGGAGGTTAGTTTTGCAATTCATTCAATATATGGTATAACATGGCTTGAAAATATCAATTCAAATAGTTGGCAATGTTCCCACTATAATAATAGTTTCCAAGAATCATTTTTTCTTCATATCTGCTAGTTTCTAATCTACTCTACTTTATAGCTAGTCTAAGCTCTCTGAACAGTCTCAGCAAATCTCTACCGCCTCAAGCTGGCTGAGTCAGCTCAATAGCCAAGGCTCCTCCGCTTTCATGGTCACCGAAAGTTAGCGTATACTGTCCGTTGAGTGTAGTTAGCTAAATAATGGGGAAATTACCAATTCTAGACCACAATTTGATTTTTTCTAGTCAACTAGACCACAATTTGAATCAAATGCAAAACTAACCTCTTTGGGTAGTAAAATTACCCCACAAGCCCTCATGACCAAACAAAAAAACGCATGCCTCGATTACGATTATAACCTCCAGACATGTAGATCTACCCCGTAGATCTATCTGGTAGACAATGTTAGAGGTCTACCTCGTAATAACATCTTAAATTTTAATTAATAATTCAATAAAAAATATTTTATACAAAAACAAGTATGAATAATTCTAATATAGACATTATCATCTACAAAAATATAAATGCATACAAATGAATCATTTATAGATAAGCAAAGACATATAGGTTAATATCTATAAAAATGTTTGAGGTCTACCGAGTAAGTCTACTATATCATTAAATTTAAATTTTTATTATAAAATTGAAAAAAAATATTTTGAGGAAAATTATTTATACATAATTACAATACACACAACTTGCATCTATCTAAAATATAATTTCATATATTTGAACCAACTGAACTATGAAAAAAACAAATTAGGTTAAAAACCTATAAAACCATGAGAGGTCTACCAAGTAAGTCTATTAACTAATCAAATCTTAAATTTAAATTAAGAAAATTTAAAAAATATTTTGAAATTTTTGTTTCACAAATAACGAAATAATAGACATTAACATATATTAAAAATAAAATTTCAGAAAAAATCATAAATCTATAAATATCATATGTAAATAGTTCATAAGGATAAGAGTTTGAGTAGATTGTTTAGGGTTTAATGGTGTAAGTTGTAGGGTTTAGAAAAAATTTAAATGAAGAATTGTTTTTGATTGGTTTTACGATTCAATGTTAGTTTATTTGTGATATACATTGTAAATTGACAATATGGCAAGCTAATCGTTGCAAAATTGTATCTAAATTATTCGATTTAGGGTTTAGGGTAAAGTAGACCTAACAAGTAGACTGATAGAGTAGACCGCAGTGGAGGTCTACCAAACATTTTAACCTAGCGGGAATTCCAAAATTTCAAAACAAAAGGGCGGGAACTGGAAAATACCAACTTAAATCGAAATATTTTGGTAATTTCGTGGTAGACCGTAGCTGTTGATCGAAATGGTAGAGCTCAAATTAAATCTAATTGAACCGGAATTTTCTACTTAAACCGGAAAATTTTTCCAAGTATAAAAGAAAGAAAACCCTAATTTTGCTAAAAAAAATCTCTGCTCTCTCTCTCTCGCCGCCTCTCTCTCTCTCTCTCTCTCTCTCTCTCTCTCTCTCTCTCTCTCTCTCTCTCTCTCTCTCTCTCTCTCTCTCTCTCTCTCTCTCTCTCTCTCTCTCTCTCGCCGTGACTTGTGGCCACTAACTCCCTCTCGCCATCTTCTTCATCTTCTGCTTCTTGGCCTTGGTTTACTCTCTCCCTGGCCTGAGTTTCGAGGAGGGGCCGACGAAGTTTCGAAATGAGTCTCCGCCTCCGGCTCTGCCTCCCGCCCGATCTGTCTCCACCTTCTCGGGCTTCTGCGAAGAACCGTGGTTCTAGTCTCCGTCGGCGGACGTCTGCACCGTCGAGATATGTCTCGGCCTCCACCATCCTGCCTCATCCGATCTCAAGCCACCGTCGGTGGCACTGGTAAGCCATTTATTTTCGCTTCATAGCAGATCTAAATCCGATTTGAGCCACAACATGACATATTGACCTATTTTTCTGGATCTGAGCGCCAAAGAAGCTTTAGAGGATGAAGTTTAGGGTTCGAGCACAGAAGAGAATGAAGCGGAGGAGAATGGTGGGATAAGTTTCGTGAAACAATTCTTTGGAAGTTTCGCTTCTGTAAGTTTCTCCGCTTCTTCTCCAACATCAACTATTTCTCTTCTTATCACCTTGTTGTGTAGATTTTAGTCAGATCTGTAATAACTGTTGTTCTTGGTTTGCAGGTGTAGCTCCTCTTCGCCCTCTCCTCAACCAGGTCCGGTCAAGCCTTTGTTAAACCCACCGAATCCAAACAATGGAAAATTAGAGGTACTACTTAATTTTTGCGGATTTGGTTATATTTTGGGACAATGCATGCTCAAAATCAGTTTTTGTTTTTTTTGCGGATTTGTTATGTCGTGTTTCTGTTCTTAGAAGTTTAAACAAAAAAATGTGTTATATGTTCTAATTTATTTGAGTTCTTTGTTCTAAACAACTTTTGTTCTATGAATTTTATTTCTGATTTGTATTTGATATGGAAATTAGGTGGGGAAAAAGGATGGCTTTGGTCGAAAGGTCCAAGAAATTCTCTGCGGATTTTTGTGATATGAGCTTCTGCAGCCATTGATGCTAAATCTGCAGTTGCTCCAATCGAAAGAGAGGTATGAATTTTGCTTTGCTTTTATATCTCTGTTGCATTTGTACGTGTGTGTATAATCCTCTTTGTAACCTCTTCTTTGACTTGATGTTTTTCTGTTAAAAGGGCTATCTTAACAGATAGTGAAGAAGTGTGAGCAAAGCTAGAGCTAGAGCCTATCGCCCTGTTTTCTTCAGAAAGGCTGGTTAAAACTTACACAGCCACAGAAGGAGAACTCGGAGAGGTAGGAGAAGGCACAAGCCATTTCAACATTTTGTCGGAGAACTAAGTCCAGAGGTTGCAGCATTGTTTGATAGCGGTAAGTCATTATGCTTAATCAACTGCTTTAGTGACTAGTTTAATTTCTTTCGTTTTTTTTTGCTTTGGTCTTGTTGAACTTTTGTTGATTTGGATTTGAGTAAGACTCACGTTTTACAGTTGGTGTTGCAGTGGTTAATGAATATGCTTCCCGATCAGTGGTTGTAGAAGTAATCCTCTCATCATGAACACTTTCTATCTAGACGTCTAAAGCTTCAAGCTTTTTCCTTCCCCGATGCCAAACAAGCCTCCTAATTCTGTTCAGATCCGAACCGAGAGAATAGAGGTAAGCCCGACTGATGTTTGTTTACCGATCTGGAGCTGTTATCATTTCTTTTTTTCTTGATTTTAATTATGAAATGCTTGAAGGCTAAGCCTTGATAACCTTTTGAAACCAATTCTATTGTAACAGGACAGAAGGTCTCCCCAATCACTATGCCGTCGATGGTGACTAATGAGATGGCAATTGATATTTCATATGCTTTTGGATTTGAGTTTTTTTTAGTCTAAAAGCTTTTGGATTTGAGTTTTTTTTATTTATTTTTGTGTCAGTTTTGATTGTAAGACCTTGTTGCCTCTCAGATTTTTATTAGTATTTTCATGCTTAGTCTTCTTTGTCATTTGCATTTCTCATCATATCAAACTTGCATATCAGATTGGAAACTTGCATAAAAAACTTGAACACAACATAAAGTAGACTACTACGTAGACCTCAATGGTAGATTGCATTTGTAGATCTTATTATCAGTCTACTTCTGTTAGTAGACCTCATTTCAGTCTACCTTTCCAAGTAGACCTTATTTTCAGTCTATCTCTATGTTGTTCATCTACATCAGTTCAAAATCCAATTTTTAAAACTCATGTAATAAAAAAACAGAAACCATGAACACACTGTGAGTTGTCATTAGCTTACGCAATGAAGGCGGATGTCCCGGCACTTCGAACAACTATAAACTCTATCAAGCTATGAACCTATCGTTGGTGATGTACATATGAGGAAAGTCTAGGATTTGATGGAGCATCACATCTGGTAATGGATAAGATAATTCCACCATCTGGTTCCATATCCAACATATAGTCAGCTTGTACCATGTGTACAACCATCCCGTAAGTAGAACATTCTCCCTCCTTTTCCTTTATCCATCTCAAAATGCCATGACTTGTCTTCCATCACCCCATTTTCCATAAACGGAAGCTAGACAAACCATTACCTGCAACAAAAACAAACCAGACCACAAAATGGATTAGTAGACAGAAGGCGTAGACCGACAGGTAGACCCACAATTTGGTCTACCAAAAAATTAAGCTAGATACCTAATTCAAAAGAAAACCGAATATAGCCTTAATTACGCCGAAAGAACATTTCAAACTCACACAGAAGCAAGTAAACAAATAAAAACAACTAACTGTTCGAGATAAATTTCAAAATATTTGATATATTGAAAGGAAAACGACATTTTAAAAAACACATAATAATAGACCTAAAACGTAGACGTTCGGAGTAGACGTTCACGGTAGACCTCCACTTAGGTCTACTCCACGTGGACGGCCACGTGGAGGGTTAGTTTTGCAATTGATCGAGAAAAATGTTTTTTTGGAGGTCTACCTTGTCGGTCTACTACACGTGGAGGGTTAGTTTTGCAATTGACCAAACGTTGACTTTTACACAGGTCTACCGTGTAACGTCTACCAGAAAACGTAGACCTCTCAATCGGTCTACCAAAAAAAGTAGACCTCTGAATTAGTCTACGCCTTAGGTCTACCTACCGAAAACAGTTTGTTTTGCCGTTGACTCAAGTTTGACTTTCCTCGGGTAGACTTCCGTGGTAGACCTCAGTTTTTTGCGTTGACCAGTAGACCTCACTTGCGGTCTACCGGATGGTAGACCTACACGGTAGACCTCAATGACGCAAAATCTCTCCTTTTTGAGGAAAGTCAAACTTGAGTCAACGGCAAAACCAACTTTTTTTTTTAGGTAGACCTAAGAGGTAGACCTCCGAAAAACATTTTCTCTATCAATTGCAAAACTAACCCTCCACGTGGAGTAGACCGACAAGGTAGACCTCAAAAAAAACATTTTTCTCAATCAATTGCAAAACTAACCCTCCACGTGGAGTAGACCTAAGTGTAGGTCTACCACTCATTTTTTTTGTTTGCAAAGGAAATGGCACAGTCAACTCTGCGTTGACCAGTAGACCTAAACTGAGGTCTACTATGTAATGGTAGACCTACACTTCAGTCTACCTTCGCAGACCAAAACTGAAATTCTTAGAATTTTGAAAGAAAAGTTACTGGCCGTTGGAGAAAGGCTCTTCAAGGGCTGATAACTTCAATTTAGGCTTCAATTACGAGTTCCGGTCATCACTAAGCTAAACAATTGGAAATGCCAAGACCCAAGATTTGAGTTTTCTTTTAAGTTTTTGGGATGAAAATGGAGAGAAAATGGAAAGAATAAGAGTTTGTGAGATGAAAGAAGGAGAAATGCTAGCTCCAAAGTGAGTTTTCGAGCATTAACAGCTCCAAATTGGGTAAAAATGGTGGTTGTCAACATTGATGAAATGGCATTTTTGGCAATTAAGTGTAGAAGATGAGGGGTGTTTGGTCTTTCAGCAGATCTGGTAGACCTAAATATCGGTCTACCAATCGAAAAAGTAATGGCATTTCGTAATTAATTGGAAAAAACTGGACAAACTTAAAACGAAAAAACAGGAGGTTACTTTTGCATTTGACCACAATTTTGGGTCTAGAAGTGAAACAACCCCGCTAAATAATATCAAGTAATTCTACATAAGAAACTCCTCACTCTTCTTCAAGTATGCGGTTTATGCTAGTACTTCAAAACTTAAACGCTCTACGGGCAGGTGGTTTATCCACTTGTTCAAGAAAAAACACAAGTTATATGATATGATAACATGTTTATTGAGGAAAATAAAGAAATTCTATACAATCTTTATCGGAGAGTTTTTGATGAAATTTCTAATTAAATCGGAATAGATGGGGAAGGAAGATTACAACAATGGAAGTTGTGGTTGATAGTGTCATTATTAGTGACAAGAGATTGATGAAGAAGGTTGCAGAATATCGTGATGGTAATCCCCAGATGTTTACAAGTACTTCCGTTTCCTCCACTCTTTCAAAACTCTAGTATTGGATTTGTACATTCTTAAATAAAATACGTGTCTATCTATTTTTTCAAGAAAAGGACGGGTCTTGGATTTGGCCAACTGCATAAAATAAAGATAAGAAAGAACACAAAAATACAACCAAACAATTCAACTAATCTATTGGTTGAACCCACTCATCAATTTCCATTAGATACATTCTTTTTCCACTAAAAGATTTTACCTATTAGCTTTTGTATCAGTGTATAATTCAGTACAAAATCCTTTGCTTATAAGAAAATACCCATAAACTGGGGACCTAATCAAATTTGGACAGACGCACATACTTCATCTTAGCATATAAAGTGCATGGAACGTGTAGTCTTTTTCTTTTTATCTCTTCAAGATACAGAACATTAAGGAAATAAAATTTAACACTATAATACATGGGTCTACACATCTTTCGTTCTGTTCTTCTCGTCACAATTTTCATATTCCATGGGTCGTGTTACTCTGAAAAAGGTACAATCTTGCTTTTCATCATGTATGACCGTCTAATATTATTTTGGTAAGATAAATATACGTCTAAATATTATATACTCAACTTTGCATGCACAGAATTAAATTTGTTTAAGCATATGTTCTTTACAAAAAAATAGAAAAAAAAAAAATCGGGATCCTATTTGTCATTGACCATCCAATCAATGAATGATGTTAGTACAAAGTTCAAATTATATGATAAAATCTTTCTTAAAAACAGGGAACTATGCTTTTATGAAAGATGCAACAGAAGCACCAACTCATGCTCGCTTCGACTACATAGTAATCGGAGGAGGAACCACCGGTTGTGCATTAGCCACTACGCTATCTCAAAACGCCAACGTTTTGGTTCTCGAACGTGGCGGCTCTCCATATGACAATCCAAGGGCCATGGACATCGGAAACTTCGGCAACACACTCTTAAACGTCACACCAAACTCGTGGTCGCAGCCTTTCATCTCCGAGGACGGCGTTTACAATATACGTGCGCGTGTCCTCGGGGGTGACTCAGTATTAAACGCTGGGTTTTACTCACGTGCCGAAGATTTTTACGTGGAGGAGGCTGAGTGGGAGAGGAGTGAAGTCGAAGCTGCTTACGAATGGGTCGAGAGTAAACTTGTGTTCAAGCCACAAGTAGTGGGATGGCAATCTGCGTTAAGAGATGGCCTTTTGGAGGCTGGTGTGATTCCGTATAACGGTTTTACCTACGACCATATCAACGGGACGAAGATCGGCGGTACAATCTTTGACCCAGCTGGCCATAGACACTCGGCCGCAGATTTTTTAGAGTACGCTAGTCCGGACACGATTGTTGTCTACTTGCACGCTCTTGTTCACAAGATCCTCTTCACCACTGAAGGTCTTTGACTGATCTACACGTTTTCTTTCTATAGCTTATAAAATACTTTGGTCCTTGGAGTGATTCATGTTTTGAACAGGAGACCAAAGGCCTAAGGCATATGGAGTTATATATCAAGACGCGGATGGAGTGTTCCACAAGGCAGAGCTGGCAACAAACACAATGAACGAGGTGATTTTGTCTGCGGGTGCTCTCGGGAGCCCGCAGCTTTTGATGTTGAGCGGTGTAGGTCCTAGGGCTCATCTTGAGGCCCACGGAGTGAATCCTGTGGTCCTAGATGTTCCAATGGTTGGACAAGGGATGGGAGATAATCCGATGAACAGTGTTATCGTCCCTTCTCCTCAACCTGTAGAAGTGTCCCTCATCAAGGTCGTTGGGATCACCGATTTTGATACTTTCATTGAAGGTTTTAATGGCTTGAGCCTCTCTTATAACTTGATCAGAAGGTTCTTCAATTATCTTCTAAGTCTTGCCAACGAGGTACGATATAAATATATTGAAGGTTATTATAACTTATTATCTAAGATCATGAGTCATGAGACTATATGTTATTTTTACTTTTGATGCTTTGCGTAGACAAGCCTCTCCACCCAATCAATCACAGACTTTCTCAAATCCATTGATCCTCCATTGGAAGTGGCTGAAATTGACGGCATGATCGTCAATAAAGTCGACGGTCCGGTCTCGAGAGGACACTTAGAACTCCGGAACAAGGATCCAGATGATAACCCTTATGTGAAATTCAACTACTACCAAGAGCCAGAAGATCTAGAGAAATGTGTTAAAGGACTTAAAACCATTATTAAAGTGATAAACTCTAATGCATTCTCCAATTACAAGTACATGAATACAACCGTTGATGAGCTGCTCAGACACATGCTAAGCTATCCTATCAATCTAAGACCAAGGCACGAAACCGCAATGTTCAACTTGACGCAATTTTGCATCGACACCGTGATTACTATTTGGCATTACCATGGAGGTTGCCAAGTTGGAGGAGTGGTCGACAAGGATTACAAAGTCTTTGGCATCGATGCCTTAAGGGTCATAGATGGATCCACGTTTCTCAAGTCTCCCGGGACTAATCCTCAAGCCACTAACATGATGCTCGGAAGGTAAAATGAAAATAAAAACCAAATGATCCATATATACATGTTATAGACTAAAATAAGTAATGATTGTTGGAGTGTTATGTGTAGGTACATGGGACAGAAGATTCTTCGGGAGAGAAATGTTTTCGGGGAAAAGAATGAAGGATTATTCGATCAGTCAAGATGAGACCAATATATGCTTTTCATCGTCTAAATAAAAGTGTGACTGTAATCTAGTTGATGTTGTCAACTATTAGTTATGTTTCTAACTAAGATGAATAGATGATTACCAATAATATTTTTAATATAAAGTTGTATTGTTGGGTAACTGTTGGTGGCTTGGTGCATTGCATTTCTTCGGTTTAAGAAGAAACCCTTAATTACTAACATTAACAGTATACATTTTATTTCACCATTTTACGGTTGTATTGTATAAAGTTTGGGTAATTCTTTAAAATACTAGTAAATTTTGTTCTAAATGTACTTCCGTAAGTGTATTTTTTTTTTCAATTTTATATCACTTTTTTAGTTGAATGTGAAATCTGTTTAACCCAAAAAAATTGTTTTTACTTTTTACATCCCCCAAGTCTTGGATTTGGCCAACTGCACAAGATAAAGATAAGAAAGAAATGGAAATATAACCAAACAAATTAACAAATTAAGTATACCCCAGTAGGAATTATCTTTCTTATCGGTTAAACCTAGACATCAATTCCATTAAATACACTCTTTTTACCACTAAAAGATTTTACGTATTGGCTGTAGTTTTCGGAGTTTAGTGTACAATTCAGTAAAAAAATCGTTTGCTTATAAGAAAACACCCATAAACTGGGGAACTAATTCAATTTGAACAAGAGGCTCATACTTCATTGTATAATATAAAGCAAAGCGCATCAAACGTGTATCATATCCACAAGATAAAAATAATAATCTTACACAGTTACACTATAATATGGGGATGAGTTTACACATTTTTCATTTTCTTCTCAGCACAATTCTCATATTCCATGGCTCGTGTTATTCTGATAAAGGTACAATCATGGATCATTACGGAGTTATATCAATTGTAGGCAATATTCCAAGTTATATCAATTGTAGGCAATATTCCAAGTTATATCAATTGTAGGCAATATTCAAATTTCTTGAAAACTGTTTAGTCCTTGTTGGTTTTTAATAGTATTGATTTTTATGCATATTTAAATTTATCTAAGGATATATTATTTTTTAAATCATGTTACTACGAAATTCATATATGAAGATTTTTTGTTTTTTTTTTTAAACAGGGTACCACAGATTTATGAAAGAAGCAACTGTAGCACCAACCTATGCTCGCTTCGACTACATAGTCATCGGAGGAGGAACCTCCGGTTGTGCATTAGCCGCAACGCTCTCTCACAACGCCAACGTTTTAGTTCTCGAACGCGGCAGCTCTCCCTATGACAATCCAACGGCCATGGACAAGGAAAACTTGATCAACACACTCGTAAACGTCACACCAAACTCGTGGTCGCAGCCTTTCATCTCCGAGGACGGCGTTTACAACATACGTGCGCGCGTCCTCGGTGGAGACTCAGTGTTAAACGCTGGATTTTATTCACGTGCGGAAAAAGATTACGTCGAAGAGGCTGAGTGGGAGATGGAGAAAGTAGAAGCTGCTTACGAATGGGTCGAGAGGAAACTTGTGTTCGAGCCACAAGTAATGGGATGGCAATCTGCGTTCAAAAATGGGCTTTTGGAGGCTGGAGTGATTCCGTATAACGGTTTCACGTATGACCATATCAACGGGACGAAGATCGGCCGGTACGATCTTCGACGGAGCTGGCCATAGACACTCGGCCGCGGATTTGTTAGAGTATGCTAATCCGGACACGATTTTTGTCTACTTGCACGCTCTTGTTCACAAGATCCTCTTCACCACTAGAGGTAGTTGCTTGCTCTAAACGTTTTCTTTTTTTTCCATCACTTATATATACTTGGAGATGAAAATTCATTTTTTGAACAGGAGACCAAAGGCCTAAGGCGTATGGAGTTATATATCAAGACGAAGATGGAGTGTTCCACAAGGCAGAGCTGGCAAAAAACACAATGAACGAGGTGATTTTGTCTGCGGGTGCCCTCGGGAGCCCGCAGCTTTTGATGCTGAGCGGTATAGGTCCTAGGGCTCATCTTGAGGCTCACGGAGTGAATCCTGTGGTCCTAGATGTTCCAATGGTTGGACAGGGGATGGGAGATAATCCGATGAACAGTTTTATCGTCCCTTCTCCTCAACCGGTAGAACTTTCCGTTGTAGAGGTCGTTGGGATAACTAAGTTTTGATACTTTCATTGAAGGTTTTAGTGGCTTGAGTGTCCCTTATAACTTGACTCATGGATTCTTCGATGGTATTTTGAATCTTCGCAACGAGGTACAAATGTATGTTATTATTTTTAATCATGAGACTATATGTTATTTACTTATAACGCATTGTGCAGACTAGCCTCTCAACCCAATCAATCACAGATTTGTTAAAATCGGTGAGCATGATAGAGATTGACGGCTGGATCGTCAATAAAGTTGACGGTCCTCTCTCGAGAGGTCATTTAGAACTCCGGAACAAGAATCCAGATGATAACCCTTATGTGAAATTCAACTACTATCAAGAGCCAGAAGATCTAGAGAAATGTGTTAAAGGACTTAAAACCATCATTAAAGTGATAAAATCTAATGCATACTCCAATTACAAGTACCGGAATGCAACCACACGCGAGCTTCTCAATCTCATGTTGAGCCTTCCCATCAATCTAAGGCCAAGGCACGAGACCGCAATGTTCAACTTGACGCAATTTTGCTTCGACACTGTGATGACTATTTGGCATTACCATGGAGGTTGCCAAGTTGGAAGAGTGGTCGACAAGGATTACAAAGTCTTTGGCATTGATGCCTTAAGGGTCATAGATGGGTCCACTTTTCTCAAGTCTCCGGGGACTAATCCTCAAGCGACTGTGATGATGCTTGGAAGGTAAATGAAAAAAAAAAAAAAAAAAAAAAAGAATATGATCCATATATATATACATACGTGTTATTGTCTTATAGACTAGAATAAGAAATGATTGTAGGTACATGGGGCAGAAGATTCTCCGAGAGAGAAATGCTTTTGGGGAAAAGAATGAAGGATTATTCGATCATTAACTAGACCAATATATGCTCTTCATCCTCCAAATAAAAGAGTGATTATAATTAAGTTGATGTTGTTAAATATTATTTATCTTGCTAACTAAGATTATTAGTAATCATCATTTTAATATGATGTAAAGTTATCTTGGTGGGTATTGTTGCTGTTCATTTCTTCTGTATAAGAAGAAACCCATAATTAATGACTTTTATAAGTTTTTTTTTTTTTTTTTTGGTTTTAGACTTCTATAAGTTTTAACTTTATTTCACCATTTTACACATGTATATATAGTAGACAATTATATTGGTTCACAACAATTTTAATTAATCAACACCAAAAGTTATACCTCACCTATATATAGTTGAAGAGTATAGTGCCTCCTTCCCTATGCAAAATAGCAAAGAACTGATTAATGATTGTGGTTTGGTAGAGTTTCTAAGTCGGGCTAACACTCTTTCTTGGAGGGGTAGAAGAAGAGGCAAGATAGTGAGGTGCCGCTTGGACAGAGCGCTTGCTACAGAAGAGTGGCATGATCTATTTTCCTTTTCTCATGTGGAATATTTAAAAATGATTGGATCGGATCATAGACCAATTTTGGCCACGTTGGACTCGAAAGTAACGAAACGACGACAACAGTTTCGGTTCGATAAACGGTGGATAGGGCGTGAGGGTCTACTCGAATCCATTGAAAAAGGGTGGAAAAATTTCCATGGAGAGGTATCTCCGAGTTTGGTCGATAGGATCCACAGTTGCCGGCATGAGATTTCCGTTTGGAGGAAAAATAATCAACCCTATGGAAAGGCAAGGATCGCAGAATTACAGACTGTGCTAGAGGTAGTGCAGGATGATGATACAAAGACACAGGAGGAATTGATCGACATTACAAACAAGCTTAAAGAAGCTTATCGGGACGAGGAAGGATACTGGAAACAGAAGAGCAGGAATATGTGGCTAAAAGATGGGGATCTAAATACGAAGTTTTTTCATGCATCCACAAAGCAGCGGAGAGCGGTTAATCGGATAGTGGGGCTGCATAATGAGGGGAACGTCTGGGTTGCTGGTGAAAAGGAGGTTCAGAGGGTAGCAGTTGATTATTTCCAAAAACTCTTTACATCTACATTGCCGGTTGATTTTACGAGGGTTCTGGAAAATGTATCAGGATGCATTACCCCAACAGAAAACGAAATTTTAACTCGTTGTGCTACGGAGATGGAGGTGAGGGAGGCATTATTCATGATGCACCCAGAAAAGGCACCGGGGCCAGATGGGATGACAGCCCTATTTTTTCAACGGTCATGGCATGTAGTGAAAGGGGATATTCTCCCTATGGTGAATAACTTTCTAGCAACCGGGGTTCTTGAAGACATACTGAATATGACTAATATCTGTCTCATTCCAAAGACGGACCGACCTACTCGGATGACAGAATTAAGGCCAATAAGTCTGTGTAATGTTGGATATAAAATTATTTCAAAGGTCCTTTGCCAGAGGCTCAAAGGGTTATTGCCAAGATTGATTTCTGAAACACAGTCTGCTTTTGTGCCGGGCCGACTGATCTCGGATAATATTTTGATAGCACAAGAAATGTTCAACGGATTAAGGACCAACAAGGCTTGTCGAGGCAAATTTATGGCAGTGAAGACAGACATGAGTAAAGCCTATGACAGAGTCGAATGGCCCTTTATTGAGGCACTAATGCGAAAGATGGGATTTGCGGAGGCATGGATCACTTGGATGATGAGTTGCATAAAATCGGTCAAGTATAGAGTTTTAATTAATGGTCAACCACGGGGAAAAATTATACCGCAGAGAGGTCTCAGACAAGGAGATCCCCTTTCTCCATATTTGTTCATTATGTGCACAGAGATATTGATAACAAATTTAAAAAAGGCGGAGGTTTTGAAAGAGATTACTGGTCTCAAAGTGGCTCGGGCTAGCCCAGCGGTGTCCCATCTATTATTTGCAGATGATAGCTTATTCTTTTGCAAAGCTATAACTAAGGAGAGTCGGGTACTGTTACAAATCTTGAAGGAGTACGAAATTGCATCGGGGCAACAAATTAACTTTGCCAAATCTTCAGTACAATTTGGACACACGGTAGATGAGGGGCTGCGTGCGGAAATTCACCAGATTCTGGGGATCACCAATGTTGGCGGAATGGACAATTACCTGGGAATTCCCGAAAGTCTGGGGGCAAAGACAAAGATATTTAGTTTCCTCATTGACAGACAATACAAACGGGTCAATGGGTGGAATTCAAAATGGCTGTCGAGGGGAGGAAAAGAGGTTCTGATAAAGTCTGTTCTTTCGGCAATGCCAACGCATGTCATGTCATGTTTTCGATTGCCGAAAGGAGTTACAAACAAACTCACGAGTGCAGTGTCAAATTTCTGGTGGAGTAACAATGGGCAGACTCGAGGGATGCACTGGCTGGCTTGGAAGAAGCTTTGCCGACACAAGAATGCGGGGGGGTTGGGATTCAGGGTGATAGAAGACTTCAATACGGCCTTATTGGCAAAAAAATTATGGCGGCTACTGGATAACCCGGATTCATTATTTTCACAGGTTTTCAAAGGACGGTATTATAGGAACTCAGATCCTTTGGAACCCATTAGGTCATACTCCCCGTCCTATGGATGGCAGAGTATGGTCTCGGCTCGACCTCTGGTAAATAAAGGGCTTATTAAAAGAGTTGGTTCAGGGAATTCTATCTCGGTTCTTCTCGCCCGAGGCCAGCCACAGGACACTGGGCTCATTTCTACCCTCATCTTCGGGTGAGTGAATTGATGACAACCGGCACATCAACGTGGAATTTACCACTATTACATCAGCTTTTTGATAGCGAGGATGTTCCCATTATCTTAGGGATTCCAACATCTCGCACCGGTAGACCGGACTCGATGGGATGGTTTTTTACGAAGTCGGGCCGTTATACGGTAAAATCAGGGTACGTTTTGGCGCAACAAAGTCTTGATGAGGCTAATCCGATCAAGTATGGTCCGGATATAAGTCCACTACAAGCATACACATGGAAAGTGAAATGTACGCAGAAGCTACAACACTTCATCTGGCAAGTGTTAACGGGGTGTGTTTCTGTAGGGACACGGCTACAGAGTCGCGGCCTTCAAATCGACCCACAGTGCGTGCGGTGCGGTATGGCTCCGGAAACGGTTAATCACATGTTATTTGAATGTCCACCAGCGTTACAGTGTGGGCCTTATCCCCAATTCCTACAGCTTTGGACCATTTCCCAACAGGAGGCTTGTTTACAAACATTGCTCACCTGTTCTGGAACCTACCAAATGATGAAAGAATGGGTATGTATCCCTGGTTGCTTTGGTTTATTTGGAAAGCCCGAAACGATAAAGTCTTCTCCAATGATGACTCAGATCCTAATGATATCATTAATCACGCGGCAAGTGAAGCGGTAGCGTGGAGGACGGCACAAGCCAGACAAGAGGTTACACCGGTCTGGAGGGGAATCCGGCTGAGATCTCGCCAGAGGTGAAATCTGTCAGATTGATGGATCATGGAAAGCCACAGATTCCCGAGCGGGTCTAGGCTGGTATAATTTCAATACGGAAACAGGCGAAAAGCTTATGGGTACGTGTAACTTAAGGCGGGGTATATCACCACTCCAAGCAGAGCTTGAAGCGCTGGTATGGGCTATGCAGTGCATGTTACGGCAGAAGGAAGTTAACAATAGTGTTTGAAACGGACTGTTCTGATGTGGTAAAGATGGTGTCTAAACCCGAGGAGTGGCCAGCTTTTGCACCGATACTAGAAGAATTCTGCAGATGTAGGATGGAGTTCACTTCCTTCTCCATAGTGCATATCCCAAGAACGAAGAACACGAAGGCGGACAAGTTAGCACGGAGTGCTAGAGTTCTACCTACAGATGTGTTTTATGTAAACTCTGTTTCTCCGACTTGGATTCCCGAGTTGGTTTAGAAGCAGAGGCTGTCGACAAAAAAAAAAAAAAAAAAAAAAGCAAAGAACTAGGTAAGATATAATTTGTTCAATAGCAAAACCAACGAACTATATCTATTATTAGATATATTCACCAAAACATTATATAGTCATGTTGTCCGTTTTCTGCATTGACTAATGACTACCCAGTCGTATTAGACTTTGTAGATTCTAGAGTCATATGATTATAGTATACAAATGATTTAGTATTCTAGTTATATATAGTTATACTAGAATACTAAATCATTTGTATAAGTGTATAATTAAATGACTATATATAAGTGTCATGAATAACAAAATTATTTATTCTTGAAGTGACAGATTCACAGAGCACTAGTGTTTGCACCTGTTTTGTTAGCCACAAACAATCAGTTGTGAGTAAGAGAAGTCGGTGACAAAGAAACTCTACTTGAAAGCTGCAAAAGATTGGGTTGGCGTGAATTCATGACACTTACTAGTTTGTTTGATCAAGAATCTTGTTTTCTTGATCAAGAAACTGTTGTATTCTCCGCCGGGGTTCTTATTTTAATGATAAATATCGACACACAAAAATGAATATATTTTGTTTTAGACAAAAGAAACTACACAAAGAGCTTACCCTACGTTTGAATTTAGAAAGAAGCTTACGATTATAAAATGAGATATGCTCAAAAGTCAAAACTCGATAGTTGTTGAATTGTTGCTAGCATCATCCAAGGAAAGGAAACTAGCAACAATCCAAGAACTAGATCAATACTGTTTCAGTAATGAAAATAGTTAAATTTGCATTCTTCTTTAGACCTTAAAAAAAAAATGAGCCCAATTCTAGTGCAACACATGAACACTACAACAACAAAATATAGAATAAGTTTAAAGGAGACGAAAGTTTTTGTATCGATTACTAATCAAATTTAACGAGAGTATATACTTAAGTCATAAAACATAAATCCAATTAGAAATTTCGCTAAGAATTGAAACGAAAACAGAATCGTAAACTGAAAAGAAAATCATATGGAAAAGGAAGAAACCCCAATATATAAAACATGAAGGAAAGAAGAACACTTCACGCTGCATCAATTTTGTCTTGTACTACAATATATATGTAAAGTTATTTTGTCCACGAGCGAGTAATTATTTGATGAAATATCGATAGATACTCATGATCTGCTGTAAAATATCCTTTTTTCTTACTACTTTATGAATCTCATGAAAATGGTAAGTCTTAATAGAACAGAAATCTAATTCTCAAATTGAGTAATAACTAATAACTTTGATTTTTTTTTTCTTATGTAGAGGAGGATGAAAAGTTTGAAGATGATCTCCTTCCTTTCGAAATAGTTTATGAAACTGATTGATACGCATAACTTATGTGTTCTCGATGCTCCTCGGATTGGATGGTATGATTTCAGTTTTTTTTTTTTTTTTGGCCTTCTTGTTGCCTCTCCGCCATCAAAAATCAGAGACGTGCCTCAGCAGAAAGAGCTCGATCAGGTGAAGGAGCTCGTTGCCAAGTTGACCTCCGATCTCTCTGCGGCGAACGAGCGGGTAGCTCATCAGGGTGAGCTCTTGAAAAACACACCTAGCAGGAGGGTCGTGTGAAAGAGCTCGAGACCAGGGAGGCCGATCTCTTGCGCCAGCTGTCCCAGAATCAGGAGCAGATGGCGGCTTTGCAGAAGGAGAGCTCGAGTGCGCTGACGCAGTCGCTTCGTCTTAACCGGGAGAACCAGGTATTCGTTGCCGAGAAGGACAACGTAGCTCGCCGTGCCAACCGCGCAGGTCGGAGGGAGATGGTCGCGAAGCATCGGGAAGTGCTTGAATCGGCTAAGGCAAAGTTCGAGGAGAAGAGGGTGGATGGTGAGAAGCAGGGCGATCAGATCGAACTCCAATCCAACATCGATCTCCTTATGTCGCTGATCTCCGGCGCGATCAACCAGGAGGAAGAGCTCGCTAGGTTGAGGGGGCTCGAGGATGAGGTGGTCGAAGCAGCCAAGGCGGCCCAAGTCTATTCTTTTTCGAGCTCTTTGGCGAACTGATGTAGCTCGCGCTTTGCGGAGTTGTTTTCCCGTCTTTCGATCGAGTGTTTCTTATTCGGCTTTTGGAGATGGAATTTATTACCTTTCGAAGTTCGTCTTGGTTTTGTCGCTTCGCCGATAGTGTTCCGAGCTAATCGTGAACTTCAGGTCCGTCTGGATGGCTCGGCTTCGTGTTAGATTTCGGGCTGTCTCTGGGTCTTCGGTTCTACGATTGCTAGAACACTACGCTGGATGCTTGGACGCTGCGGACTTCGATTGGTTTTTGCGAAGTAAGAAATTGAAGGTAAAGAGGTGGACTCTGAACCTCACTTCGTTCGAAAGGGGAATATCGAGGTGATCTCGATCTTCCGATCTGTTTTGAGACGAGAGAAAGAGCTCGATTTCTTTTCAGGTCACGCAAGATCAGGCGTTTTCGACGTAAATTGATACGCTTAAGTAATTCGGAATTTGCTTAAGGACTTGCTGAGTTGATTCGAGCAATTCGTAGTGATAAACATAGAAAACATTTTATTTAAGTATAATATTCGAGATGATACAAATCGAGCCCGTTTTAGGGCCGGCCAATGAGGTCGTCTCAAATAAAACGAAGTAAATTCGGATTGGGGCTGGACTCGTGGTTGAGCTGCCTACGTACCCCCAGGGAAGGAGGATCAAGCCTAAACGTAGTTCGAGGGGTGGAGATACTCAGATTAGATCCTTTTAGTGATAGTACCTTTTCAGGTTCATCGCGTTCCAAGGTCTTAGTTCAGGTATTCCGTTTCTGACTTTTGTGAGCTTGTAGACGCCATCGCGAACTACATCGGTTACGAGGTAGGGACCTTCCCAATTGGTCCCAAGTTTTCCCGCACCGGGCTCTTTGGTATAGTCTTGTACCTTTCTCAGGACCATGTCGCCTATATGAAATCTTCGGTGCTTGACCTTGGAATTATAATAGCGAGCTGCGGCCTGTTGATAGTATCCGGATCCGGATCAGAGCTTGATCTCGACGTTCGTCGATAAGGTCAAGGTGATCTCTCAACATTTCTTCGTTCAGCTCGACGTTCGCTGGACATTGCATCCTGCGAAGACTTGGAACGGAAGTTTCAGTTGGGATGACGGCCTCTAGCCCGTAAGCTAATGAGAACGGGGTCTCATGAGTAGCTTTGTGAGGTGTAGTTCGGCAAGCCCAAAGAACTGCTGCGAGCTCTTCAGACCACCTATGTTTACGGGCGTCGAGCCGTTTCTTGAGGTTACTCAAGAGGGTTTTGTTTGTTGCTTCAGCTTGCCCGTTTCCTTGAGGATAACGAGGTGTGGAATACGTTATGCGTATGTTCCACTTCTTGCAGAAGTCTTTGAATGTTCGAGCTATGAACTGAGATCCGTTATCTGTCACGATCTCGTACGGGAGCCTGATGATAAGATTTGTGTGTGGATGTGAAAAGATATGAAATGAGATGAGTGGAATGCAATCAGTGGTATATGATGATGTGGTAAGATGCAAACACAAACACAGTCAACAATTCCCTTTAACCATGATAGTTGATGTAGTACAAAGGGTTATCAATCCAAAATGGGAAACTTGTCACTCTTTGAGAATATGAAACAACCAGGAAGTCAAGCAAGCAGTTAAAGATTTGAAGTAACACTAACAACCTAAATGAAATGCAAAGTAAACAAAGCAGTGAAGTGTCAGCTCGACCAAGAGCTCGAGTCGAGTCAGAGCAAAGTACCAGCTCGATCGAGTTTAGGGACGAGTTGAGACAAACAAAGCTAAAGGTGACGACTTTAACAAGCTAAGAGAGAATTAGGGTTCAAGACAGGGTTTTGCAATCAAAGGAATCTACACTTAATCAATCTAGCTCTTAAAACTCCTTGTATCAAGGCTTCTCTTGATATTGGGCTTCTCAATGCCTAGCCAACCCTTTCCCAAGGTGGAGGCTATCAACCAAGGAATGATCTCAGAAACAGGGGGTTAGCCAGTGAGAATCAAACCTTGGAGGCTATAGGATCATTGCCCAAACTAATCCATCCAACCCCTTAGACCTCTATGTCTAGAGCAAGAGATATTGGAGCTCTTAGTGGATCTTTTCCAGCGAATGCCATCACTTTCGTGTGGGGAGTCGCCTAAGGACTTACAAGCCAGGGGTAGTGGTCATGTAGCCTTAAGATCTATCCAAAAGAGAGAGAATCTAGATTAAGACCATAAGCTAGAAGGATTAAGCATATGAAACCTCTAATCTATCCCATCTCAAACCCCAATGGGTAACTACTCACTACACATGAATGTAAACACAAGCAAATGCAATAAAAGAGACATCATAAGAAAGAGGAGATGAAATAAACAACTTTTATTGAAATAAGCAAGTGCAAATACAAGAGAGATTATCCAGGATCTAAGATTCAAGAAGCAAGAGCTTCAAGAACACAAAGATGGATTAGATCTCTAAAAAGTAAAAGACAATAAATTAAAAGAAACTAAAACAAAATAATCTAAAGCTTGGTGGTTTTTTCGTGGCTAGAGCCTTTAAATACAAAGAGGATTAGGTTTAGGGTCAAAGGGAAGTCAAGGGGGAAGCAACATTTTTCGGGTTTGACTTTGACTTCCAGCTCGATCGAGTTGAAGCTTGGCCGGTCGAGTTGAGGAACTCGACCGGTTGGTCGAGTGGACGGTCGAGCTGGTCTTCAAGATGGCTTCTCCCTTCTTCCTTTGCGTATCCAGTTGAGCTGCTTCCATGTGCCAAGTCCCTCCATGCTCCTTATGTCCCATATGCTCCAGAATGCTCCAAAAGACCTATTTCAAAGGACCAAACATGCATATGTATGCAAATGCAACCTAAAACTAACATGAATGCATAAGAAGAGAAAAGGAACAAGATATGATGCAAATGGAAGCTAAAACTATGCAAAAGATGCATAAAAGATGTGCTAAAACTATGTAAAATGCAAGTACATCAGAGCCCGTGTCGACAAATGATGTCTTTCCAGATAAATTTCCGGACCTCGAGTTCGGTCGTTTGTTGGTATGGTTTGGCCTCGATCCATTTAGTGAAGTAGTCAGTAAGGACTAATAGGTATTGGAATTGCTTTGGTCCCGAAGAGACCATAGGTCCTATTATGTCCATAGACCACCTCATAAAAGGATAAGGTGAAGAGATCGATGAGAGTGTTTCAGCTGGGACGTGAATGCTTGGGGCGTGCCTTTGGCATTTGTCACATCGCCTGGAGTACTGTTCGCAGTCTCTGATCATCGTCGGCCAGAAGTAGCCTAGCTTTTTAATCCGTATGACGAGAGCTCGGCCTGCGGAATGACTTCCGCAAGGTCCTTGATGAGTCTCGTGCATTACGGTGTAAGCTTCTTCGCCATGGATGCATGTTAGATATGGTTCGATAAGGCTTCGCTTGTAGAGCTTATCTTCCATTATGCAATAATGTGCGCTTTGGGCTTTTAGCTTGCGAGATGCCCATTTTTCGTTAGGGACGGCTCCGAGCTGGATATACTCCATGATAGGGGTTCTCCAGTCGGGTCTCGCAGCGAACTCTTCCTTTAAGGTGAGTTCGTTCGCCATAGCAGATGGGACGGTATGGATCGTGGACTCTTGCGTATTTTGCGAAGAGTCCGAATCGATATACCTTGTTTTTTGCCTATCTTGGTCAGGTTCTTCTTCCTCGGAATCAGGTTCCGGGTTAGATGGTCCCGGATCTTGGGACTGTCTAGTTTGAGAACGAGTAGACGGGCGCGAGGTAATTGCGTTTATACTGTCAGACTTGAGTGCGATGTCGATGCTAGGTTTATCTATGCCTTCGACTGGGATCACACGTCTTACAGTTGGGTCCGAAGTGGAGGCGAGAGCAGCTAAGGCGTCAGCCGAAGTGTTCTCTCCCCTAGGCACCCTAGTTAGTTCGAATTTACTGAATTGTCCAGCTAAATCTCGAACTACTTTGAGATAAGCTTCCATGCGCTCCTCTTTTGCTTCGTACTCGCCGCTGTATTGGCTAGTAACGAGCTGGGAGTCGCTGAATGCGTTGATCTCATTCACGCCGATCCCGATTGCGAGTCGGAGTCCGGCTATGAGTGCCTCGTATTCGGCCTCATTGTTAGAGGCGACGAATCCGAGTCTGAACGATTGTTCGATCACTTCTCCGGTTGGAGATGTGAGTTTGATTCCGACGCCAGCTCCTTGTTTGGACGAGGCTCCATCTACGAAGAGTGTCCAAACTTTAGAGAGGGTGGTATCGTTATTGGCTTCCGGTGCCAGCTCGATCATGAAATCAGCTAGTACCTGGGCTTTAGCACAGGTTCTAGTTCGATATTCGATGTCGTATTCGCTGAGCTCGATAGCCCATTTAGCTAGTCGTCCAGATTGACTTGGACTATGTAGCATAGTTCGCAATGGTTGCGAGGTCATCACCACGATTGTGTGTGATTGAAAGTAAGGTCGCAGCTTGCGAGCGGACATTACTATTGCTAAGGCAAGTTTTTCCATAGCTGGGTATCTAGTCTCGGCATCAATCAGGGATTTACTTACGTAAAAGATTGGTCTTTGTTCGTTTAGCTCTTCACGAACTAAGACCCCGCTGACCGCTGCAGGCGAGACCGCGATGTAAAGGTATAGCGGTTCTCCTTCTACTGGTTTTGCCAGTATAGGAGGTTCGCTGAGGTAAGTTTTGAGCTGTTTGAAAGCTTCTTCGCATTTTTCGTCCCAGAGGAATTTTTTATTTCCTCGGAGGAGCTGGTAAAATGGAAGACACTTGTCGGTTGACCGGGAAATGAACCTATTAAGGGCTGCTATTCGACCGGTTAACCGTTGTACTTCTCTAGTATTTTCTGGAGAAGGCATATCTAAGAGGGCAGAGATTTGCTTCGGGTTCGCCTCGATTCCGCGTTCAGTTACTAGGTAACCGAGGAACTCGCCAGACGGAACTCCGAATGTACACTTAGTCGGGTTCAGCTTCATGCCGTACTTGTTAAGTATGGAGAAGCATACCCGGAGCTGTGCGACGTGGTCTGTTTCCCTAGAGGATTTGACCAGCATATCGTCTATGTACACCTCCATTGTTTTACCGAGCTGATCGGCAAACATTTTGTTTACGAGGCGCTGATATGTAGCTCCCGCGTTTTTTAGCCCGAATGGCATTACTTTGTAGCAGTAAGTACCTCGGTCTGTTATGAAAGCTGTTTTCTCCTGATCTTCTGGGTTCATCTTGATTTGATTATACCCAGAAAACGCATCCATGAAGGATAGGAGCTGGTGACCAGCCGTAGCTTCGACCAAGCGATCTATATGAGGAAGTGGATAGCTGTCTTTTGGACAAGCTTTATTAAGGTCTGTGAAATCGATACAGACTCTCCACTTTCCGTTTTTCTTTTTGACAACTACAGGATTAGCTAGCCAGTCGGGGTATTTCACCTCTCTGATCGAGCCTACCTTGAGTAGTCGGTCTACTTCGTCGTTTACTGCTTTAGCCCGATCTGGGCCGAGTTTTCGACGTTTTTGTTTCATGGGTTTGAACGTGGGATCTACGTTCAGCTCGTGAGACGTGATCCTAGTGTCAATCCCGGGCATGTCCGCGGTGGACCATGCGAATGTGCTGATGTTTTCCTTTAGGAAGGCGATCAGCTCGTCACGGATAGGTTTTGCGAGATCGATTCCGATACCAACGCGCCTTTCGGGGTCGGTTTCGTCGATGCAAACCTGAGTGACCAAGTCTTTTCGAGGTTCGCGGACGGTCGGATCTTTGCCATGTTTGATCTGCCGAATCGCGAGCTCCTCTTCTTTCTGTAATTGCTATACTGGCGATTTTTCAGCTCGCAAGTAGCTGCCCATATAGCAATCTCGGGAAGCTCGTTGGCAACCGCGAATTGTTTTTGTTCCCCAAGGTGTAGGGAACTTGACGCATTGGTGGTAAGTGGATGCAACTGCTTTCATGGTGTAGAGCCACGGCCTGCCGAGAATGGCATTGAATGGCGCGGGGCGATCTACGACCACAAAGTCAACTGTTTTCGTTATACCACCTGCTTTGATTGGGAGCTGGATAGTTCCCATGGAATAGGTCGTTTCTCCTGCGAACCCAGTTAGGGGCGTACGGCCTCCTATGAGTGCGGAGTTTTCGAATCCCATTCGCTTGAAAGCATCGTAGAACAGCACGTCTACAGAGCTTCCTGTGTCTATCATGACTCTGGTCAGCTCGAATCCGGCTACGGCGAGCTCGATTACGAGTGCATCGTCATGAGGTTTATCGAGTGCGAGTGTTTCGCTTTCTCGAAATTTGATTTCGTGATCAGGTCCGTCTAGAGGACGTGGTTGTCCAGATGACTCGACCCGTCGCTGATGTGCTTTGATCGAGTTAATCGAGTCTTTGCACATCTTCGAGCCACCGCAAATGAAGTCAATTCGTTTAGGGGTAGGTGGCTCTACTCCCCCCGAGAGCTTGTGAAGTCTGCGTAAGCAAGAGATCGCAATGCTCTTAGTATCGGGTCTGGAGGTAGGTGATGTAACAGGCGAGCTTCTGTAAGAATGCTCTATCCCCCCGACAAGTCTAGGAGGTCTGTGTGAGCTAGAGCTCGTAGCCTTTCTAGGAGCGGGTGGGGGGGTGACCACGGATCTCGTTGAGCCGCCGCAAAGGCTGAGCTCTCCGAAGATTAGGTCGATTCTTTTCCTGTTAGAAGGAGGGGAATCGGGGGCTTCGACCTCGACTTCGCGTTCTCTTTTCTGAGGTGCGTTGTCGGAGTCTTTAGCTGGTTTGGGTTTTGGCTTTTCGGCCTTAACCGCGGTTTCAGCTGTTTTGCTTTTTCCCTTCTTTTTGCTAGACTTTTTGCCTTTAGCACGGCATTCCTCTGTGGAATGGCCGTTTGTATTGTGAATATCGCAGTGTTTCTCTTCTTCCTCCGAGCTCTTTATGGGAGCTGAAGTTTCGATAGAGTAGGAATGTTGTCCTTTACTCTGCGAAGGTGGTTTAGCTGGTGCAGTTTTCTTAGCACCTGGTGGAGCATATGCGAGCTCCCCTTTGAGGTACTTTTCTCTGAGGAGAGCTGTGTCTTCCTCGAGAGTTGCGAATGCTGATGCGCGATGTAATGCGTCATCTAGTGAAATTGTAGGTCGAACAGTTAGTTCTTCTCTAAATTTCGATTCGTACCACAAGTTGTTTTTGAGGGCAAGTAGAGCTACTGCCTCATTAGGGTTTGTGATCTTAGCTTTGACTGATTTGAATCTGTCAATGTAAGATCGAAGTGATTCCTTTGGACCTTGAGAAAGTCTCCAAAGGTCTGCTTCCGTAATTTTAGATTCGATGAAGATCGAATACTGTTTTAGGAAGGCTGATTGGAGCTGGTCGAAATTATCGATTGAGTTTTCGTCCAGCGTTGAGAACCATTCTTGAGCTGGTCCGATCAGGTTCTCAGCGAAGAGCCTGCAGTAGGCTGCTTCTATCTCTTCTGGAGAGAAAGGAACTCGAGATACGACGAGGTTAAAAGCTCGCATGTAAGCTCTCGGATCGCTGTTACCAGAGTATTCTGGGATACGCAGCTTGCTGGTATCTCGAATAGGTACTTTTGATCCTGAGTGAAAAAGGAGTTCGTCTAGACTCTTTAATCACTCTGTCGATATCAGGAGCTGAGCTCGTTGCTTGATGAAACATTGAGCTCATATGCTGAAACGCGAGGTCTGTGCGATCTTGGAATCTTTCGAAAGATTCGCTGTCGACGAGGTTACGTGGATCAGCTGGATTCCGATTAGCTGGAATCGGATAAAATGGAGCTTGATTCGTGAATCGTTAGCTCCTTGGAATTGAGCTCGATTGGGCTGACCGTTCGAGCTAGGGAATTGTTGATAATTCCCGTTCACGTGCTCTCGCGCTGTTGCGGAGGGCTGTGAACCGTATGTCGCGCCTAGCTGATTCTCGAACTGAGGCATTGCCTGCGAGCTCGAGGCAAAAGCTGAAGCGCCAAACCACCTAGGCCTAGCTGGATCGGTACCAGGTGGCCCTGGGGGTGGAGATGAGAGCGGAACGTTCGGTTGAGCTCTCGTCTCGCTTGGGTGCGAGCTCGTATTATTTATGCCAACTGGTGGCGAGCTCGGCGGTGGACCGAAAGTCTGAGAGACTTGAGGTCGCGAAGGCGTAACGAATTGCGCCTGAGGTACGCCAGATGCGTAGATCGTCGAAAAATCGAGCTGAGTCCGCGGAGGCGGGCTAGTGATGTTTCGAGATTCAGCGAGGCGTCTCTCATGTCTCTCCAGCCTAGTTTCGTGGTCGCGCTGACCGTTTACCAGGTTGGTGAGAAGCTGTTTGATCTGTGCCAGATCATCTGGACTAGCTCGCGGAGGAGTTTGCGTCGCAGATGCAGGTCGAACAGGAATAGTCCGACTCTGTGGAGTCACAGTTGTTGGGGGATCTTCCGATCTGACCCAAACTCGAGAGAGAGGTCTCTCGATGGTGTGCGAACCCAGATTCGGTAGAATCGGGCTCGGGGTTGCTACCGGCGTGGCGAGATTGATCACCACTGGTTCCACGCGAGGTGGAGTGCTAAGCTGCACTCCAGTGGAGGCGGTAGCAGATGTGATCGGCGTGTTCGAAGTGTTGGCAGTTTGGCGGCTACCAACATTCGACGCGATCTGATCTCTCGATGCATCAGCAGTTTGGCTGCTACTGATGTTCGAGGTGATCTGATCCGATGGGATCGAGTTTTGGGAGTTAGATCCCTGGGTTTGCGACCGGATAGTATCCATTTTCGCTCTTACCTGGCTTAGGTTCGACCCTTGTGTAAGAAAATCTATGTTTCCTCCCCACAGTCGGCGCCAAAATGTGGGCTATGAAAACCACACTCGAAATTTATAGGTTTTGCAAGGAAGAAACTTAGGGAGATTTAGGGCTAGATTTTGATGTAAGTCGAATGAATCGTAAGCAAGGATTTGGCTAAACGGAATTGTATTAAACGAATGAAAATGGTTACAATGAATTCTCAGAAGAGAGAAAGAACTAAGCTCAAAGGAAAATACAAGGAAAGTATGATAGTAATTAGGTCTAAATGATCGGAAGAAGGTCTGATCCCTGACTGCTGTCAAGCTCCTTTTATAGCTCCAGAATCAGCTACGATCCACCTCCGCGTATCTCGCCACGTGCAGCTAACGATCCCGGTGATCTCGGACCAGACCGGATTTGAAGGAGATCTTCTTTGACTTCGTCTTTCTTCGCAGTGCCGACCTGGTCCTTGATCGAGCTGGAGCTCGTCTTTACGTCGACCGGAATAGCTCGGATGGCAGTTAACTGGCTTACGAGGGAGTCGCTTGGTGGGCTCGAGGTCTTCTTGCTGGGCTTGAGTGGGCCTGGACTTCAATCTTGGATCAAGGTAATGGGCCCTTACGGGCTAGATTCCAGGTGTGGAATCTGGGTCTAACAGTAAGAGGTAAGAGTAAAAATATGAGAAAATGAAAAAAAAAAATGAAAAAAAAAAAATACACATTTATTTCTTAAAATAAATAAAATAAAAACATATACCGCACAATGTATATAGAGATACTGTATATATCCATTGAATTTCAAATATTTCATCATTATTATACATAATAGAAACAGAACATGGACCAATGTACACATTCAGACTATTTTAGTTCATCATACATTGATCAAAACAATCCCAAGCTCAAGCTTTTCTTTAAACCATATATCGCAAAGTAAAAAAATATTATGCTTCTTCTTCATCCTTTTTCCGGAAAGTCTCCCTCTCTCGAAGAATCTTTTGTCCCATATACCTACAAATAACACTCAAAAACAATTATTTCCTAGTCAAAATGTTCAACATGTTTTGGATCTCTTTCGCTTCAATTTGTTTATGCATTTACCTTCCGAGCATCATGACCGTAGCTTGAGGATTAGTACCCGGTGACTTAAGAAATGTGGACCCATCGATAACCCTCAAAGAATCAATACCCAAAACTTTGTAATTCTTGTCAACCACTCTTCCAACTTGGCAACCTCCATGGTAATGCCAAATAGTCATCACAGTGTCAATGCAAAACTGCTTTAAATCAAACACCGAGGTTATGTGCCTCGGCCTAAGATTAGTGGGAACGCTTAGCATTAGATCTAGCAAGCCATGTACGGTCGCGTCCGGGTACTTGAATTTGGAAAACGCCTTGGAGTTAATCACTTTAGTGATTGTGGTAATTCCTTCAACACATTTCTCTAGATCCTCGGGATCTTGATAGTAGTTGAATCTCACTGAAGGATTATCATTAGGGTTTGTGTTCCTAAGCTCCAAGTGACCTCTCGAGACCGGTCCCGCAACTTTCTGAAGGATTATACCAGCTTTTGTGGTCGCATTCAATAAAGGATCAAAGGATTTGAAAAAATCAGTGATAGATTGAGTCGAGAGTTGTGTGGATGTCGTAGTAGTGGCAGTAGTACGGCTTGTCTCCATCTTAAACAATGAAAGAAACAAAAAAAAAATTAATATACAGTTTAATGAATAAATAATAGTAAAAGTTATAGTAACGTTTTAAATATGTTATACCTCGTTAAGATAATTCAAAACACCGTCTAAATAATGACGAGTCCAACTATAAGAGAAGATTACGCCACTTGCTCCTTCGATGTAACTATCAAACTTTGTGATGGCAACGGCCTGTATTAGAGAAACTTCCACGGGCGAAGGAGAAGGAATAAAGATGGCATTCATCGGATTATCTCCCATTCCTTGTCCAACCATTGGATGGTCTAAGACCACCGGGTTAATCCCGTGAGCCGCTAGATGAGCCATAGGACCCACCCCGCTCAGCATTAGGAGCTGCGGGCTCCCGATGGCACCCGCAGACAAAATTACCTCGTTCATTGCGTTCTTGGCTAGTTCTACCTTGTGTAACACTCCATTTGCGTCTTGAAATATCACTCCGTACGCTTTTGGCCTTGGCTTTCCTGTCCAAAACATAGTTTTTGTATATCTTAAGTAGATATTGACATATAAACAACATATTATGTATTTTCATCGATCAAAAAGATAGTACAAAGTGAAACAACTGTTTTTTTATCAATGATAGTACAATTCTTTATCAAAAAAAAACAACTGTTTTTTTTCTAGTTTGTAGCTTTTCATTTGTAACAAAAAATTCAAACAGTATCATAAACTAATAATGGTTTTTAATGTTTTGTTCCCATTTCTATAAAACTAATAAAACGAAAACCAAGAAAAAAAACAAAAAAACAAAAACATTAACTAATAAAACCGTAAACAAGATGTGCATGCTTCTAATCCAAATGTGTGAATTGATGGATCAATACCTTTGGTGGTGAAGAGGATCTTGTGAACAGAAGCGTGCAAGTAGACAGCAACCGTGTTGGGATTAGCATACTCCAAAAGATTCGCCGCGGTGTGTCTATGACCGGCACGGTCGAAGATGGTACCACCGACCTTGGTCCCAAAGATATGATCGTACGTGAAACCGTTGTACGGAAACTCGCCGGCCTCCAAGAGCCCATCTTTAAACGCCGATTGCCATCCCAACATCGGCGGTTGAAACGCAACTTTCTTCTCGACCCACTCGTAAGCAGCTTCCACTTCATCGCTATTCCACTCTACCTCTTTCACGTACTCATCTCCGGCACGTGTGTAGAACCCCGCGTTTAGCACCGAGCCTCCACCGAGGACACGCGCACGTGTGTTGTAGACGCCGTCTTCGGAGACGAAAAGCTGAGACCACGACTTGGGTGATATGTTGGAGAGTGTGTTAGCGAAGTTTCCGATATCTGTCGCCGACGGGTTATCGTAAGGAGAGCCGCCGCGTTCCAGGACTAAAACGCTAGCGTTTTGAGATAGCGTTGCGGCTAACGCGCAACCGGAGGTTCCTCCTCCAATGATTATGTAATCGTAGCGAGCGAACATTGGTGCTAATGTTGCATCTTTCATAAAACTATAATATTCAGCTTAACGAAAACAAGAAAAATAATTCACTGAATTAGTACCAAGACATGCCAAATGTTAATGCATGTAATATTGTGACACTCTAAATGAAACGTAAAGAAACAAATAAAAATTGTACCTTTATCTGGAAAACACGAGCCATGGGAGATGAATGTTACGATGAGAATTATGCCAAATAGCCATAATATTTGAAAATCCATTATAGGGAAAGATTGTGCTTGGTTTGCTCTTTATATTTAGATTAGAGCAAAAAAAGGAGTAGGTTTGATGGAGTTTATATAATAAGATGAAGGATGAGCCTCTTTTCGTTCTTAAGAGTGAGTAAGCTTTTATGGTTCACCAACACTTATTTATTGCTCTTACATTCATACAAAGATTTTAGGTCTTGATAATTTTTTATTTAATTAAAAGAAGGAATTTTCTTGTTTCTTCGTACTCTCTAATTACTAATGATTTGAATCTTTGCAGTTATAACTTTTTCTTAGCTAAACTAATAGTCACGAAAATGAAATTTGATCAATCTTTCAAAAGTTATTTTCTTTTATAAGACTGACCTACAAGTCAAATAGAAAAACAGTTGATTACTATTAGATGAAAGTACTAACACAACAATATAATCATATATGTTTACTTTTACACATGTAAAGATCTTACCGCAACAACCTATAAAGTAAATATCAAGATGCATAAAAAGATAACCACCGCACAGAAAGATCTTTTATATATATCAAAATGCATACTTCGTTACTTCTGCTTTAACAAATTAATCATAGCACAGAAAGATACTTCATATATATATATATATATAAATGCATTTATGTCCTAGCAATATACATTTAACTTTGGTAGTTATTCAATCCTTAAGTTGCTTAATTCATTTGGTCTGTTAGTTATAACGTAGTAAAGTTCCATGAAAATGATTAGTTGAAATGTGCTATCTGCCCAAATCTGTCAAATTTTATCTCTAAGTATAGAAAGAACAGTTGGCAATTAACTAGTGTCCGTTGTTTAGTAATGAAATACAAGTTAATGAGTTATGCAAAAGTCACATGCTAATTTTGTTATTGATTTAATTTGGTTCTTGAAATTATTACATCTTCACAAATAGAAAGATGGTACGTAGCTGCAATAATATTCACAAATAGAAAGATGGTAGCTGCAACTGCGGACTTCCCATCAACTAGTTTTTAATTCACCATGGTGGAAATGTGCATTTTCATTAAATTGATTATCTATTCAAAGGAAGGCTGGTTGTTCAAAACAAGAACAAAATTTCAGTGGAAGGTTTGATAAATGATTATGGATTTAGCGGTGGTTTTGTACTGAACATATCTGGTAATGATGTGATGGAATGGGCATCTACAGATCTACATTAATGAGTCTACTTATGTTTCTAAAGGCCGAGGAGCTTGGAGCAACACTCATTTTTATGACCCTACTACTTCCTTTGTCGGGCCTTCACGTTTGTGGTTTTAATTTCATGGACAGGTTTTGTAGGCGAGATTTTAAGATTTGAGTACTTCTTAAATTTTTAAATGTTGTGTTATTGACTTATTATAGTACTATTTAAAAAATAAAAATCCAAAAATTTACATATGTGAGATAATTGGACAAGCCTCTCGTCGTCCTTCACAAGTTTTCACTTTTCATTGTTCTAATATTTCTTTAGTTTGTCCGAACCTGTATATTCTTTTAATTCGGATCAGTTTTTGGTTCGGATACTTTGATGTTCGGATAATGAAGTTTTTCTTCGTTAGAGTATTCTTGTAATTCGATTTTTCAGTTCGGATATTTATTACCTAAAATGATTAAATATATATATATATATATATGAAATATCAAAAATATTCTCAAAAACCCGAAGAAACAAACTAAAGAAAATATATGAAGTACTAAGAAAGTTCTAAAACTCGTTAGGCGGTTCCGTCTCGGAGATTAATTTTAAATACATTTTTATATATTTCCAAAATTTTAATTTTTTTATACATAATACATCAATATGAAAATCATAAACTACATTATTACCAAATAACATTATTATTTTTATATATAATACATCAATATGAAAGTTATATACTACATTTTTAAGGTTTTATGTTGAATGAAAAGTGCCTTTACATACTTTGGGCCAATTTTGGCTAATTGTGAACAAAAATCAAACTTTAACCCACCAGATTTTAACATTTACTTGCTAATTTTTATAATAATATGAATATTAAAGTACGGTCAACGGTTGACCATATCTTTACTCGGTTTTTTTTAAATCGGAATGGCAACCTCCTTCAGGCGAGTACTCGGCAACTCGGCCGACATTTAGAACACAGTAAAATCTAACAAAAAATCAGAAAATATATTCTAAACTACAAAACTAAGGAAAAATAATTTTTATATATTTGATATTTTTTTATATATAATAATGATTCGGATTATAGTTCTTGTTCGGATTGTATATCCGATATCCACAAATATTGTTAAAGAGAAACCATTGGAATATTTGGCTATAACCGAAACAGTTTTGCATCGATTATGCTTGGTTTTATCGGTTTTGCTTTATATGGGATATGACGAAAAAAATTCTGATATGTCACAAATCAGTGAACCGGTTGCCAAAATGCCATAAGATAAAAATTAATTTCTTTTCCATTTTCTTTTAAATCAAAAGACAAGTAAAAGACATTAAAACCGGATGAAAGTTGAAATATTTACGAATTCAACCAGGGTATTACCCGAAAACCGTAAACCCGACCCAGTTTATTCTGATTTTAACCCCAAATCCCTAAATTAGTAAATTAACTGTATCGCCGTTTTGCAAGTAAAAAATTTAAATACAATTCGAAATCGATTGAACAATCTCGTAACGGGAAGGAGCAAGTGAAGAACTATCGTGAATCTTGCAATGTTCGTGTTGAGAAGCAACAAAGTGACGATGGAACCGCCGAAGTCGACAGAAGCGGCGGAACCAACGAACCCGGCGGCAGAACCGTCGAACTCGACAGAAGGATCTGTTCCGGAACCGACAAAGTCGACAGAACCGGCGACGGAACCGTCGAACTCGACAGAAGGGGCGGAACGTCGAATCTGACAAAAGCGGGGGAAGTGTCAAAGCCTTCGCAAACGGCGGAACCGACCGACGAATCTCCGCCGACAGAGGAGACGGTGGTGTCAGGAGAGGCGGAAACCGGAGAAGCAATGCCCAAAGAAAAAGAAGCCCAAACTGAGGAGAAGATGAGCCAGAAGGAGTTGAATCGGAAAAAGAAGATGAATCGGAAAAGAAGAAGAGCACGAAGAAGAGAAAGATGAAGAGGAGAAGGAAATGGTATCGGACGAGGAATTACGTGGTGACGAAGAGAACAAGGTATTATCTTGTTTATTATGATTAATTGATTAAGAGTTTGATAATGGAGACTGATTGATTATGTAGTATCTATGGATTGATGTTCGACTAAGTTCAACTATGTAGTTGGTTTGTTTTATTGCGAAGTAAAATGTTATTGCGAACTAAAATCACATTGGTTTGTTTTAATTTTTTTGAACCTGCATGATGAGGAGTATAATGATGACAATGATGGCGAGGAAAATCGACAATCTCCACAACAGCAGGAAGAAATTCCTCAACCGGATCAAACCCCACCGGAAGAACCACTTCAACCGGAACAAACAGAAGACGCTGAAGCAATGCCTTCAGATGCACATGTCTCTTCTTTTGCAGCGGTCATGGTAATGGTTATTTTGAGAATTTCAATTCAATGCAAGTTCGAGTAAGTTCGAGTAGGTTCGGGTAAAAGTATAATTAGTAACACTACATTGTTTGACTTGGCGGCAGGTTGATGATGAATATATACCACTGCCACCAGAGAAGTTTTACTTTCGTCCAGATCAGTATAGAAAGAGTTGTAGGATATCATCGAGGTGTTATGTGAATGATACGGTCAAGGACATCAAGGAAATTCCCCAGGCGTTGGAATGGTTTTCTAGTCATCCTCAGTTTAAGCATATCTTTCATATGCCTCTGGTGGAAAACCGTAAATCAAAAGGATTTTGGATGCTTCTTCTGCACCTAGCTTGTACTGATAGTGACAGAGAATTATGGTTTGTGGTTAATGGATATCTATTAGGTACTCCATTAAGGAGCATGCGCTGCTGAGTGGATTGGATTGTCATGACTACCCTAGCAACTATGGGGAGCTGAAGGACAAGGATGCCGGCGATTTCAAGTTTGTTGAAAAGTGGTTCAAGAGAAGGAACAATATTACCATAGAAGATGTGAAGAAGAAGCTACGGAAAATGAAGAGCGCTGTTAACAAGAAGAAGATGGCTGCGCTATATTTCTTAACCAATGTCTTGAAAGCGAAGTCCAAATATAAAGGAAACATAGAGCCATTCTTTCTCAAAGTCGTGGATGATTTGGACTTGTGTGAAAAATTCCCTTGGGGCCGTTTGACCTTTGATGATTTGGTAGATGAAGTTAAGAAAGTAGCGAAGAAGTTCAAGGGAGGCGTCGTCAACGAGAAGGATTCATGGACCTTTTCTGGATACATTCTTCCTATTGAGGTAATTCTTTTAATTATTTTCCTTAAATTTACGTGGATAGGGTCGTGATATTGTAGTACTCTCTATGTACAGGCTTTTGCGTATGAGTGCATTCCTGCGCTTGCTCGAACCTGTTCATGCAGAGAGCGACTGTCCAAGGTTGTGCAAGCACAATTTCAAAGCGACTTACATGAAAGGTTATCCACTGTCCGAGATAAACGAAGCAATTGGGAGCAATAGGGTGAGTATTTGTCATCATATAGTGTACTTTATTTTATCTTAATTGAGCAAGCTTATCATGAGTGTATTTAATGTGTTCATAATCGCAGGATATCATAAGCATCTTGGAACCAACCTCAGAGGAGGAAACCCTTATGGAGTGCATCATAGACCCTAGTTGTGATGATGGGATTGGCTCCGTGGATCATTTAGTCGACCTTTGGAGAGACATCTAATCGTCCAGAAGAAGAAGATATGGTGGGAGTCTCTGTACAAGATTGACTTGGCCGGCAGAGGTATCACCGAGTTTGCAAATGAAGTACCAATGCAGGCACCTGACAACGGTGGATCAGTTCAGGGAATGATGGAAACGATGAAAGCTTTGATCGAGGAAGCAACAAAGAAGTTGGAGGATAAGATGGATGATGTTACCTCAGAGATTAAGGCAATGGTTGGGGACTTAGATGAGAGACTTGATATGGTTGAATGTTATGTGATATCACCATATTTTACATGATTTTACTATATAATTACTTATGTTTTCAAACGGTTTTTGCAAGATTCTTTGCCTTTAGAGGTAGTTTTCTTGTATTTGTGGGATTTGAAGTCTTTGTAGGTGAAATAATCAAAAAGGATGCAAAAAGGAGTAAAAGAGCCCTAAATCAAGATCCATGCAAGTTTCCAAGTCAAGAAGACATTTTATCTCCAAGTGTTAGTTCTCGCTTGCGCGCAGAACGAAGCTTCGGAAGTTTGGCCGCGCGCGGAGGAGTTCCCGACGTCCAAAAGTTACGATCTTGATATGGAAAGATAGATACTTGAGTCATGCATCACGTCGAAGTGGAATGAAGCCATTTGGATCAACTATGAGGCCTAGACTTATTTTCTACCGAGACATGTCCGGTAAGCGAGCAAACGAAGCCCATGGAGGATTTGGAGTGTCTAATGGCCCGAGCAGCAGCGCCAAAGGCCTTGATCGAATAGAGAAGAGGCCTGGCTAATGTTTGGAGCTTTCCTTGGTACAATGTCGGCCCATACACGACGTGGAGAAGAAGGCTTTGCTCGCGGGAAACTTTCCTTTTCCGGCATGAAGAAAACCCTACGCGACTTCGCCCATATATACATGTTTTTAGCCGCTGAAGAAGAGAGTCAGAAAATTATCAAAGAGTGTACGTGTGAGAAGAGAGAGAGGAGAGAAGCCCTAGGAGATCGTCCAAGAAGAAGGAGGCGCCGCTCAACTCTTGTTCTTTCTTTTTCATTGTTTCCATTTCTATAAACTTGATTTAAGAGTTTTCAAGGGAGAATCCGACTTTGTTCATCAATAGAGAAGCTTTCTTCATCCCTTTATCTCTTTTAATACTTGCATAATGTTTACAATCATGCTTTGCTTGCTTGTTTGCATCATGGCCGAGTAGATCTCTTAGTTAGGCCGAGGAGATCTATGGTGGCCGTGATGATTTGATTGTGTTGCAACTTATTGGGATTTATCTTATGGATCTTCACCTTTACTTGAGCTTAATGCATGATTACTCTACCGTACATCTAGTAATCTGATCTTAGAGAAATAGAACCACGACAGTGCTGAATCTAGATCTCAAAACTAGTATTTGGTGAGCAATAGATCATAGCCAACGAAAGCTGAGTTATGGTTTATTGTGAACAATTGAATCTTGAACCTTGTAATGCATGTTTGCAATTCTAATAGCCAACGAAAGCTGAGTATATTAGGTTGTTTTAAACATAGTGGTTGGAGCCACGACAGTGGAAAGACCATACACTAGTGATTCATGTTCAAGACGGCTCTACACACATCCCATGCAACTATCTTTTCATCATTGCTCCATATGATTGTCCTTTGCCTAACTCTTGTTTTAAATTGTTTACAACTCACTCACATTTCTTTTGTTTGTTTTCTCATTCTAGGTCCAAAACCACCTCATATTGCGAGCTAGCTACAAACCAATCTCACAAGGTGTTAAGTGAGAACACTTCCTCCTCGTGTTCGACCCCGACTACAACACGGCTGTGCACTTGCAGCTCATTAGTTGGGTTTATAAATTGTGAAAATTTGAGGCAATCTAAACCCGCCATCAAGCTTTCTGGCGCCGTTGCCGGGGAGGAGTTGCTTTTCCTTCACACCTCTTGATTGATTTCAAGACTAGCTCATCTCATCTTTCACTTTTCTTTGTTTTTGTTTTTCATAAAATCTTAAAAACCATAAAAATTTTACTTAACTCTCTCTTTGTGTGTTTCTAAGGTGCATGACAAGAAGGTCCAATCCAAATACAACCATTGAAGAAGATCTTGACATTGACCAACTTGAGCGCACACTTAGGCGACTAAGGAGAGAAAGAATGAATCCAGGCGGAGAAGGCGCGCCAAATAGGCCACACAACCCGCCCGACCAAGAGAGGAGAGCCAATGATCCTCCTAATCCAGCAGAAGCTAGAGCTGACCAGCCAGCACCGGCCAGAGACGTTCCTCCACCCAATCCGAACGCGCCCGATGCAGCTGAGCCGCTACAGCCACCTCTTAACCCGCCGCGACCACCACCGGCGTTTGCAAATGGACATCATCGTCACGGTGACAACCAAGGGATGCCTCAAGACCAACCTCACGCACCTCCAAGGAGAGTGCCAAACGCGCAGCATCCAAGGCACCAAACTATGGGAGACTTTGATTCGTCCGATGCTTTCTTTATGGATCGGAATCCAATCCGACCGCCTCTACCTCCAAGGAACGATTTTGAGATCAAACCGCAGATCATTGCCTTGGTGAAGCAAAACCAATTCCATGGTTTGCCCACTGAGCATCCTCTTGATCACGTCGACACCTTTGAGGAGATATGTAGCACAACTCGTGTTAATGGAGTATCGCCGGATTACTTCAAGTGCAAGCTATTCACTTTTTCTCTAAGTGACAAGGCGCTAAGATGGGTAAAATCTTTACCACCTCAGTCCATTACAACATGGAATGAATACAAGGGAGCTTTCTTGAACCAATTCTACACTAAGCAAAGATCCAACTCTATAAGGAGCAAGATTTCTGGTTTCAAGCAAGATTCAATGGAGTCATTCTATGAAGCTTTGGAGAGATTCAAGGAGTACACAAGAAGCTGCCCTAACCATGGCTTTTCAGAAGGTAACCTTTGGAACATCTTTTACAATGGGATTGATCATAAATACAAGCTTTCTCTCGATACCGCGAGCAATGGTAATTTCATGACCAAGTCGGTGCCGGAGGCAAAGCTTTTGATTGAGAATCTCGCTGCTAGTGATGCCAATGCATGCCCTGACTACAATAGAAGCGTGAAGACCACGAGCTCATCAGAATCAGCTCAAATCTCGGAGCTAAGGAACATGGTCTCACAACTACTTAAAAGCCGACAAGGAGTTCACGCCATTGAAGATGCCCTAGCCACAAATGAAGACACTCTTATGGATTTCATGAGAGATGGCGCTGAAGAGAATCTAGAGGAAGTCAACTACATTGGAGGAAACTATGGGAATAGAGGATTCAATCCACCATTTCGCGCGCATCCAAACCTATCATACCGGAGCAACAATGTGGAGAATCCAAATGACCAAGTCTACCCCAATCAAGGAGCGTATCAAGGAGGCCAATACCAATCCAAGCCACAACAAGTCTATCCAAGAGGGATGTACCAAGTGAAGCAACCATTCACTTTTTCTCAAGAAACAAATCCAACCCAAACCGGAGAGAAGGTTGACGTGGCGTTGAAGAAATACATGGAGGAGCAGAGATTGATCACCAAGAACCTATATGAGAAGCTTGATCACATGTTTGGTGATCTAAGCAGCAAGTTTGGGTCTCTCTCTACTCACGTTCAAAAGCTTGAGGTGCAAATCGCTCAAACAGCCGAGGCGGCCAAGAAACAAAATGAGGTAAACACTCAAAAATTTTGTAGTGTTGTCTCATCTATAGATGGCACAATTGTTCCTACACTATCTCAAGGGGAAGAAGAAGAAAATGAGCCTAAGGAGAGGCACAAACCGGAGAGATACAGTTGGGAATCAAGAAGAGCTTACAAGAGAAGACTTGAAGGCAAGCCACTACAAAAACAAGAAGATCCGGGGAAGTTTGTGATAACTTCAAGTATCAATGGCATTCAACTCCACGATTGCCTATGTGATACTGGTGCTAATGTTAATCTAATGTCTCTTGCACTTGCAAAAGATTTGGGATTCAAGGAATTCAAGAGCCCCAAGATAAGAGTCGAGTTCGCGGATCTATCGTGCATGGAACCTATGGAATGCTTGAAGATGTCATGATGGAAATAGGGGGTCGATCGGTCCCAACTGACTTTCAAGTCATGATTTGGGAAGGCTCAAAGAGGAATCAACTGATTCTTGGAACCCCATTCCTTGCTACAGCTGGAGCGGTCCTAAACTACTTTGGGAATCATCTATCTTTTGGCCACATCCGGCAAGATATCTTTTTCCCAAGTGTAAATTTCAGGTCAGTGCCAAGTGCGACCAAGCTACCACCAGAAGAAGCCACTCTCATTACCAAGAAAGAAGCTATGCTGCATGGAGAAAGAAGAGAGAGTGAGCGCTACCCAAAACCAAAGGAGAAGAAGAAAACATTGGAGCCGAGGCATGAAAATGTCTTTAAGGAATCAACTCCATCTTACTTCCAACCTTTGACGAGTATGGAGCTGAAGAGGAGACTAATGGTGCACCTAATCTCTTTCACAAGATAAGAATCTTTACACCAAAAGATTCGGAGCTTAAAGGTGACCAATCCATTGAAGAGAAGCTTGAGAGAACTATGAAGCTTTTCCCCAAGGCATTGGTTTTCAAAGATGATGTGAGAGATGACTATGGCGCGACAACACCACCACAAGAAGCCACTGAACCGGAGAATGGAGAAGCTAAAGGGATCCTTTGCCCTTCAGCCACTCTTCACCACGATTGAAAGAAAGAAAAGGAGTCAAGCTAAATGACTTAAAACAAAAGCGCTTTATGGGAGGCAACCCATATGGTTTTTAACTATCTATTTCTATTTTGCAGGAGTTTTTCAAAAATCAAACAAAAATACAAAAATATTTTCTTAGGATGAAGACCCAAAGGAGACCAAACAATGGAAGTGTCCCACCCAATGAGCCCACCCTTGTACAAGGCGTTTCTCTTCCAAAAGGTAAGTAAACTCTCACCTAGTATTCATTTCTAATCACTCTTGATCTTCACTTGAAAAATCGTTTAAACCATTGCACTTTATCAAATATATTTCATGGTTTAACTTGATTTACTTTTGATGATTGGAAAGAATACATAATCACTTGTCAAAACTCATTTTGCTCACTGAAATTACAAGAGATTGAACTATAGTTTGAAATTTGGATCATTGACCAAGACCAAATAAGAATTTATAGTTTGTGCTTTAATCTCTTGGATTGTGAACTTCAAGTTGGTCACTTGAGGATCACAATCTGAGAAACCATCTAATCATGATTTCAAGTGTTTTGCAAGGAGTTAACCATTTGACAGGAAGGAGAAATAGAGCAAACCTATAACCAACCTCAAAACCAACATGCATATGGCGGCCAAAGGGAGGTTAAAAGGAGATACATAGGCCATCACACGAAACAAGGCGGCCACCACTTGGGAATGACACAGGAGGGTTATTAAAACAATTCGGTCGAAGAAAATCTCAATTGGCCCGAGTGGATTTGAAGAAATTCAATCCAGGACATTTCTCTCGGCCATACCGCGCACAAGGAGCCAATTACGGCCAACTCCTAAACGGCGTGACCAAAGTCCACCAAACTTCACAGGCGACCATAAAATCACATTTTGGTCGGCAAATCCAATCAAGATAGACGACGGAGCTCATTCTGGCCGATGGCGCGCAAGCAATATGGCCGACAAAACCAAATCACGGCATAGGCGCGCCAACCGGTTGGAAAACTCTTCTTTGAGCTTAACTAACACTTTTATGCAGGAAGAAACGAAAAGGAACGAGCCAAACTTCACATGGCCAAGGAAACTCCTTCCCGGAGCCGACTTGACCATTTTGTGAAGGAAGTCTCAATCCGCTCGTACAAATGCTCCCAAACTTCACCAGAGGCATAAAATACCAGGTTGGTCGATGAAATTTCAATATAGGTCATGAAATTTTTGACGGTTTGTTCTGTAGTTCACAGCACCACATTTTGGCCGACCGAATATACCAATCTCGGCCAAAACACAAACCGGCGGAAACCAAGGCCTGAAATTAAAAACTCACCGACCAATATTGCCTAAAGAAGTGTAGAATGACCCAAACCAGAACTGATCTTCATTATAAATTGGTCGACATTTGGTAACATCATCCTAAACCTTTTTCTTTTCAATTTTTCATTTGAACTTCATGTTATGCCTCTCTTAATCCGATTTGATTTCACCGGGACGGTGCAAGTTAAGTCTGGGGGGATTACTAACAATGTTTGTTCATTTTGGCGTTTTCATTTGCATTTTTTTTTTATCGAGTCGTTTTTATTGAGTCAAAATTTTTGTCGAGAATCATGACCTTATCTTGGATCTAACCATGGTTGTACTAATGTTTAAGTGACCATTGAGCAGTTCTTGGCAATACATCTTACCACAGGTGCACTATGAGTTGATCGATCTACCAAAAACGCCTACATCTCTAAAGACTTGAGAAGGATCCATCTTTGACTCCGCCCTTAATGAACTTAATCTTCTCAGCTAGGGGCTTGGCATACAAATGGCATGATTCCTCATCCTCTCCATCAAATGAAAAAGTCTTAGTGAGTTCGTGCTTCCCTCTCTCTCCCCTTCAAATTTAAAGAAAAAGCGTAAGGTCCAAGTAACCGGGGATTCGGTGGCAAACACCATCAATACTCGCGTCTATGGAAGGCCTATGAATCCAAGCAACCGGGGATTCGGTGGCAAACACCATCAATACTCGCGTCTGTGGAAGATCCAAGCAAAACCTCTATAATAAAGAGAAGGAGTTGAATAAAAAAATACTTCGCTACCCTAAAAAAGGGATGAATCAACTCAAAGAAGTGAGAAGAGAGAGAGGAGAAACATGGAGTAAAAGACAAGTGCCAAACAAGGGGATGAGTAAGAGTCTAAAAGCCGGCTGATCGATACTCCCTAGTTGAGACCACACCTTTAGAAATGAAAGGAGTCAAGGGTGGCGAATTGGATTGTCCAAGGAGAGGTGGACCGCTTTGGGAAAATCGCAAAACTCATGGTATGTACTTTGTTCTTAATTCAAAACTTGCCAATGCTGTTTCATGTGGATTACTAAAGCATAAGTCAATTTGGATTTCCAAAAGATTTGAGAGTTCTCACGTTTTCAAACCTCTTTTCCTGCTTAGTTTGCTTGGGGACAAGCAAAAGGCTAAGTCTGGGGGAGTTGATATCACCATATTTTACATGATTTTACTATATAATTACTATGTTTTCAAACGGTTTTTGCAAGATTCTTTGCCTTTAGAGGTAGTTTTCTTGTATTTGTGGGATTTGAAGTCTTTGTAGGTGAAATAATCAAAAAGGATGCAAAAAGGAGTAAAAGAGCCCTAAATCAAGATCCATGCAAGTTTCCAAGTCAAGAAGATCATTTTATCTCCAAGTGTTAGTTCTCGCTGCGCGCAGAACGAAGCTTCGGAAGTTTGGCCGCGCGCGGAGGAGTTCCCGACGTCCAAAAGTTACGATCTTGATATGGAAAGATAGATACTTGAGTCATGCATCACGTCGAAGTGGAATGAAGCCATTTGGATCAACTATGAGGCCTAGACTTATTTTCTACCGAGACATGTCCGGTAAGCGAGCAAACGAAGCCCATGGAGGATTTGGAGTGTCTAATGGCCCGAGCAGCAGCGCCAAAGGCCTTGATCGAATAGAGAAGAGGCCTGGCTAATGTTTGGAGCTTTCCTTGGTACAATGTCGGCCCATACACGACGTGGAGAAGAAGGCTTTGCTCGGGAAACTTTCCTTTTCCGGCATGAAGAAAACCCTACGCGACTTCGCCCATATATACATGTTTTTAGCCGCTGAAGAAGAGAGTCAGAAAATTATCAAAGAGTGTACGTGTGAGAAGAGAGTCAGAGGAGAGAAGCCCTAGGAGATCGTCCAAGAAGAAGGAGGCGCCGCTCAACTCTTGTTCTTTCTTTTTCATTGTTTCCATTTCTATAAACTTGATTTAAGAGTTTTCAAGGGAGAATCCGACTTTGTTCATCAATAGAGAAGCTTTCTTCATCCCTTTATCTCTTTTAATACTTGCATAATGTTTACAATCATGCTTTGCTTGCTTGTTTGCATCATGGCCGAGTAGATCTCTTAGTTAGGCCGAGGAGATCTATGGTGGCCGTGATGATTTGATTGTGTTGCAACTTATTGGGATTTATCTTATGGATCTTCACCTTTACTTGAGCTTAATGCATGATTACTCTACCGTACATCTAGTAATCTGATCTTAGAGAAATAGAACCACGACAGTGCTGAATCTAGATCTCAAAACTAGTATTTGGTGAGCAATAGATCATAGCCAACGAAAGCTGAGTTATGGTTTATTGTGAACAATTGAATCTTGAACCTTTAATGCATGTTTGCAATTCTAATAGCCAACGAAAGCTGAGTATATTAGGTTGTTTTAAACATAGTGGTTGGAGCCACGACAGTGGAAAGACCATACACTAGTGATTCATGTTCAAGACGGCTCTACACACATCCCATGCAACTATCTTTTCATCATTGCTCCATATGATTGTCCTTTGCCTAACTCTTGTTTTAAATTGTTTACAAACTCACTCACATTTCTTTTGTTTTGTTTTCTCATTCTAGGTCCAAAACCACCTCATATTGCGAGCTAGCTACAAACCAATCTCACAAGGTGTTAAGTGAGAACACTTCCTCCTCGTGTTCGACCCCGACTACAACACGGCTGTGCACTTGCAGCTCATTAGTTGGGTTTATAAATTGTGAAAATTTGAGGCAATCTAAACCCGCCATCATATGTCAACGAGCAACGAACCAAGAAGGCTCATGATAGAGGCGGAGCAAGTAGTTTTCCACTAGGTTCTGCTTTTCGGACTCCGGCCGAGAAGGTTGTAGCAGGGGATATAAGTGAAGAAGAGGATGAGAGTGATGATGAAGAGAAGAACGAGGAGGAGAAGAACGAGGAGGAGGAGGAGGAGGAGGTAGCAGAACCGGCAAAGAAGAGAAGAAAAGAAACTCCAACAGAGAAAGAGAAGAGGTTGCAGAGGACAAAAAAACCTTCAGCTATTGTCTCATCTCCATATGTGGCTGGTCAGGCAAATATAAAAAGAAAAGGCAAGACAAGTGTAAAAGGGAGAGGAGGTACAAAGAGACGCAGGAAACAAGGTTGAAGACGGCTCTGTGTTTAGGAAGTTATGTATTGTCTACTTCTCTATGTTTTATGACTTTGAATTGTGTATTATTTCTGTTTTTGGGTTCTGCACAACTATGTTTGCAGGTTCGACTATGTTTACATAGGTTCGACTGTGTTTTGGTTTTGACTTGACTTCTTGTTCGACTGTGTTTACATAGGTTCGACTGTGTTTTGTGTCAAGGACATAAGTTTAACTTGATTTCTTGTTTGACTTGTAATGTTTTGGTTTTGGCTTTTGTTGACATGAGTTGCAAAAACATAATGAAATAATATAATTATAAAACACATAATTAAGATATAACTAAAAGACATAATTAAAATATGAAACAATTTGGTTTGGTACAACTGTGTTTACATAGGTTCGACTGTGTTTTTGGATGGTTGAAGGACATAAGTTAATGATTGACTTGTAATGTTTTGGACATAATTAGAAAACATAATGAAAGGACATAGACATAATTATAAAACACATAATTAAGATATAACTAAAACACATAATGAAAACATAATTAAAAGACATAGTCAAGTCTTAAACACAACTTAAGAAGACCTCTTAAATAGTTTGAAAAACAGAGGTCTTCATCCGCAGCAACTAAATTGAAAAGAAGGTGGTTGTTACTTGAACCAAACTAAGAACCAAGCAAGGAGAAGTAAAACTGCAGCAATCGCAAACGTGTTCTCCACAGCTTTTTACTTCTTGTTGAAATCACCAATTACCAACTCCAACCTTGTAATCTCCGCTTTGCTCTGTTCATGTTCTTCCTTCAGGTCGGAAATACGTTTCTCCGCAATACGCATGTCCATGATGATGAATGTTAGCTCGCCGTCCTTCAGCTCCGAGATTAACTCCTCCATTCCGGCACGGTGGTGAGTTTGAAGACTCTCAATTTCCCCAGAAACCCGCTTGATATCAGAGTGAAGTATTTCTAACTCCTCTTCAATCACACGATCCCACCACTTCCGAATATGATAACTGGGTTTCTACAATCAAAAATAACAAAGTTCACCATGAATCTAACATTACCCTAAACCCTAGAAAGAACTACATTAAAAGAACCCAAAACAAAAAGAATTTGGAGACATGTTTATCAACTAACCGCTCGGAATTCGCAGGAGAAGTATATTTTTCCGGGGTCTTGTTCGGTGCGAGACGTTTCCCTCATGACCCTTCCACCGCAGTAACAGTTGCTCGGCATACCGTACTCACCATCTCTGATGGTATTTTCGTCGAGTGAGTATGAAGATGAAGATGAGGTTGCAACCCAACTGTGAGGTCCCATCTCAGAAAATGAGAGAGAGAGAGCGAGGAATCGAAGAGAGGAATTGAAGAGACAAAGGGAAAACCTAAGAGAGAGAGAGATAGAGGAGAGAGAGTGAGATCGAGAATAAGAACCCTAGAAATCAATTTGGGGAAACTCCTTTGTTTTTCTTCTCGTTCTTTTAAAGTATTACCAAATAATGAAAATTGCGGCGGAAATATAAAATAAAACAATTTAAAAAAATAATAAGATTCCCGCTAACTTTTCCCGCCGGCGGAAAAGTTAAAAATTTGCAAAATTGGAGGAAAAATGGTCATAGTTGTACTCATGCCATTCGTCGAACCAAAATTAGACATAGTTGAACATCTGCGAGTTTTGGGTTTTTGTAGTAGAACCACATTTCAATGTGTAATGGTCAAGTTGAACCAATGATAGTTCATCTTATTTTATCATTACAAACATGATCATGTCAAAATTTTAGACAAAACTCGTTTTCTTCTTAATTTGAATCACATCATTGACACATTACCTACATATTCCATATATTGTATAGGGTGCTTGATGACTAACATGCTTATCCAGTAGTATAATTTTTCTTTATCAATTTTTGTTCTTTCTATCAATAAGTAGACATAAATATGTTTTTTTCTTAATTAACTCCTCTACGTTGCATATCATAAATATATTCACTAAACATTTGCCGTTCGTAAATAATTCGAGCCGCATAGTCGAACCTATGGGAGCTAGTTGTACCAAATGTACTTGAAACCAAAACACGTCCACATTCACAGACGCAATGAACATTCTCTATACACGCGGGAACCTGGCAGAACCATATCAGAACCTAGTTCTGAACAAGTCGTTTATCAGCTAATTCCATAACCTTTTACCATAATTCACTAATTCCATAACCTTTACCATATTATAATACAAACCCACATATTTTACATACTTGAACCTACTTGAACCGTGTAGAACCTTGTTCCGAAATTTTGATAATAAAAACATTGAATATTAGTACATACTTGAACCTGTTAGAACCCATCAGTACAACTTCAAGTAACACACTGCAGACAACATAACTGTAACATTGTTCACACAAACTTCATACAACAGAATTAAAAACAAATTCAAGCGGTTAAAGCAAGCCAATTCAACTCCAAACAACAGAAATACCAAATCCAAACAACATAATTGCAATTGTTACTCGTTTGAAGGTTCGAACCAAACACCCAGATTATGGCCAGGCTTACACTTGTTACTCGTTTTCTTCTTCTTCTTTTTACGACTTTCTCCTTCTGATGGATGTTGTTCTTCTTGGTTTCTTCCTCTTTTTGCTGTGTAATCAGGAGGATAAGCGAACAATTTCAGAACATCCTCTGGGATTGCCCAAGTTGAGATATGGGGCACTGTATATTTCGTTTTCAAATATGCTCGTGCCCATGTCTCAATCAAATAGTATCTGGAGCACATATCATATATAGAAAGAGTCGACATTCTTCCATCCTTCTTTATCTTTGCCATGACTGCGGCAATTGCATGGACACACGGGTACTTGTCAATGTCAAACATTCTACACACACAAGTTTTGCTCGCTAAATCCACAAGAGATATCACACCATCTGTACCAAATACATCGAACATAAATTCTTGACCATTTACCTCCCTCACCGTTAAACGCTTGGCTATTGGACAAATTTCATGAAGAACATTCTCCACATAAGGCACAACGACCTTTGTACTTGGCATTGAAGCGCATTCGTTCCTATACTTGTTGGACCAAAAAGCAAATTTCTCTATTATCTTATCAAGCATTGGTAAGAGAGACAACTTTCTGTCTTTCCTAAACACATTGTTCATAGATTCGCAAGAATTGCTGGTGTCTAAGTTGTACTTTTCTCCTTCAAAAATGCACCTTGCCCACCTTTCCACATCTATCTTGTCAACCAAAAACTTAGCACACGCAGGATACAGCTTCCTGAACTCATCAAACTCCTTTTTAAACTCAGACCCAGTATAAGTATGAGCGCATTTGATGAACTTATCAACAACATCGTCTCTCTTAACACCTTGCTGAGCATGCCCTTTTACGTTCTGAGCCAGATGCCAAATACAGTGTACATGACGAGCCAATGGATAGACCTTCTTGACTCCATATATGATGCTTTTATGTCTGTCACTAACAAAAACGAGTTCAGGATCATCTCGTACAACAGCTTTCAGGTTTTCCAGGAACCATGGCCAACTACTACTATTTTCGCTAACAATTATCCCAAAGGCAATAGGGTAATGGTGATGATTAGGATCTTGAGCAGTGGCAAACACAAGCTGTCCACCATACACAGTCTTCAGAAACGTTGCATCCACAACTATCACTTTCCTCATCCATTGAAACCCTTCAATGCTAGCGCCCAAAGCAACAAACAGATACTCAAACCTGTGATCAGCATCTAGTTGCACATTCGTTTTGCTTCCAGGATTTTCCTGCTCCAGCATGTACAGATAAGAAAATAACATCTTGTAGCCTTCTTCAGGAGTGCCTCGAACATCACTAACGTGTAGTTTTTTTCTCTCAAGGCCGTTGAGTATGACACATTCACACCAAGTCTACGGTGAACAACATCGACAATTGTTTTTGGAACTGGTGTGTCAAACTGACCTGGATAGTCTTCATGCAAAACCGATGCCACTAATCGTGGGTTGCCTCTCTTTCGAGAGCTGTTACTACTTTCAACAGCCCGTGAGCAGTTGTGCTTGTTCCAGAATTTTCGGACACTGAAAAAATCTGATCCAGCTTTCCTCGCACCATATATATACCAATTACAGCCTCCGCTCTTCTGAGTGCACCTTAGGATAAGTCGGCCAGTGTCAGACTTGTAAGTGCGGACACCAAAACAATGCTTGTGTGAAGCTCTGTCAACCAAATCTTGCAATGCCTCCTTTGATGGAAATTCTTGTTTTATTTCAAGACCAATACCATCTTCCCATTCTTCAGCCAACTTAATTTCTTCTACAGGACGTGAAAGCTCAAAATCCTCATCAAAGAAGTTTAACCCATCTTCTTGACGCTTCTTGTTGCCATCCTCTTCTTTACCATCAGACTCAACCTCTTCGATATGTGGCTTTTCAATATGTGGCTCTGGCTCCTCAACATGTGGCTCTCTGAATATGGTAACGACACCATCACCTCTGTCATTTCGACTCCTCCTCGTAATTCAAACCAAATGAACTTTCTGCATCCGTTCTAGACACGTGGTCGCTCCTATGATTTGCTCTGTTCGTGTTCTTGGTTACCTCCACATGCAAAATCTCCTAAATCCCAGATTATCAATTGTCGTTAGATAAGCAAATAGGTCTTCATCATCAAAAATGTACATCTCTCTCGCAGGATTATTTGACATTGGAATGTAACTCAATTTCAGCAGCGGCTTAGCTACATCTCTTGCAATCTTCCTGCATATCTTATCCACAACCGCTGAGTACGTAATCTCCTCCAAAGATGAGATCTTGAATGTTATAGCGCAAGTGGGATTCTTTGAAACCCATTTCAGTTCCTCTTCTACATAATGACCTCCGTGGTCAAAAAATATGTTTGTGATGATCATGCTCATTGTTACCCTGCAAATATAATGAAAAAAAATCAATTCCCAATTACAAAACATCTCACAGTTGTACGACGTGTACCAGTTAAACTTTTACTACCATTACTTTTGTACCTATATGAACCAGTTGAACCACTTAATCAACTAAGTCCCATTTGTACCACTTGTACCAGTTGTACCATCTCTGCAGGTTCCGATCTAGTTCAAATACAGTTCACTCGCTGCGATTCACAAGCTACATACTCAAAAAGCTTAATCTACCGCATATTCTATCAATGCATGTATACCATTGCAATGCCTATACCCAATGAACGACCCAATGAACCAATTTACAGATCAATGCACCAAACAAATTAGAAACTCATTTTTAATGGACTTGAAGCTTCAGCAATGGTCAAACAAACGAAAAGGGAACATCCACTGTCTACGGAGGTGAAAGAGGAGGCGGAATAGGTATAGATGAGCTCAGGTCGAAGAAGCTTTCGAGTTCAGTGAAGATTTTGAGTGAGAGAAGCGAGCTGAGCTTCGAGAATTCCGACCACGGTTTCCGATTTCCGAAATCCAATCAATTGGATTGTTTTTTTTCTTTTCTTTTTTAATTATTTTTTATTTCTTTTTTTATTTTAAGTTATTTTTTCTATTAAATTTGAGAAAGGTGAAAAGTAAAAGGTGAAAAGGAAGAAGGAGGGAGAAAAGAGTAACTGCACATCATCTTGTGGCATTAGATCATTCTTTGGCACATGAGATTAACTTTCGCAAAATTGTGGCAAATCAGCTGCGCACTCGGATATGGCCAGGGTAAAATTCGAGCGCGAGGCCAATTTGCCACAAATCAGGAAAAGATAATATGTTGTGCCACAACCTAATCTAATGCCATTTTTCTTTTTAATTTAATTTAAAGTCCATGTGAAATTCCAGTTTAATCCTTACTGAAATCTGATTAAAAGAAAACAATTTAATAAAATAAAATAAAATAAATTTAATAAAATAAAAGAAAATAAATTAAATAAAAATAAAATAAAAAAATTGAATTCACATTCTTCTTCCTCCCGTCGACATCTTCTTCGTTGTGGAGCTCATCGCCGGCGGCGGCCCGGCGTAGATCCGCCATCACCTGATCACCTCTGCTTCGTTCTCTTCCTTCTGCAATTGATTTCTTCTCTCTCTTTCACCATTGTTGAAGCTTCAAGAGGTGAGTTTTTCTTTTTCCCTAATCTATAAAGTTATTTTGGGATTCACAATTTAGAGATTGGATATGAAAATTAGTTGTTTCAGTGGGTTGGTAACCATGTTTACTGGATAGATTAAGTCTTTGATGCAGTAATTTGTCGATTTTAGTTGTTAAATCATATTGATTTTTGGGTAGATTAGGACCAGAAATCGCCATAACTACATGAATAGTACAACTGGTACAAATGAGTACAACTGAAAATAGAGTACAACTGGTACAACTAAGAGATAATAGACAACTAATACAAATGGTATTATTGTGTAATATTAACTAAATATTTTTATTCTATTTTTTTTCAGGAAGCAATGAACAACAACCGATCCACAAATATATACTTTGGTTATGGAGGATATTTATCAAATACTATATGAGTATCAATGGATCTAAAGAGAATATCTCACTTACAAAACATCATCTATGGAAAAGATAGCTTACTTGCCGAACTACTCTCAAACAAGAAATAATACATTTTAGTTTAATTTTTGCAAGTGATGTAAATTTAGTATTCATAACACATTTATGTTATTTTGTCGTGATATAAGAGTTTTTTGATTCTTGTGTGTATTTGTATTTTTTTGGATTTGCATTTATCGATTTTCCACTACTAGATTAATCTTGGTCTAACTTAAATAATTATGGGTTTGTATTTGTCGGTTTTTGTGCTACTAGATTAAATTAGGTATACTTAAGAACCATTTTGAGTTTATATTTGTCGTGTTTCTATTTGTATTTTTACTTATATTCCTTATTGAATATATGAACTATGTTTGAATTATGGTTTTTGAACTATGTTTAACTTTTAAAACATGGTTCTACTATGTTCAAGTACGTACAAATGTTGAATGTCATGAAATTGTATTTCTAAATGTTCAGGTTCTACCAGGTTCAAGTACGTACAAATGTTGACGGTAATAGGTTTGTATTTCCAAATATTTATTTCGTGTACAATGTGGACGTATTTTGGTTTCTCATTCATTTCGTACAATTGGTTCACATTGGTTCGACTACTCGATTCTAAAACTATAAAAACAAGTAATAATAAATAAATAAGTTTCTCATATGCAATTCAAACAATTAAGTAAGATAAACACATATTCATGTCTTAGAAATTAATAAATAATATCAAGAAATTGGAATTACAAAATTATGAGAATAAATTATGGTTTAGTCATCAAGTACCCTTTACAATATATGGAACATATAGGTAATATATCCATGTTATGAAGCAAAATAAGAACAACAATAGATTCTTAATAAATGATGACATAAACATGTTTAGAATGGCAAAAGAAGATCAAATATCAATTATACAACTACACCATTATAAGCTATGATAAGGTTCAACTACAAATACACAAAAATCGTAAATGTTCAACTATTACCAATTTTGGTTCGGACTGTTGGCTTGAGTACAACTATGTGGTTTTTGGCGGCGTCACATTTTTTTCTGACGGCGCCACGTCAGATTTTTTATTTTCTTTATTTTTTACTTTTTTTGTGACGGCGCCGTCTTTTTCAAACACATGTTTTTTTTTCAATTTTTTGCAGTCTATTTAATTTATTTTAAATTTAATTGCACTAAATTGTCTTAATTATACCTAAACAAACTCAGTTATACCAGATAATATCATTAATATTTAACTTGGGTTTAGACTCTTAATATATCAAACAAAATATATACAATCTTTTTTTCCAAATACACCAAACCAAAAAACCAAAAGAACAAAATAATTTACAAGACTAAATACCATGAAACACGATGAAATAAACAATTGAAAATAATTTCGTAGATCGTTTCCCTTAACATCACTTAAACTTGTGACTCCACACGTTGATTTCATGGACTTTTCTTGAATATGTGCAGCAACTTTTGATTATCACCTTTAAAATAATTTTACCATATCCTTTATTCCAAATGTGATGTATTAAAATCAATAACACCAACAAGAGCTCTCGTTACAATTGCTCTCACTCCATATGTGATGACAAACAATTCCTTCTTTTGCTTTGATTTACACATAACCATTATAAGAATTATATATTCTGTTTAAACAACTGAAAAAGAAGAGCAAAAAACAATTTCTCTTGTTGTATTGGTTCGGTATCAACATCTTTATCCTACAAATTCAAATAATTTTAGTTAATAGTTGAACCTAGTAATACTTAGTTGATCCTAGTAATACCTAGTTGAACCCATGTAAATTCTTTTGTTCACAGAAGATTTCTGATGGTAAAATGGACAATCCTGATACACTCTCCAATTGTTCAGTGATCTAAAAGCATTTGAGATGGAATTAAAAACAAATGAAAAGGGAGAAAGAGAGTTAGAACTAAATCCTAACAAGAGAGGAGATTGTAATGTGATTCATGACTCAACTATGGGATAGTTACGCCTTAATGCTTGCAATTCGTCTCCTTCTCTTTGTTTTCTTCCGGTTCTCCCAATTCTGGCACTATAGAGAGCGTTAGAGAATGAAAATACTTTATTTTTGGTTTGGATACATTATCGTTGGAGTTGTCGTCGTTGGAGTCGTCGTCGGATGGAGTAGGAACAAGTGCTGGTTCAAGAGCTGGATAATAAGATGGTGGAGATGGTGATGGAGCCGAGGGAGATTCTAGTTGAGGAGGATGTGGTGGATCTGGTGGTGGTGAAGGAGAATTTATTTCTGATGATGAAGGATTCCGATTGATAAAGAGTTGGTGACCACGAGAATCATAACGAAGAGACCCAAGATCCACCATGACCCCCACCACTTTCGTGAAAAAAACTGAAATCAGAATTTTGGAGAAGAAGATGAAGTCGGAATCGTCGTCGGCCAAAAAGGAAAAACATTTTTTTTTTCTTATTTCTTATTTCTTTCTTTTTGTAATTTGATATTTTAATATTTTGGTCGGGTCAGATTAGTGAATATGGGATATTATCCTGGTTGGATTGGTAATTATTTCAACTTTGTGAGGGCCTCATTGTATTTCCGACATTTTTCTATTTAAAAGTAAATAATAATAATTCTTTATTTAAAAGATGGCAAATTGGCGTCCGGTTCGATGATTTATGGCATATCAGAATTTTTTTCGTAAAATTCTAGCCTAGACGGTTTAGACCGGTTCAAGATTTAGGTTTATTCTCATCACAAATTTCATAACCCATTTAAGATCTACAGTAATTTCGAATCTGAATTTCCTGCAAATTCAATTGCAAAGTTCCTCCTCGGTAAGATTTCTCCGGTCTGATGATTCTGTGACTGCAATAGGTTTCCGTTTCTGTCACCGGTTTGCATAACCTAGACATCCGCGTCGTGTTTATTGTCAGTCAAGTCTGTTATTTTCGATTTCCTAATCTAATTGTTCATCAATGGTTTACAAGTTTGGTATCGGTGTATCATAACACACTTAGCATTTTTGTATATTGACTTATTGGGTGGTTCATGATATCGATGATTGAACTATCATCTCTCCTTTGATGTTGACTTATCATTCTTAGAATTGTTTTGCAAGCACTATCTACTATCCATCTCTGAGCTTTTCTATTGACTTCTTGTGTTCTTGTATATGCTCTGAGAAGTTTCGATTCGTGATCAGTTGTCGGAGAAGTTACATTTCGTTGTTCAGTTTAAAAGAATGACATTTCTGTGTTTGGTTGATTAGGAGTTATGTCCGTTGTTCAGTTTCATCTCTCTCTTCCTTGTGGGTTTTGTAGATTAGGAGTTATTGTATCCCCTTAAACTGGAATTCAAAGTTGCTTGCTTTTCTATGGAATGTTAATTCTGAGCCTTTGGAATTTTCTTAGCTCTCTCTGTACTCTTTCACGTTGCCTCTCTGTTTTCACTTGTATCGTATAGAGCCATTAAACATTGTTCGATTTAAAAAAATCCTGAGTTGTTTTGCTTCATCTCTCATTTATGTGACTCGCTAGACATGTAAATACTGCTTGAATATACATTGTTATGATTCTTGACTTAAATAGGTATTAGGCTTGATGCTTATTTTGATTGCTAATACAAATTTTTTATTCTGGTTCTAAACTAGTGAATTGTTAACATCTAAATGATCTCCTTGTATCATCTCTGTTCTGCTGCCATGAATCTACTGGGTTTGTGTTTCAGCTGAGATAGTATCATTATCATATTGTTGAGTTTTCGTTTCTAGTTGATATATGGGTTTGTGAGTTAACTTGACACTGATAGTTTCTAGTAGATTCTTTTGAAATTTAGTTTCTTTGATATATCTCAGCTTTATTCACACTGTTTTTATGAAACCTCTTTATTTTCTCTCTGCAGTCAATTAGCTACTTCTTGACTTCTGCTCCAAAGCATTTCATTTCTGCCTCGCTTTTTAAGCTGCTTCTGATCTTCATTTTTTCATTCTCTTTGTTACAGTCTTTGATCTTGTGTTTCAGTAGAAATAAGAAACTCATACGTTTGTGATGTTCATAGGAAAGTTTCATTGGCTGGTCATGTTCATGGTTTGTGAAACCTTCTTTATATCTTTGAAATTCAAGAAGACTGGTCATGTTCATGGGTTTTTTTTAATGTGTCTTTGCAGATTGGATTCAGTTTCTGGGTTTGTGATCTTATATATGCTCTGACAAGTTACATTTCGTTGTTCAGTTTAAAGGAAGAGCATTTTCTGTATTTGGTTGATTAGGAGTTATGTTCGTTTTGATGTTTGAGCTGTAGTGGAGGTTTTGATATTTACTAATCAGGTTATTAGAAACTAATCAATTTGTTAAAAGGATTAGGACTTTCACAAGTTGGAATTTTCAAACTAAACTCTGGAATATATGTCTCTCTTTGAAATGTTTTACAGGGTAAATAAGATGAGTGGTCAAGTGGCTAGAGTTTACCGAGACCTTCTCAAAGCAGTGGTGAAACATGTTGGCAAAGAAGATCACAAGGCTCATTTCATAGATTTTATAAAGCAGGAATTTCGAAACAAGGCAAACTCAGACTCGAAAATCAACCTCGCTCGCAACTACACATATCTTCTTGATAGCATTCACTCTCACAAGGTGAAGCCTTTCATGATTCTTAATCACATTGTTTCCACTGTTACTTGTTGTGATTTAGTCTCACATGGTTAAGCAAACTCTCCTTGTTGTTGCAGGAATTGCTGTTTTCGTACAACATTGCGGTTGATAGAACCGAAGAAATGAAACGAGTGCTTGGGAAATCTGCAGCTAGTGTAGGGCTTCGTCTTCCCGAGGTTTACCAGCCTTGATCATGTCATAATGCTTATGCTTACACATTTCCTCTTGTCCTTGTGGAAGATAAGCAAGCCACTCTGGTTTCTTCATTTCTTTGGACAAAATCTTGGTAAAATTTTGAAATAAATGTAATATTAGTCTGAGGTAGAGAGCTATTCTCTTTTAAGCTGCTATGCATTGACAAAACTTTAGATGCAAAGATTACAATTTTCATTGCCTTATGGTACCAAGAACATATTCATGTTGTGTATTGTGTATTGTGTTGTATGAAACCACCAAGGTGAGAGCAGTAAGAGCAGATTTTATGATTTAAAGAAGCCAGCCAAAGTAAAAATTAAAAACCTTTCTTAGAAGTCAAATAGTTTCGGATGATCTCTGACTTCATCAGCTCTCTGATATCATCTGATATAGTAAATGTTATCCAAGACAAACTAAGCTTTCAAGACTTGAAAGCTTAAAGCTATTTAGAGAAATTTGTTCTGGATTTCTATATTTGGGGAGTGAAATGGTAAACAAGATTATGATGAGAAAAAAACTTGAAAAAGACCATTATGGGTTTTATGTATTTATCCAAATCTCGATACCATCCACATGACACTGCTTGTATATCTTATATTCTTATCTGGTTTCTAGTTTTTTTCTCTATTATTTATTTAGTGGAGACATTGATGCTGACACTTGTGTTTTCTTAATCATTCTTTAAGGCTCTGGTGGGTTTAGTTTCTCTTTCCTTTGAATCTAAATAGCTGAGATCAATAGAGCTTTGAGTTGAGAGCAAATCAGAGGAGAAAGAAATATGGGGAAAGGAGGGATGTCTCATGGAGAAGGCTCAAAGGTGGAAGAAGAGAACATGGCTGCTTGGTTGCTTGGTGTCAACACCCTCAAGATCCAACCTTTTCCTCTTCCTTCCGTTGGTAAACCCAAATTCTTTTTGATTAAATTTCTAACTGGTCCTTTGTTCAAACAAAGCATTGGAAGCTAATAGATTTATCTTCATATAAAAGGTCCTCATGATGTGAGAGTTAGGATGAAAGCTGTTGGTATTTGTGGAAGTGATGTTCATTACCTCAAGGTACTTATATATATATTCTTGAAATTTGTGTTTGATTTGTCATGGTTCTTGATTCTTGAAATTGGTTCTTGGTGTTACAAAAACAAGGCCATGAGATGTGCGGATTTCATTGTGAAAGAACCGATGGTGATTGGACATGAATGTGCTGGGATCATTGAAGAAGTAGGTGGAGAAGTGAAGCACCTAGAGGTCGGTGACCGTGTGGCTCTAGAGCCTGGGATTAGTTGCTGGAGATGCAATCTCTGCAAGGAAGGAAGATACAATCTCTGTCCAGAGATGAAGTTCTTTGCAACCCCACCGGTCCATGGCTCCTTAGCCAACCAAGTGGTTCACCCTGCGGATCTATGCTTCAAGTTGCCTGAGAATGTGAGTTTGGAGGAAGGAGCAATGTGTGAGCCACTAAGTGTTGGTGTGCATGCTTGTCGCCGAGCTGAGGTTGGCCCTGAAACAAACGTGTTGGTGATGGGAGCTGGACCTATTGGACTAGTCACCATGTTGGCTGCTCGAGCTTTCGGTGTGCCTAGAGTTGTTATTGTGGATGTTGATGAGAACCGTTTATCCGTAGCTAAACAGCTCGGGGCACACGGTGTTGTTAAAGTGACTACAAGCCTAGAGGTACTTCCCAAATTTTTATAAAACTTTAATGGTCTGGTTTGTTGTATAAGCTAAAGTTCTTTTTTTTTACTTTTGCAGGATGTTGGATATGAAGTTGAACAGATTCAGAAAGCTATGGGGTCAAACATCGATGTGACATTCGATTGTGCCGGTTTTGACAAAACCATGTCGACTGCATTAGCAGCTACACGATGTGGTGGTAAAGTCTGCCTTGTTGGAATGGGTCATGGTGTAATGACTGTCCCTCTCACTCCTGCAGCTGCAAGGTAACTTCTTTTCACCACCTCAAAGTAAGAAAGAACAATCTTATGATACTGAAAATGTGTTGTTGTGTATTGGTTAATGAGACAGGGAGGTAGATGTGGTGGGTGTGTTTAGGTACAAGAACACATGGCCTTTGTGTCTTGAGTTCCTTACAAGTGGCAAGATTGATGTAAAGCCACTCATAACCCACAGATTCGGTTTCTCTCAGAAGGAAGTGGAAGATGCTTTTGAAACCAGTGCTCGTGGGAGTAATGCCATCAAAGTCATGTTCAATCTGTGAAAACAAAAAGAATAAGAATGCTTCTGCTACTGTGTTAATGCATGCATCACTGTGTATGTCTATCAAACTCTGAATCGTTCTTGAATAAATGAACTTCTTTATTGTGACAAACTTGGACCATACAAATCCAATCATTACAAGACAAGAGAGAAAGCTGAATATGGAACAAAACAGGGACCAAACTTCTCCCAATTCTGTATCAAAACTCCTAATCAGGAGAACGATCTTGGTCACTGCCCATTGCTTGTACCAGGAGGACATCAATAAGAAAGAAAAAATCTCAAATAGAACCCATATATAATGGTACAAGAAGATCGTAGAAAACAAGAACTCTCTCAAGACGAAGCTGCGGTTGGCTCAGTGGACCATTTCCATACTTTTACTTGACCAGTCCCATCACCGGTGAAAAATATGCCCCCGGGACCTATCTGGATCGACCTTATCTCTTGCTTTGCAAAGATTTTGCCTCTCTCCGTAAATCTAATAAATGAACCTCTTAAGCATTCAGGACAACAACAGAAATGTAGACTCGGATGAACATATAAGTGTGTTGAAAGACTTACGATGGCAAGTCGTAGAGGCGCAAGGAATTATCATTGCAAGAGCATAACAAAACCGGCTTGGCTTCTGCATCATGTACACCACATAGAGCTAACACTCCCTGAATATCCATTTTAGACGAATCCACAGCTTGTTAGTTACATTACAAACAGATTAGGATCAAAAAGAGATAGGAGGAAACAACCATACATGTTCTTCTTTGTGAGTGTATGTCACTTCCAAGTTTCCACCTTCAATTGCAGCCCAAATCTAACAGCGGAAGACAAAAAACAACGTCAACAAGGAGAAAATTTGATACAATCACAAGATTCAGAGGACAGTTTTAACGATGAGCCTAACCTTGACAGTGTTGTCCAATGAGCAAGACAAAAGAAACTGATCCCAGCAAATGAGAGACATTACAACGGACGTATGGTCTGTAAGCGTTTGTATACACTGTAGATTATCCAGGCTCCAAACCTACACACACATTAACAACAAAAACAATCAGCTAAAACAAACAACAACAACAATGGGAGTTTCTAAATTCAAGCCTGATAGATCATAATACTAGTACTTACTTTTATAGTTTTGTCCATAGAACCCGAATAAAGTCTGTTTGCCCCAACATACAAGGTCACAACCGCAAGCGTGTGACTCTTCAGTGAAGCAGCCGGCTCAAAGCAGCTCGTGGCAGCGTTATATCTCCATGCCAAAATCGAACCATCCTACACAAAAAAAGGTTAATACATATGCTTCTTGGCAGAGATCTCAGCAAGCAAAAAAACTTTGGAAATCTCACCTGTGTGCCAGCGAAGAGTAGATCAGTACCCACAACAAGAGAATAAACTTGGCCAACAGGTCCAGTGAGAGTCTGGTCTACACTAGTCTCTATATTCCATGCCTATATATAGAAACCCAGAAGCTTAGATCGAATCAAGAAGCTTAGTATGCAGAAGAGAAATCAAGATATTTACCTTTACAGCATTTGGCATGCCAACCAAAAGCCAAGGTCCTTCACTAATCACACAGCCAACTTCCCCACCAAGATTGAGCACATTTGTACACTAAAATCCAAAGAGAAAACATCAGTCTCTCACAAGTCTTGGCACAAAACAAAAAAAAGGCCATATAGCAGAAAAATCAAAGAATGGAATCAAGACCTGTCCAGAAGCACAATCCCAAACACGGATCGTCTCGTCTTTGCTCCCAGTGTAAAGCTTATCAGAGCCAGAAGGCAAAGCAATGCCACTCACAAGCTTCCCATGGCCATCAAGCTGAGTCAACAGCGAGAAGCTATCTCCTTTACTCCAGCAATGCAAGTATCTACACTTATCGCCGTAAGTGCAATTCCCATCTACCCAGAAATTGCAGAGCTTCTCCGTCTTCGTCACCGTCCTGTTCCCGCCGAATCTCCCCCAGCTGTTACTAGAGCTCCCGTTAAACCCAGGTCCTCTCCGGTGACTCGGACCCGCGAACCCGGATTCCTCAGCGACTCTTTTGTTCGTAGTATAACCAGGACCCTGACCCGGACCCGGTAATTCCCGGTGTAGGTAAGGGCAAGGGGATCGATTGCACCGCCCAGCTCGCCAGTGGAAACAAACCTGGTTTTTCTGCCTTGTATCCGTTGGCGGCGCCGCCTGACGAGTCGACCCGCCGAGTCGATTGAAAACTCGCTTGTTTCCTCCGTTCAGATCGAAATCCATCGCTTTCTTCTCTTGCCTCACTCTCTCTCTCTCTCTCTCTCTCTATAGATTTACACCAATTGGAAACGGTTTCCGAATTTGTTCAAAATCCGATCATGAATTCAAAATTGGAGGAAACCCTAGAAACGAAAATACACTTACCAAATAATCTCTCTCCCAAGTGGGTTTTTCTCAATTAATCAAAATTTTGGGATTGTTGTGAAGGTTGAAGTAAATTAATGGAGTATGAGCTTTAAAAGAAGAAGAAAACGAAAACGCGAAGCGGATTTGTGTTTAAAAGCTTCGCATCTTTTTCATGGAGAGAGGACAGAACTAGTAGAGAGAGAACAGTCGCGTCAGCTTGACGTGAATGCTTTAGTTACAATTGTACCCCTCGGCTGTTTTCATTTTACAAAATTACTTGATTGTCTGCTATCTCGGTTTAAATCGGTTGTTGTCTTGTCTATACCACTCACTATACGTACCTTTAATTTGAAATTGGAAAGTTTGTGTATTTTGGAATTGTAAATTGTTTTATTCCAACACAACTTAATAGTGTTCAAGAAATTAGAAGAGTGTTTAAAGTAAACTATAAAAACTACAATATTTCTATTAGATAAAAAATTCCATCAAAAAAATAAATCATGTTAAACTATAAATAAAATTTAGATAAAAACTCTTCATTTAATAATCATGTTTTGTACTAGGTGTTGAGAAGGTAATCACCACAATCTATGTAAACATATTTTAAACTTTAATATTTCACTCGTTTTGTTAATTTCTTTGGCGTCGTTGTTATTAGTAATTATCATCTTTGGTACTTTTACCACTTTTTGTTTGTTTGCTTATTTTTTACTTATGTTTTGTTTATAGTTTTTGCTCATTTTTGTTTATTTAGATACAACTATGCTTTAATTTTTTTTTTCTTTTATTACAATCAGTTTATGGAGTTAATTTTGTTTGTGAATTTTTAATATAGTTTTTTTAATGAGTATTATTTGTAATTTTGGATCATATATAAAAAATGTAACGCAGCTTAGAACCATAGAAAACAGCATGGTCTCCTTTAATGGCTTGTGCATCTTTCTCTCCAAACCAAACACAAGGTATGTTTGAGAGTCTTAATGTCCTTGCCTTAAAGCTGATGTTGTAGGCTATGAAATTATCTGCGAAGACAGTAAAAGAGAAGCTCGTGAGAATGCTTTCACAGGATTTTGCCGTGTCATTCCATTCAATAAACTTGTTTCGAAATCGTCTCCATTGTATTATACTGTTTATTTTTTTCTTGTTCGGTGTAACTTTTTCCATGTTTATTTTGGATAAAACCATACATTACTAGAAAACAGAACATGAATAAATAAGAAAAAAAAAGTTGAATAAATAATTGTAGATACCTGAGTTGATGAAGAGTGTTGGAGAGAAAATTGTAAATTTAAAGTATATTCATTAGAGAAATAATACTAACTACCTATAATCTCTGTTTGCACTCAGTTGAAAACGAAATGCACTTAATCTCATTAAGTTTGCTTCTAATTTGGTTATATTCAGAGCCAAACCTAGGACCAAGTAGAGCAAGCTGGAGTGTGCGGCCCTAATATTTATATAGAAACTTTCAGCCCTAAAAATATAATTTGTATTCAGTCCAGTGGTTAGTGCGGTTGATTTCCACTATAACTTGTCATGAGTTTCGAACCCTATAAGCTGCAGATATTAATATTCTTTCTTTTTAATGCATTTGTAGTAAATTAAATCGGCTTTTTTTTCTTCTTAGCTTGTGGCCGTCCAATATTCAGGGACGGCTCTGGTTATATCATCTCCACTAAACTCAAGTCCTCTTGAAAAGATTATAATGATAACACATCATCATGAAAATTTTGTTAATAACACATGAATGAATGTAAAAAATTTTAAAAAAAAATTGTATTCTTAAATAAAATATAGAAGATATTTTCTGGTCATTTGTTTTGAATAAAGAATAATAATAATTTAAATATTAAAAAAAATTAGAAATAACCAAACCGGTTGATCCGATAGAATTTCTGGGTGGAAATTTGACTAATAAATAATCAGGCTTTTCTAAAGAATGTGAAAGCTCTTTTGTCTTTTGCATCTATCTACTCAGGGAAGTGTTGTGATTTTGGCGAGCCAAGAAACCCAAACTTCTCGACTGAGAGCACACCTGAGGAAGAAAATTGGTAACGGAACAAGTTTTTCTACTAATAGGTTCTCCAATTAATTAACTCGTGTGCTTAGTGGTAAAAAGATTTATAAGAATGGTGTCCTGCTTTGCTTTTTTCAAGATTAAACAGTATGGTACAACAGCATAAAGCTCACTCTTGATGCATTTTAAAGACAAAAATGTAAGCAAACCCCATTAGCTCCGCCACCAACAACAATAAAGATGATTCCAACAGCAGTTAACATAATTAACACAATAACTCTATGTATACGAAAACTGTGTGTTTGTGTTTTACATGATGTCAGAGTATTAACAAAACCGATTTTGGTCCTGTTTAATTTTGTTGATATAAGTGGAGTCTCAAGTAACTGTGTAATGAACACACATATCTAAAATGATACGTAAAGAACATTGAACCAATTCAATTGTAGGAAACAGCTAAGCTAAGCTTTGACAAAAGAAACGAAATTGAAGATTCGGTAGCCGGAAAAACTACAAAAGAGTGTAAAACTGTTGTAGCCAGGAGAGTTTGTTTTGTAGCTTGGGTTTGATCAACAGTCTCTACACAAGCACCCATCAGATTATTATATCCTCCGATTTGACCTGACCTTTCTCGGAATTCGATTTAGACCCTTCAATCTCCGGTTCAGTTTTCTTCCACGAGCATGTGGAGTCTACAATACACAAAACGAATCAAGCTATAATTCAAGAAACAGAGACATAGTTTTAAAGCTTTTAGACACCATGGATATTATGTTTGTTTATATTGTGAATATAGTTACACTAAAAGTTAAAATTTGATACTCTAAATTTGGATCAAATTTGGTTACAAAAAAAAAAAGATGAGAGTCAAAGGGTTAAAAGGGAATGGACATATTTGCAAATACGATTTAATTAGACTCGTATTTTTTTCTTTCCGTACTAATTAAAAATCAGGTAAAATTTGGGAACCAATCCTAGAAGGCCAGATCATTCTTTAAATTTTTTATAAATGGGAAAGAAAAATCAAATGCTAAAACTCCAAAGTGACACGTCACCGTCTCCCTCGAGGTCGTTATGATTCCAGCCAACTTCCGGCGGCGGCAAGAGCATCCCCTCCGCCATATTCTCGAAAAAACTCGGCATCCCGAAAACCGCCTCTTCGTCCATATAAAACATACCGCTCTGCTCCGCCGTCTCCCCAACCGCCTCCCCCGCCGTCTCCGCCGCCGTCGTTTTCACTCCCTCCGCCGCAACCGTCGTCTCAGTCGTCGTTGTCGTCGACTCGTTCTGAAACGCCATTGCAGCCTCAGCAGCAGCTTTCTGGATTTCTTTTGGACAAGTAGACTCAGGAATACGAAGCCGCCACGCCGAATCGGCGAAATTGAGACAAGCGGAGCGACCACGGAGTGCCAAAGCCGCGACGTCGTGAGCGCGAGCCGCCATTTCAACCGTCGGAAAAGTGCCCAACCAGATCCTCGATTTCTTATTCGGCTCCCTCACTTCACAAACCCATTTCCCGGAGTTTCTCTGACGGACTCCTCTGTAAATCGGATGACGAGTCTCGCGAAACTTCTTCCTCCCCGCTCGTTTCTTCGGACAGCTCGAAGCTAGCTTCGGCGAACACTCACTGCTGTTGTCGGAAATCGGAGATCTCGTGTCCGGAATCGAGAGAAAAGAGTCTGAGAAATTCGAGTAAAAAGGATTCATCGAGCCCACAACAACAACAACAACAAAACAGAGTCTTTGATTTGGATAAGATGTTTAATTTCTCTTTCTTTCTCTTTTTGTATCAGATGTGGAAACTTTTTGGATTTAATTATAGAAAGAGAAGAAGTTTTTGTTGTGAGGTTTTATAAATAAAGATCTTAAAAAGGGGAACACGGAGTATCTGGTAACGACAACTGTCCCACGGTTTTTTACTGACACGTGTCCTTTCTTTTACTTAGTCTAGAGTATATGTGTACTGTTTTAGTGTGGAGCTGCCTTTTCAGTATTTGATTTGATGAGTCAGTTAATTAAATATTTATTTTAATTCGGTAATGTTCGTGGAAAGGGGACGATCTAGGAAAACGACATAATACGCTTTAAATTAAAAGTGCAAAAAGAGTGAGCTTTGAGATGACGTCACGGGGACACGGTTTTGACAGTTGGATTGTAGTTTGTTTCTCTTTGGTTCGGGAGGCGCGCCACGTTGAGAGGGACGGTGCGTCCGCTGTCGAGCCACGGTTTGGGGATTTTTCGTTTCTGTGGCCCACGCGCTTTTTTTTATTTGTGGGACCTCTTTGTTTATTTTCGGAAAGTTTTTGGATTCCAGGGATCTTTTTATAATTGTTTTATGCTGAAAACTACTAGAAGAAAGTAGTCAACCAGAATAAACATTTTATTAAGACAAATTTTGCATACGTGCCTGGTTCTAGTTGAGTATATTTTCGTTGTGTACTAAAATGGTTTTAAACGAAACGGGATTGATTTTTTTTTTTGGTGCAAACTAGCCGTTTTTACTTTTTAGAAATAGACTTGACATTGTGATTATTAGTTTAGTTCGGTTTTGGATTTTGGTTTGCATTGTAATCTTCTTTTAGTAACACACAATTCAGTAGATATTAGTCAAACATTTTTTATAAAAAAAATTAGTCAAATGTTATTTTTAAAAGTTAATAAGTGGGGTTTATTGATTTGTCTATTTAAATTTAGAAATCTATGTTATATGAATACAAATTGACAAATATAAGAAGAAAAAATATATACATTGTATGTTTTTGAAGATTTTTGCAAACAAACTAAGAAGTCACTAAACTTTTTATTTTTTTTTTCAAAAGAAATAATGTTTTATCATCATCTTCAACACAAATCAATCAATAAAGAAACAATAATCTGCAAAATTGAAATAGTTAAAAGTTAAAACAACAAAAATACAATTAACTTTTACATTGATTTATGATTATTTATGGAATTTTTTATATATAAAACACCATTTATAAGAGAACATAGAGAGTAGCAAATATGTTTGGCAGAATGATTTCTCCACACTCAAGAATCAAGTCGATGTTAATTTAGTTTAGCGAAAACACATAATTTGTTTGTTTTCTTACCAAATGTGTCGGTTTCTTAATGAGGCAGCAGTGTTGTTGCTACACAACACAACTGAAACTTCTTTATGCTTCGATATATAGTACTGTGAAGTGTGAACTATATATATAGTTTCAGTCAAACCTCAATTTTCTCTACATTATTATGTTCATACGATGATAAAAAGGTTCTGGAATCTGCCTATATTTACAAGTAGAAAGTTATGTTTCTTTGATCCGATAATGACATTTTTAGCCCCATCATCGACCTGAATTAATCTGTGAGCCAAAACTACTAGAAGAAAGTGGTCAACTACAATCAACATTTTATTCAGACGAATTTTTGCATATGTGCGTGGATCTGGTTGAGTATCTTTTCGTTGTATATTCAAATGGTTTTAAACGAAACGAGATTGGTTTTTTACTTTTTTTGTTTGTTCAAAGTAACCGTTTTTAGGAATAGACTTGACATTGGGATTATCATTTAGTTAGGTTTTGGATTTTTTAGGTTCTAATATAAAATGAGATAATAGGATTGGTTTGCATTGGGTAAAATGAATTGAAACAAATAATCTTCTTTTATTAACTAAAAAAACTCGGTAGATATTTGTCAAACATGTTCTTTTTTTATAAGTCAAATACTTTTTGTCAAATTTTAAGCTGAGTTATTGGTTTGTGTATTTTAAAGAATTTGTAAATCTATGTCATGCATACAAATACAAATATATGAAGAAAAAATATATATTCTCTATTTTCTTTGATAAATGGTGTTTAAAGTTTGTGCATACGGATTAAGGAAATCAATAAGTTTCACACTTTCACTACACTATTTTATTTATTTTTATTTAAAACTTGTTTTATCATCATTTACAACACAATTCAAGTATTCAACCAACAGAAAAAAACAATTTACAGAATTCAAACTGTCAAAACTACCAAAATACAATTAATCTCATACATTGATTTGTGATAACAATTTATTTGTGAACAGACAAAAAAATATAAAACACCATTTATTAGAAAACAGAGGGAATAACAAATATGTTTAGGAGAACTATTTCTCCACACGTAAAAACAAAAAGAGAACTATTTCTCCACACTCAAGAATCACGTCGACGTTAATTTTTGTTTAGCCAACCAAAACACATAATTTGTTTACTTTCTTACCAAATGTGTCGGATACTTAATGAGGCAGTGTTGCTGCACAACACAACCGAACCTTCTTTATGCTTCGATATACTACTGTGAAGTGTGAACCTTCTTTATAGTTTCAGTCAAACCTCAATTTGCTGTATATGATTATGTTCATACGACGATAAGAAAAAAGGTTCTGGAATCTGCCTCAAGTTACAAGTCATTCGAGAAGAGTAAAAGTTCTGTTTCATTGATCCGATAATGACATTTTTAGCCCCATCATCGACATGAGTTAATCTGATTGCTCACCACTTGTGATAGTGGGTCATTTATAGCTTTATACGAGCACTATTCAATACAGATCAAACTGAGACAAACCAATTAGTTACAAAAAGCAACACATTCAACAATATGAACTTGAAATTCTCACAACTCTTCGCTTCTTCTACTCTTAAGATTCACAATATTGTGCTTCAGCCTGAGAGCTCTCCCCTTCAATCAAATTTTCCGGTTTATTTAGTAAACCGATTATAACATTCAGAATCAGAAGCTAAGCTCATCATCATCACTATCATCACTATCACTCAACGCAAAGTCGTCTTCTTCATCCTCAACCCATTCATCTTCTGCAAACGCAGACACATTAAACCTCCCAAACCCATCACTCTCCACCTTCATCTCTCCCGTCTCACCATCATTCTCATCATAAGCCAACGAAAACAACCCATCTCCGCCGCCAAATCCACCCTCCTCCTCCTCCTCCTCCAACCGCCGTCTCTTCCCCGGAACCAAATCCGCCTCTCCGATCTCTCCATTCTCCACTCCAATCCAAGGCACCCACAAATCAGCATGCCGTCCTAAAGCTCTATCCCGATCACTAACCACCATCGTCCCTAGATCAGCCTCTCTCGCTTTCCTCAGCATAACGGCAAAATCCTTGTCATCCGAAACCAGAACCAACCAATCGATGCCACGTGTCATCGAATGCTGAATCTGCCTCTTCACCGCCCAATCCGCCGCCTGAGGCTTATCCTCCACGGTTCTCACCTGAACACCCGCTCGCCGGAGCTCCGCTTCGAGCCCGTATCCCACTTTCGGCGTTAGCAACCTCCTCGCCGCCTCGTTATACTTCTCGTTCCCGGAAACGTATCGCTCTTTAAACTTCTGGCGTTTCTTCCCTTTCAGAGATCTCATCCGATTCACTTTCTTCTGCCTCTCTCGCTCGTGAAGCTGCTTGAAATGCTTCTTCAGATCGAGATTCGTTTTGCATTTCCGGCCGCACACGCCGCAGATGTAAGGATCGATCGGGATCACTTCTCCTTTCCGCTCCGCGAAGTCGAGATTCCTCCTCGAGCGGCGCTCCTCGACGACCCAGTGAGGTAAATGGATGAAAGCGTGGCGATTCGCGTAAGCGGAGATCTCGACGACTCGGCCGAGTTTCTCCGCGACTCGTCGGAGAGCCGTCGCTGCTTCGTACGGTGGACCGCGAGGCGGTTTGTTGTCGAGGTCCCACAAGACGACTACTTTCTTCTCCTTTGGAGCGAATACGCCTTCTTTGTTCCTCACCATATCGATTTCCGACGAAGATGCCGATTTAAGGCATGATTTGATTGGCGATTGACGACGACGAGGACGCGGGAATCCGGCGAAATTGGGGTTTCGGAATTTTGAATCGGAGAAGGGAAAGAAGTGAGATTTTAGGGGAAGAAAGGGTTTTGGGAAAAGGGTCTCAACCGAATTACAGAACAAACTCATTGGAGAGATTTTTACGGTATCTCTGGGAAAGTTTTGGTGTTGATTGTTTACCGAGAATGTCCGGCGAGGGAGACGACGGATGTGCGGATAGTCTGGCTACCAAAAGTTTATCCTTTGCTCTAGATTTTTGCGTGTACTAGATCCGCGCGAAGCACGGGGACTTATATTGTTATGTTGATTTATTATTATTTTATTATTATTGTTTTATTATTTTTTTCTTAAATTTAAATTAATTCTATGGTTTATTATTCATATTAATGAAATATAATTACTGTTACGTAAAATTTCTGAAAATAAAATATAATTAAGGTTACGCAAAAATTTTGAACCGTCCTTTCTCATTCCACCCATTTTGTTCCTTTTTATCATCCCGTTCTTTCCTGTCTCGTTCATCTCGTCACGTGCAATTCCATCTTATCTCATTCTGTTTCATCCCGTTTTGACTTTTCTTCTTTCCGTTTCTTTCCGTCCCATCCCTAAATATTATTAGAGATAAGCAAAATTCTCATCTTTTCCCGTCCCATTATGTTCCTTTTCATCCCATCCTTTCAGTCATATATGTTCCTTCGAGTCTCATCCTATCTCATTCTTTTTCTTCCTGTCTCAGTAAATATAATTAGAGTTACATAATATTTCTGAATCGTCTTTTCTCATTTCTCCATTTTGTTCCTTTTTATCATATTTTTTTGTTCCCGACCCGTCCATCAGGTCCCGTGCAATCCCATTATATCTCATTCGGTTCCTTCCCGTCCAAGATTTTATAATAAATTAAATAAAAATATAAGTATTTCATTTCAAAACATTAATAAATATAAAGCATGAGAATTTTTTGACAAACCTAATAAAAACAGTGAGAAAATAAATCATTTTTTTTGCTCAATCCAAATTAATAACATAAGATTAAAGGCCCATAAAACCCATCGGATTTTCTTTAAATTTGCTGAGGTGGCGAAAATTTGCCTACGTGGCAGTCTCAGAAGAGATTCCAACTGTACTTTATATATATAGATTGTTTGAGAGCCTCCAGTGCAACCAGAAGGTTCTGGTAAAGAGAGACTTTTTCTTGTCGGTTTATGGTTTAGTCAGCTAGTTAAGAAATAAACCGGAATCTGACTAAACCTTCAAATTTCAAATAAAACGTAGTTTTGAACTTTTGATAAAAACAAAAGTTCAGAATGAAGCAACAACACGTTTCTTGGAACAAAGAAAGATTGGTTTCTTAAGGTACTTCTACAATTCTTCATCATCATATAGCTAGTAGTCAAAGACGTTGTCGATCAAGAATCCATGTGTTGGAGAATTGTTCAAACTTGTCTCATCTTCGATCACTCCTTTGCAATCTGGTTCATTATTAGTAGTAAGTTTCGTTATAGCAACATCAATCTCATTTAGTTCGAAACACACTGCTTTAGGAGATTATAATTTTGTGTTGCTCAGTCTCATTTTAACCCAAGTAATAGTGGTTGATGATGAGTTGTCATGTTGGTGTACGTTAGAGATCGATTCCATTCGGATAGATAATTATCTAGACATGAATCAGATTACGTTACCTATATGTGATGACTCACTCAGTCATTCAATCCTAATATCCAATTCTCTACTTAGTCGATCCACAGTTCATAATTTTCAGATATCTAATACTTCTTCTGTCCCATATTATAAACAGTTTGACAAAATGTATCTGCAAAAAAATGGATGTATCTGGACATTATTGCATCTAGATACATCCACATTTTTGCATATACATTTTGCCAAACTGCTTAGGACATAGAAAGTATTAAGTTTCCTAAATTTACTCATTCTTTAATGTGATTCTCTTGATCGATAGCACACTGATCTACCTGATATCTACTGAAAATCACATAGATTACACTCTCTTAGTCAATCGTTTCCAATTATTAATGGTTGCAGAAGGCTAAACCTTGCCATGCTGTGAAGCCTCAGCCTCCAACCTTAGTTTTCAAATTGCGAAGACAATTATGAGATGGTTTGTCAAACCTTACAAAATCAAAGATTTCAAGTTTCCGTTATTTTTTCTTTTTTTCTTTTCATGAACTTGTGTTTTATTTTTCATATTCGATTTGTTTGTTAAACATATACTCCTTCTCTTTTTGAATAAGTGGTTTTTTTAATTTTGGATGTTGGACACAAACTAAGAAATCATTTATTTTTTTATTTATTCAAAACAAAACATATTTTATAATCAATCCGAAAACAATTCGACCAGAATTTTTTTTAATCTCCATAACTCAACCAGTCAAAACAACACAATACAATTCATTATTGCATTGAAATGTGTAAACATCTCTTACTTTTTAACCAAAAAAATCTTGTAAAACACCACTTGTTAGAGAACGGAAAGAGTATTTCCCTATAAAAAACAGCAAAGTGGACCGAAAAAGCAGCAATAACTAATTATGTGACTACAATTTCCTCAAATTTATGTTAAAAATTTGTAAAAAAAAACGAAAACAAAGATACAGCATAAACATGTTTTGAACAAGATTATTTATAGATCATAATAAATTAATAACCTATTTTGATATTCCATTAGAACGACCCGAAAATAAAAGTAAAGGAAAAAATCACATCCGCCCTGAAAAAAAAAAAAAAAAAAAAAAGAAAAAGACAGAGCTCCGATGGAATCATTTGTAACTCCAAAGACTATCTCCTTCGTGATTCTCCGGCGAATCATCCTCCTGCGTCGGATTTATCATTCTCGGTGGACTCATCAGCATCCCCTCCGCCATCTCCGTCAACAAACTCGGCATATTAAGCATCTCTTCCTCATCCATAAACTCCAACGAACAAGACAATGCTTCTTCCTCCTCCTTTCCGGGTTGACCCGGATCCGATACTCTCTTAGCTCCACCCGGATCCGGCTGCTTCATCTCTGCGGCTCTCGCGGCGGCAGCTCTTATATCCTTGGCAGAGTTCGAAGCCGGAGTAACGTAAGTCAAAGCCAAACCGGGAAAATTCAAAACGGCGTCGGAGCCTTTTAAGGCTAGCGCCGCTACGTCGTAAGCTGCGGCGGCCATCTCCGGCACCGGATAAGTCCCGAGCCAGATTCTCGTCGTTTTACGCGGCTCTCGAATCTCCGATACCCATTTTCCGTTCCGCAGTCGAATCCCCCTGAAAAAGGAGTGCCGGCCGGATAGTCCAGTCTGCGTTTTTCTCGCCGGAGATCCACCGGCGGCGAGAGTGGGTCTCGGTGATGGGGAAGAAGATGAGCCTGGAGAGGATTGAGGAGAGTGATGAGAAGGCTTATGAGGCAATGTGATTGAGTCTACACGAAACGTTGTCGTTTGATGATCATTGTTCGACATAGAGAACCAAAGAAGCTTAGTTTGTGACTTTGTGTGATAATTAGATTAGTGTAAGAATGTGTTTGTGTTCTGTTTTTTGTATCAATGTGTGTTTGTATATATATTTTCTTGGAGGAGAGATTAAACCGTGGGAAACTCGTAAGATCCTCCGTTTTGTGTTGAATGATATAGCTGTTAGCCTGTTACACATAAATACGATTTTATATTATTTTTGTTTGTATAAAGCGAATTTGCAATTTTCCTCTTTACCTCATTCCTCGTTTTATCGTATTTAATTTATTCTCTTGCATGACTAAAGGATTTTTTAGACATTTGTTTACTCATTGCTTAAAATGTCAACCAAGATTTGCCAATTTAAACGTAGATTTGTGAACATTATAGTGTAGAGACAACCGCTTGAGATGGCCAAATCGCCAATTAAACACTTATTGATTCTATAGTTACCACTTCAGCAGTAATTTATTGAATCTGTGTTGATGGCATGAGTTATGGATAATCTATTCAGCCAAACGCAAAAAAAAGAAAAAAAAGTTACAATTACGATTTTAAGGCTATAAAGTTATAGGAGTTAGGGCATCTCCAATGTATTGCCTCATATTTAACTTCAAAATGAAGAAATCTCAAAATGGAGTTGGGTTTTACTCCAATGTATTGCTTCATTTCTTACTTCAAAAAAAATATTATAGATATTATAGGTATATTCTTTTTGATTTTTTTTTATTAATTACTAAATTTGCATTGTATATTTATAGATATTACAAATTGCTCCATAATTGTTTTTTCTTCAAAACTTTCACAATTTACTTTTGATGTTATTTCTAATAAAAGTGTTTTTCCTTTCTTTTAAAATTTATTATTAACTTAAATAATTAATTTTCCTATTATATATGTGTTATTTATATTTTAGAGTAAAAATAAACATCAAAATAATTAATTATATATATCTTATACTAAAATAATTTAAAACTTAAAGGACTCATATATAAATTAAAAACTTGAATTCCAAAATGGAAATGAAAATATGGGATCATCCCCATTTTGGGAAAAATCATGACATTTTGCCATTTTGAGATATGAGGTTGGGTTGGAGCAAAATTAACTCCAAAATGGTAATAAAGTTGAAATATGGTGATGGGTTGGAGATGCTCTTATAGGAAGTTGTTCACTTCATTCTCTATCTCCCATATTCTAAGAACAAAGAATACAAAGACAGATAAATTAGCACGGAATGTTTTGAAATTCCTTTACAATTTATATTATATTTACTTATTTCTCCCAATTTGGATTTTCGAACCTTTTTATGAACATAAAATATTGACAAAAAAGTTATAAAGTTATTGTGAAACAACAAGAAATTATTTTGAAGGGATATGAAACATAACTTTGCGTTAAGAATGAGCAAATATTTGTAGTATGTATACTTGTACTTTTGGTTGTCGTAGTACAAACGATATACATACGAAGAAGTACGAAATAAGGTGAGGAAAGTAAAAGAGGAAAAAAATAATAATATGCAATTTTAATACTATTATCTGATTTTCTAATAAATTGTGTTTGGTATTGCAGAAATAGGAATGAATTCGAACAAATCAGAACTTTTTGTTGTTGTTGGAACTAGGAAGGTAGTGGATACGTAATAATAATACCCCCTTTCGTATCAAATCAACTTAATGAGTTGTACCATAAGGTATTTATTTCCACTTTTGCCAACGAATTTAATACTACTCAAAAGCGAGGCTACGAATAGAACACGTACTCTGCGCGATTTCATTTGTTGAGAGAAAAACAAATTTAAAACAAATAAGTAAAAAACTATCATCGTCCTTTTCTATACAGAAAATAATTTAATGAAATAATTAAGGTGAACGAAAAAGGCAACAAAAAGAAGTGATAAAAGTCAAGAAATGGTATTAATGGGGTAATGGTGAGCACTTAAGGAAGCCAGCCAAGCTTTTGGTCAGACGACGAGTCCTATGAGAATGATTGTCCCACACGATCAGACTCACGGTAGGACTCTCTGATAGGTTGTTTTCATATTTTATTGTTCCATAATTACAGCCCACAAGATCACTAAATATGATATGAGATACTCTCATCGTTGTTAAATAATTTAGGGTTGGACGTAAATTTTTATTTTCTTTGTTAATCTAGTTTTATTGCCACTTAAGCCATTTACGGAAAGTCATCCATGATTAAAAAAGTTAAAATCGTAGCAGAAAGATTTGAACCCTAATTTAGATTTACAGAGCAATATATATCGGTTTTGATTTATTAGATATATGTAATCCATTTTTCAAAATAAATAAATTGGTGTATAAACTAAATAACTAATTCATCATTTGTCTAATTTAATAAATTAATCATATATCTAGTTTATTAAAAATTTCTGTAATTTTGTAATTGTTTTACGGTTTTCAAAACCGGCTTTTCATCCATTTTCTACAAAAAAAATATATATGGTTTTTAATTCAATCGTGGATTCTGTTTCTCGGTTAGGATCATTTTGCAGAGTTTAGTTTTTGATATATACAAGTTGATAAAGAAACAATACAAAATTTGTTAATAATTGCACCTACCAAATCATATTTCTAGAATTGATGTAACATCTAACTATTAATTACACTGATTATAGTATTTATGTAGTAAAACCGTTTTGTCACCGCCAAATTAAACATCCAATTTTTGATTGCTCAACTCCATTAAGAGATAATAGTACTGTAGAAACCATGTTTAGGCTTAGCACACATCCTTTAAGAAATTGTTTTAATCCTTGACATGTTTTTCCTTAAAACATTACTCTACTAATTATACCATGAGCTTTTTTTTTTTTTTTTTTTTTTTAAAAAAAAAAAAAATTACTCTAATAAAAAAGAATTGCCAAAGAAAGGCTAGGCAAAACATTCCAACAAATAAAATAAAAAAAAGTAAATCCGTTCTATTCATTTTAATCCATTCTTTTTCGCTTACAAATCTCTTAAACCGAATCATAAATATGCATATAGCATAATGCATCTATAGTTAACACTTGGTACACACGATGACAATTAGACTAAATGTACCAACATAATACATTCATGGTTAGTACTTGCTAGTTTGGAACACACTATTATAATTAGACTAAATGTACTAAATCTAACTATATGCAGGTTTATAAAGATCTCATAACTAGAGAGTAAATACTAGTTAGATAGAGGGCATGCCCGACCCCTACCACAAACTAATCGTACCAACGTTAAATAAAAGTCACATTTCACCATACGACAAGTTCCACACCTTTAGCTTCTTATGTTTCCTCTTGGAGCTGACTAATTTGCTTTTACCTGTTTGTGTTTTGTTCCTATTTTGTTTTCATGTGTTTGTTTGTTGTCCATCACGTGCTATCGGCATATGCTATGAAAGTGAAAACTGTCTTATAATGGCTTATTAAATGCTCGAGGAACATATTTTGTAGTAGAATTGCGATTTAATTTGTTGGATTTTTCAATTATCTTGCTTAGATGAACTAAAAACATATGGAAATGAATAGTTATAATTCTCATTCGTTTTTGTTGAACATGACTGAACAGAAACAAGATCACATATGTAAGAACAATATTTTTAAAGCGATTGTTCCATGTTCTGGTGGAGGTTTGGTGGTTTGGTAAATTGACTAGATGCAGTGCTACACGGCTATGTAATGGGCATGGTCGAGACTCGAGAGATATTTTGGGACTTTAATATAAGATGACGACATATGTAGTCGGAAATGCTACCTAATGAAATTACTTGGTGATACAAATTACAAAAAAGTGTTTCTAAAACGTGATGTTATACATCTCTCTCCCACAGTTTGATACATCAGCATTTTGTGTTTGATGTGGTGCTGCCACATGGCATCTAACAAAAAAATTTAATTGTTCTCGTGATTTTTCAGTTTCTGCATTCAAAGTACCTCTTCACATTTTCATGTTTAAATAATAATTTCTACTAAAAAATGAAAATTAGTGTTTGAAGATCCAAAAGAAAATAATAATAACTAAGTATTTATGAAAACTATTTACAAATTTGTGTGTAAAATTTTGTTCATTTGCTTATATATAGAAATATGTGATTACATGTAAATGATAAAATTATAGCAGGTAAAGATCGAATAAAGATAGTTCATGTATCGATTAATAGTATTCTTACTATATTTATAAAATTTAGAATCATGTAATAGTGCGTATAAGAGCCGATAGTTACATATCATTACTTTTAAAAGTTTCATAATTAAAACCACTATACAACTAAACATTGTAGATTATTAGTATAACAAAAGGATTTCAAAATTAAATAGAATACTTACAGTTAGATTAAATTAATTTAGTTTAAAATCTGGTATAGTTTTTAATTCCGCACATCGGATGGTTAAATTTCTAGTTTTAATATAAAGAATAATCTCCTCTTTCTAGTTCCTTTCCTTTCATTTAAAAAAAGTTTTGTTATTAAAATGATCTAATCAAATTTGTCTGCATGTATAAACGATAGTTTAATTACAAAGTAGTCAGAGTGAAGAAGAAGAAAAATGAGTGGCTCCCTAGGGTTTGGGCGATTAATAAGGCGACTCACAGATCCCTGGATCTCTGACTCACACACCGCGTACGCAGCTTTCACATCACACATCTCACTCTTCTTCCTAAGGAATCACGAATCCCCTCCTTAGCTTCTCTCTGTGTCGTACAAGCCGCGTGAAACTCTCTCTGTTTGCAAGCTTTATGCGCCCCTCATTATTCTAAGACATCTCTAGCAGTTGCTATGTATTATCTCTAGAGTTTCCTACAGCCCCTTCCAGTTTGTCACTCTCTAGCGTTTTGGTAAGGCTTTCTCAGATCTTGTTATGTGCCCCTCAATATCTGTTTTATATTGGTATTATCCACCATGTCGTGGAGGCAGTGTTAGCCAGGTTCGGAGAAGGCTGGTAGTCAATTAAGAAATCATCAAGATCCCAGATTGCGATCTATCTCTGAACCATTTAAGCCATGTAAGTGGATTTAATGAAAAGAAGTTATGTTTGTATGGTTTAAAAATTTAGGCCCTTTCTGTAATGTTTTGACAAAAATAGGGCCTTAGACTATCTCCAATGTATTACACTATTTTCTCCCTTATTATAGTGTTCCCTCATAATAGTGTGATGTTTCTCTCCAATGTATTCCTTTATTTTTTACACTAAAAAGGAATATTCTATAGTATATTCTAATTTAAAATTTATTGTAAGAACCTTTTATTTATAAGTTTTACAAATTAGCCCCACTTAATTTTTTGGAGCTTTCTAATTATTTATTTTGTAATGAATAAAGTAGAAATTAATTCCTTTTCATAATATAAGTCATGTCATTTTTTAATATAATGTTTTATCATTAGTTCTAGTAAAATAAGAGAAATAAATAATTTTTTATTATTTGTTTAGGTTTAAAATAAGAACAAGTTAAATTTGAGGGATCATTATGTAAATAAAAAAGTATAACATAAAAAAATAAGGGAAAAAAAAAGTTACACTATATTTGGGGGAAATTATAGTGTTCCCTTATTTTGATGGGAAATATAAGGGTGGGTTGGAGATGCTCTTAGTTTCATAGGAAGAAAACTTAAAAATAGGCTATGTTTAAAATTTGGGCATTTTCTGTAACTTTTAGACAAAATAGGCCCTTTATTGAAAAGGAAAAAAATTTAAAAACCAGTTGGACCCTGTGACATATCCCATGTCACATAGGCTTGAAACCGGACCTGGTTTAAGCAATTATAATTGGACGCATGTTTCACCGTGAAGGTTGAAGCATTGATGCATTGATAAGATATATCACGGTTAATTAGGCGTGTTGTATTATATCTTTCTAAGTATCGTAAGTAAATTGTTCCCGGTTGTTCAATCATTTGATAATCAGAATCATTCTTTGATAAATGATCACTATGAGTCAGACTCAATAGAATTTGATCAATCCTTTTTTCTGCACTTAAGGTGGAGAACTGAACCAAGAATTCTCTTTCTTTATCATCAATCGAATCACAGTTCGCGGCCCAGGATTCTATTTTATCATCAATCCAATCACCGCTCACGTTTTTTCTTTTTCTTATCAATGAATAGATCTCTTTACTTGTATGACTTAGATGTCTCGTATTTCTCGAAAAAGTGATTCGATTGATGGGATTTGGTATGATACTTATGAGATCGATGATATCGATGAAATTGATTTTCAAATCTTTCTTCTTAGAACGTATTGATTTGACCCCATAAGCGGGATCACCACCCCATAGCATGTTGCCGCCAGAACCCCGTATTTCTTCTAGACAATCTCCTAATTGTTCCAGAGCTTTCTCTCAGGCTCTTTCTTGACTACTCTAGCTAGTCTCCAATACCTCTAATTACTGATTTTATTAAATTATCGAGAAATTATGTTAAATTGGGCTGTATCTTTGGGTTTGTCCTTTACACAACATGAGTTGTTCAAAAGAATGCAATAATAGCAGCTATACGTACATGGTGGCATGAATAGGGTTATTAGTTATTACATGACCTCCTAAAACAACCTTAACACAAATAAAACTAAATTACATTTAATTTTGAGACAATGATTTAGCGCAGTTTTCATATTATATTAGATGGAGTTGTTTCAAAAACAAAGCATGAACCGAAACGAGTTTATTTTTCAATAAATCTAATTGACATTTCACCAAATTAAGACTCTGTTTAAAAGAAGGAGCAAAAGTAACAATATACATTCGAAAAACATCCATAGATATTAACCAATCAAATTTATTAAAAAAAACAACTCATTCTTAGCCGATAAATGGTAACAAAAATAAGTTTCTTGTTATTTAGATTCCTTCTAACATTTCATAGAAACTTACCTCTATATAAGCGGATAAATTGGCCAACAATACTCATTGTGTCTTGGAAAAAGTATTTACATATAACACACTTTTCTCTATGCCAATTACTGTAACCAATATAAAAAGATGGCCCTTGCTTCTGCATTTAAGGCTTTGTGGCTGTCTATCTTGTTCATCACCGTTGCAAGTCGTCCTACAGTCATGCCAAAGGTTTTCAACGTCCGACGCTATGGTGCTAAATCTGACGGAAAAACTGATAACGCCAATGTATGTACATAACAATTTTTTTCTATTTAGATTATTTTTAAAAAATATATTTTGTTGATTATATATTTGTTTCCACATACTTAAAGTTAAGCTCAACTCAATTTTGTTGAATAACTAACCTATCTCGAGTCTCGCTCTTGATGCATATACGATGTTTTAGGTGTTTACAAATGTATGGAAAAGCGCATGCGCAAGAGGTGGAAGTAGTAAAATCTATGTACCGAAAGGAACATTCTATCTCGGTAGTGTAGAGTTTGTGGGACCATGCCAAAATCAGATTGAATTCGTCATCGATGGAACTTTATTGGCTCCTTCAAACCCTAGAGATATTAAGAAGGACACATCGATCAACTTCAAGTACATCAACGATCTCTATATCTCTGGTACAGGTACACTCGATGGTCAAGGGAAGCAATCTTGGCCACTCAATGACTGCCACAAAAACACCAATTGTCCTAAACTAGCTATGGTACCATCATTTCTTAATCATGTATACATATTGCTTTAAACTGATTATTATTTGCATTTAAAGTGTATTACAAAATTGACCATGGGACTTTTTATATCCAAGTCTAGCTAATCTTGTACTAAACTTGATTTGTTTCCATAGAATATGGGATTTGCATTCGTGAACAATTCAAGAATCGATGGGATAACATCACTCAACAGCAAAATGGGACACTTAACCTTCTTCTCCGTCCACTACTTCAACATTACTGGTGTAACACCCCCGGTTCGGTCTATGAATAGACTAAACCGCAGATGCCACAAGTGTCGAGGTTCAAAAGATAGGCCGTCTTGGGTCTAAGAACATATCAAAGCCCAAGTCAGCTAATCCAATGAATACGACCCTCTCGACCTTCGGTTAAGGCTTTGCAACCTGCTCCTCCGGTCTTGAGTTGTGTTAGCTCCGGACAAAAGCTAATATCATTCGAGAGGCCAGATTTGTAAAAGATAACTTTATATTAACCTTCTCAAAACATGTTTTACAAAAGCTTATACTACTTTGGCGCCAAGGCCTGATGCCCAAAATAGATATTACATATAATAACCTGAAATCGAGTTTTGCAAAAGCCAAGCCAATCTACACCGGTCTTCAGCTGTTCTGCCTCCCGTCCACGGGCTTCTACTAAGGGTTACCTGTAAAACCAATAATCGATATGAGTAACCTAATGTTACTCAGTGAGTTCAGGACCCTCTATACAATAGTTAATCCCCAAATCCAAACCCCAAAATAAAACACATTGTCGTAATGCTGCTATAACCTCTAAACTGACCGCACAACAATCAAACAAGAACATGTACGATCAATCAGAGATTATAAGCAACACCTAACAATGCTCAGCGATAAAACTAAACTGCGGGCTTACCACCCCGCCACCTGCATCACACAAAAGTATGCATAACATATGCATACCACCTGCAAATTGCAATCACACATGCAAATAAGATGCAATCCTACAAGTATAGGAATACTTGTCTCCTAAATGTAAGTATCCATGTACTTGACCCTAACACTCTATTTCACTAATTCACCGGTGAAACCTCTACTAGTGTGTCAGACATTCCCCATTCCGGTAAAGCACCACGCCTGAGAAACACAAAGTAACCCAGAGCGGTCATCACCTGGCAAAGCACTGCACCTGCGAAACACAAAGTAACCAGGCCAGAGCTTTACCCCATTCTGAACTGGACTTACTGATATCACCATATTTTACATGATTTTACTATATAATTACTTATGTTTTCAAACGGTTTTTGCAAGATTCTTTGCCTTTAGAGGTAGTTTTCTTGTATTTGTGGGATTTGAAGTCTTTGTAGGTGAAATAATCAAAAAGGATGCAAAAAGGAGTAAAAGAGCCCTAAATCAAGATCCATGCAAGTTTCCAAGTCAAGAAGATCATTTTATCTCCAAGTGTTAGTTCTCGCTAGCGCGCAGAACGAAGCTTCGGAAGTTTGGCCGCGCGCGGAGGAGTTCCCGACGTCCAAAAGTTACGATCTTGATATGGAAAGATAGATACTTGAGTCATGCATCACGTCGAAGTGGAATGAAGCCATTTGGATCAACTATGAGGCCTAGACTTATTTTCTACCGAGACATGTCCGGTAAGCGAGTAAACGAAGCCCATGGAGGATTTGGAGTGTCTAATGGCCCGAGCAGCAGCGCCAAAGGCCTTGATCGAATAGAGAAGAGGCCTGGCTAATGTTTGGAGCTTTCCTTGGTACAATGTCGGCCCATACACGACGTGGAGAAGAAGGCTTTGCTCGCGGGAAACTTTCCTTTTCCGGCATGAAGAAAACCCTACGCGACTTCGCCCATATATACATGTTTTTAGCCGCTGAAGAAGAGAGTCGAGTCAGAGTCCGAAAATTATCAAAGAGTGTACGTGTGAGAAGAGAGAGAGGAGAGAAGCCCTAGGAGATCGTCCAAGAAGAAGGAGGCGCCGCTCAACTCTTGTTCTTTCTTTTTCATTGTTTCCATTTCTATAAACTTGATTTAAGAGTTTTCAAGGGAGAATCCGACTTTGTTCATCAATAGAGAAGCTTTCTTCATCCCTTTATCTCTTTTAATACTTGCATAATGTTTACAATCATGCTTTGCTTGCTTGTTTGCATCATGGCCGAGTAGATCTCTTAGTTAGGCCGAGGAGATCTATGGTGGCCGTGATGATTTGATTGTGTTGCAACTTATTGGGATTTATCTTATGGATCTTCACCTTTACTTGAGCTTAATGCATGATTACTCTACCGTACATCTAGTAATCTGATCTTAGAGAAATAGAACCACGACAGTGCTGAATCTAGATCTCAAAACTAGTATTTGGTGAGCAATAGATCATAGCCAACGAAAGCTGAGTTATGGTTTATTGTGAACAATTGAATCTTGATCACCTTTAATGCATGTTTGCAATTCTAATAGCCAACGAAAGCTGAGTATATTAGGTTGTTTTAAACATAGTGGTTGGAGCCACGACAGTGGAAAGACCATACACTAGTGATTCATGTTCAAGACGGCTCTACACACATCCCATGCAACTATCTTTTCATCATTGCTCCATATGATTGTCCTTTGCCTAACTCTTGTTTTAAATTGTTTACAACTCACTCACATTTCTTTGTTTTTTTCTCATTCTAGGTCCAAAACCATCCTCATATTGCGAGCTAGCTACAAACCAATCTCACAAGGTGTTAAGTGAGAACACTTCCTCCTCGTGTTCGACCCCGACTACAACACGGCTGTGCACTTGCAGCTCATTAGTTGGGTTTATAAATTGTGAAAATTTGAGGCAATCTAAACCCGCCATCAAGCTTTCTGGCGCCGTTGCCGGGGAGGAGTTGCTTTTCCTTCACACCTCTTGATTGATTTCAAGACTAGCTCATCTCATCTTTCACTTTTCTTTGTTTTTGTTTTTCATAAAATCTTAAAAACTCATAAAAATTTTACTTAACTCTCTCTTTGTGTGTTTCTAAGGTGCATGACAAGAAGGTCCAATCCAAATACAACCATTGAAGAAGATCTTGACATTGACCAACTTGAGCGCACACTTAGGCGACTAAGGAGAGAAAGAATGAATCCAGGCGGAGAAGGCGCGCCAAATAGGCCAAACAACCCGCCCGACCAAGAGAGGAGAGCCAATGATCCTCCTAATCCAGCAGAAGCTAGAGCTGACCAGCCAGCACCGGCCAGAGACGTTCCTCCACCCAATCCGAACGCGCCCGATGCAGCTGAGCCGCTACAGCCACCTCTTAACCCGCCGCGACCACCACCGGCGTTTGCAAATGGACATCATCGTCACGGTGACAACCAAGGGATGCCTCAAGACCAACCTCACGCACCTCCAAGGAGAGTGCCAAACGCGCAGCATCCAAGGCACCAAACTATGGGAGACTTTGATTCGTCCGATGCTTTCTTTATGGATCGGAATCCAATCCGACCGCCTCTACCTCCAAGGAACGATTTTGAGATCAAACCGCAGATCATTGCCTTGGTGAAGCAAAACCAATTCCATGGTTTGCCCACTGAGCATCCTCTTGATCACGTCGACACCTTTGAGGAGATATGTAGCACAACTCGTGTTAATGGAGTATCGCCGGATTACTTCAAGTGCAAGCTATTCACTTTTTCTCTAAGTGACAAGGCGCTAAGATGGGTAAAATCTTTACCACCTCAGTCCATTACAACATGGAATGAATACAAGGGAGCTTTCTTGAACCAATTCTACACTAAGCAAAGATCCAACTCTATAAGGAGCAAGATTTCTGGTTTCAAGCAAGATTCAATGGAGTCATTCTATGAAGCTTTGGAGAGATTCAAGGAGTACACAAGAAGCTGCCCTAACCATGGCTTTTCAGAAGGTAACCTTTGGAACATCTTTTACAATGGGATTGATCATAAATACAAGCTTTCTCTCGATACCGCGAGCAATGGTAATTTCATGACCAAGTCGGTGCCGGAGGCAAAGCTTTTGATTGAGAATCTCGCTGCTAGTGATGCCAATGCATGCCCTGACTACAATAGAAGCGTGAAGACCACGAGCTCATCAGAATCAGCTCAAATCTCGGAGCTAAGGAACATGGTCTCACAACTACTTAAAAGCCGACAAGGAGTTCACGCCATTGAAGATGCCCTAGCCACAAATGAAGACACTCTTATGGATTTCATGAGAGATGGCTGAAGAGAATCTAGAGGAAGTCAACTACATTGGAGGAAACTATGGGAATAGAGGATTCAATCCACCATTTCGCGCGCATCCAAACCTATCATACCGGAGCAACAATGTGGAGAATCCAAATGACCAAGTCTACCCCAATCAAGGAGCGTATCAAGGAGGCCAATACCAATCCAAGCCACAACAAGTCTATCCAAGAGGGATGTACCAAGTGAAGCAACCATTCACTTTTTCTCAAGAAACAAATCCAACCCAAACCGGAGAGAAGGTTGACGTGGCGTTGAAGAAATACATGGAGGAGCAGAGATTGATCACCAAGAACCTATATGAGAAGCTTGATCACATGTTTGGTGATCTAAGCAGCAAGTTTGGGTCTCTCTCTACTCACGTTCAAAAGCTTGAGGTGCAAATCGCTCAAACAGCCGAGGCGGCCAAGAAACAAAATGAGGTAAACACTCAAAAATTTTGTAGTGTTGTCTCATCTATAGATGGCACAATTGTTCCTACACTATCTCAAGGGGAAGAAGAAGAAAATGAGCCTAAGGAGAGGCACAAACCGGAGAGATACAGTTGGGAATCAAGAAGAGCTTACAAGAGAAGACTTGAAGGCAAGCCACTACAAAAACAAGAAGATCCGGGGAAGTTTGTGATAACTTCAAGTATCAATGGCATTCAACTCCACGATTGCCTATGTGATACTGGTGCTAATGTTAATCTAATGTCTCTTGCACTTGCAAAAGATTTGGGATTCAAGGAATTCAAGAGCCCCAAGATAAGAGTCGAGTTCGCGGATCTATCGTGCATGGAACCTTATGGAATGCTTGAAGATGTCATGATGGAAATAGGGGGTCGATCGGTCCCAACTGACTTTCAAGTCATGATTTGGGAAGGCTCAAAGAGGAATCAACTGATTCTTGGAACCCCATTCCTTGCTACAGCTGGAGCGGTCCTAAACTACTTTGGGAATCATCTATCTTTTGGCCACATCCGGCAAGATATCTTTTTCCCAAGTGTAAATTTCAGGTCAGTGCCAAGTGCGACCAAGCTACCACCAGAAGAAGCCACTCTCATTACCAAGAAAGAAGCTATGCTGCATGGAGAAAGAAGAGAGAGTGAGCGCTACCCAAAACCAAAGGAGAAGAAGAAAACATTGGAGCCGAGGCATGAAAATGTCTTCAAAGATATCAACTCCATCTTACTTCCAACCTTTGATGAATATGGAGCTGAAGAGGAGACTAATGGTGCACCTAATTGTTGGAATTCATGCAGGTTTATAACATTTTATAAAACTACTCATGAAATCAGTTCCAAGACCTCAAGCAAAATATTGAAATAAATCTGGATCTAAGAGTCTCGAACATACCTTGCGTCTTAGCAGCGGAAGGGTGATTGGAAACAAATCAAAGTTGTACAAGCACTCCAAGTGTAGTGCCTCCACCGGTATCCACACACACACAAACTGGATCAAGGCGGGATGCTAGTGCCGCTGAGATCTAATCTCAAGAGATGGACTTAGGGTTCTGCCGTGCCGTCAACGCAAAGAATGTCTCATTATTAAAGTTAATGTGCAACCTTATATATAAGTACACATAAACCCTAATCATTAAGAGTTAATGGGCTTAGCCCATAATCATTCACCTCTTCATTAAGAGACTTTAATGACTCCACGTTTATATACATCTTATGTATATAATATACTAAGTCCAATATATTATTGATCCAATTGCTTAGGTGTGTGACCCTGTAGGACCGTGTAATATTAGTAATGAGTTCATAACTCATAGATTATAAGTGGCCTCTAGCAAGACATTATAATCACCTAATATTAAACGATTATGTAACCTTGACGTTACAACTATAACTAAAGAAATACAAATGATTTCAGGACATTCCTAACAATCTCCCACTTGTACTGGAATCAAACATTTCTATTATCCTCTTGTCACTATATCTCGATCTTAGCATAAGGCAAGAAATGGTGTCATCCTTATTTAGCCAGACCACATTTATCGAACTCTGATTTATACTGATCAAACAAACGATTGACATTCACCTCGTTTGAGCACGGCCATGCATTTTTCAGTATCAAATCTTCGATAGGCCCAAAGACATAATCTCCCATCACATAGGAGGGACAAATCCCATCTTGTTCCATCCATGTATCTCACACAATTCATAATGTGCCCAATCACTGTCTTTATAATCACCTTTTACGGTTAACGTTTGACAGAGTCAAAGCACACCAATCCATGTGAAAAATATCATGATGAACTCAGGTTAAAGGACTATACTCTATAGTTATAATGAAAAACTTTTATGACACTCATATAACAATCTTGTAAAGTTCTCATGACGGGTTAGTCCAATATTGTGTTCACTAACACATATTTACGTGATTGACTTTAATACAACATATTAATGATTTCATGAAACTTAGTCATCAGTCACCTCACATACTAGTTATTTCAGTTATTAATGTCCCATATTAATAACCTCGACTAGAGACTTCAATAAGTTATATTATTTTCACTTATAGGGTCTCATGATCAAGTCACATACTTGATGACCTATAAGAATAACATAAATTATTTTGGGACTAATATTTAATAAAAATAATTAAATAATTCTGAAACAAATTTCATTAAAATCAAAACATAACCAAATGTATGTTAACATGAACATCATATCATAGAATAAAAGAAAAGCTCCCACTAAAACAAGATCACTGTTTAAGAAATCTAATGCCTATAGCAGTAGTATGACTCTCGTGCTTAGGCCGTGGAAGAGGCTTCGTCAAAGGATCAGCAACATTTGCATCCGTTGAGACTCTGCTAATCTTCACATCTCCTCTATCAACAATATCACGAATGAGATGATATCGCCTTTCAATGTGTTTGGATTTCTGGTGTGATCTAGGTTCCTTTGCCTGGGCAATGGCTCCATTGTTGTCACAATAGAGATCCACCGGGCTAAAAATACTAGGAATCACACCTAGTTCAGTAATGAATTTCCTAATCCAAACAGCCTCCTTTGCCGCTTCAGAAGCAGCAATATATTCAGCTTCAGTTGTTGAGTCTGCCACGGTGCTTTGCTTGGAGCTCTTCCAGCTCACAGCGCCTCCATTAAGACAAAAGATAAATCCAGATTGAGAACGGAAATCATCTTTGTCTGTCTGAAAACTAGCATCAGTGTAACCACTCAAAACAAGTTCATCACTTCCTCCATAGACCAAAAACTTATCCTTAGTGTTTCTTAAATACTTAAGGATATTCTTGACTGCTGTCCAGTGACTCTCACCTGGATCTGATTGGTATCTACTCGTCATACTCAAAGCACATGCAATATCTGGACGAGTACAAAGCATGGCATACATGATAGATCCTATAGCAGAAGCATATGGGATTCTACTCATGCGCTCTCGCTCATCATGTGTCGAAGGGCACTGCGTCTTGCTAAGAGAAATGCCATGAGACATTGGTAGAAAGCCTTTCTTGGAATCATGCATACTAAACCTGTGCAAGACCTTATCTATATAAGTGTCTTGACAAAGTCCAATAAGTTTATTCAATCTATCTCTATAGATTCTTATTCCAAGGATATAAGCAGCTTCTCCCATGTCTTTCATTGAAAAACAACTTCCTAGCCAAGCCTTTACAGACTTAAGTAAAGGAATATCATTCCCAATGAGAAATATGTCATCTACATACAATACCAAAAATGCAACTGCGCTCCCACTAGTCTTCTTGTAAACGCACGGTTCTTCTTCATTTCTAATGAAATCAAACTCTTTGATTGCTTCATCAAAACGAAGATTCCAACTCCGAGATGCTTGCTTCAACCCATAAATGGCACGTTGAAGTTTGCATACTTTCCCAGCATTTTCAGGACTTGTGAAACCTTCAGGTTGTATCATGTATACATCCTCTTCGAGTTTTCCATTAAGGAAAGCTGTTTTCACGTCCATCTGCCATATCTCATAATCATAATAAGCGGCAGTAGCTAGGAGAATCCGAATGGATTTAAGCATTGCAACTGGGGAATAGGTTTCATCATAGTCTACACCATGAATTTGTTTATAACCTTTTGCCACCAATCTAGCTTTATATATCTGAATATTACCATCCATGTCAATTTTCTTCTTGAAAACCCATTTACACTCAATGGCTTTAACACCATCAGGTAAATCAACCAAAGTCCATACTTGGTTTTCTGACATGGAATCCATTTCGGAATATGCGGCTTTTAGCCATTTTTCGGAATCAGGGCCCATCATTGCTTCCTCGAAAGACGTATGTTCATCACTTTCTATTAGAAATAGATCATGATCGTCTGTCACCCAAACCCCATATCTATTAGGTTCGTGACGAGCCCTTTCGGACCTACGTACTTCAGGTTCCACAGGTGTAGATACTACGACTGCTCGTAAATCTAACTGAGGCTCTTCCTGGGAAGTCGGAGCCTCATGTGTCTCTCGAACTTCTTCGAGTTGTACTTCACTCCCACTGTTCTTCTTAGAAAGAAATTCTCTTTCCAGGAAGACACCATTTCGAGCAACAAACACTTTGGTCTCGGCAGGGTTGTAAAAGTAATAACCTTTAGTTTCTTTTGGATAACCAACAAAGAAGCATTTATCAGATTTGGGTCCAAGCTTATTTTCTGGGAGTAAACGTTTTACAAAAGCTTCACAACCCCAAATTTTCATAAAAGACAAATTATGGAACTTTTCTAGTCCATATCTCATATGGTATCTTTTCAACTGATTTTGATGGACATCTATTTATCGTAAACGCAGACGTTTCTAGAGCATATTCCCAAAAGGATAATGGAAGATCTGTATGACTCATCATTGATCGAACCATATCTAATAAAGTCCGATTTCTCCTTTCAGACACACCATTCCATTGTGGTGTTCCAGGAGGAGTGAGTTGTGAAACAATTCCACACTCCTTAAGCTGGTCAATGAAAGCTTGGCTTAAATACTCTCCTCCTCGATCTGATCGAAGGGCTTTGATTGTTTTACCAAGCTGGTTTTGTACTTCATTCTGAAATTCTTTGAACTTTTCAAAAGACTCAGACTTATGTTTCATTAGATAAACATAGCCATATCTACTGAAGTCATCAGTAAATGTGATGAAGTACTGATAGTTTCCTCTAGCATTTATACTCATTGGTCCACACACACATCTGTATGTATGAGGCCCAATAAGTCGCTGGCCCTTTCACTGTGTCCAGTAAAAGGAGCCTTAGTCATTTTTCCAAGTAAACAAGACTCACATTTTTCAATTGATTCAAAATCAAATGAGCTCAAAAGTCCATCACTATGAAGCTTTTGAATGCGTTCTCATTTATATGGCCCAAACGACAATGCCAAAGAAAAGTTTGATTCGAGTCATTTGACTTAAATCTTTTGGTTCTAATGTTATAGACAGGCACACTTTGGTTTAGAACATAAAGCCCATTCTCTAATGGACCACTACCATAAAACATATTATCACGATCAAATGAACAACACTTGTCTTTAATCGTAAAATGAAATCCTTCCAAATCCAAACATGAAATTGAAATAATATTTCTGCTTATAGCAGATACATAGTAGCAATTTTTAAGTTCTAAAATGAAAGACAAATGAAATGTTCCTACAGCTAATGCAGCAACTCTTGCTCCATTTCCCACACGCAGGTCCACTTGTCCTTTCTCCAAAGTTCTACTGTTGCTTAGGCCCTGCATATTAACACAAATATGAGCACCACAGCCGGTATCTAATACCCATGAAGTAGAACTGGAAGTAGCAACATTTACTTCTATAACATAAATACCTGAAGATGAAGTCTCAAAAGTCTTCTTCTTCTTTTTCAGATCTTCCAAGTATTTCTTGCAGTTTCTCTTCCAATGACCAGAATCATTACAATAATGACACTTGTCTTCACCAGAAGGACCAGGTTTGGTCTTAGGAGTAGGTTCGGAATTGCTTGGGTTCTTAACCCAGCTTGCCTTGCCCTTTCCCTTGTCCTTACCATGTTTCTTAAACTTCTTACCCCCTTGTACCATTAGGACGTGAGGGGTGTCCTTCATGATGTTGGGTTCAGCAGATTTAAGCATCCCATGCAGCTCAGTCAAAGTCTTTGTCATGTTGTTCATGTTATAGTTCATAACAAACTGATCAAAACTTGACGGCAATGACTGCATAATGAGGTCAGTGGCCAACTCTTGGCTGATTGGGCAGTCCAGTTTTGCCAAGTTATCAATATAACCCATCATCTTAATGACATGAGGGCTAACTGGACTGTTCTTAGGAAGCTTGCACTCAATGAGAGTTTTAACCGTTTGGTATCTCTCAGTTCGTGCTTGCTCCTGAAACATACCCTTCAGGCTAGTGATCATGTCAATTGGCGAATCCACGTTCTCATATTGCTTCTGCAAGTCCGAGTTCATGGTAGCCAACATAAGACAACACACATCAACCATATCATTGGAATGTTTCTCCCAAGCATTCCTCTCTGCATGTTGAGCATTTGTTTTAGGTTTTTCAGGAAGTTTCTTTTCCAAGACATAGTCCTTTTTCTCCTGTTTGAGAACAATTCTCAGGTTTCGGTACCATTCAAGGAAATTCGATCCATTCAACTTTTCCTTCTCAAGGACTGATCGAATGGAGAATGAACTGTGAGTAGTTGTCATAGCTGAATCAAAAAGGAATAGAAGATGTTAATATGATGTTCATAAGTTAGAGAAATCTCAACAATTAAGAAAACTCACATTATATTCAAAACAATAATATCCTCAAAATGAATATAATGATCCAAGATCCATATTTTACTAGAATTCAAGTGAGCTTTGGCTCATCGCCCGAATGCCTAGTTATTTAGGTAAGCAACAACATTGCTAATTATACCAAATATAATTCTTGGTTGTTAGATGACATCTTATGTCTAATCCAACCTATGCCTCTAAGCCCAAAACCGTTTTGATAGCTTAGTCAAGCAAACCGATTTTGTTTCATATGGTAACCATTACCATCTGTCTTACTCATGTAATTGTAGACACCTTGCTTAGCAAGCCCATCACACAATGAAATAAGTCTTGACAGTTGACAAAATTGGAGAGGCATCAAAATACTTGATATTTTATGAGGAACTAAATTTTAATCCAATTTTAGTTTATATTTAAGTTTTATATCTTATATATAAATATAATAATACATATCTTATATGAATTTTAATTGGATTATAAATAATTGAAGTAATTTTAATCTAATTAAAATAATAATTATTTAAGTAGTTGAGATTAATTTAATTCTTACGTCTTAATCAAATTAAAAACGTGAATTAAAATAGTATAATAGAATATGAATTATTATATACTCGATATCACATATCATATAATATATTAATTAAAAACAAGTGATCATGCATTACAATAATGCATACGTGACTTTAATTCATATGTGCATGAACTTTATCTACGTGCTCATGCTCAAAGACATGCTACGTGCTCTGTGCTCATACTCAACTATTTGAACAGCCGCTTAACAATTGTTATAATCAAATTATAATGACTTCGAAATAAGTCCACGCACATATACATATTTTAGATTCAGTTCAATAACTAGTTATAATCAGATTATAATATAATAATTTCCAAAAATTATTAAATCTAGTCGTACTTGTATAGTTGAATTCATGAGTCATAATTTAATCAAATCAAATATGCAAACAGAACTTCGGTGAATTCAAACATGAGTTACGATGAACAAGTATATCACTAATATACAATCAGCTAGATTCAAATCAAAATTATGCAAGTTCGCTCTGATACCACTTGTTGGAATTCATGCAGGTTTATAACACTTTATAAAACTACTCATGAAATCAGTTCCAAGACCTCAAGCAAAATATTGAAATAAATCTGGATTTAAGTGTCTCGAAGTCTTAGCAGCGGAAGGGTGATTGGAAACAAATCAAGGTTGTACAAGCACTCCAAGTGTAGTGCCTCCACCGGTATCCACACGCACACAAACTGGATCAAGGCGGGATGCTAGTGCCGCTGAGATCTAATCTCAAGAGATGGACTTAGGGTTCTGCCGTCAACAGTGCCGTCAACGCAAACGTAAGTATGAATACGAATGTCTCATTATTAAAGTTAATGTGCAACCTTATATATAAGTACATATAAACCCTAATCATTAAGAGTTAATGGGCTTAGCCCATAATCATTCACCTCTTCATTAAGAGACTTTAATGACTCCACGTTTATATACATCTTATGTATATAATATACTAAGTCCAATATATTATTGATCCAATTGCTTAGGTGTGTGACCCTGTAGGACCATGTAATATTAGTAATGAGTTCATAACTCATAGATTATAAGTGGCCTCTAGCAAGACACTATAATCACCTAATATTAAACGATTATGTAACCTTGACGTTACAACTATAACTAAAGAAATACAAATGATTTCAGGACATTTCTAACACTAATCTCTTTCACAAGATAAGAATCTTTACACCAAAAGATTCGGAGCTTAAAGGTGACCAATCCATTGAAGAGAAGCTTGAGAGAACTATGAAGCTTTTCCCCAAGGCATTGGTTTTCAAGATGATGTGAGAGATGACATGGCGCGACAACACCACCACAAGAATCCACTACACCGGAGAATGGAGAAGCTAAAGGGATCCTTTACCCTTCAGCCACTCTTCACCACGATTGAAAGAAAGAAAAGGAGTCAAGCTAAATGACTTAAAACAAAAGCGCTTTATGGGAGGCAACCCATATGGTTTTTAACTATCTATTTCTATTTTGCAGGAGTTTTTCAAAAATCAAACAAAAATACAAAAATATTTTCTTAGGATGAAGACCCAAAGGAGACCAAACAATGAAAGTGTCCCACCCAATGAGCCCACCCTTGTACAAGGCGTTTCTCTTCAAAAGGTAAGTAAACTCTCACCTAGTATTCATTTCTAATCACTCTTGATCTTCACTTGAAAAATCGTTTAAACCATTGCACTTTACCAAATATATTTCATGGTTTAACTTGATTTACTTTTGATGATTGGAAAGAATACATAATCACTTGTCAAAACTCATTTTGCTCACTGAAATTACAAGAGATTGAACTATAGTTTGAAATTTGGATCATTGACCAAGACCAAATAAGAATTTATAGTTTGTGCTTTAATCTCTTGGATTGTGAACTTCAAGTTGGTCACTTGAGGATCACAATCTGAGAAACCATCTAATCATGATTTCAAGTGTTTTGCAAGGAGTTACCATTTGACAGGAAGGAGAAATAAAGCAAACCTATCCACCACCTAAAACCAACATGCATATGGCGGCCAAAGGGAGGTTAAAAGGAGATACACAGGCCATCACACGAAACAAGGCGGCCACCACTTGGGAATGACACAGGAGGGTTATTAAAACAATTCGGTCGAAGAAAATCTCAATTGGCCCGAGTGGATTTGAAGAAATTCAATCCGGACATTTCTCTCGGCCATACCGCGCACAAGGAAGCCAAATTACGGCCAACTCCTAAACGGCGTGACCAAAGTCCACCAAACTTCACAGGCGACCATAAAATCACATTTGGTCGGCAAATCCAAAAGATAGGACGGAGAAATCATCACGGATCATGAGATAGACGACGGAGCCCATTCTGGCCGATGGCGCGCAAGCAATATGGCCGACAAAACCAAATCACGGCATAGGCGCGCCAACCGGTTGGAAAACTCTTCTTTGAGCTTAACTAACACTTTTATGCAGGAAGAAACGAAAAGGAACGAGCCAAACTTCAATGGCCAAGGAAACTCCTTCCCGGAGCCGACTTGACCATTTTGTGAAGGAAGTCTCAATCGCTCGTACGAATGCTCCCAAACTTCACCAGAGGCTATAAAATACCAGGTTGGTCGATGAAATTTCAATATAGGTCATGAAATTTTTGACGGTTTGTTCTGTAGTTCACAGCACCACATTTTGGCCGACCGAATATACCAATCTCGGCCAAAACACAAACCGGCGGAAACCAAGGCCTGAAATTAAAAACTCACCGACCAATATTGCCTAAAGAAGTGTAGAATGACCCAAACCGGAACTGATCTTCATTATAAATTGGTCGACAATTGGTAACATCATCCTAAACCTTTTTCTTTTCAATTTTTCATTTGAACTTCATGTTATGCCTCTCTTAATCCGATTTGATTTCACCGGGACGGTGCAAGTTAAGTCTGGGGGGATTACTAACAATGTTTGTTCATTTTGGCGTTTTCATTTGCATTTTTCCCTTTTATCGAGTCGTTTTTATTGAGTCAAAATTTTTGTCGAGAATCATGACCTTATCTTGGATCTAACCATGGTTGTACTAATGTTTAAGTGACCATTGAGCAGTTCTTGGCAATACATCTTACCACAGGTGCACTATGAGTTGATCGATCTACCAAAAACGCCTACATCTCTAAAGACTTGAGAAGGATCCATCTTTGACTCCGCCCTTAATGAACTTAATCTTCTCAGCTAGGGGCTTGGCATACAAATGGCATGATTCCTCATCCTCTCCATCAAATGAAAAAGTCTTAGTGAGTTCGTGCTTCCCTCTCTCTCCCCTTCAAATTTAAAGAAAAAGCGTAAGGTCCAAGTAACCGGGGATTCGGTGGCAAACACCATCAATACTCGCGTCTATGTGGAAGATCCAAACAAAACATCTCTATAATAAAGAGAAGGAGTTGAATAAAAAAATACTTCGCTACCCTAAAAAAGGGATGAATCAACTCAAGAAGTGAGAAGAGAGAGAGGAGAAACATGGAGTAAAAGACAAGTGCCAAACAAGGGGATGAGAAAGAATCTAAAAGCCGGCTGATCGATACTCCCTAGTTGAGACCACACCTTTAGAAATGAAAGGAGTCAAGGGTGGCGAATTGGATTGTCCAAGGAGAGGTGGACCGCTTTGGGAAAATCGCAAAACTCATGGTATGTACTTTGTTCTTAATTCAAAACTTGCCAATGCTGTTTCATGTGGATTACTAAAGCATAAGTCAATTTGGATTTCCAAAAGATTTGAGAGTTCTCACGTTTTCAAACCTCTTTTCCTGCTTAGTTTGCTTGGGGACAAGCAAAAGGCTAAGTCTGGGGGAGTTGATATCACCATATTTTACATGATTTTACTATATAATTACTTATGTTTTCAAACGGTTTTTGCAAGATTCTTTGCCTTTAGAGGTAGTTTTCTTGTATTTGTGGGATTTGAAGTCTTTGTAGGTGAAATAATCAAAAAGGATGCAAAAAGGAGCAAAAGAGCCCTAAATCAAGATCCATGCAAGTTTCCAAGTCAAGAAGACCATTTTATCTCCAAGTGTTAGTTCTCGCTTGCGCGCAGAACGAAGCTTCGGAAGTTTGGCCGCGCGCGGAGGAGTTCCCGACGTCCAAAAGTTACGATCTTGATATGGAAAGATAGATACTTGAGTCATGCATCACGTCGAAGTGGAATGAAGCCATTTGGATCAACTATGAGGCCTAGACTTATTTTCTACCGAGACATGTCCGGTAAGCGAGAACTAATGAGATCGATGATATCGATGAAATTGATTTTCAAATCTTTCTTCTTAGAACGTATTGATTTGACCCCATAAGCGGGATCACCACCCCATAGCATGTTGCCGCCAGAACCCCATATTTCTTCTAGACAATCTCCTAATTGTTCCAGAGCTTTCTCTCAGGCTCTTTCTTGACTACTCTAGCTAGTCTCCAATACCTCTAATTACTGATTTTATTAAATTATCGAGAAATTATGTTAAATTGGGCTGTATCTTTGGGTTTGTCCTTTACACAACATGAGTTGTTCAAAAGAATGCAATAATAGCAGCTATACGTACATGGTGGCATGAATAGGGTTAGTAGTTATTACATTACCTCCTAAAACAACCTTAACACAAATAAAACTAAATTACATTTAATTTTGAGACAATGATTTAGCGCAGTTTTCATATTATATTAGATGGAGTTGTTTCAAAAACAAAGCATGAACCGAAACGAGTTTATTTTTCAATAAATCTAATTGACATTTCACCAAATTAAGACTCTGTTTAAAAGAAGGAGCAAAAGTAACAATATACATTCGAAAAACATCCATAGATATTAACCAATCAAATTTATTAAAAAAAACAACTCATTCTTAGCCGATAAATGGTAACAAAAATAAGTTTCTTGTTATTTAGATTCCTTCTAACATTTCATAGAAACTTACCTCTATATAAGCGGATAAATTGGCCAACAATACTCATTGTGTCTTGGAAAAAGTATTTACATATAACACACTTTTCTCTATGCCAATTACTGTAACCAATATTAAAAGATGGCCCTTGCTTCTGCATTTAAGGCTTTGTGGCTGTCTATCTTGTTCATCACCGTTGCAAGTCGTCCTACAGTCATGCCAAAGGTTTTTAACGTCCGACGCTATGGTGCTAAATTTGACGGAAAAACTGATAACGCCAATGTATGTACATAACAATTTTTTTCTATTTAGATTATTTTTAAAAAAATATATTTTGTTGATTATATATTTGTTTCCACATACTTAAAGTTAAGCTCAACTCAATTTTGTTGAATAACTAACCTATCTCGAGTCTCGCTCTTGATGCATATACGATGTTTTAGGTGTTTACAAATGTATGGAAAAGCGCATGCGCAAGAGGTGGAAGTAGTAAAATCTATGTACCGAAAGGAACATTCTATCTCGGTGGTGTAGAGTTTGTGGGACCATGCCAAAATCAGATTGAATTCGTCATCGATGGAACTTTATTGGCTCCTTCAAACCCTAGAGATATTAAGAAGGACACATCGATCAACTTCAAGTACATCAACGATCTCTATATCTCTGGTACAAGTACACTCGATGGTCAAGGGAAGCAATCTTGGCCACTCAATGACTGCCACAAAAACACCAATTTTCCTAAACTAGCTATGGTACCATCATTTCTTAATCATGTATACATATTGCTTTAAACTGATTATTATTTGCATTTAAAGTGTATTACAAAATTGACCATGGGACTTTTTATATCCAAGTCTAGCTAATCTTGTACTAAACTTGATTTGTTTCCATAGAATATGGGATTTGCATTCGTGAACAATTCAAGAATCGATGGGATAACATCACTCAACAGCAAAATGGGACACTTAACCTTCTTCTCCGTCCACTACTTCAACATTACTGGTGTAACACCCCCGGTTCGGTCTATGAATAGATGACACAAGTGTCGAGGTTCAAAAGATAGGCCGTCTTGGGTCTAAGAACATATCAAAGCCCAAGTCAGCTAATCCAATGAATACGACCCTCTCGACCTTCGGTTAAGGCTTTGCAACCTGCTCCTCCGGTCTTGAGTTGTGTTAGCTCCGGACAAAAGCTAATATCATTCGAGAGGCCAGATTTGTAAAAGATAACATTATATTAACCTTCTCAAAACATGTTTTACAAAAGCTTATACTACTTTGGCGCCAAGGCCTAATGCCCAAAATAGATATTACATATAATAACCTGAAATCGAGTTTTGCAAAAGCCAAGCCAATCTACTCCGGTCTTCAGCTGTTCTGCCTCTCGTCCACGGGCTTCTACTAAGGGTTACCTGTAAAACCAATAATCGATATGAGTAACCTAATGTTACTCAGTGAGTTCAGGACCCTCTATACAATAGTTAATCCCCAAATCCAAACCCCAAAATAAAACACATTGTCGTAATGCTGCTATAACCTCTAAACTGACCGCACAACAATCAAACAAGAACATGTACGATCAATCAGAGATTATAAGCAACACCTAACAATGCTCAGCGATAAAACTAAACTGCGGGCTTACCACCCCGCCACCTGCATCACACAAAAGTATGCATAACATATGCATACCACCTGCAAATTGCAATCACACATGCAAATAAGATGCAATCCTACAAGTATAGGAATACTTGTCTCCTAAATGTAAGTATCCATGTACTTGACCCTAACACTCTATTTCACTAATTCACCGGTGAAACCTCTACTAGTGTGTCAGACATTCCCCATTCCGGTAAAGCACCACGCCTGAGAAACACAAAGTAACCCAGAGCGGTCATCACCTGGCAAAGCACTGCACCTGCGAAACACAAAGTAACCAGGCCAGAGCTTTACCCCATTCTGAACTGGACTTACTGATATCACCATATTTTACATGATTTTACTATATAATTACTTATGTTTTCAAACGGTTTTTGCAAGATTCTTTGCCTTTAGAGGTAGTTTTCTTGTATTTGTGGGATTTGAAGTCTTTGTAGGTGAAATAATCAAAAAGGATGCAAAAAGGAGTAAAAGAGCCCTAAATCAAGATCCATGCAAGTTTCCAAGTCAAGAAGATCATTTTATCTCCAAGTGTTAGTTCTCGCTTGCGCGCAGAACGAAGCTTCGGAAGTTTGGCCGCGCGCGGAGGAGTTCCCGACGTCCAAAAGTTACGATCTTGATATGGAAAGATAGATACTTGAGTCATGCATCACGTCGAAGTGGAATGAAGCCATTTGGATCAACTATGAGGCCTAGACTTATTTTCTACCGAGACATGTCCGGTAAGCGAGTAAACGAAGCCCATGGAGGATTTGGAGTGTCTAATGGCCCGAGCAGCAGCGCCAAAGGCCTTGATCGAATAGAGAAGAGGCCTGGCTAATGTTTGGAGCTTTCCTTGGTACAATGTCGGCCCATACACGACGTGGAGAAGAAGGCTTTGCTCGCGGGAAACTTTCCTTTTCCGGCATGAAGAAAACCCTACGCGACTTCGCCCATATATACATGTTTTTAGCCGCTGAAGAAGAGATCGAGTCGAGTCCGAAAATTATCAAAGAGTGTACGTGTGAGAAGAGAGAGAGGAGAGAAGCCCTAGGAGATCGTCCAAGAAGAAGGAGGCGCCGCTCAACTCTTGTTCTTTCTTTTTCATTGTTTCCATTTCTATAAACTTGATTTAAGAGTTTTCAAGGGAGAATCCGACTTTGTTCATCAATAGAGAAGCTTTCTTCATCCCTTTATCTCTTTTAATACTTGCATAATGTTTACAATCATGCTTTGCTTGCTTGTTTGCATCATGGCCGAGTAGATCTCTTAGTTAGGCCGAGGAGATCTATGGTGGCCGTGATGATTTGATTGTGTTGCAACTTATTGGGATTTATCTTATGGATCTTCACCTTTACTTGAGCTTAATGCATGATTACTCTACCGTACATCTAGTAATCTGATCTTAGAGAAATAGAACCACGACAGTGCTGAATCTAGATCTCAAAACTAGTATTTGGTGAGCAATAGATCATAGCCAACGAAAGCTGAGTTATGGTTTATTGTGAACAATTGAATCTTGAACCTTTAATGCATGTTTGCAATTCTAATAGCCAACGAAAGCTGAGTATATTAGGTTGTTTTAAACATAGTGGTTGGAGCCACGACAGTGGAAAGACCATACACTAGTGATTCATGTTCAAGACGGCTCTACACACATCCCATGCAACTATCTTTTCATCATTGCTCCATATGATTGTCCTTTGCCTAACTCTTGTTTTAAATTGTTTACAACTCACTCACATCTTTTGTTTTTTTCTCATTCTAGGTCCAAAACCACCTCATATTGCGAGCTAGCTACAAACCAATCTCACAAGGTGTTAAGTGAGAACACTTCCTCCTCGTGTTCGACCCCGACTACAACACGGCTGTGCACTTGCAGCTCATTAGTTGGGTTTATAAATTGTGAAAATTTGAGGCAATCTAAACCCGCCATCACTTACCCTGCTAGATCAGACCACCTCTGAAATGGACTTACCCTGCCATATCAGACAACCACCTCTGACCTAGACTTACCCTGCTAGATCAGAGCACCACCTTCTGAAATGGACTTACCCTGCCATATCAGACCATGGTTCCCTAACAGGATGGATGCAAGTGGAACCACTACCTCCTCACTGGACTTACCCTGCCAGATTAAAGTATGGCTCCCACTTGGGATGGTAACAAACGGGAATGCTGATCACACCATCCTATACCACATATGGATGTCTCACTACATCCAAATGGAACCACATATGAATGTCTCACTACATTCATATGGACCTGGCCCCGCTTATGGTTACACCATAAGTGCCGGTACTAGCATATGGGCGGTTAAACACCAGTATACTTCATACCCCCGATTCTGCAGCAGAGCTTTCCTTGCCTCGGAAGAGTACCTACCAGAACCTCAACAGATCTGGCGGCCCAGCCGTCCGTGATCTTACCACATCGGAGCCATACTTAACACATGGGCCTCACGCACCACCATGTTAGTATGCACTCGAGGTTTAGCGGCATAGCCATGCTATAACCTCACAACCGATACATCTCTATGCACCTGCATAAACAAGATCTGACGGCATAACCTTCCCCGAAGTTTACCCATCACAATCTTACACACAAAAGAGATCTGCCAGCATAACCTTCCCCGAAGGTTACCTGACACAACCTCACAACACAAGAGATCTGACGGCATAACTTCTCTCTCTAGAAGATTACCCGTCACAACCTCACAGAGATTTCTGCAGCATAACTCTCCACAATTTTTACTAAACATTATTGTTTAGAGAGTTATACCACATACTTATTAAACGATAGAAGGAAATAAACTATAACCTAGCTACCGGAACTCACAGATTTTAGACGACCCGGCTGACCCCGTTCCTAGCTTACCCCGCTCTAGCCCGTGCTTGATCCGCCTCTGGATCTCCCTCTTCTCCGTCTTCTTCTTCCTCTCCTCCTTTCTCTCTTGGGCGTTCTCTCCTTTCTCTCTCTACTTTATCTCTCTTTCTTTCTTGTTTTTGGTGTGAGTTCATATGAAGGCTGAAGGGGCCTTTATATAGGTTTTTGGGAAGCTCGAGGTGGCGTCTGAGGGCTTCAGAACGTGACACCTCTCCTCTACATGCAACCAATGGCGTTGAGGCACGCCTGCAGCTGCTTCTACCATCCCCATCCACTTGGATTGAATGGCATCTCCCCATTGGTCCATTCTCCAAGCTGCTGGGTAGCTGAACGTGATTCGTCCGTTGAGGATGATGATGTACTTGCATTTTACATAGTTTTAGCACATCTTTTATGCATCTTTTGCATAGTTTTAGCTTCCATTTGCATCATATCTTGTTCCTTTTCTCTTCTTATGCATTCATGTTAGTTTTAGGTTGCATTTGCATACATATGCATGTTTGGTCCTTTGAAATAGGTCTTTTGGAGCATTCTGGAGCATATGGGACATAAGGAGCATGGAGGGACTTGGCACATGGAAGCAGCTCAACTGGATACGCAAAGGAAGAAGGGAGAAGCCATCTTGAAGACCAGCTCGACCGGCCAAGCTTCAACTCGATCGAGCTGGGGAAGTCAAAGTCAAACCCGAAAAATGTTGCTTCCCCCTTGACTTTCCTTTGACCCTAAACCTAATCCTCTTGTATTTAAAGGCTCTAAGCCACGAAAAAACCACCAAGCTTTAGATTATTTTGTTTTAGTTTCTTTTAATTTATTGTCTTTTACTTTTTAGAGATCTAATCCCATCTTTGTGTTCTTGAAGCTCTTGCTTCTTGAATCTAGATCCTGGATAATCTCTTTGTATTTGCACTTGCTTATTTCAATAAAAGTTGTTTAATTTCATCTCCTCTTTCTTATGATGTCTCTTTTATTGCATTTGCTTGTGTTTACATTCATGTGTAGTGAGTAGTTACCCATTAGGGTTTGAGATGGGATAGATTAGAGGTTTCATATGCTTAATCCTTCTAGCTTATGGTCTTAATCTAGATTCTCTCTCTTTTGGATAGATCTTAAGGCTACATGACCACTACCCCTGGCTTGTAAGTCCTTAGGCGACTCCCCACACGAAGTGATGGCATTCGCTGGAAAAGATCCACTAAGAGCTCCAATATCTCTTGCTCTAGACAATAGAGGTCTAAGGGGTTGGATGGATTAGTTTGGGCAATGATCCTATAGCCTCCAAGGTTTGATTCTCACTGGCTAACCCCCTGTTTCTGAGATCATTCCTTGGTTGATAGCCTCCACCTTGGGAAAGGGTTGGCTAGGCATTGAGAAGCCCAATATCAAGAGAAGCCTTGATACAAGGAGTTTTAAGAGCTAGATTGATTAAGTGTAGATTCCTTTGATTGCAAAACCCTGTCTTGAACCCTAATTCTCTCTTTATCTTGTTAAAGTCGTCACCTTTAGCTTTGTTTGTCTCAACTCGTCCCTAAACTCGATCGAGCTGGTACTTTGCTCTACTCGACTCGAGCTCTTGGTCGAGCTGACACTTCACTGCTTTGTTTACTTTTATTGCACTGCTTTTCATTTTTTTAGGTTGTTAGTGTTACTTCAAATCTATAACTGCTTGCTTGACTTTCTGGTTGTTTCATATTCTCAAGAGTGACAAGTTTCCCATTTTGGATTGATAACCTCTTATACTTCAATGACTATGATGGTTAAGAGGAATTGTTGATGTGTTGTGTTTGCACCATACCATCATCTTTATTACCCTGTTTGCATTCCACCTCATTTCATTTCACACACACAAAATCCTATCATCAATTTGGCGCCGTTGCCGATTTGGGAATATTTTTGTTGCATTTGAGTTTCAAACACACTTGGACGATCAAGCTATACCACCCCTGTTCTATTGTACTGCTGGGTTTTTGTCTCTTTTTGCAGGTGTATGCGAACTCGATCGAGTCGGTCAACTGAAGACTTGGTCGAGCTAGACATTACAACGGGTAGAAAGAGGGTTCAGAGGTCACAGAGGGTACAAGAGGAACCTGAGGTGCTTGTTGCTGATACAATGGATGTACCAGAGGGGAATGGAAACCCTTTGGGAATGGACTCGGTCGAGCTAGGCAAACTCGACCGATTGGTCAAGGAGATGCTCCAAACCGCCACCAACAGAGACAAGGGATTGTTCCACCACCAGTGCAGAACCACAACTTTGAGATCAAGCTGGGAATGATCAACCTTGTCCAGAACAAGATGTTCCATGGATTGCCAAGTGAAGACCCCATTGACCACCTTGATGAGTTTGATAGGCTTTGTGATTTGACAAAGATCAATGGTGTCTCTGAAGATGCCATCAAGCTGAGACTCTTTCCTATGTCTCTAGCTGACAAAGCTCACCAATGGGAGAAGAGCTTGCCCCATGGCACAATCACCACTTGGGATGAATGCAAGAAGGCCTTTCTTGCTAAGTTTTTCTCCACCGGTCGCACAGCCAAGCTTAGAGGAGAGATATCCAGCTTCATCCAGCGAAACAATGAGACATTCGCAGAGGCTTGGGAGAGGTTCAAAGGCTACACAAGTCAGTGCCCACACCATGGATTCAACAATGAATCCTACTCTCCACTCTTTATAGAGGATGCTTGCCTAGGTATAGGGAGATGCTAGACACAGCTAGCAATGGGAACTTCCTCAACCAGGATGTAGATGATGGCTGGCAACTTGTGGAGAACATAGCTAACTCAAATGGAAGCTATGGAGAAGAGTATGATCGCACCAACCGGAGCTCGACCCACCACTCGATCGAGTCAGACGAAAAGTTGAGAAAAGATGTTAAGGCATTGAATGAGAAGTTGGATAAGCTGATCCTAGCTCAGTCCACAATGAAGAAAGTCAACTTTGTGTCTGCTGAGGAGATGGAACCAGTCCAAGAAGGGGAGGATACACAATTTGCTGAGGTGTGCTACATGAGCAATGGGCAAGGAGGTTACAACAAAGGATACTATAATACAAGTCCAACCCTGCCATGTCATACCGCAACACTGATGTTGCTAACCCTCAGGACCAAGTATATCCTCAACAACAAGCAGCTCGATCGAGTCAGGTGCCACAACATGGGTATGGTCAAAAGAACAATTACCAAGGACCACAAGGCACTTTCCCTGGACAACAAATGAATATCCCACCAGGCTTCCCCCACCAACCGCCCCAGCCTGCACCTTCACAAGAGAATGAGCTCAAAGCAATGCTAAAGCAACTACTTCAAGGGCAAGCTGATGGGGTAGTGGACACAAGCAAGAAGCTAGCTGAAATAAACTCTAAGATCGAGAACCTCAACACAAGGGTTTACTCTCTGGAGAATCATGCTTCTTCTGTTGCTGCTGCTACAAAGCAAGGACAACTACCTGGTAAAGCTATTCAGAACCCCAAGGAACAGTGCAAGGTCATCTTCACTCAAGAAGGACTTGTTGAAGAAGAGGATCAAGAAAGGGTCATTGAAGATTTTTGTTTACTGCTGAATGATGAAGAGATTGTTGCTGCTGAGGCTCCTGGAGTCCAGATTGATCAACCAGAAGTGCATGCACCTACTGTGGCCATTCACACTTCACCAGTTGAGCTCGCACGACAAGCTCGATCGGCAGCTCGATCGAGTCCAACTCTAGCTCGATCGAGTCCGACCTCTTCTGTCCGACAGCCTGTTTTGCTTGATCCTTATCAACCGGTTGCCGCTTCCTCGTCTCGCCTACTTAGTCAAGGTCACAAGGAAGTGATTCACAAGTTCAGAAGAGATCTCAGTGGGATTGGAATTGAGTTGCCTCTATGGATAGCATGAGTGAGGCATTTGATCAAATGCAAATGGTCAAGGATGTTCTAGCCAACAGTGATAAAGTTTCAGAGGTCCTACAAGAGTCTACTCATCAGTTCAACCTGCTTACTTCACCCACCTTCCTACCAAAGGTCAAGGATCAAGGGAAATTCACTCTCCCTTGCACACTTGGGCATCTTGAGATTGACAATGCCTTAGTGGATTCTGGAGCAAGCATCAATCTGATCTCTCTCTCCATGGCAGAGAAGCTAGGCATAGCTGGAGCCTTGCAGCGCCCTACTACTTCAATCATGTTTGGAGATGCAACTTCTAAGTCTCCTCTTGGAGTGTTCAAGAACTATCACTTGAAAATTGGAGAATGCATCATCCAAACTGATCTCACTGTGATGGAAATGGAAGAAGAGAAGGATTTGCCTCTGTTATTGGGAACCCCTTTCCTTAGTACAGTTGGCGCTTCAATAGACTTTCACAAGCAAGAAGTGATCCTTCACAAGGTGAATAGTTTGGTGTCATATCGCTTGCAGCCTAGAGGTTCAGACTTTTGTGCCACAATTGACAGTACCAATCTCAGTTCTAAGAGTCATGGAGCTACAAAGGTTGTGAAGGAAAGGGTTGACAAGGAACCAAGAGTTGGGAAGGATAAGGATGAGAGAGGACCAAGGATTGAGAAGCCACGTCTTGAGAGGGCTAGAGTTGAGAAACCACGATCTGATAGGCCAAGAGCTGAGCGACTTGTTCAAGCCCCTTGTGTGCTTGATGAAGAGAGCCTTCAAGCTTTGTTTGATGAGCCACTAGGAAGGGCTCTAAAGAAGGGGAGGATGCAGCCTCTAAGGCAAGACCAGGAGATAAAAGAAAGGATCCACCAGCTCAGGCCCCTTCAGTCAAGCCATCTCAGCTCACAATGACTTTGTTCCCCACCAAGTTTGAAAATGGGAAGATTGAGTACAAGATAAGGTACAAGGGGAGATCAAGGCCATTCTCTAGAGCCAAGGCCTTGGTGACTTCAGAACAGTCCAGGGACCCAACCAAGCTAAAGGAGCTTCTGTCTCAAGTCCTCACTATCACCCTTGATGGTGGGACTAGCTCAACCAATGCCTAAGAAGGTAAAGGTCAAGCTATGGGACCTTAAACAAGCTCACTTGGGAGGAAGTCCCATGTTTATCCTTGTACATACTCTATTTATGCAATTTCTATCTATCTTTGTGTTTTAACCTTTGAATAAGTTAAGTTTAGGTGTCAAGGAGCCAGCTCGACCGACAGCTCGATCGAGCTAGAAACCAGGGCAACTCGATCGAGTTCACAACTCGACCGAGGTAAGTTTTTGAATTTCAAATTCATAACCGTTTTCTTGGTCAAGGGAGTGGGTCCCACAAGCTGATTTTGGTCCCCCACTACCCTAATTTGATCAGAGAATCCCTAGCTTCTTGTTCCCTCTTTATTTCATCTTTTAATCTCAACCACACATCTCAAACACCCCTCTTCCCCATAACTCGATCGAATCCACCTCTCTCTCTCCCACAATCTTAAAATTTCTGAAAATCATCTCTCTCTCTCATCACCACAAGAAAAATCGATTTCTCTCTTTCTCCTAAGTTTTTGCGATTTCTCTTTCCTTTGTTCTTTGCTTAGTTCTTGTTTACTGTGATTCTTCCATCATCCAAGCAAGGTATGAACCCTTGAAACCCTTGATTACTTCATCTCGATTCCTCTATTGCTTGTTTCTCTTGATTTTTGATTGCATGTGTCCCTTGAGGACTTGCTTGAGTAATTGCTTTCCTTTTTCTTCATATTTGCATAATCTTGTGAATTTGCCTTCACCTCACCTCTGTTTTATCATTAGAACTTGTTGCATGTGCTTGAAATTGAATTTGAGTTTGGTATTGGTTAAAATGCTAGTTCACTAGAATTGCTCTTTGTTCCATTACTTGATGTTCTTGGTTCAATTTGATTGATTAGCATCTTTTCCAGCTCTTAATACTTGAATTAGGTTCGGTTATACTCTGTTTTCACCAACTCGATCGAGTTTGTCACTCGAGTTTTTTGACTCGATCGAGCTGAGTGTCGAGTTGGCCGAACCAACATTACAACTCTAATTCTTTGAGTTTTTGATGCATTTCAGGAACCCAACTTCAAGAAGCAACAAGTTCAAGATGTTGAGAGGTGAAGGAAGCCAAGCAGCATTCAAAGGGCAGAGAAGGCAAGAAGAATGAGAGAAAGGATGTCAAGATGAGGTTGGAATGAGATCAAAGGAGGAACCAAGATGAGGAATGTCCTCTGAGGAGGTCTGAGAGGAGATTGAGGGAAGAAAGGAGAACCAAGAGAAGGAATGATCCTATCAGCAGTGAGAGCGAAGGGAGAGTTTGAAATTGGAGTGAACATCCCACATGAGGAGAATGATGACCCCAAGTGAAGAAGAGGGGAAGAGGTCAATCAAGAGATTGAGGAGAATGAGCATGAGAGCAATGAGAATGTGCCCATGGAAGAGGAGGAGTCAGAGGAAGAAGAGGATGAGCTCCCCATGTACCAAGAGCACTATGATGCTCTCTTCTCCATGGACTTTGTGGAGACCAAGTACCCACATGATGACACAATGAAGGCTCTTGGGATCTTTGAGATGTGGAGCTGGTCCTCAAGAACATGCACTTGGCCAAGTTCTTCTCTTACCGCATGGAGTCTACAAGGAGCTCACTTGTGAGTTCTTGGCTCAATGAGGTTCCACAAGTACAGGAGCTCGATCGAGCTGAGTTGGACCAAGGTTGGGATGGATCACGTTCTTGGCAAGGGAGAGAAGGAAGGTGACCTTTAGGCAGTTGGAGATCTTTTTGGGTTCACTATGGAGGGAACCATGGAACTCAAGGAAGGATGACTCCAAAGGGTTTGGGCTACAATCGCTGATGGAGGTACTCTTCCTCAAGGTCTAAGGCAGCTCAATCAGGAGCCCAGTGTTGAGATATGTGCACAAGGCTCTGCCAACACCTTCTTTGCAAGGAAGGCGACTGGGACAATCAAATGAGGGAGAAGTGAAGCTCCTTGACATGGGAATCAAGCCCATCATCTCACGCACAAGGATGGGAAGAAGATCAGGGGAGATAGAATCCATGCAGGGAACCTCATGCCTCTCATTGACCAGCTACTCTCCTACAAGACCACCGCCTATAGCACTCGGTTTCAAACAGGAAGAAAGGGAAAGCAATGGAAAAGATGATTGGACTTCTCCAAAAGTTCAACAAGTGGCAAGGGAAAGCCATGGAAAAGATGCAAAAGTCCATGGACAAGATGGTGAGCAAGATCAAAACTTGGAGAAGAAAGTTTCTGGTTCTTCAAGCAAGAAGAAGAAGTCCAAGGCCCCCACTTCCCTAGGAGTAGGTCACTCCTCACCACTCAAAGGAGGCTCCCTGCCCAAGAGCCTCACAGAGCCTCTTCTTTCGAGCCAAGGGAAGGAGAAGACAACACGCAGAGAAGGAGGAAGACTTCCAAGGCCAGACGCTCCAGCTCGACCACCGGACTCGATCGAGTCCAAACAGAGGAAACTCAACTCGATCGAGCTGACGGTCGAGCTGACCAGGAGGAGCCCCAGTTCGAGGATCCGGGATTTGAATACGATCCCATGCCTTACCAGGAGCCTCCCCGGAGTAGATGGAACCCCTATGGACAGTACGAGCTACCAATGCTCCACCAAGGCCAAGGAAGCCACACACATTTCAACGATGAAGAAGAGGAGGAAGAGGAGCCACAAGCTCGATCGAGTGAGCCGCAAGAGGCAACCCAGTTGCATGGAGCGCTCCTGATGGCCGTCTCCCATCTCCAGACCACGACCTAGTCTCCCAGTTCTTTGGGGGACACTGAGGTATCCAAACACCAACCCTTGTATATACCATTTCATATTTTCTTGCATTTGTTCTTGTTTTTTCTTGGTTTTGCCCTCTTGAATCTTTCACTGAATTTTTCTCACACAAGGGACTGTGTGATTTAAGTTTGGGGGAGGGTTCAAGAGATGATTTAACCTTGTTTTCTTTGTTCTTAGTTTTTCATTATCTTTTGCATAGAAAAACCAAAAAAATCATAAAATTTTCAAAAAATCCAAAAATATTTTCATCTTTTTGCATTCATATTTGTTAGACTTGTTTAGGATTGCATTTTTCACTTGCATTGTTGATTTGACTTTGAAAACTTGTTCATCTTTTGCGATTTCTTGAGTGCCCTGTTTTTAGATTCTTTTGTGCATTAGGGTGAGATTGATTGAGCAGCAAGAACCATGTTTATCTTGATCATATCACTGCATGCACATCTCATTCAACCATTGCTGTGATTTGATGCATTTCCCTATCTATTTGAACCATAACTTGATCTTTAATTACCAATGCTTGCATTTGATTTCAACTCATGGCTACCACATACATATCTGGACATTCTTTACCATTTTCATATCCCTTTGCTTGTCCAGATAGCTGATCTCCATCTTTGAGACAGTTACCACACCTTAAACCTAAGCCTTTTCATTTCAAACCCCATATTATCTCTTGTGCGATTGTGAGAACCTTTCTTGGCTTTGCTTAGCATAAGGTGTTGTGTTTAAACCGGCAGGGGCAGTAGTTCTAGTTGTCTAGTTCTCTTGGGATTGTTTTCAGGCTAAGTTTGGGGGTGCCAACTCGAGCTCGATCGAGTTGGGTGTAAAAACCAGAAAAGTGGTAAAAGTTGGGAAAAACCCAAAGGAAAAAGAGTTTAGTTAAGTCCAGGGAGTTGGCAGTGTTAAAAAGGGTCTAGTAAAGGTTTGGGAAGTTAAAAAAGGAAAGTAAAAAGGGTTCTAAGTAGAATGAAAAGAAGGCAAAGCCTCAAGTGTCAAAAAGAAAGAAAAGTTCCCTAAGTGTTTAGAAAATCCCAAACCGCTAGATGTTACCTCAAGAAGCCTCTCCCTAGGAAGTTCTTAAAAGAAAAGTGAGCAAAGCTCCTCAGTTTCAAAGGCGAAATGCCAAAAAGGGTAGTTAGGATTTTGTTCTAAAAAGCTCTAAGTGTTGAACTCGATCGAGTTAGGATTAGGCGGCTCGAGCTGCTGTTCTTGCATCATCTTTGGTTCTAACACTTAGCCTTCTGCCAAAGCAAAGCCACTTTCTTGAGAGATCCCTGTTACTAAACCACCATACAAAAGAGACCCTCTTTGTCTCTTAACCCATAAACCCTTGAAACCAAATGAGTTGATTGATCTTGCATGTTTTTGGTTCACTGTTTTTGCTTAATGAATGTTAAAGGGATTTGCTGATTTGAATGCATTGTTTGAGTGACTGTGAAGTGGGATTGATGTTGATAAGCATGGTTAAATCTTAATGAATATCTCTCACCTTGTTGCATTCTAGAATCTCTAAGTTGGACATTTAGCAAATCGCTTTTGAGGACATGTTTTTAAGTGTTGAATCAGCTGTTTTCAAACCTCATCTCTTTCTTGTTCTATTTGTTTGCTTGAGGGCAAGCAAAGTTCAAGTTTGGGGGTGTTGATGTACTTGCATTTTACATAGTTTTAGCACATCTTTTATGCATCTTTTGCATAGTTTTAGCTTCCATTTGCATCATATCTTGTTCCTTTTCTCTTCTTATGCATTCATGTTAGTTTTAGGTTGCATTTGCATACATATGCATGTTTGGTCCTTTGAAATAGGTCTTTTGGAGCATTCTGGAGCATATGGGACATAAGGAGCATGGAGGGACTTGGCACATGGAAGCAGCTCAACTGGATACGCAAAGGAAGAAGGGAGAAGCCATCTTGAAGACCAGCTCGACCGTCCTACTCGACCAACCGGTCGAGTTCCTCAACTCGACCGGCCAAGCTTCAACTCGATCGAGCTGTCAAAGTCAAACCCGAAAAATGTTGCTTCCCCCTTGACTTTCCTTTGACCCTAAACCTAATCCTCTTTGTATTTAAAGGCTCTAAGCCACGAAAAAACCACCAAGCTTTAGATTATTTTGTTTTAGTTTCTTTTAATTTATTGTCTTTTACTTTTTAGAGATCTAATCCCATCTTTGTGTTCTTGAAGCTCTTGCTTCTTGAATCCTAGATCCTGGATAATCTCTTTGTATTTGCACTTGCTTATTTCAATAAAAGTTGTTTAATTTCATCTCCTCTTTCTTATGATGTCTCTTTTATTGCATTTGCTTGTGTTTACATTCATGTGTAGTGAGTAGTTACCCATTAGGGTTTGAGATGGGATAGATTAGAGGTTTCATATGCTTAATCCTTCTAGCTTATGGTCTTAATCTAGATTCTCTCTCTTTTGGATAGATCTTAAGGCTACATGACCACTACCCCTGGCTTGTAAGTCCTTAGGCGACTCCCCACACGAAGTGATGGCATTCGCTGGAAAAGATCCACTAAGAGCTCCAATATCTCTTGCTCTAGACAATAGAGGTCTAAGGGGTTGGATGGATTAGTTTGGGCAATGATCCTATAGCCTCCAAGGTTTGATTCTCACTGGCTAACCCCCTGTTTCTGAGATCATTCCTTGGTTGATAGCCTCCACCTTGGGAAAGGGTTGGCTAGGCATTGAGAAGCCCAATATCAAGAGAAGCCTTGATACAAGGAGTTTTAAGAGCTAGATTGATTAAGTGTAGATTCCTTTGATTGCAAAACCCTGTCTTGAACCCTAATTCTCTCTTTATCTTGTTAAAGTCGTCACCTTTAGCTTTGTTTGTCTCAACTCGTCCCTAAACTCGATCGAGCTGGTACTTTGCTCTACTCGACTCGAGCTCTTGGTCGAGCTGACACTTCACTGCTTTGTTTACTTTTATTGCACTGCTTTTCATTTTTTTAGGTTGTTAGTGTTACTTCAAATCTATAACTGCTTGCTTGACTTTCTGGTTGTTTCATATTCTCATAGAGTGACAAGTTTCCCATTTTGGATTGATAACCTCTTATACTTCAATGACTATGATGGTTAAGAGGAATTGTTGATTGATTGTGTTTGCACCATACCATCATCTTTATTCACCCCTGTTTGCATTCCACCTCATTTCATTTCACACACACAAAATCCTATCATCAGATGAGCATCTCCTCCTTGATCCTATCTTCTTGGATCGAGTGGCTCCTTCCTCAAGCTGGTGAGTGGGTAGACATGATTGGTCCAACACATTTCTGTCTTCTTACGAGCAGCTGAGTGCTCACACCTAATTGGTCCGTTCTGAAAGCTGATGGGTATCTCCATTTGATTCGTCCATTTCTGGATAAGATAATCCAATCACAATGCTTATCCACGGCCTCACTCTCTCCCATTAGGTGGTGTTGACACATGATTAGTCCAACACAATTTCATCCCATTCCAACAGCTCAATGTCTCTGCGTGATTGGCTGAACGGTTTTGGCTCCATCTGAGTAGCTTGGTGTCTCCTCCTTACTGGTTTAGACCATCTTTATCCTCCTCAAGTAGCTGGTGTCACCACTTGATTGGCTTAGAACAAGATTGCTCCAAAAGTACGTTTCCTCGTTTAGAGGGTTTCGTACGTTTCCCTGTCCGGAGGGTTTCGTCCCCGTCATGTTTGAGAATTAAAATCTCCGATTTTAATCCTTCTCTCATTTCCATGTTTCTGAGCTTCCACATAGTTGCTTGGAAATGTGCGGAATACCTCCATCCCGAACATTTACGCTTCTTGCAGTCGTTGCGGGATAGATCTTGGGCGTTCGTCCCATCTCCCAATCTGCTCGTCCGATTAGCATTCTGCTTCGACCAAACTTCTTAGAATGGTTTCTTATGTCGTCCAAACTCTTCTCTTCTTGATTTGGAGAACTTTGATATTTCGTCGTCCTGTCGACTCTTCCCATGTTCGTACAATGATCGTCCCACCTCGACAATCTTGCTGTATCTTCACTTCTGCTCGTTCGTTCTTGATCATGTCTTGATCCAAGTCTTCGTTGTGATCTCTAAATTAGATCCCACGTCTTTGTCTTCCAATCCCAGAGTGTTGATCTTCCCATCCCGGCCTTTGGGATGTTTTAGGTCTTGATACGGGGTATCACAACTGGTGTCACCGTAACAGCTCCCGGCGATAGCCCAAACACCGACGGTATCAAGTTTGGTTTCTGTAGCAACATTCGCATCTCGAACACAAACATTGGTACCGGATACGACTGTATCGCCATTCTTTCTGGAACATCAAACATGGATATCTCTAACGTAAAGTGTGGTCCAGGACATGGAATTAGTGTCGGAAGCTTAGGGAAAAACAAAGGCGAGAAAGATGTTATCGGCATAACAGTACGTGACACAGTTTTTAATAGCACAAGCGATGGTATTCGAATCAAGACTTGGGAATCTTCTGCTGCGAAGATCGTCGCTTCTAAATTTGTGTTCGAGAATATTCAGATGATTAATATTGGAAAACCAATCAACATCGATCAGAAGTATTGTCCTTACCCACCTTGTGAAAAGACGGTTAGTTTTCGACACAAGACATAAAGTCTATCTTTGTTTTCTTTCATCACATGAAACAATAACTAAAGAAAAGAGAATTGTGTGTTTGTCATTATTTCAGGGAGCATCTCACGTTCAGATAAAGGACATCAAGTACAAAAACATATATGGGACATCAAAGAACAAAGTGGCAGTGAATCTACAATGTAGCAAGAGCTTTCGTTGCAAGAATGTTGAGCTAATTGACATTAACCTTGAGCATAATGGAGTTGAGGGTGGTCCTTCCACTGCTGTGTGCGAGAATGTTGATGGTTCTGCTCGTGGTAAGATGGTTCCAAAGCATTGTCTGGCTTGATTAGACGGTCACTGTATCTTGTATTTGATATTTTTATTTTTGTACACAATATGTAATAGTTGACTTTCAATTACAAGATTCAATGAGGAGGCATCACCAAGTTATATGTTTCATATGACAATTTGATGTTTATGTCAAACGTAGATTCTTAAGAAGAAAAGAGATAAAGTACATTAACAATTCAATGGCCTAAATATGGCTTTGTATAGGTTTTAAGCTAATTTGGATTTATCATCTGAGATTAGTATAGTATTGTATCTTTTCCTCAGGCTCTTTCTTGACTACTCTAACTAGTCTCTCATACCTCTAATTCCTGGTTTTCTGAATTATAGAAAATTTGTTTAGAAACAAAAAAATAGTTTATGTTAATTTGGGCTATATCTTCATGTTTCTTCTTCCTTACGTACATTATTTGTCCAAAAGACCGTGGTAATTGCAAATACATACATAGTGGCATGAATAGGGTTATTAGTTATTACATGTCCTTAAATAACCTTGACACAAATAATTTAGCATTGTTTTCAAATCTTACTAAATGGAGTTATTCTGAAAACAAAGCACTAACCAAAACACGTGTTTTTAATTCTTGCAGAAAACTAAAGATTCTGTTTTAAAAGAGTCAACAAAGAGAAACAATCTATACATTGGAATAACATCCATATATAACAAGAAATTAACCAATCAAATTCATTACAAAACTACCAATCCAATTTTAGTCGATAACTGATAACTAAAATCAATTTATTTTAGTTTAAATTCCTTCTAATTTTAACAGTTCATTGGAAAACAGCTCTATATAAGCAGGCCCGGCCCTTGGCATGAGCTGGGAGTGCATTTGCACTGGATCCTATGTTTTTGACAGAAAATTCTTTGAGATTTAAGGTTCTCAATTTTGAAAATATTACAAAAAGGTCCAAAAGTTTTAAATGCTCCTTATTTCTCTATAATTTTATTATTTTTGCATAGGGTCCAATAATTGTGTGGGCCGAGCCTGTATATAAACATATAAAATTGCAAACACTTCTTCTCTAAGAAAGAAGTATTTTTAAACAACAAACTTTTGTGTTTGCAACATACACTTAACAGATTAATGGCCATTGTTTCTGCGTTCAAAGCTTTCTGTCTATCTATCTTTTTCTTCGCCGTTGCAAGTCGTCCGACTGTCAGGCCTAGGGTTTTCAACGTCCAACACTATGGTGCAAAATATGATGGAAAATTTTTCATATGAAACAACACTATGTATACACATGACAGTTATTCATTATTTAAACTTTTAACTAGTTATAGTAAAACATAAGGGTGAATTAGCTTAATAGAACTATATTTAAGAGTATAGCCACAACAAATAGAACCTAACCAAAAAGAAATTTGTGGACGAAATTGCTCTTTTGATTACTCTTTAAGAGATTTACATTCCATACCGTACAAACTAGTTATAGTAAAACATAAGGGTGAATTAGCTTAATAGAACTATATTTAAGAGTATAGCCACAACAAATAGAACCTAACCAAAAAGAAATTTGTGGACGAAATTGCTCTTTTGATTACTCTTTAAGAGATTTACATTCCATACCGTACAAACAAAATGTTTATACTATTCTACACGCAAAGCAAAAATAGTACAGTTTTGCAAAATTGTTAACCACTTGTTATAAAAAAAATAGCAAAAAAGATAATTCAGCATATTCTAAACCCTAATACATGATCTCTAAACCCTAATACATAAACCCTAAGCCTTAAACCCTAAAATCTAGGTCCAAAACCCAAAATCTAAAGTCTAGCCAAAATTCTACACCCTAAACCTAAAATCTAAACCTCAAACCCAAAATTTAAACCCTAAACCGAAATTGTAAACCCCAAATCTAAATACGAAACCCTAAATCCAAATACTAAACCCTAAACCTAATATACCTAGTGAAAATAAATAGTTGATTCTATTCAAAACTCTAAATCCTAAATCCAAAACTAAAAAATATAAAACTTAAATTCTAAATCTAAGCACAAAACACATAATCTAATCCATAAACCATAAATCCATAATTATCAAATCTAATTGAGTAAAAGAATAATTTGTTTTGTTCTATATAGACATAGAAAATGGTATAGACTTTGATTTTCACGAAAAATGAGAAGGACAAACACTACAAGAGAATAGGCGATTTGCGATGGAAGTTTGCGATGACATTGCGATGGTTTTTGAAGTCGTCGCAACTCCGTCGCCAATTTGCGACGAAATCAATTCCGTCGCAAGTTTGCGAAAATCTTGCGACTGATTTGCTACGAAACGAAGTCGCATCGCAAAGTCGTCGCACTTTTACGAGATATTTGCGATGGACATATTTCCGTCACAAAGTTTGCGACGGATTTGCGATGATAACCAAATACAGCGCAAACCCGTCGCAACATTGCGATGGATAATTCTTTCGCAAAACCGGTATTTTTCTTGTAGTTACTTACCCACGAACTATCAACTTAAAATATATTATGTTTAAATGTGATTGGTATGATCCGACACTTGGTTGAGGGGTTTGCAAAAACAATTCATTAGGTGTCATTGACGTAAATGAAAACAAGAGATTTTCCAAGTTCGAGCCTTTCATACTAGCATCGCAAACAGAGCAAGTATGTTTCATTCCTTATACTCGAATTAGGCAAAAATGCGAGACATGGTTATCAGTCATAAAGGTGAATCCAAGAGGTTGTGTTGTTGGTTTAGACGATAATGTGGTTATGCAACATGGCAGAGCTGAAGAAGTATCGAGGAGTTTGAGGAGCCTGCTACTAATGATGAAAGAGAGCATAGTGAAAACTCTTATGTATTTGAAAATGACTTTGATTGAATAAAAGTTTTGCCTTTGTAAATTATAAATAAACATTTCAATATCTACATATAAGACTTTTTCCAATATCTACTTCCTTGATTATGTCATTCTAATAGCCCGAAACTCTAAACCATAAATAAATGCATTCCCCGCAAATCCATCGCAATATTGCAACGGATTTGCTTGTAATTTGCGATGGAATACTTACAGCCATCGCAAATCCGTCGCAATATTGCGACGGAATTGCGATGATTTAAAGTATATTACGGTGCAGGATATAGAATTTTCGAAATAATAAAGTGTAGGATAAAGTAATTGTGGTTAATTTTATTTTACAATGTATATAACACTACATGATCGTGAAAAAGTGAAATGAATATTCTATCGACCTCATTACTTAACAAGCGGAATGAAACTCACTAAGTACTAATTAATCATTACATAAGTCTTCATTATAAGATAGTTCATATAACATATTTCAAATGAAACTGTTGGTAGAATCTGACTTGTACTCATAAACACTTACTTATAAGAATTTATTTTCAATATCAAACCCCGTGATTATTCCGTCGTCAAACTCATACAACCCTAAACCTTTCATCTGTTCCCCGCGCCGCTCGGCTTCTCATTTCTCCCTGCCATCTCTCTTCTCTTCCCCGCCGTCTCCGGCCTCTCTCTTCTCTTCCCCGCCGTCCGCTCGTCTCCTCTCTTTCTCTCCGCCGTTCTCGTCGCTCGTTATCTCTCTTTTTCCCGCCGTCTGCCTCCTCGCCTTCACTCCGCCGCCGGTCCTCTTTCTCTCCGCCTCCCACGTCCGCTCCTTCTTTCCGGCGCAGATATGTTTTTCTCCTCTCCGCCGCCGGTTCTCGCGTCGCCGCTGACAAGTTTGTGATGCGGACCTCCTCTCTGCTGCCGGACCGCCTCTCAAAGCCACCACCTTCCGTTTTGGAAGGTGGCTTGTTCCCATTTTTTTATTGAGGTTCTTGAGGCTCTTGCGATGGAATCTCGTCTGTCGCAAACTTGCGAAATATTTGCAAGAGAATATGATTGCGACTAGGGTGTCAAAATGGGTCATTACCCATGGGTTGACCCTATTGTTCACAAATTTAAATGGGTCTGGGTTATTTTTTTTTTAACCATATAAATAAATGTGTTTTAGTTGGTTGACCCTAATAGTCTATGGGTCTAACGGGTAAACCCGTTAGAGTTGTGGGTTACCCATGGGTTTTACACAAAAAATATATATATAAATATGTAATCTTATTTTATAAAGTTGGATGCGCGCAATGTGGTTGCGACATATATGATTTTTATAATTTATAGGTTCGCGACATGTGTCATTTTTAATGTTACATCCGTTAAGATCGTGACACATGTCTTGGGAAAAAAAGAAAAAAAATGTTAAAAAAAAGAAAAAAAAAACTAATCTATTATAGTAAAAAGAAAAAAATTATATAAAAAATTATATTATCGTATCCTAATAGAAAAATGTTTCCAATTCATCAAAATTATATTATGTTTAATACATATTAAATTCAAAATAATGTAATAAATAAAATCCTATTAGTACATGGAATAGGTTATGTAAACTAAATTTCCTATAAGTGCATGAAAAGGTTACGTGAAACCCTATAAAAAGAGAGTTAAGGTAGTTTCTTTTTCTCATTCACAAACTTATCAAAGCACATTCATCAAATCTATTTGATTATATTTCTCTGATTGAAAATCACGTCTCTGAAAGTTCAAGAAAAGAGTGGATATTATTTGACTCTCAAGTGGATCAAAATCAAAATTATCGCCGTACTATAGTACGTGTTATTCGAAAGTGGGAAACTAGAAATGCTAAAGAAAATAATATCCTTACGAGAGTTGAGCTTCTATTACTTGATGAAAATGTTAGTAAGAAAATATGTAATTTAAAATAAATGGTTAAATCTATTAAGAAACAGAAAAAACATATTCCCAATACAAGAAGGGGAAAAAAAAAATATATATATATATATATATAGTAATCTATATCCTTCATGATTTAATTGTGTGCTTCTATATTTTGTTTAAATTTTCTCTCTCATTAAGAAATATAAACAAAATATTTAATTCTAGATCAGTTGGATCATAATCGAAACTATTACTGCACCACGTGTAATATTTGATCACATTATAACAAGTGTTAACACTAGAAAATTAGAAAAATTTAATAACAGAAATAAAAATTGTAAAACAACTATCGAATAATGAAAGGAAAATTTTATAATTATCTGAGGCAAAAAAAAATTATAATTGGTATGTGGCAAAATAAAAATTATAAAAGAAAGTATTTAAATAGAAAACTAACAAAATAATTATTAACAACTAACTAATATTAAAATGAAAATTTAGTTTGGACTGATATTCTAATTTTTAAGTAATTTATTTACAATTGTTTGTTAGATAAAACAATATTAAAAAAAGGTTTCATCAACTGAAATCTCTTCGATGGAATAATCAAAGCTTCACGTATTAATTAATCCATCAGATTTAAACAAGTGTAAGTATTTCTATTTTTCTTAAAAATAAAAGAAAACAAATTAATTCATTTTTCATATCATGAATTCAAAATAAATGTCAATTATAATTAAAATGTAAGAAGATTACCAATCTTATTTTATTTAGTGATTTGCTATCGGGTTTTTAATATTATCTCTACTATATTATTTTAGACGTCAGTTTTAAGAGATACCCGAAAAAAAGCTTCTTATTACGAAAAATGTCACTGAGAACGCGAACAAAAAGTGTTTGGAAACAAGGATATCAGGGGCAGTTCCGGGTGAAAAAAACCGAGTCAAGCGAGTTCGCTCAGAAACACGATGAAAACCCGACCCGATTTTGACGAAAAAACACGCGGGTTGGAAACAACTATAATCAGACCGGTCTCTGAGAATCAAATCGAAATTCACAAACCGGGACATTCCGTATCTCATAACCGACGATTCGAATATTCGATGGATCTTACAATAATCAGTTTTAAGAGATTCGATGGATCTTACAATAATCACGCACGATCTCATACGTGATCGTACTGGCGATATTTCAGGGGTAGTTATAACCCAATATACTAATTCGAATTCCATCTATATTAAATCCCGCCCAATATAAGGAAATCATATATTCAATTCGGTGAGAAACAAGAATATTAGATATCCTAGATTGATATCTAATTATTTATCTTTGGAGGAAAAAAAAATATAATTCGAAATCCTAAAGCCTAGAGTGTCGTGGGAGTGCCCACCTATATAATGCGCCATTGAGGTGAAACCGTAAAACATCCGCGACGACCAAAATTCAGTTCCACATAAAATTCCGAGTTGATAATATGGCAATGGAGATCGCGCTTCCTGTTTCTTTGTGCACCCAGGTGAAGCCGTTCAAGACTGCATGGAGGATTCAAGTGAAGATCTTGTGGAAGTTCATTCAGAATTTCTCGGTGGCCCATTCAACCGGCCACTACCGGACAACCCCGAACCCTTACAAAATAGCTTTCATTAAGGAGACGTTTGTGCTTCCATCAACGTGTCTTGGCGATGGTAACTACTTGACGCTGGTCACTTACAGGCAGATCCACGATGGGAATGTCAATGAGAGCATTTTACATGGTACGTAATGTAACTATTGTCAATAAATGTATATTAAACATATGGTTAGCCATTGGAATGGTAGTTAGGACGGAAAAGCTGTATATTATCCATATGGTTAATGAGGAATGGTGTGAGTAGAGATCTAGGGTTTATAGATTAATTTATACTATGTGTATGTGTGTAGACATAATAGGTCAAGTCATCAGCGTTGGACCCATGGAAGAAGTTGATACGCAGAACAAAAAACAGAAAAAGATGGAGATAGAACTTCGGGATGGAAGGTATTATGTACCTTCGAATTATCTAGATATTGTATTAACGTTAATTAGATATTGTACTGATTAAGTATCATTAATTATGTCTTCAATGATGATCGAATGGGGTGAACTCTGTGGGGACAAATGGCTGCGGATATGCAAAGCGCAGCCATTGGATCTGGTGAAGACAAATTGATTTGTCTACTTCGTTGGGCAAAAGTGAGAGAGTTCCAAGGTACATCCAATTGTTTTTAGTTTATCGGTTTAGTATCCGCATATAACCCAATATTAACTAATTTGTTTTGGTTAATCGAAAATTATGCAGAGGTCAAGAGTGTGTCCAATGCGTACAGTTCTTCCGTGATGCTGATCAATCCACCGTATCCAGAAATAGATGCTTTTGCCAAAAGGTGACTGCATTGACTTAATTATCAAAATCTCTAATGGTACAATGGATGTTTGCGTTTAATCCCTGATTAAAAATCAAACATTGTCTTTTCTGTAGCATCCCAGACGATGGTCTATTGTTGACAATTGCTTCCACCAAACCGGATACGCAGTTGGTGGTCAAAAAGGAGCAAGAGAAATACTGGGAAATGTTTCCAATGTCGACCATTGGCGAGGTTCTTGCTTTAGATACCGTAAGTTATCTAATCCTAATAACATATAAATTATTGGTTTAGTCAGGGATTGGTAACGTATTAACGTTTCGTGGTAAATCCTCTTACAAGGTTGGCACTGCCAAAATCATGTGTACTGTGTACACTATCGACACAGATATGGGGTGGTATTACATCGCGTGTACTAAATACCAGCACAACAAGGTGAAGAAAGTAATGCCTGGTCCTAATCAGAAGATTCTCCTCGGTTCCAAGCAGAAGTGGTTTTGTCTCAAGTGTAATGCAAACATTACCAATGTTGTGGCGAGGTAAACACTCTATTTCCGGTCTTTACTAAGCGAACATGCTTTTCGATTTGCACAATATAAGTGATCCTCACCACGTTGTGTAAAACTTAACGTCGCAAATTTAAGTTGCATCTCAAGGTGATGGATAGCACTAGGGATACCAATCTCATGTTGTTTGATTCCCTAGCAAAAGAGATTGTTCATAATGAAGCATCCGAGTTACTCGGCGGTGTAATTGACGAGGTACATTTACGTTAGCTCTTTTGGATATGTGTAGTTGAAACGTGTTGTGCAAGTTATTTGAACACCGCCTGTTATTTAACGAGTCTGGAATAGCTCATAACTGACAGTACTTTGTTTTACCAACACATGACACAGATCGAAGATCCTGAGGACTTGCCTGAAGGTTTACAGGCTTTGTGTGGGAAGACATTTCAGTTTGTCATTGCGGTCGACAAAGCTAATCTTGGAGGAGGGCATGGTACTTACAAAGTCATCAAGGTCCTTTCTACACTTGGCATGATTGATGAAAGTCAAGCGTACACCGAATCCGCAAAAGATGTTACTCCATCTGAACTCATTTCCGGTGATCAGGTAATACATGTCATCTTGATATCATCACGTGTCTTTTGCTTAACTTAAGTTATCATGTTAAGCGATTGACAGTAGTCGGATTTTTTATGTCTATTATTAGAGTGTATTGATGTTGGAGGACAGCAACGAAGTCATTCTTGAAGAAGGCACGTTGAACGGAGGTACGCCCATTTCCAAGAAACGTGGGGAGATCGCGGCAGATGTGAGTTTGGCTGATTTGGAGAGTTCCAACAAGAAAGCATGTCTGAAAGAGGTTAAGATTGAGGCGATTGAGAAGATGAAGGGAGTGGCGTAAACCACGTGTTGGTTTAATGTTCTTACTATATGTGCTTCTGTTTTTCCAATTCAAACACCAAGTAAACCATGAAACAATTCAGTTCGGTGTTTGTTTTCAGTTTATTATTCCCTTTCAGTTCGTTATTATTTCCTTTCAGATTCAATTCGTTTCAGTTTGTTTTTCGTTGTTAAAGTTTATTCTTTTTCAGTTGGTTTTAAAAGTATGAATCTTACATTTCACTTTTATATTTAGTTTTAAGTAACTATGAGTTTCCTCAAATTTAGTAAGTAGATAGCAATATCATGTTACGTATTAATCTAAATCAATACTCAACTTTATGTTTATGGACCACATGTGCAACAACACGGAACATATTCCATTGCTATTGTAAAAATACCATTAAATCGGAAACATAAGAAATGAATAGTATTTAACTTTAGCGTTTCTAACACGTCAAGAGCATCATCATGACGTATAAAAATGTTAATTCATTGAGAGAAACACAATTCCTTAGGCACCATATTTTAGACCTGCCAAAAGTGTTGATGTGCCCTTTCAAGGCCTACTTTCAAGAATTTCATTAAAATTGTTTTTACTTTACGAATGCATTAAATGGGTTATGTGTTTATTTGGTAAAAATTAAGAAAAATGAAAATGAAACTTAATATCACAAAACCAAAAAAACAGGGTTTGAGGCCCTAAAACATTTTCCGACTTTCAGCCATTATGAGGTAAAAGCCCCACCGCCGTCAAATTCTGTTCCAGAAGAAGACCAACCCAAGAAACGCAATGACATCTAGATTGAACCAGTTGAATCCTCGATGGAAAAACCAGGAAATCATGGTCAAAATCTTGAAGAAGTGGGTCGAGATTAGACAGTATCGACCAAATGTTCTCCACTTCCTGCTTGTGGATCAACAAGTAAGCTCTTATCCATCAAACTTCTAAATTCTAGGGACACAAGATTACCCTCATGAATTCGAACCATATTCATTATATTAGAGACAAAAACAAGCCTCATGCATTATCCAAAAATGATAGAGTAGGAGTATCATCTACTGGTATAAATCATTTGATTTGCTTGCTTATTTGCTTCCAGAGGACCAAAATTCATGCCTATGTCAAAATCGATGATGAGTTGTTTCAATACTGGCATCAACGCATGTACGAGGGTCAATGGAAAATTCTGAGAAGATTCGTTGTGGTAAACTCACATGAGACTGTAGATAGGTTTGCGGATAATCCCTTTGAGTTAATTATCAACGAGCAAACGGTATCGGATACTACAGCTCAGGGACAAGATCGTCCTCACTACATGGTGTTTGAAGATTTCAAACAAGTTAAGGCTGGTCAGCGCTTGACACCTAATCCATTAGGTAATGTTTACTTTATTCCGAGTTCATGAATTACTTGAATCTTTAGATTGATAGTCGATTGTGAAAACATGTAAAGTTTGAAACTTTGAAACAACTACTTATATCTGCCGTGATTATGGAAATGTAGATTTCATAGGTTATCTTGACTCTGTTGAGAAACCAACCTGGGTGCATGACCGCACATTCACTTTGACGGACGAGAAAACAACTGCAAAGATTAAATTTACCCTCAAAGACACTTGGTAAGATCTGAACATTATATGAAATTTACATTATTTTAATATCATTTAATTGTCTACTCACATTGATAAAGACTTATCATACTCTGTTTTGATTGATCTTTTATACCTGTGGAACGTCTATTAATTGCGTTGCATACAGTGTCTTGGCGTTACAAATCGATGATAGGTGGTGGAAGAACGGAGACAACGAAGTTATTATGACCTTAAGCGACTGGAAAATTGGTTACATTCCAAGTAAGTCTATGCTTCAATGTTATTTTTGACATATTAGACCATATCGTTTGCTAACATTAACAATAAAGGAACTGGGGAGTATTTGATCAAGTCCGTCGCTGGGATTTCTCGGTTTGAATTCAATGCAGAATTGAAAGTTGTTGATGCTTTCAGGAAAGAGTAGTACGTCCTTTCAATCACATAGGAAGAATGTAAGCAGAGTAGTTTACAGAGTAAATGAATTAAATCAGTACTAAACCTATGAATAAATCGTGTATCAGTTTCGAGGAGAAGGACAACTCCTCAACATCGCAAAGCAGCTCCTCTGTTTGGGAGTCTTCAGAGACCACTTCAGATTCAAGCGGCTCGGATGAGAGCGGCTCTGGTGCTGGACCTTCTAGAACGGCTGGAAATGGTTCAGGAAATGCCACAGAAGTTATAATAATCGACGAATTTTTTAGTTGATAAAGCTATGTTTGCAGCTATAATATTTAATCAATCACTCTTCTCTTCTTTTTTTCTGTTCTCTCTATAATGTGGCTTATTAGCAAAAGACTTAATAATATAGGATTATGACTAAGACGAGTCATGCATATGTCTTTGTGATCTTTCTGTAATTGCGTCGTATTACGAATGGTAGTTAGTTTATGATATTCACAACATTACTCTCAGAATAGTTGAACTACATAGAAAAAAATACCAACAAAATTGGAACGTTACAAATCACTTTTTGTCATAAAGCGTGTAACATATAAAGAATTAAAAAAAAGTGAATATCCAAAAGTAATGTTTTGGAAGACACAGTACGGTATAATATTTACTCATCACAACCAAGGATTCAAATCGAAACAGTAAAGTCATGTGGGAAGTCACAACTTTTAAAAAAAAACTGACATGAGCAGTTACAACCAAAGAACGGTTCTCGATCTAATCGATGCATATTAATCCACTTGAATCTAACTGCTTGATTGTAATGTTTAACCAAAACTCACCGTTTCAACATGTGTTTAAAATAAACCATCTCTACTTATATGTTACATCTTCTTCGTTATCCACACAGAAAAACAGAGCTGCTTGGAAAGTCCATAAATTCAGAACAAAGCCTTCCATCAATGTCCGTTTCTTTTGACCGAATTGACCGTCTTTCACCAGAAAGGAGTAACTGGTGCATTGTTGTTAAGGTTGTTAATACTTGGCAAGCGTTTGATGATGACGGCTTGGAGTACTTCAACTTCCTTCTAATAGATGCAGAGGTATTCACATGTTAGTTTCTTTGATGTTTGATCAGATACGAATTGATATTAAAAAGTGTGTGTTTAATCCATTCGAAACATATTCTTTAAACATATAGGGGAAGAAGATTGTTGGAACTATCGGAAATTCTCGGAATGAAAATACTCTCCGGCAATCTCTATGTCTCAATGAATGGAAATGTATTCGCAATTTCAACGTCGTTATAAACCAATCAGATGTTCGGTTGACGAGGATCAGAACCAAGATTATCCTCATAGGTAGAACAGAAGTAACCCGAGCCGTAGATCCGCAAGTTTATCAGCCGATGGATTTGGTCACGTTTGAAGACGTGGTCCATGGTACTACCGAAATGGGTGAAACTTATCATGTGGGTTAGTACATAGTTACATTCGTTATTGAACTTATGTTTTTATTTTTTTTTTGGTTTGTTAAACAACTTCATTGGCACCATTTTTCCAGATTTCATAGGAAGGATTAATTATGTGAAGGACCTTCATGTTATGACCGATAATTCACTAAGACATTCTGATGGAAACACATCGCGTAAATTAACATCTTATGTTAATTTTATGCTTTATGACAACCAGTAAGTTCTAAGGTTACAAGTTTTATTCTTATTATTGAGAACTTTAGACCGTCAATATATCACCTATATATTTTCTTAATGCTGAACTATGATTTTTTGCATGCAAAACATAGAGATTACCAAATCATGTGCCGTGTCAAAGGACAACTCGCTGATATCTTTTACGATAAATGGCTCAACGATGGAGAAATGGATTTTGTTTGTGCCTTACACAACTGGAGAATAATTCGTCATCATCGTAAGTTAAAATAAACACACTTCTTCATTTAATATACGAAGAATATAGAAGTATAGTGTTTTATATAATGTGGTGGATATTGGAATGCATCAATAATGTCGTATGGACTTAAACAAAATTTCAAATCAATCAGCTACAATACACGTTGAAAGTGTACGAGGAATATCTTCGTTCGAGTTCAATCCACCGTGTACCGTGAATCGTGATGCCCAAAGGCTCTGTGAAGAGACGTACGTTTCAGTTAACAATCCATTTTTTTAATGTCTTTGTTCATAGTTAAGATCAAATGGGTGAAACTTTATATGCAAAATCACCCTTCCTTTATCAGGTGGAGGATCCAAGATGAAGCAATGAGCCTAGAAGACGGAAGTTCATATAGCGACGAGCTTTTCCAGTGAAATTAGTTCAAGTGACGAAATTGTTCCAAGGAACAAGTGAAGTTTAAATAATGTTCATGCTTTTCAAAACTTTAGTTATGAGATAGCCTTAATATAACTGTGGTATTTCGTTGTACTAATACTACGCTAAAACATTATTTCCGGTGAACGTTTGATGGGATGTTGTCTAAGGCTAGGACTTAAATTGATCAAAGTAGGATGATGTTAGAGTAAATATGTTACTTATGCAAAGTCAAAGGTAAAGTCCTTTGCACAATAATCACGGAACTAGGAAGAATTTTTCGGTGCATTAATAATACGGATACAATAGAATAATAATATAATAGGATGAAACACATAAATACGATAACCTTATTGATTAAAATTATCTAAAGATTGCAAATATAATCGCATTTAACCACCAGAATATTTAATCAGTGAACTTCCCCCTCGAATTAGGGAAATAATATATTTCAAACGCATAATTATCGGGATTTAATAATTACAAACTGCCATTGTAAAACACCATATGCGACATAATCGTGGGAGTGTATTTATGTGGTGGGACATAGAATTAGTAAGACTCAAAATAATCTGCGGAAAGAGCAGCCAGTTATGCTTTCGAAAATGAGAAAGAGAACCGTCGATGAATCACCACCATTGAGAAGTCAAGATACCGGAGAACCTTCAAAGAAGATAAAGCAATCACCCGGAAATCCGATCTCATCACCTATTGTCACACCGAGACGATCAAATTCAACGCCGCACACATTTCCAATACAATCGGCTTTCAGGCGAGTTCTCGGAGATTTGACAAATACACAGAGATCATCACCAGTTTCTACCATCACACAGAGTCAAACGCAACCAACATCATCCGTTCCCACGCAGAATACATTATCGAGTAAGCATTTATCCATACAAAGCTCAACGAAACTGAAATGATGCCTGATTTAAGTGATGATGGTTGCATTAGTAACCATAAACCCCACAACTAGCTGATAGAATATTCATACTCAGGGAAACGACATGATCTACATATCAATGTTGGAGGGGAGAAAGAGAATGATAAGACAAAACTCAACTCTATCAAACGTCCGGCTACACAAGATAAATCAATATTAAGTCTCTTCGGTTTGCAATTATAGTGTTGTGATGCTTAAGTAATGTCTCATTCAACTTTTGTTTAGGGAAACGAACAAAAATATCATGTGTTCCACAATCAACGGTTAAGGCATCACCGGGATCTGCTGTACAATCAACTCAACCTTCAACAAATCGCCAGCCACTTCCTCCGGAAAAATGTTCGAGAGGTAAGAATATAATCAAACAAATACTTATCATGATACAGTTATGCTAACCAACAAGTGATTAAATTGATGTAGATTCAAGAGAAAACCAACTACCAAGGCCCAATATACGAGAAGCCAGAAAGCCCAGAAGAATGGTTTGTACAACTTACGATTTTTATCACTATTAATTCATAAATTTGACGAGCCTATAAGTCTCGCGTGTATAAAATGACTGCATTCATTTTTGATCTACCAACGCTAGATGGAAAGGCGAGACTCAATGCAAGACTCGGGATTGACGACCCCAATACATTGCAAAGCTTATTATTTGATGAAGGTCAGAGTCCCATTAATACCAACTATTAGTACTTACTATCACACGTAATTTTTAATGACCATATATATTGATGGTTAGAGAATCTTCAACAGGTGATGAAGATTTATTCTTTCCAGGAATACGATTGCTCTGAAAATGATGATACATGCTCAGAGTCAAGCGAAGATCATCAAAATACAGCAGAAGAAGCCGCACGTTTGAAAGAATTCCTGACTTTTGATATTCAGAAGATTTTGAGAAACCAACACAATCTCCAGAAAGGAAAAGAAAAGTGTAACGAGATGAACGTCACAACAGAAGAAAAGAAACTAGGTGAGTGTGTTACATAATTTGACAAATATGTATCACAACACAAGTATATTATTACTTAACACGTGTCATTATTATTACAGAGTATTTGGATCACGGTGACCCAACGTATAGTTGTGACAAATGTGGTGCTATTTTCTGGTATGATGAGCGCCTTGATAAAAGAAGGAAGTCGAAAAATCCAAAGTTCTCTATGTGTTGCCTTGGCGGAACAATCAAGTTACCCTTACTAAAGACTCCGCCGAAAGTCTTAATGGATTTGCTGAAGGGAACTGACGAAAAGAGCCGCCATTTTCGCGACAATATAAGGGCTTATAACATGCTTTTTGCGTTTACCTCTCTTGGCGGTCAAGTCAATAAATGTATACCAAACGGACGGGGCCTATGATGTTTCAGATTCATGGACAAAACTACCATCTGATGGGAAGTTTGAGACCAGAGGAAGGCGACTATCCAAAATTCTCACAATTATATATTGTTGACACTGAAAATGAAGTTGAGAACAGAGCTACGGTTATGAGGTAATATTTTTAAAATTATTACATTAAAAGTAAATGGTTACCATCGCTGATATATGACATCTATCCTTTGTAGCAAGGGAAAGAATGCCCAAACAGCAAAGAAAAAGAATGAGTTCAGAAATAAGATCATTGAAGAGTTGATGTACATGTTAAGAGAAGTAAATCCGTATGTAGAAGTGTTCCGGATGGCGAAAGATAGAATTGAAGCGAATGGAGCAGAACCATTCCACATGAGGATTATAAGGGATCGTCCTGGAAAGGATGCTAGGACCTACAATACTCCCACTGCTTCGGAGGTTGCAGCTTTGATTCCAGGTGATTTTCATTTGGAAATGCCAGAACGTGACATCATTTTAGAAGAGAAACCCACTGGAAAGCTTCAGCGCATCAGTGAAATTCATACATCTTATCTAGCATTGCAATATCCTTTGGTGTTTCCATACGGTGAGGATGGATTCAGAATAAGACAGAGAAGGTATTCACAGGACTCCAAGGGGGAACCCCCAAGCAAAAGCAGAGTATGAGACAGTTCTTTGCATATCGCATTATGGAAAGGCTAAACGAAAGCCAGACGCTGCTACTATCTAAGCGATTGTTTCAGCAATTCTTGTGCGATGCATTCACCATGATTGAATCCAACAGGCTATCTTTTATCAAATACAACCAGTCCAAGCTCAGATCAATGGATCACGATTCCCTTAAGGCAATGTTAAACGAAGGTTCAAAAGATATGGGGGAGCAAGGAAACAAAATTCTTCTTCCAGCTTCTTTTGTCGGTGGACCGAGGTATATGCAGCAGCAGTATTACGATGCTATGGCTACGTGCAAGCACTTTGGATTCCCTGACTTATTCATTACCTTCACATGTAATCCCAAATGGCCGAGATCACCAGATTTCTAAAGAAGAGGAACTTAGTCGTCGATGACAGACCAGATATTGTTTGCCGAGTTTTCAAAATGAAGTTAGATTCTCTAATGAGAGATTTAACAGAAGGAAATCACTTTGGGAAAACATCATCAGGTATTACATATTCGACCCTTTTTATCTTATATTATGTTAAAGATTATATATTGAATTTATTTCATATTGTAAAAAGTTGTTACTTTAGACATCTGAATAATGTATTGATTTAACTTTTTCATGCTTCGACAGCTATGTACACAGTTGAATTTCAGAAGAGAGGATTGCCACATGCCCACATTCTTCTTTTCATGCATCCAAGCTGTAAATTTCCAACTGCTGAGAGCATCGACAAGATCATCTGCGCCGAGATACCGGATCAGGTTTGGAGAAAGAGCTATACGATGTCGTCAAGGATTGTATGATACATGGACCGTGTGGGGCTGTAAACACAAAATCACCATGCATGGTCAACGGAAAATGCTCTAAATTCTTTCCCAAGAGTTACGTCGAGAACACTACGGTTGACAAAGATGGATATCCTGTATACAGGAGAAGAGATACCGGAGCATTTGTTGAGAAGAATGGTTTCAAGTGTGACAACAGATACGTGGTGCCATATAACAAGGAACTATCTGTTCGTTATAAATCTCACATAAATGTTGAGTGGTGCAACCAATCTGGGTCCATAAAGTATTTATTCAAGTATATCAACAAAGGTCAGGATCATCTTACTGTTGCAGTTGAACCTCCAGAAAATAGTCAGCACAGAGAAGATACGAACAAAGACAACGATGATCCTGAGAAGCCGAAGAATGAGATCAAAGATTTTTTCGATTGCAGGTATATTCAAGATGATTCTAAAAGTATTCCACGTTTTAACTGTTTCCAATTGTAACTCAATTTAAACTTTACTAATACTACCTTTTTTTTTTACAATAGATATGTCTCAGCCTCCGAGGCGGTTTGGCGGATTCTAAATTTCCAATGCACTGGAGATCAACACCTGTTGAGAAGTTAGCTTTCCATCTCGAAGGCAAACAACTCCTCTATTTTAAAGCAGATGATGATGTCCAAATATTTTGAGTCGCAAATCCGCTGAGATCTCTCAAATGATCGCGTGGTTTAGATTGAACGAGACAAATGAGTTTGCAAGAACACTGACATTTGCACAGATCCCTAACTACTTCACTTACAACAAGAAAGATCGGGAATTTAGACCAAGGAAACAGGCGGGTTTTAGTATCGGAAGAATCAATTACGTGCCGCGCAAGATAGAAGAGGGTTATTATCTCCGAGTCCTTCTTAATATTGTAACGGGTCCCAGATCGTTTGAAGAGATCAGAACCTACCGAGGTGTCGTTTATGAAAAGTTTAAGGAAGCATGCTATGCAAGAGGACTGCTAGATGATGATGAGGTGTGGGTTGATAGTATCAAAAGTGCAAGCGAATGGTGTTTCGGTGATCATCTTCGAAATCTTTTTGCGGTTATGCTTGCCAGTGATTGCTTTACAACACCGGAGGATGTTTGGGAAAGAACATGGCACATCCTAGCGGAAGACATGGAGGAGAAGAAGAGGATTGAAAATGAAAATCCAGGTAATATATCGTCCAAACATAATAATTTCAATATCAGATGCACCTGTTGTTTTAAACATGCACGCCTAAGATATTCCGTGTATTTCTTTGTAGCTCTTATTCTGGACGAGAAACAGAAGAGGAATTTCGTTCTTCAGGAGATTCAAATGGTGATGTTAAGGAATGGGACATCGTTGTCTAATTATACATCAATGCCCCAACCACAGAAAGATGACTTCGCCTATTCAAATCGATTGTTAACTGACGAGCTAAGCTACGACAAAGACTTGCTGAAGGTTAAACATGATGAATGGATAAAGATGATGACTACCGAGCAGAAGGGTGTTTACGATGAGATCACTGGAGCGGTCTTGGATAAAAAGGGAGGAATATTTTTCGTTTATGGTTTCGGAGGGACGGGCAAAACATTCATGTGGAAAACACTATCAGCTGCTATACGATCTAGAGGGGAGATTGTTCTGAACGTTGCTTCTAGCGGGATAGCTTCTTTGTTGTTAGAAGGTGGACGTACTGCTCATTCAAGGTTTGCCATTCCAATAAATCCTGATGATTTCACAATGTGTAAATTCGCACCAGGCTCCGATCTTGGGAATCTTGCTAAGCAAGCATCGCTTATTATTTGGGATGAAGCGCCTATGATGAGCAAGTATTGTTTCGAGGCTCTGGATAGGTCTTTACGAGACGTTATTGGTAATGTTGACAACAAGCCTTTTGTGGGGAAGGTTGTAGTATTTGGTGGTGATTTCAGACAAGTTCTTCCTGTGATTGTAAATGCCGGTCGTGCGGAGATTGTACTTGCTTCATTGAATTCTTCTTATCTATGGGAACATTGCAAAGTATTGAAGTTAACGAAGAATATGAGGCTGTTTAATAGCAGTTTGAATGCTGAAGAGGCCAAAGAAATAAGTGATTTCTCAGATTGGTTGCTTGATGTTGGAGATGGGAAGCTTTCTGAGCCTAACGATGGTGAGGCGGAAATAGATATTCCGGAATTACTGATCACAGCCTCAAACGATCCAATGGAAGTTATATCCAACGAGGTATATTCTGATCCTGATATGTTTGAAGTCGATAAGGATCCACGTTATTTTCAAGATCGGGCTATATTATGTCCAACTAACGACGACGTCGACTTGATAAATCAGTTCATGCTACGTAAAATACCCGGTAAGCTCTAATGACTTTAATTAACCTTAAGAATATTATCTTCATAACAGGTTATATAGCTTTTCGCCATTCATCTTATGAGTCTCTATTATTTTGAAAACAGGTGAAGAACGAACGTATTTGAGTGCTGATAGCATTGATCCAATGGATATAGCTGCAAGGAACAATCCAATTTTCACACCCGATTTTTTGAACTCTATCAAGGTACCAGGTCTACCAAGACATTTACTTGTCTTAAAATAGGAACTCCAGTTATGTTGCTAAGAAACATAGACTCAAAGGGTGGCTTATGCAATGGACAAGACTGCAAGTTACTCAGATGGCTGATCATGTTTTGGAAGCACGGGTTATTACCGGAGATCGTGTTGGGGACAAAGTTTTGATCCCTAAATTGTTATATCTCCATCTGACCTGAAATTGCCTTTTCGAATGAGACGGAGACAGTTTCCGCTGGCAGTTGCTTTTGCTATGACCATTAACAAGAGCCAAGGTCAGTCGCTCAAGCAAGTTGGTCTTTACCTTCCACGACCAGTATTCTCTCATGGCCAGCTCTACGTCGCACTTTCCAGAGTGACATCGAAGAAGGGTCTTAAGATACTAATCGTCGACAAAGAAGGGAAACCACAGAAGCAAACAACCAATGTTGTGTTCAAAGAAATTTTCCAAAATTTATGAACAGAATCATGTTTTTTTTTTTAATGTCCTTTCGCAAATTTGATGTTGTTCTAATGGATTTTCTGATCCTCTAATGTTCTTAAACAAAATTGTGCATCCTATGATTAATCTCCAGGTAGGTAACGAGGGATGATATTTACATGCTTTATTGCGGATTATATCGCCGGAGTTTATAATAACCTATGACTCACGTCAAGATTTTTATGGCCCATTATCTCATCCGATATATCAGGATGTCCCCAGTCACTAATAAGTATATTAATAAATGTAGAAATTCCCGGAAGATCGTATGTGTATAATATCTTACCAAATATGTGGAGCACTTATTAAGGACTTCATACTTCGTTAAAAATGAGATCAATCCGTTGAATAGAAACTACCAATTCAAGATGCATAAGATACACAAATATGCGGAAGATATATCCTAATACTAAAATTTTGGTAATAATATATCAATTAAAGAAAAACGTATTAAAGAATAACCGTGTATCAAGGGATACGATTACTTGCGACGATTTAAACCCTAAAAGGTGGAGAACTCTATAAATATCCCAAACTCTTTACTTTGTGTTTCATTGTACTGCGCCTTTTCACAAATCTCTCCCATTTTTAGCCCTTCACTTTCGATCAAACACAAGTGTTCCTCCAACATGGCTTCTTACATGATGGTGGCCGATTTGCACTCAATGGTCACAAACACGACGTTGTCTGTGAAGGTCTTAAAGAAGTGGGTTGATGCTGGTCCAAGAGGTGTTGAGGGTTTTTATGCAATGGTTGTCGACGAAGCAGTAAGTTTTTTTTGAACTTTAGTACTATACTACAGGATATTTTTAAAAAATGAAAAAGCTAATTAATGTTGCTTATATATATGATTTCTCATCTAGGGTACAAGGATAAATGCCTCCGTAACAAGCACTGAATATGTAACAGGTTTATGATATCTTCTCAGCATTTAAAATCACCATCACAAACAGTTAACACTGCCGAAGCACATTTCATCGCTCATAATCGCAATCGCATTGTGTGAAGAGCAACATCTGCACTACAACACAAGACGAAGGGGTTATGTTGGAAGCTCAACACTTTGCTATTCGTACCTTATTTTAATGTTTCAATCTTTTTAAAACTCTATTATTCTTTTGAATGTTTCAACCTTTTTATACTCTATTAAACATTTAAGTCCACACACATTAGTGTGTGCGTTGTGATCGAATTCTTTTTTATATATTTATGAGGCTATTGAACATTCTCCACCCTCTTTCGTGAGTTTGAATATGGACTTATAACTTTCAGAATTACATTTGTTAAATGTTTCCAGCTTTTTAAACTCTATTACTTTTTTCAATGGCTATACATATTAGTTCAACATTGTCATCTATTTTTTTTCTATTTATTTATCAAGATATAGAATTTTCTCTACCCTCTTTCAATGGTTAAAATAGAGCATTATAACTTTCACAATTAGAATAACAACGTCATAACTGCTTCATATAAAAAAAGTAAACGTTTTCCCCCTACATTTGTGCGGGTTAAATCCTAATTCTACCTATTTAAGAAGTCATCATATTATCTTATTATATAAAGTTGGATGCGTACGATATGGTTGCGACACGTAGGATGAAACAACCAACATTTTTTTTTTTTATAAATATTAATCAATTCTAGCGAAGGTCTTAAAAATAAATTAAATAAATAACAAATAAATCAGCTCAGCGGAAGCAAATAATAATTAAACAAGTCTAGCAAAATAATGCAAAACAATAAAACAGTAAACATCCTATCATCCCCCTCTTCAGCCTTGATTCCGCGATCACACAAATCTTTTACCTGCAACACATTGGAATGGAGTTGCGTAAGTATTTAATAAATACTTAGTGAGGCAATCACTCTGCCTACGAGCCATTTACGCAATTTACTAGATATTTAATAATATTTATAAACTCCAATAATTATTAAATACCATTTTCCAATTATTAAATAATTTTTAATAATTAAAACTCAATTTCTCAATTATTAAATAATTCTCATAATTAAATAATAATTTTCCATATTTTAAAATAATTAAAATAATTATTTTAAATCAATTAATTAATTAAATTACCATTAATTAATTAAATCCGAAAATAAATCAAACAATTTGAATTAAAACATTTTAATTCAATTAACCAATTAACCAGAATCAAATCAATTTAAACCAAGATAAACCAATTAAATCAATTAATTCAATAAACCAGATTAAACCACACAAACACACAATTCATCACATAAACAACCAAAATATCATAAAAATAACAATTAAAACATAAACTCATCAAGAACAACCACAAACCAAATCTAATCTAGCAAATCACGGACCCACAGTCATGCACTCACCTTGACAATGATTGAAACTGAAGGAAAAAGGAAGACGATGAACAGTGCCGAATCGCGGATGAACAGTAACCCGTGAACAGTACCGATGAACAGTAACCCGTGAACAGTACCGATGAACAGTAACCGTGAACAGTACGAAATTCCGATGAACAGTCTCAACAGTAAAATCTTTTCCAGAACTCTCAAAATTTTCTCCTTCTCTGCCTCGAAAAACGAGAAGACGGCTGCACTCTTTAAACTTGATTTTAGGGCTTTCTCCACTAAACCGACCCAAACCAATTCACTTAAATTGAACCGACAAATCAATTTCAATTATTTGGTTTATGGATGTTACAACTCTTCCCCACTAAACTGGATTCGTCCTCGAATCCCAACGCAAACGTCACAAAGACCACAAAACCCAACCTCGCAAGGCCGCAACACCGGAGATCCTCACTTGATCCCCGAGACAAACGTCATATCTTATGTCATAAACACGTTCCAAGAAAATTTCACTCCTAACTCATCATCCAAACACACCAAACAACTTGTACTGAGGCCCACTTGCACCCAGACAAGTCCACACCGGTCCGCACTGAGGCCCACTTGCACCCAGACGAACCCGAAAACGTCCATACTGAGGCCCACTTGCACCCAGATGAACTAAACTGCTTATACTGAGGCCTACTTGCACCCAGATAAGCTACACTCAACTGAGGCCTACTTGCACCCAGAGAGTCTGCCAGAGAACGAAGTCTCCAAAAACATGATGAGTTATTCAGGATCGCAATCCTTAGAGTAAAAATTCCGGAAAATGTCTATAACCATAAGATTAGACCGTCTCACAACCAAAAACTGGTCAAACATGTGTAACATCCGAATACCATTTCACAACACAAGGCAAAATGAGGAAAAACTGCATCTCATTAAAACTCCAAAATGTATATCGTTACAACGAAAACGAAAATACAATAACACCAAAGCCAAAAATAACAACTGAGGCTACAAAGATGAAATAAGCTCACTCCTCGACCTGCTTGTCGAACCACTTCCTGAACTTCAACTTCATCTTTGCCTCTGGCTCCCAAGTCTCCTCTGTAGAACCACTGCAATCCCACAAAATCCTCAGTAAGGGAATCCTCTTGTTCCTCAGAACCTTTTCCCTCCTCTCTAAAATCCTCACAGGCACTGCCGGCACTGTCAAATCTGGCTGAAGATCCTCTGGAATCCTAGCCACTAACTCCTCTGTAGGGTGAAGACACTTCCTCAGCATCGACACATGAAAAACCTTGTGAAAGGCTTTCATAATCTCAGGCAACTCCAGCCTGTAAGCCAATGGCCCAACTCGCTCCACTACTGGAAACGGACCCATAAATCGCGGACTCAGCTTGTTCTCTGCTATGGATCTGTTAGGACCCCTCAACATAGCCATCTTGAGATAAACTCTATCTCCCACCTGAAACTCAAGCTCTCGTCTGCGTCTATCTGCATAACTCTTCTGCCTATCCTGAGCCTCCTTCATGTTCAGCCTCACAACACGAACCTTCTCTGTCGTCTCCTGAACATAAGTAGCTCCATACATGCTGCGCTCCCCCACTTGGGTCCAGCATAGGGGTGTCCTACATGGCCTCCCATACAAAGCCTCAAATGGAGCCATGCCAATACTCGCCTGAAAGCTGTTGTTGTATGCAAACTCAACTAAGCTCAGGTGATCTGCCCAATGGCCACCCCAATCCAACACACACATCCTCAGCAAATCCTCCAAAGTCTGAATAGTCCTCTCTGACTGACCATCTGTCTGCGGATGATAAGCTGTACTCAGATGCACCTTAGTGCCCATCTCTGCCTGAAACGCCCTCCAAAACTCTGAAGTGAATCTGGGATCACGGTCTGACACAATACTAGCTGGCACTCCATGCAGCCTCACAATCTCTCGCACAAACTTCCTAGCCAAGACAGCAGCTCCATCTGTCTTCTTGATGGCCAAGAAATGTGCAGACTTAGTCAACCGATCCACAATCACCCAGATAGCATCGAAAGTCCTCGAAACAGGTAGTCCAACCACGAAATCCATCGTAATCCTGTCCCACTTCCACTCGGAATGGGTAAACTCTGCAAAAGACCACCCGGAACCTGATGCTCTGCCTTCACCAAGGCACAAGTGTTGCACTTCGCAACCCAGTCTGCTACATCCCTCTTCATCCCGACCCAATGATAGTACCTCTTGAGGTCATGGTACATCTTGGTCGCTCCCGGATGAATGGAAAACTTGCTCGCGTGAGCCTCTCCCAAAATCTGATGTCTCAACTCCACATCCTTAGGCACACAAACTCGCCCACGAACCAAGATAGTCCCATTCGCAGAGACCTCATACTCAGAACCAGTCACTCTCGTCGCATCTAGCAAACTCTGATCACTCTGCTGAGCAACTCTGATCCTGCTAAGTAGATCCGCCTGATCCACCGCCTCTAAACCCAAAGGCTCCTGCGAAATGGCACACAAACGCAAGGTACTGATCTCGCCAACTAGAGACTCCACATCTCGCTCAACTGCGGAATCATACCTCCGTCTACTCAACGCGTCCGCCACTAGGTTAGCCTTGCCCGGATGGTAGTTAATGCTCACCTGATAGTCCGCCAAGAACTCAACCCAGCGCGTCTGTCTCGCGTTCATCATCGGCTGAGTGAAGATATGCTGCAAACTCTTGTGATCCGTGAAGACCTGTACTGTCTCACCTAGCAAGTAAGACCTCCAAATCTTCAACGCGAAGATCACTGCTCCCAACTCTAAGTCATGTGTAGGACGGTTACGCTCACTGCCCTGCCACTGTCTCGAAGCATATGCTATCACTCTGCCCTCCTGCATCAGCACACAACCAAGACCAATGCCTGAAGCATCTGTATACACCATGTAAGGCTTCCCTGGCTCGGGTAACGCCAACACTGGTGTAGTAGTCAACATCTCCTTGAGCTGACTAAAGCTCTCCTCACACTCAGCTGACCAAATAAAAGGGACATCCTTCCCGGTCAACTTCGTCATCGGCTGCGCCATGGTAGCAAACCCCTTGACGAACCTCCTGTAGTATCCTGCCAAACCCAGAAAACTCCTGATCTCGGTGGCACTACTAGGTCTAGGCCAATCTCTGATAGCCTCAATCTTAGCCGGATCCACAGAAACTCCCTCTGCAGAAACAATGTGGCCAAGAAATCCCATCTCTCGCTGCCAGAAACTGCACTTGCTCAACTTAGCAAAAAGCTTCTGCTCCCGAAGCTTCTCCAGAACCAACCTCAAGTGAGTCGCATGCTCCTCCTGACTCCTCGAGTATACCAGAATATCATCAATGAAAATGATGACAAACACGTCCAAATACTCCCTGAACACGTCGTTCATCAATCTCATGAAGGCTGCCGGCGCGTTAGTCAAACCGAAAGGCATAACCACAAACTCAAAATGCCCATAACGCGTCCTGAAAGCAGTCTTCCTGACATCTGCCTCATCTATCGGGATCTGATGATACCCGATGCCAAGTCAATCTTGGAGAACCAAGTAGCACCCCTCAACTGATCCAACAACTCATCAATCCTCGGGAGTGGGTACCTGTTCTTCACAGTGACTCGGTTAAGACCTCTGTAATCGATACAAAGTCTGAAACTCCATCCTTCTTCTTCACAAACAACACCGGTGCTCCCCACGGTGAAACACTTGGTCGAATGAACCCCTTAGACAAAAGGTCCTCTATCTGCTTCTTCAGCTCTGCCAACTCAGCTGGCGCCATCCTGTAAGGCGTCTTCGATATCGGTGCTGTCCCCGGCTCTAACTCAATCGTGAAAGGATCAGACCGAGATGGTGGTAATCCCTTCAGTGACTGAAAGACATCCTCAAAATCCTGGACAACCTCAATATCTCCCATAACAACTCCAGCTCCTGACTCAGACATAGAAATCGTCGCCAGATACGCCTCACAGCCCCGCTCTAACAACTGCTCGGCCTGAATAGCAGATATCACAATACTCCCGGAAGTCGGTCTCACTCCCTGATAAACCAACCTCCCTGCATCTCGCTCGAAGACCACTCTACCTCTGTAGCAATCCAGATGAACTCTGTAGTGTGACAACCAGTCCATCCCGAGAATAACGTCATACAGCTCCACCGGACTGATGACTAAGTCTGCTGGCATTGACTGCCCCGCAATCTCGATCTCGACTCCTCTAGCACGGCCCAAAGTAGACAAGAATCCACCTCCCGCCACCTTGACCATGCCCGCGCTCTCGCCCGCGCTACTCCGGATGCCACTCTTCTCGGCACGCTCCGGTGTAATGAAGCAATTCGATGCTCCAGAGTCGAATAAAACGTGGGACTCAAAACCGCCCACTAACAAGGTCATTACGAAACACATGCGTTGAGAACCTCAACAATTTTATCACAGATAAATGAACAACACACAGCAACAACAACCATTATGCCCTCGATGGCCCGCCACCACAAATGTGCATCTCCACTCAGATAGTGGACTGCCAACTCAACCTGGTACTAAACCAAATCTGATAGACTGGAAATTCCGCTCCAATCTCTGACGCCACTACTGCCGCCTCTGGGCTAACTCCGCCCTCAAAGTACGGCGTACCAATCCTCTGCATGTGCCCCAACATATCCAAATAGGACGGCACCATCAAACCCACAGCCTGCGGCTGAACAAATCCCGCAGCCCTCTGCTGCACCTCTGCCACTGGAGGTACTCCCGGAGCCCCTGTGGAACCACTGGCGGAAAACGAGCCAATAACTGCGTCAGCAAACCCACCACTAAGTCATCAAGACCCTGAGCCGGAGCACCACCCCAACCCGGAGCAGCCCCCGCTCCCAAACCAACACTCGCATCCACACTGGCCTCACTCGCCACGGATACCGACTGGGTCACCGACGCAGTCGCCACACTCGGCACCACACTCTCTCCCGAATCCGCCGAAGTCCACAATCTCGGCCCCGGCCTCTAGCTCTGCCACCACGGCCTCGAGCACCGCGCCCTCTCGCGCCACAACCTCTAGCTACTCAGTCCATCTCACTCATGGAACCAAAAGAGCACACTAGAACACGCAACCAAAACTCAAAACAAACATAAACTCACCGCGGAATCTCTTGTAGCTGAAGGGGATGATACTAAAGCCTAGCAATTCTAACAGTCCTAAAACCGTCTAGGCTCTGATACCAAAATGAAACAACCAACATTTTTTTTTTTTAATAAATATTAATCAATTCTAGCGAAGGTCTTTAAAATAAATTAAATAAATAAAATATCAATAACAAATAAATCAGCTCAGCGGAAGCAAATAATAATTAAACAAGTCTAGCAAAATAATGCAAAACAATAAAACAGTAAACATCCTATCATCCCCCTCTTCAGCCTTGATTCCGCGATCACACAAATCTTTTACCTGCAACACATTGGAATGGAGTTGCGTAAGTATTTAATAAATACTTAGTGAGGCAATCACTCTGCCTACGAGCCATTTACGCAATTTACTAGATATTTAATAATATTTATAAACTCCAATAATTATTAAATACCATTTTCCAATTATTAAATAATTTTAATAATTAAAACTCAATTTCTCAATTATTAAATAATTCTCATAATTAAATAATAATTTTCCATATTTTAAAATAATTAAAATAATTATTTTAAATCAATTAATTAATTAAATTACCATTAATTAATTAAATCCGAAAATAAATCAAAAATTTGAATTAAAAATTTTAAATTCAATTAACCAATTAACCAGAATCAAATCAATTTAAACCAAGATAAACCAATTAAATCAATTAATTCAATAAACCAGATTAAACCACACAAACACACAATTCATCACATAAACAACCAAAATATCATAAAAATAACAATTAAAACATAAACTCATCAAGAACAACCACAAACCAAATCTAATCTAGCAAATCACGGACCCACAGTCATGCACTCACCTTGACAATGGATTGAAACTGAAGGAAAAAGGAAAGACGATGAACAGTGCCGAATCGCGGATGAACAGTAACCCGTGAACAGTACCGATGAACAGTAACCCGTGAACAGTACGATGAACAGTAAACTCGGGTTTTTTACTCTCAAAATTGCCTTTCTCCTTCTCTGCCTCGAAAAACGTGATGAACAGACGGCTGCTTCTCCTTTAAAACGAAAATAAGGGTTTCCAACCCTTAACCGGGCTAAACCGGGTCCAATTTCACTCAAATTGAACCAAAATCAATTATCAATTATTTGGTTTATGGATGTTACATAGGATGTTTATAAAATATAGGATCGCGACATGTGTCACTTTTAAGATTATGTCCGTTAAGATCATGACACGTGTATTAGGGGAAAAAAAATAAAAAATGTATTTTTTAAAAATAATAGAAAAAGGATAATTGAAAAAAAAAAATTTAATCTATTATACTAAAAAAAAAAGAAAACATTATATTTTTCATATTCTAATAGAAAACAGTTTGCCATTAATCAAATTTATATTATCCAAACACGTCATAAATTCAAAATAATGTATTAAATAAAATCCTATTAGTACATAGAATATGTTTTGTAAACTAAATTTCCTATAACTAGATGAAATATGTTAAATGAACCCATATAAAAGAGAGTTAAGATAGTCATGTCTTTGAAAGATTACGACATAATACATAGGATTTTTACAACTCACAAAAATTCCAACATGTGTTTTTAAAAAAATATCTGAAAGTATTAAGATCAATAAAAAATTCCAACATGTCATGAAATAAAAAATAAAAAAAATTAGTAGTATAAGACCAATAAAAAAATAAAAAAAGAAAACGAATAACAAATAATTAAAATAAAAAATGCTACATCCATTAAGAAAAAAAGAAGAAGAAAAAAATAATTTAAATTCTTTTGTTACATCTATTAAGAAAATGAAAAAAAAATCCCAATACGAAAAGGAAGAAAAGAAATATATAATTTATAATTTTTTCTCGAAATAAAAAAATCATGTCTTTAAAATTCAAGATATCAATAAAGAATAGTTAACTCTAAATCAGTTGAATCGAAATCAAAATTATTATCTTTACATGTATCTAATATTTGATCCGGTGAAGACATATGTTAACACAAGTAAATTGGAAATATGTTAAACATAAATAAAAAACTAGCAAAATAATTAGAAAACAAAATTAACTAATAATGAAAATGAAAATTTATAATGGTCTGAGGCAAAAACAAAATTGAGAAATAAACAATATAAACAAAAAACTAACAAAATAATTATCAATCAAAAAATTAATAATGAACCGATATTCTAATTTTAAATAGTTTAATTTTCAATTTCTGTTAGGTAAAAAATATTAAATTAAGATTTCATCCATTAAGTCTCTTGAATATAATATATAAGTTTGATGAATTAATCAGTTGATCAGATTTAGACATGTGTAAGTCTTTCTATATTAAATAAAAATAAAGGTAAAACAAATTATTTCATTTTTCATATCATGAATTCAAAAAAAAAACCAATTAAAATAAAAATGTAAAAATATTACCAATGTTCATTTATTAAATATTTCTTATCAGGTTTTTAATATTATTTTGGTTACTTTTAAAAGTTATCAAATTTTGTTTGATATTTTTCATTGATTTTATTACAAAATCTTAAAATAAATCCGCGTATACGCGGACCTTAATCTAGTGTTTAATAATTTCTCAAGATTTCTTTCAAGAATCTTAAAATAAACCCGCGTATACGGGGGACCTAATCTAATATATTCATAAATTTATGGTTTTATTTTCTGATTTTATTTTATATTTTATCTAATTATGAGTATTATATTTTATTTCACATCACGGATATTATTATAAATTTGTTATTTATAAGTTTTAGTTGAATTTTTAATAATATATAGTATGTTTAAAAGAATTTATCACTCATTTATTTTTTAAAATTATATTTTACTACTCATTTCTAATATATATGGGTATCCATGTAACCCATTTAACCCATGTGTACTAATATAATTGGGTTTGGGTTATAAATTATGGCCCATAAAATAAATGGGTCGGGTCAAACCCGACCCTATAACCTTCAAACCCATGTGGGTAAAGGTCGGGTCGGGTTGGATTACTCATTTTGACACCCTAAGCTACGTCTACAACTGTTTACTTGATTAACAGAATACCTAACTCTATAATTGATTTTCAGTTACAAGAAGAAAAAAGGTGGTCTGGTCAAAAGTCTGATCTCACTCACCTAAGAAGGTTCGGATGTACAACTTACGTTCACACTATTCAGGAAAAGATCAGTCCTAGAGCTCTGAAAAGGACTTTCCTAAGCTATATGTTTGGTGTTAAAGGTTACATGGTTTGGCTACCAGAAGAAGGAAAATGTACGACTAGCAAGAATGTTGTTTTCAGGGAGGATGAAGTTTTAAAGGATTTAAACAGTTCTAGCGATATTATGACTAATAATAAGTCTACAATCACACAGAAGAAGAAATCTTGGAGGAAAATTGTTACCTTTTTCGATACTCAGCTGATACAAGGACCAACTCCAACTGGTTTTCACAACATCTCGGATGATGAGAATGGTTCTGAGGCTTCATTTGATACCGAAGATCATGAAATTTCTTCGTGTGATGTGAATTCTTCTCAAGGTGGAGCTACACCTCAAGGTGGATTTCTTACTTCTCAGGTTGACTCCAGTAGTAGTACCTCGGATGGATCAGAAGATGAGGGGTTAACGTTCAATGAAGAAGAGGAGGATGAGACAGAAATTATAAGTCAAATAGATGATTACTTGTTAGCCAAAGACCGAGATAAACGTCAGAACATCAGACCGCCTTCACGTTATGAGGATGCCGACTTCGTGGGTTATGCTCTATCTGCAGCTGAGGACATTGAAACAGAAAATCCTAAGTCAATGGAACAAGTCAAGAAAAGTCCTAACTGGAAAAAATGGCATAACGCAGAAGATGATGAGATGACATCACTGATGAAGAATCATACCTGAGATTTGATTAAGAAACCTGAAGGTGCCAGGGTTGTAGGCAGTAAATGGATCTTCACGTTGAAATTAGAAACTCCCGGTGTTGAGGCAAAGTATGCCTACTCATGAAATCTCTGTATGGCCTAAAACAGTCACCAAGGCAGTGGAACATCAAGTTTGACAGTTTTATGAAGGAAGCAAACTTTATCAGAAGCGAGTATGATCAGTGTGTCTACATGCACAACATTCAGAATGAAAAAGCAGTCTACTTACTACTATATGTGGATGATATGCTAATTGCATCAGACAGTATGTCAGAGACAGTTTGAGCTCAAAGTTCGAAATGAAAAACATGGGTAAGGCCTCACGCAGACTGGGAATGGATATCATCAGAGACAAAGAGAAGAGAATACTACAGTTATCTTAGGAAAGTTACATCGAAAAGGTGTTAAAAACTTTTGGAATGACAGAAGCTAAACCTACAACTACTCCACTTGCTACTAATTTCAAGCTGAAAAGTTTAACGAAAGCAGAGAAACTAGAGGAATCAGTTCATATGGAGGATACACCCTATGCTAATGCAGTGGGAAGTTTAATGTATGTAATGATCGGTTCAAGGCCAGATTTAGCATATGCTTTGGGTTATCAGCAGGTTCATGTCAAATCCAGAGAGAGGTCATTGGACAGCAGTTAAATGGGTTTTAAGGTACCTAAGAGGTGCATCAAAAGCAAGTCTAACATTTACCAAGAACAAAAGTTTCAGTATTGACGGGTTTTGCGACTCAGACTATGCAACAGATATTGGCAGAAGAAGATCAGTGACTGGGTATATTTTTCAAGTTTGGGTTAACATAGTTTCATGGCGTTTTAATCTACAGTCTGTGGTAGCTCTATAACCTACTGAAGCTGAGTACATGGCCCTATCTTCAGCAGTAAGAGAGGCTATCTGGTTATAGGTTTTATGCAGTGAGTTAGGTTTTGATGCAGGTGCAGTTAAGATTCATTGTGATTCACATAGTGCATTGGCCCTAGCTAAAAACTCAGTCTATGACGAAAGGACTAAAAACATTGCTACGAAATATCATTTCATCAAAGATATAGTAGCAGATGGCACAGTCAAGTTTTTCAAGATACACACAAGTAAGAATCCAGCGGACTTCCCAACTAAAGCCTTACATGGGCCTAAGTTTGTGGTTAAGGGTTGTGGTTACCTGGGTTTTCTGAGCAGAGGAGGATTGGATTCGTCTTGTTCTTCATAGATCTGCAAAGAGAAGTGAAAAGTCGAAAAACGTTTGAGTTTGTTTTTCACAAAAATAAAATAAAAAGGGGGAATCAAACAGGCAGGAGAAATCGATCAGTGCTTAGAGCGGAGATCGAAGTCTCAAGAAGATACCTGAGTTGATTCCGGCGCCGGCGTGCATCGTTGAGACCGGCGGATGCGAGCTGAGCCAGAATCGCCGTATCAGTTCATTGTCGCAGAGAGAAGCGGAGAAGTCGAGAGTGTTAGGTCAATAGGCGGAGACATCAGAGCATTGTCTGAACAGGGGGAGATTGTAAATGGGCTCAGTACAAGTCTCCTAGTGGGCCGGAGGCCCAATTCTTAACACTTCACACGAGCATGCTTCGTCACGTGCGAGCCCAGCTGTCTTGGTCAACGGCTATAAAGTCGTCCTCTTCTCCAGCTCAACAACCTGCAACAAGATTACGCAGAGAAAAGAGAGGTTCGTTACACAGAGTGAAAGCGAGATCACAAAGAGAGAGAAGAGTGAGATAGACTCAATTGAGCTTCTCCTTACTTTTATGGGGTGTGAGCTTAATCGTGTAACAAAGTGAGAGAGTTCCGATACACCGGAATCTTGTAAACCTTCGGGATTCTTTTCTCGGTGATAGTGAAGCGAAGGAAGGCGCGATTCCTTCCCCCAGTGAGTAGGAAACCAACAATGGGTTAACAAATCTCTTGTGCAATTTATTTTCCTGAAATCTAACAACAAATCGCATTAGTAATCAACAATCTCAAAGCTAAAACTCAACAACCCTACTAAAAAAAAACCTGAACCGAACCTAAACTGAAATTTCTAAATACTTGATCAGAAACCTGAAAAAAATCCGAATTTTTTTAAAGAACCCAAAAACTCGGGAAAAAACCCAAAAATTCTGAAAACCCGGATATAGCCGAACTGAAAAGTCGTTCAGATTTCATGTACAACTAAAAAACCGGTATGAACCAAATCCGAACCAAAATTCAAAAATACCCAGTTGGTTTCTATATCTCTAAACCTCAAACCCCGCAAAAAAAAAAAAAAAAAAAAAAAAAAAAAAAACACTCAGAACTCAAAATCTCATGCCTAATTTGTCCTATCATGATTTTTGGACTATATAATTCCATATTCTTGCCTTGTGAGTCGCCTAAGCTATTTTTTTTTTTTGGAAATTACATTAAATAATCATATTGGAAACCATAATCTAGAATCTAACCATAACAATTCTTTGGCTCTAATATAGCCTATATATTTTGTATCATGGAAATTACCGGTTGCGATGGAATTGCGAGAAAACAGTTTCCGTCGCAAATTGTTCGTCGCAAAGTTCTGCCCAAAACTCTTGTCCCAATCCTGTCTCAACTAGCATACTTCTCACTTTATCCACAATGGTTCTGTTCATCCTTTCTGATACTCCGTTTTGTTGTGGGGTGTAGGTACAGGTTCGATGGCGCTTAATTCCAGACTTTCTGCACAAGTCGTCAAACAAGGTATTGCAGAATTCCAAACCATTATCTGTTCTCAAACACTTTATCTTCTTCTCAGTGTGACTTTCAACAGCTTCTTTCCATTCTTTGAACTTACTGAATGCCTCATCCTTTGTTCGCAGGAAATAAACCCAAAGCTTCTTTGAGTAATCATCGATGAAGCTGATGAAGTACTTACACCACCGAGACTCTCTGGAGTTGACGGTGAACCCCATAGATCCGAGTGAACGTACTCAAGGATCCCTTTAGTAGTGTGTTTGGCTTTCGGGAAGCTCTGCTTGTGAGACTTCCCCAGGACGCAGCTCTCACAGAAGCCTAGTTCTCCAATCTCCATTTGAGGTATGTAACCTTCCTTAGATAGGACTTCCATATTCTTAGAACTCATGTGACCTAGCCTTGAATGTCATAGACTAGTCAAGTTGTTCTTAGGGTCTATCACATTTACATCCCCTTTAGAAACTGTTCCTTGGAGAAAATAGAGGCCATCTATATTTCCAGTAATCACCTTCTGACCATCTTTGAAGAACGTAACTTTGTAGTTTTCTCCTGTGTAGGTACATCCTGACTTCTCCAACATACCATACGAGATGAGATTCCGACTCATATCCGGCATGTACCTGACATCCGTGAGGATCACCACAGACCCATCTGGGTTAGTAATTCGAATTTTCCAATTCCTTTTACTTCACTGTATGTGCTATTTGCCATATGCACTTTTCCTCCCTCAAATTCTGTCAAGTCAAACATTAACTCCTTGTTTGGTGTAATGTGAAAGGTACATCCGGAGTCCATAACCCACTCATCCTTGGTGTATTGAGAACTCACAGTGAGGACCAAAGGCTGCTTTATCTCTGCTACTGTGTTAACAGAGGAGCTTTCATTCTGCTTTTGTCCACGCATTGGGCATTCTCTTCCAATGACCCTCCTTGCCACAAATGAAACAGGTACCTTTCTTGCCATTTTTGTTTCTAGACTTAGATCTTCCTCCCTGATCCTTAGTCTTTCCCTTGTCTTTACCATCATTCCGCTTCTTAGACCTTCCTCGGTTTTCAACATAGAGTCCCTCAGCACTAGACTTTCCCTTTTTTAGCATTCCATTGTGTCTAAGCTCTGCTTCTTTTGCGTATGCAGATGATTTTAACCTCTCTAACCGTGAGAGTTTCTTTTCCCAGTTCCATACTTAAGAGTATGAACTAGCTGCTCATACGCTGGAGGCAGACTCGTGAGGAGTTGAATGGCCTGGTCTTCATCACTGATGGTAATCTTCAAACTGGCAAGATCGGCTATAAGCTTCAGAAACGTATCCAGGTTATCTTCCAAATTCTTATTCTCATCCATGCGGAAGCTAGCAAACTGTTGCTTGAGATAAATCCGATTTGGTAATGATTTTGCCTGATACTCTTCTTCCAGGGCAAGCCACATATCTCGAGATGTTGGCGAATCCATCACTTTCCTCAAAATCACATCACTGAGGCAAGTACCAAGTAAGTTTCTCACCCTTAGATCCTGTGCTGCTTTCTTTGTCTTTCCTTGGTGATGCTCCTTCTTCCTGTTTCTCAGATTTGAACGTAGATCGAGAAATCTTCATCAAGGACAGATGCAAGACCTTGGATCTCCAGCTGACCAAGCAGCTTGTATTTCCACATCCCGAAATCCTCTTTCCCGGTAAATTTCTCCATCTCAAATCTTCCCAGTGTAGGTTCCATAGTAGATTCACTAATAGAACACAACTACACTGATTTTGCAGATAACCGACAGAGAAAATCCAGAGAAAATCCAGAATACCAGAAAACCCGACGAGAAAATCCGATGAACACAAGAAATCCAGAAAACCTTGACCGCGAAGACTTATGATCCAACAATCAACCTTAAGAGATCAGATCTGATCCGATCCCTTCTCGGTAACAACTCCGCGATCAAATCCAGGTGAGAAAATCCTTTACCTCCTCCGCGTGATCCGCCATTAGTAATCTCATCTCCAACCTTGGAGCTCTGATACCACTTGTTGAGTTTTAGGTAGTGATTGGCAATTTGGCTTTAAAGACTTTAGGGACTTTTCTAAAGTCTTAAAAGCCATATTTTATCCAATCACACTTTTAGAATTTAAAAGTCTTCAAAGTTATTAACTTCCCTTTTTAAAGTTCTCACATCACCTTTTTCTTTTTTTCTTCACAATTCGTTTGTTTTTTTTAAAAGCCTGAAAACAAGGCTTTTAACATTTTCTAAAACCTCAATTAAGTCACAGTTTTAACAGCCATACTTTAAAATAAAAATCTAACAGTCAAAGTCTTTAAAGTCTTAAACAATCAGGGCATTACTTTTGAGATTGTTGATTACTAATGCGATTTGTTGTTAGATTGCAGGAAAGTAAATTGCATAAGAGATTTGTTAACCCAGTGTTCGTTTCCTACTCACTAGGGGAAGGAATCGCGCCTTCTGTTGTTTCACTATCACAGAGAAAAGAATCCCGAAGGTTTACAAGATTCCGGTGTATCGGAACTCTCTCACTCTGTTACACGATTAAGCTCACACCTCAGAAAAGTAAGGAGAAGCTCAATTGAGTATATCTCGCACTTCTCTCTTTATGATCTCCCTTTCACTCTGTGTAACTATCCTCTCTCTTCTTTGGGTAATCTTGTTGCAGGTTGTTGAGCTGGAGAAGACGACGACTTTATAGCCGTTGACCGAGACAGCTGGGCTCGAAGCTTGCTCGTAGGACTTGGGCCTGCGGCCCACTAGGAGTATTGTACTGAGCCCATTTACAAGGGTCTTGAGTTCGGGTTTGTGTAAAGGAGTCATGCCTAAAAAAAAACATATAAATGCGAAATAATATTGCATGCAAGAACACGTTTCAACTTCGTTCTTGTAAAACCAAGATATGAACTGACTGGAACCTAGTAGAGATATCTCACGAAGGTATCGCATGCTACCAAACTTCATGAAGGCTTAAAATAAGCTGGTGATGAAATAGAATCGTTGCCTGGTTAATCGATATGATATACAAAGTGTTCGGGGCCAAAATACAAAACTGTTCTTTAGGAATAAACTCTTGTAAATAGCTTTGTGTCAGTTCATGATTCTGAATTATAGTCTTTTTAGTAAATGTTTTTGACTTCGCTTATGTGATTCATAGTGGCCATTAACGTGCATTCTCGTCATCCTTGTAAATCACAAAACAGAAAACACCCAAATGAAATCTAAACCAATCAAACTTTCATCAAAACATTCAATATTCAAAAAAAGAAAAAACTAGAAAGAAATTGACAATTGTTTTCCGATGAAATTCCTTGCGAATCCAGTAGTAACCTTCCCCTTCGCTTGCAAACCTTTCGATTCGAAGCCTCTGAGACCCATCAAAGTCTCCGTCCAGACTCCTCCGCCGGACTTCGATTTCCGCAGCAACGATCTCGCGTCAGACTCACGCGCCGCAATCGCAAAAACTTTCCCGGAGCTGCTCGACCTCGCCGATAACGGGACATTGATCCTGGTCCAGAAGCAGAGTTTCGGTCCGACCCCAGCCTGGCGCAAGGAGTTCGTCGAGCCGGAAGCGATCTGGCTCGTTGGCACTTCCCATATCTCGCCGGAGTCTGCTGCCGACGTAGACCGCGTCGTACGCACTGTGAAGCCGGATAATGTCGCCGTCGAGCTCTGCCGTAGCAGGAAAGTCGATTTCCATGTCCATTAATAAATTTCAGAACTAAAATTACGAAACAAGAGAGTAAAATTGATGAAGAAATTGAATAGATTGAGACTGGAATTACGAAGAAGAGAATGAAATTGATGAATTTAACAACGCTTTTTGGAGAAATTGGATAGATTGAGACTAGGGTTATGAAGAAGATAATGAAATTGATCAATAATACATTTGAGGAAAAAAAGGTTGAAACTTTGATTGTCTTTGTGATCACTGTGATGAGAGTAGAGGAAATAAAAGTAATCTGACAGTAACAGATTGCAGAGGTGAATGTTGATGTTGCAGAGCTGGGATCATGTACACTTCTAGCGTCGGAGACGATGACCAAAACTTGAAATCCGGAGCCTTCTCATTGACCGGAACAGGCTTTCTCGGTGCTGTTGGCCGGAGCCTAGACTTAGGTAAAGACACACTATAAAAGCTTCATTTTTGTGACTTGAGTGCTGTTGTTGATGAATGATTGATTGATGATTGATTCTTAGGAGGCCAAAGTGCTTTGGCATTACGACTTCTCTTAGCGGTTTTCTCTTCCAAATTATCTTCTGTCGCTGACCGTCCTTTCGGTGATGAGGTACTGATCTTGAGAACCACCAAGATTTCAAGATTCGTTTTTGTGGACTGTTCTTGATCAAACTCTCGGCTTGCAGTTTCGTGCTGCTCGCAAAGCGTCTGAGGAAGTTGGTGCGCAGCTGGTTCTTGGAGACAGACCAATCGAAATAACAGTAATGGCTGTGAATATGATTCATCTTAACCAATGAGGGACATAGCTCTAATATGATAACATTGCAGCTTCAAAGGGCTTGGAGCTCTTTGAAATGGGCAGAGAAGGTTAACCTGGTGATGGCTGTGACTCGTGCAATCGCGTCTTCCTCCTCTATATCCGCCGCCGAGCTTAAGGTTTTCTTTCTCTTCCCTAAAACTCAGTTTCTTTCCAACTTCAAGAAAGTAATGAATGAGTTTGTTACGTGCAAAATGCTAACAGGAACAAGAGACTGAGGAAAGCAATGGAAGCTTGCAGCTTTACGAACGGCTAAGCTTCTCATACCCATCTCTCCTACAGCCACTCATACACGAAAGAGACACGGTAAAAACAAAACCGAAATTTTCTTAAACCGGTTTTAGAGTGAAGGCTGCTAAAAATGGGTTTGATTTGGGCAGTATCTTGCTTGGTCGTTAAAGAGGAGTAAGGCGGTGAATGGGTGTAAAACGGTGGTTGGTGTGATCGGAAAAGGACACATGAATGGTGTGATCTATGCGTTGGTGTCGGATTCCGGTGATCTCCGGTTTAAAGATTTGGTGGGAAGAGGAGATTCATCTGATACTACGTCGAACGGCTGGATTCAAATGGCTTTAAAGAGCCTAGCAAGAGACACAGTTTTAGGGCTTTTGTTATGGGTGTTGTATGATCAGTATCTCAAGTTTGCGATGATGACCCAAAACCCTTCTTGAAAAATCAATAAAGCTAATCCGTTGCAAACCCCAAAAAAGTGTATAAAGATATCTAAGGAAAATGAGTACGGAGGATGTTTTAATTCTTCTTCTTCTAGATTTTGTCTAGTCAACGACAAAGGACTTCTGTTCGCTTTTTTCAAGTCATTTTTGTTTTGAAATGTTTGTACATTAGTTTAATGTTTTTGACGTCAATATTTGCTAAAGTTAGTACAATTTTTTTTGTGCAAACGAGTTAGGGCTTGACTGGTTTAACCGCTGCGGTTGCGGTTGCGGGAGTTTGCGGAAGCGGGCGGTTGTGATTAGTAGCGTTATTAAGCGGTTTGTACGACTGGCATAACAATTGAAAATGGATGCGTTTGCGGGTTACTTATGACTGGTTCACTTGCGGATGCAATAGCGGTTAAACAATAAATTAATAATATAAACACATTATATAATTATAAAAATATCAAAAATATTATAATGAAAATTTTAAATTTATGGTTCAACATAATTAAAAATATTTTTTTATAAAGAATAATATGTGTATAATACTTACGTCTATCTTTTAATTTCTATAATTTAAATAAAAATGTGATTTTATTTTCAAAATATATATTTAATGTGAAAATTAAATTTATTTTACAATTTTATTTATTAGATATATATGTATTAGTATGAAAAGAATATTTATGAAGAGAATTTTGATTTGTAGAACTTATAAATATATAAGTATTATATGATTTTAATGAATATTGACTAAAAGTACTAATTTTTTATTTATATTGTGATTTTATTATCCAAATCTTATTTTTTAATAAATATTATTATTTATTTTCGGATTTTATATAAGTTTGTGTTTTTTTTTTTTTTTAATTATCCACCCGCAACCGCAAACGCTTGCGGAAAGGAGCTTTTGATTTTCAGCGATATAGAGCGGTACAGAGTGGTATAGAGCGATTCAAAGCGGTTGTCGTGATTGTTATAAACCGCCGAAAACCGCTACGAACCGCAAACGCTGCGTTTGCGGGTGGTAGCGGGAGAACCAATCAGGCCCTGACTGGTTTTGTATATACTTTTGTGAAACATAGAAGTTTGACAGTAAAAAAACAACGTTTAGTAAGCATCTTGTTAGGGCCTGACTGGTTTAATCGCTGCGGTTGCGGTTGCGGGTGCGGGAGTTTGTGGAAGCGGGCGGTTGTGATTAGTTGCGTTATTAAGCGGTTTGTACGACTGGCATAACAATTAAAAATGAATGCGTTTGCGGGATACTTATGACTGGTTCACTTGTGGATGCAATAGCGGTTAAACAATAAATTAATAATATAAACACATTATATAATTATAAAAATATCAAAACTATATTATAATGAAAATTTTAAATTTATGGTTCAACATAATTAAAAATAATTTTTTTTTATAAAGAATAACACGTGTATAATACTTATGTCTATTTTTTAATTTCTATAATTTAAAAAAATGTGATTTTATTTTCAAAATATATATTTAATGTGAAAATTAAATTTATATTACAATTTTATTTATTAGATATATATGTATTACTATGAAAAGAATATTTATCAAGAGAATTTTGATTTGTAGAACTTATAAATATATAAGTATGATATGATTTTAATGAATATTGACAAAAACTTGATCGCGGGATCAGGTCTTCCCTTTTCCTATCCCTGATTCTGCAAGTGCACAGTCAGAAGTAGTAAACGGGTATCGAACACAAGGAGCAGATAAGTACACTTCGAGTATTGCAAGTCTAATATAGCTAGAAAACAAGTATGATTTAGGGTTTTTGATTGTGTAACAAAGTAAATCAAACAGCAATTAAACGGTTTATGAAAATCAATAAGGGAAACGCTAGGCAATGAGAAACTCGCAGAGATTCAAGGTTAACAAGATATTAGAAGGGTTCGCTAGGGTTTGCGCTATCTAGAACTCAGGTCACGATTGTATGATCTTTCCACTGTCGAGGCTCCGACCCCTTTGTTAATCTACCTAGTCGCTAAACTTTTGGTATGTCCCTAGGTGATTAAATCAAGCAATAGTTCGTTCAAGACCCAATTGTTCACAACCCCGCATAGATCAACTTTCGCAGTCTATGAAGTTTTGCTCACCAAATACTTAGTTCAGGTTATATAGCAAGCTTTTGGAGAGTATATGAAACCTAAGATCTGATGCTAGTTGATCAGAAAAGCAAGCAGCAATGAATTCAAGCAGACGAGAAGATGCGATATATAAAACCCTAGATTTCTAACAACCTATCAAACCATGAACTCTTTGATAGATCTCACAACCTAACTAGTGAATTACTCAGACATGATCAAAGCAAACAACACAAAGAGATGAAGAAAACATGATTGCAATAAAACTCAAAGTATGAAATCGAATACAAGGCGGCTCTCTTTTCACAAGAGGCTAAAAAGCTATATATATAGTGCTAGGTCTTTTAGAGGCGGCTTAGGGTTAAGCCGGGCCTTGAAAATATGAAACGGGCTTCAAAACGGGCTTCGGGTCGACCGCGGCGTTGGGACGGTCGGTCGGGACGATCGGCCGGATGATCGGGTCATGGCCGTCTTAGTACGATTGGAACGGTCGTGTCCGGACGGATTCGTGGTGTGGTACGCGAGAAGGTTGCGCGGCCGCGAGGCTTTTTCCCGGCTCGCGCGGCATGGTCGTGCGCGGCATGGCGTGAGCGGTTGTGGCGTGGCCGACCGCGGGCATGTTTCCCGGGTCGTGATGCGTGATCGGCCGATGGTTTGGACTTTGGCCGAGACTTCAGACGGACGGATGTGATTTGGCCGAGCGTGAAACGTTCGTTCCTCGGCCAGCCGGACTGCGCGGTTTGGGCGCTGATTCTCGATAGAGCCGTCTGGACAGTCTTCACTCTTTTGGTTGTAACTCCTTTTCTACTCATCCAAATGAGGCCGTTCCAGTTGCGTTGGAAAGTTAACTCAATCAGAGCACGCAGGGAACTGGTCTTGATGAAATCCATTGAGTAGATCTTTTTCTGGGCCCTCTTAAAGTTGGTGCTTGTGCATGGAGCGGCTTGAAGTGCAAATCCTATGGTTTTGCTCCAAAATGCATCATTTCACCTGTTTAGACTCTAGACACTATAAACACAGTAAAACTACCTTTTTAGATAGAAAACCTGCCAAAAACCATTAGAAAACAATGCTAAAACAGTATAAAAAGTGTAAAATAGAGGTATATCAACTCCCCCAGACTTAGATCTTTGCTTGTCCTCAAGCAAAAAGAATCTAAATCCGTGAAAGAGGTTTGAAAACGTGGAACTCCCTTGCTCTTTTGAATATCCTGTGAAAGGTTCCTTTCCTGTATTCCACTAAGAACATAGACAACATAAGGTTAGCTTCACATACACCCTGCAAGTTTAGCGAACAATACCAACCCAACTAGTCTCATCCAGCAATCCAAACTCTCTATTGCTAACCTCTTGCATAAATTTAAAGCGTGAATTCTTTATCAAGGGGACATCGATCAATTGAACTTGTTCTTACCCACTTGATCTTCTCCAAGATTGTCTTTAAGTGCAATGAGTTCTTTTCCTCTCTCTTTCTCACATCAGAACTTTGAAAGGTCAATTTCTCCCTACTTTTCTAGGGTATCATTTTATTTTTTCTATTGACCCTTCTTTCAACCACAGGATAAGTCTTTAGCTTGTTCCTTGTTTGACTAAGGTATTCCATAAGACATGAAGGTACAGACATATGCATTCCTCATGCTTACTTGTTTTCCTTGTGCTCTTTGAGCTTTTTCTCATAAACATTACTTACCATTTGGGATGGGAGAGAGAGGAGAACTCTTTAAAGATTAGACAAATCTTATTGAAAATCAAGCAAGGAACTGTCGACATGTATGCCAACCCCCTTGACAAGAGTATTAAGATTGATTAAGGGTGAGGTTAACTCTAGATTGCTTGGTTACCTTAGAAATTTTGCTGAGCTAGCATGTCGATCCACTGTAAGAGCTTCTGTTAGGCTTGTGCCTTTAGCTGGTTTCTGCTCTAGGGTCATGGATTGTTAGCACAACACTCTCAATTCTCAAAGCAAGTTCATAACTTCCGGACTGGTTTTTGACTCAATAAAACTTTTTGAAAAACATGAAACAAAGTAATAAAACATAAGAAAAGAAAGAAAAATGCATTAGTAACACAATAAAACTCCCCCCAGACTTAACTTGCACCGTCCCGGTGAAAGCAAATCACATTAAGGTGAGAGGTAATATTCAAAATAAAGAAAATTAAAGAAAGAAAATGAAAAGAAATGACCTTCAATGGGTTGCCTCCCATTCAGCGCTTTGTTTAAAGTCATTAGCTTGACTGTATGGCACTTCCTTAAGGATCTGGTGGATCGCCAAGCGCAGTGTGGTCTCCTGTGGTATGGTGGTGGAAGCTAGGTAGGGTTTTAACCTTTGTCCATTGACTGTAAAGTCTCCTCCCATTGGGTCCCATAGTACCACTGCTCCATAGGGGCGAACTTCTTTAATCCTGAATGGTCCTGACCATCTTGAGCGAAGCTTTCCTGGAAAGAGTTTCAACCTTGAGTTGAATAGTAGAACTTGGTCGTTTGGCGCGAAGTTCTTTGGGATGATCTTGCGGTCATGGAAAGCTTTGGTTCTCTCCTTATAGATCTTTGAATTCTCATAAGCTAGATGCCTAATCTCATCAAGCTCATTTAGCTGAATCAATCTTCTTTCTCCTGCTGTCTTTAGGTTGAAGTTCAACTCCTTAATAGCCCAAGCTGCTTTGTACTCCAGCTCCACAGGTAAATGACATGCTTTACCATAAACAAGATGAAAGGGGGTGGTACCAAGTGGTGTTTTGAAGGCAGTGCGGTATGCCCATAGAGCATCATCTAGTTTGGCACTCCAATCCTTTCTTGTCTTGCCTGTTGTCTTCTGAAGTATGCTCTTGAGTTCTCTGTTTGAGATCTCAACTTGTCCACTAGTTTGAGGGTGGTAAGGAGAGGCAACTTTGTGAGTGACTCCATGCTTCTTCAAAAGGTTGGCAAAGATTCTGTTGATGAAATGTGAACCTCCATCACTTATGACTATCCTAGGCACTCCAAACCTTGGAAAATGATGGATTTAAACATCTTGATGACCACTTGTGCATCATTAGTAGGGCTGGCGATGGCTTCCACCCATTTGGAGACATAATCAACTGCCACTAGAATGTATTGGTCACCAAAAGAGGTTGGGAAGGGTCCCATAAAGTCAATGCCCCAAACATCAAAAACTTCAACTTCTAGTATAAAGTTCTGTGGCATCTCATTCCTCTTGCTTATATTTCCCATTCTTTGGCAAGCATCACATCTTGATATGAATGCATGAGCATCCTTAAACATAGTTGGCCACCAAAATCCAGCTTGTAGGACCTTGGATACTGTCTTGTAAGTGGCAAAGTGGCCTGCATAGCTAGAACTATGACAAGCAAACAATATTCCTTCTACTTCTTCCTCAGGTATGCATCTTCTAAACATTCCATCTGAACATTTCTTGTATAAGTAAGGTTCATCCCAGTAGTACCTTCTTACATCACGCAGAAATTTCTTCTTTCTGTAGCCAAAGAAGTTTGGTGGTGGGTATTCAGCTGCAAGGAAGTTTGCTATGTGGCGAAACCATGGTGTGTTTGATGATGAGATCTTTGTTCCTGGCCTGTGATGGCCTAGTTGTCCATGCTTATTGCTAGCTTCAGCTGCATAAACTGTTTCTTCAGGTAGCCTATCATCAAGAGGTAGTTTTCTTCAACTCTCATCCTTGAAAGGTGATCAGCTACTCCATTATCTGCTCCTCTTCTATCCTTGATCTCAAGATCAAATTCTTGCAATAGTAGTATCCATCTCAGCAATCTTGGCTTGGCATCTTTCTTAGATAAGAGATACCTTAATGCTGCATGATCAGAATGAACTATAACTTTCGATCCCACCAAGTATGATCGAAACTTCTCAAATGCAAAGACAATAGCTAGAAGCTCCTTTTCTGTTGTGGCATACTTGCATTGTGCCTCATCAAGCGTTCTGCTGGCATAATAGATCACATGTAGCTTCTTGTCTTTCTTTGCCCAAGCACTGCTCCTACTGCATAATCACTTGCATCACACATTATCTCAAAAGGTAGTTCCCAGTTTGGAGGTTGAACCACTGGCGCACTGACCAATGCATCTTTGATCTTAGTGAAAGCCTTGTGACACTCCTCTGTGAACTCAAAGTTAATATCCTTGCATAATAGGCGTGTTAGCGGCCTTGCTATCTGTGAGAAATCTTTAATGAACCTCCTGTAGAATCCAGCATGTCCTAGGAAGCTTCTGATATCTTTGACTGTCTTGGGCGGCTGAAGGTTTGTCATGACTTCAATCTTGGCCTTATCAACTTCTATGCCTCTCTCTGAGATTCTATGTCCAAGCACTATTCCATCTCTAACCATAAAGTGGCACTTCTCCCAATTTAGAACTAGGTGCTTGTCTTCACATCTCTGTAGCACTCTTCCAAGATTTCCCAAACATGATTCAAAGGAAGAACCATATACTGAGAAATCATCCATGAAAACCTCCATAATCTCTTCTATTAGATCTGTGAATATGGACATCATACACCTTTGGAATGTAGCTGGAGCATTGCACAATCCAAAAGGCATTCTCCTATAAGCATATGTGCCATAGGGACAAGTGAATGTAGTCTTCTCCTGATCATCTGGGTGGATTGGAATTTGGAAAAATCCTGAGTATCCATCCAAGAAACAGTAGTATTGATGATTGGCAAGGCGCTCAAGCATCTGGTCTATGAAAGGCACGGGTAATGGTCCTTGTGCGTTGATATCACCATATTTTACATGATTTTACTATATAATTACTTATGTTTTCAAACGGTTTTTACAAGATTTTTTGCCTTTAGAGGTAGTTTTCTTGTATTTGTGGGATTTGAAGTCTTTGTAGGAGAAATAATCAAAAAGGAGCAAAAGAGCAAAAGAGCAAAAGATCCATGCAAGTTTCCAAGTCAAGAAGACCATTTTATCTCCAAGTGTTAGTTCTCGCTTGCGCGCAGAACGAAGCTTCGGAAGTTTGGCCGCGCGCGGAGGAGTTCCCGACGTCCAAAAGTTACGATCTTGATATGGAAAGATAGATACTTGAGTCATGCATCACGTCGAAGTGGAATGATCTAGAGGAGAGAGAGATTCCAGAGGATCTCACGCCTGGTCTTTACGGGTTTACAGAGGCTGATCTAGATAGAGAGTTCTTTCTCGGCGTGTGGAAGATGTCAGGGTTTCTCTCTGAGAACCGTCCAGTTCAAACACTGAGGGCTATTCTGTCGAGGCTTGAGCAGGCTTACTGTGGGACTATAGGGTATGAGTACATGCACATTGCTGATAGAGATAAATGTAACTGGTTGAGAGACAAGATCGAGACTCCGACACCTCGGCAGTACAATAGCGAGCGTCGTGTGGTGATTTACGATAGGCTTACATGGAGCACACAGTTTGAGAATTTCTTGGCTTCTAAGTGGACAACGGCGAAAAGGTTTGGACTTGAAGGTGCTGAGTCTTTGATCCCTGGCATGAAGGAGATGTTTGATAGGTCTGCGGATCTTGGAGTAGAAAACATTGTTATCGGTATGCCTCACAGGGGTCGGCTTAATGTTTTGGGTAATGTTGTTAGAAAACCTCTACGCCAAATCTTCAGTGAGTTTAGCGGTGGTACTAGGCCAGTAGATGAAGTTGGGCTTTACACAGGGACTGGTGATGTGAAGTACCACTTGGGGACGTCTTATGATCGACCGACCAGAGGAGGCAAACATCTTCACTTGTCTTTGTTGGCAAACCCTAGTCACTTGGAGGCAGTGGATCCTGTTGTGATGGGTAAAACCAGAGCGAAACAGTATTACACGAAAGACGAGAACAGAACAAAGAACATGGGTATTTTGATCCATGGAGATGGTAGCTTTGCTGGACAAGGTGTGGTTTGTAAAAACATCATGCTCTCCTTTCCAAGCTTCTTCTCCACGCGCCATCCATCTATTCCAACAAAGTTTACTTCTTCTTGAAAGTTTGGAATCAAATCTCCAAAGTAGTCTTGAATTATTGTGGACTCAACTCTATAAGCTTCTCTTTGTCTCTCCACTTCTCTTCCTTGGTTTCTCAGTATCTCAGCCATCATGGCTTTGATCTCACTGTATCCATCTCTGTATGGATCAGAATTTATGGCCTTCACTGCTCTCTCATGCCCAATGAAGTTGTCACTGTCGCTAGAGGCTAGATTCTCAATTAGAATCTTTGCTTCAGTAACTGTCTTGGTCATGAAATTTCCATTGCTGGCTGTATCAAGAGAAAGTCGACACTTCCCACTTATTCCTCTGTAGAAAATGTTCCATAGACTGCCATCAGATAGCCCATGATTAGGACACTCCCTTGTGTAGTCTTTAAAGCGCTCCAATGCTTCATGAAAAGGCTCCACCGGCCCTTGTTGGAAACTAGAGATCTTTTCTCTCAACAAGTTTGCTCTTTGCTTTGTGAAAAGTGACCTAAGAATGCCACCTTGTACTCTTTCCATGTGGTTATGGATTGAGCTGGAAGAGACTTCACCCATCTCAAAGCTTTCCCTGTCAAAGTGAAAGAGAAAAGTTTGCACTTTAAGTACTCCTTTGGCGCACCTCCTGCACTGATGGTCCCACAAATTTCTTCAAAGGCATCAATATGTTCCAAAGGATTCTCCTGGGGTTTTCCTTGGAACTGGTTTTGTTTTACCAAAGCCAATGATCTCCGGCGAAATCTCATAACTTCTTCCCTTCAGGAAGTGGCGGTTGGATGGGATTCCATTACTTCCTCATTATGTCGCGCTCTATCTCTCGGCATCTCATCATTGGCGCGATCGTGCGCGGCATTCGGATCCGGAGGATCTTCGTGTTGCTCGGCCAGCGCGATCTCTCTCGCGGCCAAGTTATCTCTCTCCTCTTGATCGTCTGAATCACTCATGTTAGAGTCTTGCCTTCAAGCTTAGTACCTGAAAGGGGTAGAGGCAAGATTCTTTTAAATAGAAAACAGTAAAAAGGAAAACAAAAGTTGAAAATTTGCAAAAACAAAAAGGAAAAACGAAATTCTAGACTAGACTATAGTTGGGAACTCGAAGGTAGCTGTATTGCTCCCCGGCAACGGCGCCAAAAACTTGATCGCGGGATCAGGTCTTCCCTTTTCCTATCCCTGATTCTGCAAGTGCACAGGTCAGAAGTAGCAAACGGGTATCGAACACAAGGAGCAGATAAGTACACTTCGAGTATTGCAAGTCTAATATAGCTAGAAAACAAGTATGATTTGGGTTTTCGATTGTGTAACAAAGGAAATCAAACAGCAGATTAAACGGTTTATGAAAATCAATTAAGGGAAACGCTAGGCAATGAGAAACTCGCAGAGATTCAAGGTTAACAAGATATTAGAAGGGTTCGCTAGGGTTTGCGCTATCTAGAACTCAGGTCACGATTGTATGATCTTTCCACTGTCGAGGCTCCGACCCCTTTGTTAATCTACCTAGTCGCTAAACTTTTGGTATGTCCCTAGATGATTAAATCAAGCAATAGTTCGTTCAAGACCCAATTGTTCACAACCCCGCATAGATCAACTTTCGCAGTCTATGAAGTTTTGCTCACCAAATACTTAGTTCAGGTTATATAGCAAGCTTTTGGAGAGTATATGAAACCTAAGATCTGATGCTAGTTGATCAGAAAAGCAAGCAGCAATGAATTCAAGTAGAGATGAAGATGCGATATAGTAAAACCCTAGGCGATTTCTAACAACCTATCAAACCATGAACTCTTTGATAGATCTCACAACCTAACTAGTGAATTACTCAGACATGATCAAAGCAACAACACAAAGAGATGAAGGAAACATGATTGCAATAAAACTCAAAGTATGAAATCGAAAATACAAGGCAGCTCTCTTTGTGGTCGAAAAACTTGAAGACTGGTCCAGACGTTGATATACCTCTATTTTACATGTTTTTATACTATTTTAGTATTGTTTTCTAATGGTTTTCCCCTTTATTTACTCTCCAAATAGAGGTATATCAACTCAAACATGTAAAAAACTCAAAGTACTAATTTTTTTTATATTGTGATTTTATTATCCGAATCTTATTTTTTAATAAAGATTATTATTTATTTTCGGATTTTATATAAGTTTGTGTGTTTTTTTTTTTTTTTTATCCACCCGCAACCGCCCGCAACCGCAAAGGCTGCTAGGAAGGAGCTTTTGATTTTGAGGGTTGTTGAGGAATCTTCAGCGGTTTAAAGCAGTATAAAGCGTTTGTGGTGATTGTTTTCAAACGCAATAACCGCTACTACCCGCAAACGCTGCGTTTGCGGGTAGCAGCGAGTGAACCAATCAGCACCTTAGATCATATCTCAATGTATTTTTTTTATTTGTATGATCTTGTTTTTACCCTTGCACAAATTGTGTTTTGAAGTTTCATACGAAAGATAAAACCAAATAAAGAAAATTTATTCATGAAATTGTCTACCATTGGCACAAATTGTATTTTCAAGTTTTATACGAAAGATAAAAACCAGTGTTTTTAAATCCGGACCGACCCGGTGGTCGGATCGGGTTCAACCATGAACCGGAAGCATCTCTGGGTTGGTTTACTACTAAAACCCAGAGATAGTTAGACCAGTTAAAAACTTGGGTTCGACCAACAAAAAATCAAAAACCGGTGACCCATTTAACCATATTGAACCCGATTTTCTAATTAAACAATAAATTTTTTATTTTTATTTGATAATTTTAACTTTTTCAGAATGTTTTGTTAAAGAATATTTTCAAATATTATGAATTTTAAATAATTTATTTGATATTTAAAATATATATATATATATTTCTATACTATGTTAATATCATAGATATATAAAATTTATAAAATTATATATATTATTTTTTAAAATCATTGAACCAGGTCGAACCATATTAACCCATGATCCAAAATATTTCCGGTTCAGTCAGTGGTCCAGTTTTAAAAACACTGATTAAACCAGAATTCAAGAATTTTTCTTTTTAAAGAAAAAAATAAAACTAAATCCCCCGCGAGGTGCAGAAAATCACCTATAGTTTAGTTTCTAGTTATAAAAAAAAATAAAAATAAAAAGAGGTCAATTTTATTTAATTTAATCTTAAAAAATTAAGAAATATATTTAAATAAAATAAAAAATAATATAAATTTCTGTTTCACTTTCGTCATCTCGCGAGCCTCGAAGAAAGCAAAACAAAATCTAAGAGCTTGTTCTAGGGTTTCGACTTTCGACGGCCCTGTAAGGTTTATCAAACCGCTCGTTGCAAGGTAAAACCGAAATAGAGTTTGTTCGTCTACACTTGTTCAGATCTTAAATTCAATCTCTCTCTCTCTCTCTCTCTCTCTCTCTCTCTCTTGTTCACCAAATTCAAAATCGATTTCTGTTTCATTTTCCTCTTCAAAAATTCTGTTGTTTCCCTGTGTTATCATTGCGTCGATTGGGATTGATTAGCTTCTCTTGCTTTGTTCTGGTTTGGTCTCTCGTACGATTGATTTCAGATCTGTGGTTTTATCATCAATTCTATTAAACTTCACAGGATTGCATAATTTAGCTCCTCCTTCTGTGTTTATGTTGAGATGTTATGGATTTTGTCATTTATTGGAGTTTCAATTGTTGTAAATTTGCAATCTTTGAAGTAAATTGGATCAAAATTTGAAATCTTTGAGATAAATTTTATCAGAATTTGCTGTGGTTATGTTCTTGTTATGCTCATCGTCTTTGCTATGTATAATTGTTGATATGTGTCCTTGTGTGAAGAATGTGTTGTTGGTTAGGGTTTGATCATTGGAGCCATGAATCGTTTTCTTGCGTGCAGGAAAGATGAAGCCAGTCTTCTGCGGGAACTTTGAGTACGATGCTCGTGAAGGAGATCTCGAGAGGCTTTTCAGAAAGTATGGCCGAGTTGAGAGAGTTGACATGAAAGCTGGTAAGTTCTTCTTTTACACTCTTTTGGAATGGATAAACAAGTCTCGTAAACACCACTGCAAATCCGATGAGCAAAGCGAAAAAACTCAAATGCGCACCATCCTTGTTAATCTCTGGAGGACCTTCTCTTTTCATATCTCTCTGCATTCCCACACCGGTCTTAGCCTTTCAGTCATCTGATCTCAGCACCGGTCCTAGCCACGTGGAGGAGCCAAATGACCAACATGAAGATAACATTTCTTAAGAGAAACGATGGAACAAAATTTAGGGTAAAACCGCCAATACTCAACATTTTCTTTGGCGCAGGGTTGATGGACCACCATGGCCATGAGTCAGCTCTCATCCGCAATAAGCACTTTACCTTCCCCCATATCATCCCCTCCCACACTCGACTTAGTTGCATTTCATTCCTCATGACTCTTTGTACTCTTGGACATCATGCCTCTTTGGTAGAATCAATCATACCAAGCAGAGGAGTAGTGACTATGCACAACCAACCTTGTTTCTGTCTCATCTCCTCGTTTACAGTTGTTGTTCCCTTGACAATATTAATTCCATAATGCAAGGTCTGTAAAAACTGCTTCACTAGTCACTTATAGCTTTTAGGGTTCGGATTTTATTGATAGGTAAGCAAGGCCTCTGAGCGAATGGGGAACAGTTCTCTGTGTTCTGCTTCTTGTCAAGTGTTAACTTGGGTTTAACTTTCTTTGATTGTTTGCTGATTTTTGCCCTTTTGTTGTTTTCTTTTTTGTTCCTCAGGGTACGCTTTTGTGTATATGGAAGATGAAAGGGATGCTGAAGATGCAATCCGAGCGCTTGACCGCTATGAGTTTGGACGTAAGGGACGCAGACTCCGTGTTGAGTGGACTAAGGTTTGAAATCTTGTTCATTTTCAAGTCTTGCTTTACTATGAGAACGTGGTTTGCTAAATTGGATTTTCAATACAGAACGAGCGTGGAGCTGCTGCTGGTGGAAGATCAGGCGGTTCAAGGAGATCATCGGCGGGACTGAGACCTTCCAAGACTCTGTTTGTGATCAACTTCGATGCACAGAACACCAGGACTCGTGACTTGGAGAGACACTTTGAGCCGTATGGGAAGATCGTCAACGTCAGAATCAGAAGGAACTTTGCGTTTATCCAGTATGAGGCTCAAGAAGACGCCACCAGAGCATTGGATGCTACAAACTCGAGGTTTCTTTTTCTTGATCACTTCTCATTTGCTTTCACTGCTTCACCTTTCAAGCTCTCATTTGCGATTTCTTGTTGTTTGTTTTTGCAGTAAGCTGATGGATAAGGTGATCTCGGTGGAGTATGCAGTGAAGGATGATGACGCTAGAGGAAACGGGAACGGAAACCGGTACAGTCCCGAGAGACGCCGTGATAGGTCGCCTGACAGGAGAAGGAGATCACCTTCTCCTTACAGGAGAGAGAGAGGAAGTCCTGACTATGGCCGAGGTGCTAGTCCGGCTGCTGCATACAGAAAGGAAAGGACTAGTCCTGATTATGGGAGAGCGAGACGCAGCCCGAGTCCTTACAAGAGAGCTAGGGTTAGCCCTGACTATAAGAGGGACGACCGCAGGAGGGAGAGGGTGGCTAGCCCTGGTTACAGGAGGGATGATGACCGTAGGAGAGACAAGGTGGTGGCTAGCCCAGAGAATGGAGGTGCTGTTGTGAGGGATCAAAGTCCGAGAAACGGACGTGGTGAAAGCAGGAGTCCTCCTCCATATGAGAAGAGGAGGAGGTCGAGGTCGAGGTCGAAGTCGAGCCCTGAGAATGGTCAAGTTGAAAGTCCTGGACCGGTAGTCGGAGAAGAAGATGCTGGAAGAGGATATGATGGTGCAGAGAGCCCGATGATGCCTGAGAGGTAAATATCTCTCTCTCTCTCTCTCTCTCTCTCTCTCTCTCTCTCTCTCTCTCTCTCTCTCTCTCTCTCTCTCTCTCTCTCGGTTACATTTGAATGGTATCAATATGATACTTAACAACTTGTTTTTGTTTTTGTGGTTTTTAACTGGAACAGCCACTCTCTATCGCCTCCAGCTGAAGAATGATTGGGGTCTCTCTATGTATTGGATTCACAAAACATTAAGATGTCTCTGTCTCTCTCTGTCGAAATAGCTTTGTCTGAAGTCAAACTATGTTATGTTTAGTGTGGTCTTGAGTGACTTTGTTCAATTGCTATTGTAAAACTTTAAATTATGCGACTCATTCAAATTTGCTCATCGTAGTATTATTGATAAAGACTTCTTTTTTACTTTGGATCACGAGAAGTCAGAGTTTACAAAAGTAGTACATTCGAATTTGGTTATCGTAGCAGCTTATGTTTAAATATTCCTCGACATCTAGATGCAACTACAGTGAGTCAGAACACTTGAATAGCATTAATAAAAGGATAAAGCGGATAAGAGTTGTTATAAGCGTGTTGTTGTAAGAGTTTTACGAGTTTTAACACTAAGACAAAATAAATAGATTAAGGTGAAAAATTGTCTTACAAATCTGCATAAGAAAACATAAAGTGACAGATTCCGTAAAGTAAAAGTAAAGTCTTACAACGATATCTATACTATATTTCTTTGTTCAAATTACTAAAAGTTGCAGGTTTATTTTAAGAAAATAAAGATTGCAGGCTTATGTAGAAAAATCTTCTTGCTCTCTTCATGCTTATCTTGATTGTTTTACCTCATGATTAATACGAGGAAAAGACCTTTGTATGGTTTTTACTTTTTAGTATTTGAGTTTGTTTGAGGAAATTCTTTTAAAAGAAATTGTACAAAGATACGAATTGGAATACAAACTCAACAACAACAACATAAATACTCTTGGTGTTCTTGAATAAGTTGTGTTTTAGGTATTTGCACACATACTAAAAAATCATTTAATTTTATTTTTTTTTCAAAAAAAAAACATGTTTTATCATCAATTCTAAAACAATACAATCAGTAAATTTTCAATATGTAGAATTCAAACAGTCAAAACAACAAAATACAATCAATTTTTGCATTAAGATGTTTAAACACCATTTGTTTGTGAACAAAATATCTCATAAAACACAACTTATTAGAGAACGAAGGGAATAGTAAATAACACACAGTTTATGGGAATTGCGGATTGCCGGTGGTTAAATATGCACCTTGTAACCAACATGGCCACACTATTTTCATATATCAACTATTATTTGTTTATATGTGATGGCTAATTAAAAACGTGGATGGAAAGGGAAAGTTAGGCAGAAACATTACTACAAGTGACAAGGTTGTAAAGAGTGAGTGGGAGAGTGGATACTTATTAGGCTAAGCTTACCAAAAAAAGGTAAAGAAAAAGAGAGTGTCTCAATTCTTGAGACATGAGAGTCTAGAACGCAACTCCCACACATTATTATCGGTCACTAACAAAATTCAAGCAGTGAACGCAATCTACTATTCTATCTTAAATGGATCTTTGTGACAGATTTGATAAAGACATCTATTCTTAGCTGGTTCTCTTCTTCCCAATCCGTTTTCATGTTGATGAAACATGCAGAGTTAATGTCACCAAACCGTCCATAATGTTTTAAAAAGATTCCACTAAAGAAAACAGCTTTGGAAGTTATTAAGTCATTGACCAAAAATGTGTATTTCTAATTTTAAACCAGTTATTAGGTATTAGTATGAGTTGATTGAACAAAATATTTGATATATTATACTTTTTAAAAATTAAAAAATTTGATGTTAGATCCTAACATAAAATAAATTACTCAAGTAAGATAATCCACGATCATTTAAGTGAAATTTAGTTGGAGATGTACCGGTAAGAAAATCATTTCCGGAAACATTTTTAATTTTTTGATAAAGGTATCCGGAACTTTTTAGTCTTGATTCATATATGAATGCTAACCATATGTCAAGTCATTACACATATTCAAACCAAGCAAAGAACACATGTACGGTTTCTAAATAAGCTAATCTAACATTACTATTTAATTAGAAGTTGGAAATCTATAAAATTATAAACCAAAAGGGGACACTGTATGTTTCACTGCTTCAAATTGAATATTATAAATCCCTCTTTGTCGACTACTTTAGATTGCATTGAGTATATAATTTATATAAATACATTTAAAATATCAGAAAAGGAATACTAAAATGAAGAGTGTGATATTAAGGGAATGTCGACCGTTGGATGATGAATCCCCCCTTGACTCCAAATCTGTTGCTTTAAACCCAACAAGTGCATCCTTCTTTTGACTTTCACATACGTCCAAACTCTTTGTTTTTCGGCTATAAAGAAAAAAAAAATTTTCTTTTGTCTCTTTTCTATATAATAAAATATATAAGGAATCTTTTTGTTATATTGATGATTATCTTAGGAAAAGAGAGGTAAAGAGTATATCACCTGTCACATATCAACAAGTTTACAACTAATAACGTTTCATTAAATATTGTCTTAGATGTAAAGATAGATAAGTGCAGAAAATGAAAAGATGGAAAAAAAGGGAGAACAAGAAATTAGTTTACGATTTTATCTCCAAGATTCCAATGAATTTAGTTGATATTCATCAACACGTCATGGTTGTACTAATATAACCCTTTTTATATCTTGACTTTAAGTTTCACTAGTAAGAAAAAGAAAAACGTTTCACTAGTTATATAAATATCCTTAGTCAATATTGATGATTCTTATTTCAGACAAATGAAGAAAATATTCTAAGGAGGTTACAAGCTCAGAGCAACACGTGTGGTTAGCCGCAAGGTTCTTTCTTTTGTACAAAACTTTTGGAGATGATATAGATTACCGAAAGGCGTTTTATATATTTGACTCAACGTACTTTATGAAATAAATAAAAACATCATAAAAAGAGCTGAAATAGTCAAAGAAAATATTTACATGTATTTTGTCAACATATGGGAAAGTGTATTTCGTAGTAAACTACAAAAGAAGACAAAATATTTGGGACAAAATGGTACGGCAGAAAAAAATGGACGACGAGTGGCTATCGCATTCGTCGACAAGATAACCACGACCACCTCCCTTTTTCATTCCAAAAATAAAAAAAGATTCTAAAGTTTATTAGAATTTCAAGCTCGATGAATATAAGTTATGATATAAGTTATCACTTTTTTATTTTTATCTTTATTACATAGATTATCACTTTTCAAAAGTGTACAAGACTTATGTTTTGAACAGACAAATACACCGTTTGTTGACATGAGATATTATTGCAAATGACAATAATCGTTTTAAACTTTTTTATACAAATTGAGATTTTTTCTAAAAACTGTTATAGTATTTTATCATATTAAATTTACGTATAATAATTTTCTTGGACATGGTTACGTACGTACTAATGACACGGCGGGTCTTGTTCCAAATATAGTAGATATCTGCGTAACCATGATTTGGACAACTAGTTCTGACCTACATATATGCTTGAAGAGTGGTGTAGATATTTACCATATATTAAATTATGCTGGTCAGGAAATTATACATATGATGTGTATCGTCGTTAATTAAGTAGGAGTGTTGAAATTTTGTTTGCTCTAATCGTACCCGAAATTATACAAAGACTGCTTAATTAGATCTATTTGTTTGACTTGGAGCTTAAAGCAAATATAATTCCACTTCTGTTTGCTAGATAAAAAAAAAAAACAAATGTTGACAATATTGCTAGTTTCCGTCTCATTTCCTGCTACATCATTATGATTTTTTGTTCTTGAAGATTTCAACTTAGCTGCTAAAAAAGGAGAAGATCAATTGATGAACTGAATCTACAATAAACATAGTCAAGCATGGAAAAAGGTTAAACTCTTTCTTCTTATGAGATTGTTGTGGTTGGATTAAATATGCTATAGATTCATGATAGAAACAGTATTCATGATAAAGATCATCAAATTCAGTTTTTTTTTTTTCCTAACCATCATGATACAATAAATAGTGTTCCTACACCACCTTCATATAGCATTAGTGTATATCTTCCTCTTCGTCTTGGCCTTAATTCTGAACCAATGGAAAAAAAAACTGCATTCAATCTTATTCATAATGCGTGTGTTGTTAGAGGAGAAATTAGCACATTTCCCTGAGCCCGTCATCATTAGTAAAGTCACAAAGCCCAATCCGATTTTAGGCCTAACATCTTCAAGAAAAAGGCAAGACTTGAAGAGAAAGGCACAATCCATGGAGAAATGTAAATAAATCTTCATGCCGACTTAAAGAATGGAAGAAAGATCCAAAAACAAGAGGGAAGTTTTCCATATCGCAAAAGAGGAAGTTTTCCATCTCGCCTGAAGGAGAATATTCATCATTCGGCCGACTTATCAACACTATATATTGAAGACCCCCCATTGGAGAAAGGGATCCGAAATCATCTAGAATCACTAGGCTTTCACATTAGCTTTTACTCTATCCTCTTGTTCATCACCATAATCTCGCTAGGCTTGTTAGCGAGATTGCTTCTTGTAACTTCTTGATAATCTAAGAGTCGAATTAAGCGTTCCAGTTTCCTAAACTCACATCTTAGATAGCCCGTCTTGACGAGTGCTATCTCGGATTCAACAATTGGCGCCCACCGTGGGGCTGGAAACGCTTCTCGCTATTCATCTCGAAGATATCTAGATTTTCACGAACTAGCAACGATGGTGAACTCGAAAGAGAACACTCCCACCGGGAGCCCGTCTCCCTCAGAAGAAAACTTAAGCGACAGTCTACCAGCACGATAGACAAGTCGCTACCCGCTGAAGGTAGGGACAAGCCTGCCCCTACAAGAAACCATCTTCTCGCCACAGAGATCCGTCTCGCCGCGAAGATCTACTTCGCCGCAACGATCCCCTCCGCCAAGAAAGGACGAGAGCCCCCTCCGTCCGCACCACGCCGCTCGAGAAAATCTTCCTCGAGCGACAAACCCCGCAGCTCGAAGAAATCCTCCTCGAGCGAGAAGATCCTCAAACTCATGGAGAATCTCGTCAAGCCACTCGCCGACGGTTTCGAGTCAATGCGAGCACAGCAGAAAAAGACTCAGGAACAGGTGGAAGCCCTAGCACGAGAAGACGATGAAGATCCGTCAAGTCCCACTGACGGAACAACCCCCCGTCCCGCACTTCAGGCGACTTACCACCAAGAGCTCGAACGGATGAATCGTCGCCTCGACGAGGTCGATTCGAAAGTTCATCGCGCCACCAGCTCAGCTCCGGAATTGACGAAAGCACTCGCCGACACCCGAAGAAGCCCGCTCACCCGCAGGCTCCGCCAGATTGAGCTACACGAAAGAGTTCGACTCAAAATCGACTCTTACACCGGCGAAGAAGACCCCAAGAAGTGGCTAACCGCGTTCAACCTCGCCATGAGGAGGGAGAAATACAAATCTTACGATGAAAGGGAGGCCAACTACTGTCAAGTATTCGTCGAGCACATGGCGAAAGATGCCTTGACCTGGTTCTCTAACCTCCCCGCCGAGTCGATCGATAACTTCGACGACCTAACCAATGCTTTTCTGAAGCATTACTCCATGCACATGACCCGAATCACTCGGAACATGTTCACCACAACGCAAACCCAAGGCGAACCATTGCGCAGCTTTATGGAAAGGTTCAAACAAGCAGCTCGCGACACTGGCGACATGCCCGATAGCGTCCCGCTAGAAGCACTCCGCAACGGCCTCTGGTACGACTCCAAGTTTAAGGAGGATTTGTCACTAAAACCCCCTGCGACTCTGGAGGACGCGTTCCACCGCTCTCGGAACTACATCTTCCTCGAGGAAGACCAGCGCTTCTACGCCGAGAAGCATGGAGATAGGAGGACAACCTCGTCGAAACCCAGAGAGAACCCATGGAGGCACGAAAAAGATACAATCCAAAAAGATCACTCCTAACGGCGTTCGCAGCAGCCGACAACGAGCCCGAGCAGGAACCGCATCACATCAAGAAACGGGCAACAGATGTCGCGACGCCCGATCTCGACGACTCTGACACGTTTTGCCGCCTCCACGGAACCGGTGACCACTCTACAAGAAACTGCCGACGCCTAACTCGCGATCTCCTTCGGAGATACCAGCACGGGGAGCTACCACCGATAAAAGGGGACCGCTCTCGTCACAGACGAAAGCCGGCACAACCCGTAATCCCGGAAAACACGCCGGATGACATAACGAACTACTCCGACGAATCAGGGCAAGAGATTAACATGATAATGAGCAACCCCATCCATCGCGATTCCATCTCGACGATCACGGAGCATGAATACGCAGCGGTGGAGCACGATCGCAACCCGACCCGCGAAGAAATCCCCACTATCATCTTCACGGATCAAGATACGGCGGGGCTGGATACCCCTCACGTCGACCCACTCGTGGTCAGCTTGCACATCAGTGACTCCAGCGTAGCAAGAATCCTGATCGATACCGGGAGCACGGTGAATCTAATCTACAAAGAGACCCTCAACCGCATGGAAATCAGCAGAGACCAGATCAAGCGTTCGTTGTACTCCCTCACCGGGTTCACCTCCGAACACGTCTCAGTGAAGGCACGATCCGCCTACCTATCCACGTCGGCGGAACAACCAAAGCCGCCGAATTCTTCGTCATCGATAAACCAGCCATTTACAACGCCATTTTGGGCACCCCATGGCTCCACGAGATGAAGGCCGTCGTCTCGACCTTTCACCAATGTGTGAAATTCCCGGCACAATCAGGAATTTACACACTGAGAGGGAATCAGGGGGCAGCAAGGTCATGCTTCCTCTATGAGCGACGGCTCCGCCTAGCAGCAACATGCACCGCAAACGAGGAAATGGATCCACGCCTTCCATACCACCAGAGACCAAAGCCGGCCCTCGTCGACGAGGTGAATATCGACGAATCGGTCCGGAAAGGTGCGTTGGCATCGGTGGCGACCTCGACGAAAAGATAGAGAGCAACTGGTCACATTGCTCAAACAGAACGTGCACCTTTTCGCATGGTCAATGGCAGATATGAAAGGGATCGACCCGGCAATCACATCCCACGAGCTAAACGTGGACTCTACCTACAAACCCATGAGACAGAAAAGACGCAAGCTCGGCGCCGATAAAGCTCAAGCAGTCAATGAAGAAGTGGAAAAGCTACTTAGAGCCGGATCGATCACTGAAGTAAAATACCCCGAATGGCTAGCAAATCCAGTCGTCGTCAAAAAGAAAAACGGAAAGTGGAGAGTCTGCGTCGATTTCACAGACCTGAATAAAGCATGCCCAAAGGATAGCTTCCCTTTACCGCATATCGATCGCCTCGTCGAGGCCACGGCAGGGAATGAATTACTATCCTTCATGGACGCCTTTTCAGGATACAATCAGATCTTCATGCATCCCGATGATCGCGAGAAGACGGCATTCATTACCGATCGTGGCACCTATTGCTATAAAGTGATGCCTTCGGCCTGAAGAACGCCGGCGCCACTTATCAACGATTAGTGAACAAAATGTTCGCGGACCAGCTCGGTAGTAGCATGGAAGTCTATATCGACGACATGCTAGTCAAATCTGCCAGGCACGATCACGTCAAGCACCTCAGCGAATGTTTCCGAATCTTGGAAAGTACGGGATGAAGCTGAACCCCGCAAAATGCACATTCGCCGTTACCTCGGGAGAATTCCTCGGATATGTTGTGACCCAACGCGGGATAGAGGCAAACCCGAAGCAGATCTCGGCGATCCTCGACCTCCCATCGCCGACATCCTCCAAAGAAATCCAAAGACTCACCGGACGTATCGCCGCATTGAACAGATTCATCTCGCGCTCAACCGACAATGTCTCCCCTTCTACCAATTGCTTCGATCAAACAAGAAGTTCGAGTGGGACAAAAAATGCGAAGACGCTTTCAAACAATTGAAAGAGTATCTCACTACCCCACCAATTCTCGCAAAACCCGAAGAAGGCGAGACCCTACTCTTATATATCGCAATATCAAGCACGGCGGTAAGCGGAGTCCTCGTCCGAGAAGATCGAGGAGAGCAGCAGCCAGTCTTCTATGTCAGCAAAACCCTCAATGATGCCGAGACGCGATACCCAACCCTAGAAAAACTGGCGCTCGCAGTAGTCATATCGGCACGAAAACTCAGGCCATACTTTCAATCACACTCCATCGTCGTCTTTACCAGCCAACCACTACGCCAAATCCTTCACGGCCCCAACCAATCCGGAAGAATGGCAAGATGGGCAATCGAACTATCGGAATACGATATTGAGTTCAAAAGCCGGACGAGCGCCAAGTCACAAGTCTAGCCGACTTCATCGTAGAAATCCCACCAGAGCTCGCAACTCAAGAGGACGAGCAAATCCTCAAATGGACACTGCATGTCGACGGATCGTCCTCCAGGCAAGGAGCAGGCGTCGGCATCCGCCTCGTCTCCCCGACAGGCGAGATTCTCGAGCAATCGATCAAACTCGGTTTCCCAGCGTCCAACAACGAAGCCGAATACGAAGCGATTATTGCCGGACTTCGTCTCGCCGAAGCAGTCGGAGCAGAACACGTTCGTGCGTTCTGTGACTCTCAGCTCGTCGCTAAACAATTCAGCGGTGACTACGACACGAAAGACGATCGCATGGACGCGTATCTCAAACAAACGCAAAGACTTGCCAAGCATTCAAGACGTTCGAGTTGACAAAGATCCCCGTTCCGAGAATTCCGAAGCCGACGCACTCGCAGCCTTGGCGTCAAAAACCGAATCAGCACTGCGACGGGTCATCCCGGTCGAAACCATCGACGAACCAAGCATCAAACTCCCCAAGGGAACCGTCGTCATGGCAATCTCACAAGAAGAAGAAGAAGACGAAAACCTCACTGATGACGAGTCAGCAGAACACAAATCATGGCAGGATGAAATCAGAAATTACCTCATCAACGACGCCGTGCCAGAGGAGCGATGGGCGGCCCGCCGCCTCCGACGAAAAGCAGCTTACTACTTCTTACGCAACAACGAGCTTTTTCGCTGGAGCGCAAACAAAGTCATCCTGCGATGCTGCGACGAAGCACAAGCTAAGAGCATCATGGTCGAGACCCACGAGGGAGCATCAGGAAACCACGCCGGCGGAAGATCACTCGCTTTAAAAATTAAGAAGATCGGATACTTCTGGCCAACGATGATCGGCGATTGCATAAACGTCGCCGCCAAATGCGTCCCCTGCCAAAGATACGCACCGGCGATCAACGCCCCAACGCAAGCACTTCAAGCTGCGATCCCGGCATACCCTTTATGCGCTGGGGAATGGATATCGTCGGCCCCATGCCACGCTCACGGCAATGCGCTTACCTCTTGGTCGTCACCGACTACTTTACTAAGTGGGTAGAAGCAAAAGCATACAAAAACCCAACGGCTCATGACGTAAGAAACTTTGTGTGGCAGTATATCATATGCCGTCACGGTCTTCCTTATGAGATCGTCACGGACAACGGAGGACAATTCGTCGCAGCACTTTCCGAGAATTTTGCGCGTCATGGAACATCAAGATCACTTACTCCACGCCAAGATATCCTCAAGCTAATGGACAAGCCGAGTCCACAAACAAAACTATTGTTGATGGATTGAAAAAAAGGCTTGAAGGCTACCAAGGAGCTTGGGCGGACGAATTGGATGGAGTACTCTGGTCGCATCGAACCACCCCAGAACCGCATCCGGGGAAACCCCATTCTCTTTGTCGCACGGTTGCGAAGCTAGCACCGGCAGAACTGCACGTAGCCAGCTTACGACGATCGTTAATGCCCCTCAACCCGGCATTGAATGACGACTCACTCCTGCATAGTTTAGACCACGCCGAAGAGCTACGGGATCGCGCCCTCCTGCGTATGCAAAACTACCAACAACAAGCAACCAGATATTACGACAGGAAGGTGCGAAACCGGCGCTTCGAGCTCTACGACCTTGTATCTAAGAAGGTCCACGACTTTACCAAACCCGAGCACGCAGGCAAATTCGGGTTCCATTGGGAAGGGCCGTTTCGCATCACCAAGATCATCAAACCCGGGGTCTACGAGCTGGACGATTGTCACGGAAACCCACTGCCTCGTCCATGGAACTCCATGAACCTACGCAGGTTCTACACCTAGACGCGTCGCACCGCACAAAAAAAAAAAAAAAAAAAAAACATTTGTAATGCCATGACATGAACATTTGTAATGAACTACGATTGGCTTGATCCCGGCATGGGTACGTAGGCAGTCTTTCTCGATAAAGGCACAACTATAAATTAATAAAAATAAATAGCTCTTTTATTTTTATGCAAGCACTCTTATCGAACCTCTTCGGAAGGGTTCCCGTCTCGGCAAGGACCCAGAAGTAACGACTTCTGCCCTCAACCGGTAACTGAGTTCCTACCGAAGACATCAAACGCAAGCACCGCACGCAAAGCATAATTCCGAAATAACGCAACACTACCGACGTTCTGGCCCAACGCTCGGATGCACTTAAACGCAGCACCCGTGGACTGATCACCCACAAAAGACGAGAGCACGCACCTCGCACGACACCAGCCCCTATGAACGAGAACAAAATCGCTATCGTTACACATAACGGACCATGGAATCGTTGGCATAAATCGAGCCCCTAGACCTCGTCGCCAAAACATGTGATCTACCGAATCACAGCACCTCAGACCTAATACGCATTGGTCGGTGTCTCGAATGAGAATCGTGACAGACTACGAAAGCTTCGAAGAACATCACGACGCATCCGCACCGTCAAACGAAAGCACTCGTTCGACACACTTGAGATTAACAAGCCATCTCGGCATAGGTAAGCCGCTTATCCGATGACGATCGAATAAACTAGCCTACCCCAACCGATTGAAGGCGTATTGTTTCTCATTAAAAGACATGGCCTAAAGCTGGGTTCTTTCATCGCGCTGTGAAATTATCAACTATGTCTAAGCCAATTTGTTTCGCCAACAAAGCAGCAAATAAAGCACCAAATAACGTCCAAAACTAAACCCAAAGTTTAAGGATAAAAGCCCTCCCGGGCAATTGTCACGATAAAAGCAAATGGGAAACTATCAAAAAGAAAAAAGAAAGATAATTTCGACTTCCTCTCCGCCTACTTCGATTGATGACGCGATGGGGATCCCGGAAACGCCAGCTCAGCTAGGGTAGGCCTGAAAGTTCGATATATTGACCCATATTGATCAAAATTCCGTGGAACAATCCATGCGCTGTCAAAGCAAAATTCAGCAAGACGAAAAGAAGATCTAACCTTAGGGCGGAGCATAGTCATCAGCTTCAACTTCGTCATCCTCGACCAAGTCTCCGGCGGCCTTACTCTCCCGCAACCGGGCCGCAAGCATCTTCTCCACCGCATCAAAATCCTGCTCGACCCCCTTTATTTTCCTGACATAGGAAAGAAGAGCCTCGTCGACTTGAATCCTAATCACCGCCTTCTCCACTGCATCCCGCTGACTGACGTATCTACCTATACGGTCCAACCTCGGAGTATACCAATTATGCATTGATTCGTACACTTGAGCAGCCGTCAACTCAGCCCACTTCTTCCGGGACTTGCGAAGACGAGCCATCTCGGCAATCGAGTTTTCCATGTCCCGACAGGCTTTATCCTCCAGTTGCGTAATTTTGTCCCGAAGTTGATTATTTTCAACCTCAAGGCCAGACACCTTCGCAACCTCCCTTTGAGAGCTTCTATCTTCTTTTCAAAAGCATCTTTTCTTCTCGAAACCTAACTGCAGCCGCATCACCATCAAAGTTATCAAACAAATCGGCTTTAATTTGATCAACTCCGCTCCGAGCACCCTTGAGCGCCGTCATAAAGTTGAATCAACGCAGCAAACTTCCCTCCGGCTCTAATAAGATTATTAGAAGCCTCATCGAAAGCACCCTTGAACTCAAGCTCACCACGCGGAACCCCCCAGCATGGCTTAGGTTTGCAACCCCAAACCATCTCTCCACTAAAGTCGCCATTATCCATTAAAGGAGCACCACCTTTCCACTTAAAGGAGACAGCATCGGAGTCTATCCCGACGGAATCCGTCACCCCGTCACCTCCAGACTCCAGGATACTCATATCCCCGCCCTGACCAGTAGAAGCCACGACAGTCCGAGAAGAGAAATCGCCACTGGTGACACCCCCAAGAGACCCCAGTGACTGAGGAAGATCACCTAGCTCGCAGGAATCTGACCTCATCCGCTTGGATAAAGGATCAGAAATCAGGATATCATCATCCACCAAAGCCGGAGCCCTTTTCCTTAAGCCTGTCTTCCTAGCAACACCCGGCAACTTATCTGGAAGACATCAGGGAGCGCGATTTAAAGCCGACCAGGCGTAAAAATTCAAAGGCGATGATCAAACACTCACCAGAGAGGAATCGCTATAGCAATAGCCTTTCCTTTCTTTTCCTTCTTCTTCCTTTCGGTCTCGGCAAACGCATCCGCCCAAGTCTCTCTACTCAAGTCGCGTAAAGTTCTAAACTTCTCCTTTAGAGTAGTATTTACTTTCCTTGGGACAATCCTTCCTGCATATCAGATAATGGGGGCGTAAGTTAGCATACGAAGCAACCGCTAAAAATAAGGAAGAATTCACAACCACTTTACCCTGGCTCCTGGACCCATTTTGTTAAGACGTGACTAGGATCGAAATCCCCGACCGAAGCACGGTCGACCTTGACAAAAAAGTAGTAGCGCGTCCAGTGGTGAATCTTCGTTCGATGATCACCAAAAACGATGTCATGTTTCATCGATGTGTGGAAACGCTTGAAACCTCCTTCCTTAACCCCAGCACGAAGTCAGTTATACGCTCAAAGAGCTCCCTGTCTAGCTTCATCCCGGCTGCCTTCGCCAGAGCGGCCGAGAAGACCATATGCCGCACTACACCATGGGTCAGCTGACTCAACGCTACACCCCGCTCATACGCATACTCGAGAAGTAACGGGAGGACCGGAAAACGTATTCCAAACTCCGTGAGGAAGCATTCGTAGAGGCAAAACCATCCAGGTGGAGCGTCCATCGGCCTTTGGTCAGGTAAGGGAACGAGAATCTTGACCGCGTCACTGATTCCCACCCTCTCCCGCAAAGCGATGACTATATCTTCGGTCATCCCCGATCGACCATCCCGAGCCAGAGATCTTGACGATGATCTCCACGGCATCTCAATCTTTTGAGGGATACCATCGAGCCTAGCGCAATCAGGGACTTTCTCCTCACCGAGCTCAGGATCGGATCCCGTATCCTCGTGCAGAATTCCCTCGCAAGAACGGTCGCCGCATTCCCCGTTTAGAACCTCGGATTCCCCTTTAACGGATGAGTTCATCGCCTTCGCCAAACCCACCGTCTCGCAAATCTCCTTGGGACAGCATTATGCTCAAGGGCCGACGTCGACATCGATGAACTAGTCTCGATTTGTACCATCGAAAGCGCGAAAGAATAAGGTAGAAGGAAGGAAATGCAGGCAGGGCAGCAAGAGATATTCGCTCTCCCTCGAAGGGCACTTGGTGAAATCGGTATCACGAAAAAGGAATAAGCACCCTAGGAAATCCTAATCGTTTCCTTAAATAAGAATTCCACGATTCTTAGAAGAGAAGGCTTCTCCGAGACTTTTTCCTGTTCCCGCCCAAACGATTTCACCAAAAACTCGAACCGATCATGGGCCGATTAAAACCCATTACTGATTTCTACGAAAGAAAGCATTTTTGGTCGCGGCAAAAATCATTCGAAGCAATTACTCATGAATTAGATGACGTCAACGTACTCTTTTTCCTTTTTATGGTTTTTGTCCCAATTGGGTTTTTCCGTACCAAGGTTTTAATGAGGCGGCACGAATCTACATTCAGCATGCACCTAGGCACTAAGATCCGATTGAAGTGATGTTTTTACTAATGATTCTCAAGCTCGTCCTCTATTCATGAAGCTCGCCGAGATCAAACTACATTTGACCTGCCGAGCTGGCGGGGGGACTTATTGTTAGAGGAGAAATTAGCACATTTCCCTGAGCCCGTCATCATTAGTAAAGTCACAAAGCCCAATCCGATTTTAGGCCTAACTCTTCAAGAAAAAGGCAAGACTTGAAGAGAAAGGCACAATCCATGGAGAAATGTAAATAAATCTTCATGCCGACTTAAAGAATGGAAGAAAGATCCAAAAACAAGAGGGATTTTCCATATCGCAAAAGAGGAAGTTTTCCATCTCGCCTGAAGGAGAATATTCATCATTCGGCCGACTTATCAACACTATATATTGAAGACCCCCCATGGAGAAAGGGATCCGAAATCATCTAGAATCACTAGACTTTCACATTAGCTTTTACTCTATCCTCTTGTTCATCCCATAATC